CTCCTTTTAGAATAAGTATAATATCTCTAGCGGTATCTAGATTACAGATATATTAAAAAAGGTATATCTTCTACCCCTAGATCCTTATAATAGCTAGACTAATAAAAGTATAGAAGATCTAAAGACTAGTAGTCTTTATTAATATAAGCTTATAATGTTAGGAGGTATTTATAGCCCTATAGCTGGAGCCTATATTAATTCTAATCTAAGATATTTAGATATAATAGAACTTAATATTTCTAATACTTAACTAGGCTAAGAAGCTCTAGCTATTCTATAATTAGTATTATACTAATTATTAATATCTTTATTTTAAACTTAATTAAGAAGAGTAGTATTAAGTTAAATATCTTCTTTTTTTAATAAAGCCCTTCTTTAATTTTATAATAATACTATTAAAGACTAAGGATATTACTATATATAATATTTATAATATCTATAATAAGCTTTTCTCCTATCTCGATATAGCTAAAGCGAAACTTAAGAATAAAGGTATAATCTAGAAGAAACGAATGTTATAGGTACTCTAAATAGTAAAGAAAAAGCTCTCTAAGTACTATACTACTACCGAATATAAGCCTTATAGTGATATCTATACTTTAGTAATAATCTTCTCTCTATTAAAGAAGGTCTAGTACTTTTCTTTAACTAATTAGTAAGGTAATATTAATTATATAAATTGTTATTAAGAGGTCTTAAACTAAGAGTTTAATTAATATAGGAAGATACTTACTTATAATACTAATAACCTAGCGGTACTAAAGACTTCTAGAGTAGCTATTAATAAGAATAATAACTATAATCTTAATACTACTTATATATTATAAAACTAGCTATTAGAAGAGCTTATAAAACTAGATAATAATAAGATTATATAATATCTTACTTATAGAACTAAGCGACAGAAACCTTAACTTTTCTAGAAGGAATATAAGTAGAGCTTCCCGACCCTAGTAAAGATAGTAAGGGATATTCTATCTATCCTTACTAGTAGTACTAGTATTAAATAACTATTCAATTATACTTATAATATCTATTATTATTATTGTGGTTAATTAAAGCTAAGTATAATCTATAGCTTAATACTATATTAGTTTACTACTAACTTTAATCTTTAATATAAGGAGCTAGGGATTATTAAAGAGTATCTATCCTAAGGTAAAGTTACTTTACTAGATTAAACCTAGAGATTATTATTATAGCTTAAGGTCTTAAAGCCTATTAGTAATAATAAGGAGGAGGATTAAGAGACTAGACTTAAGGCTACCTAGTATACTAAGAGCGGTAATAATAACTTAGATAATAATAGTGTTAAGTGACGTAGACAGGTAAAAGGAAAATAACCTTAAAAATAACTATATAATACTATTAAAGAGAATAATAAGCTTCTAGAGATATTAATAGATAGGAGTATACTAAGCTATTTAGGGCGGATTTGAAAATAGCTAAGGCTACTAGATAGCTTCTAGTTAGTATAATAAGATAGTACTAGTATTAGAGCTTAGGCTTTACTTATATACGCTACTAGTCTCCCCCTAGCCTAAGTTTCTAAATATAGTTATAAAAGAGGGAAAGACCCCTACTATAAAAGGATTTCTAACCGAGGTTAGAGAATAGGCGCTAAGGCCTAGGAACTACTAGCGCTTACTACCCTATAACTTTAAGAATATATAATACTATTATAGAGTTCCTATATAGTAAAACTCCTAAACTTTAGCTAAATAGTATATAGGTACTATTTAATTAACTTAATTTAACTATAGCCCTTTATAGTTAGATCTATAAATAGTATATATAAATAAATAAGAAGATTTAAATTTATATAACCCCTAAAAGATCTAGATTTTGATTATTTAACATAATATACTATTATATAAAAAATATAAAAGAAAATATAAAATTAATATATACCCCTTAAGGTCACGAGTCTAGGCGTGTTTACTCTATTTAATATCTATTAGATATCTGTAGATATCTAATAGATATAAGGTCTATATCTAAATCCACAAGACTGCGGATCTTGGATATCAAAAAATATCTATATCTGTAGTTTGCGGATATGGATTATAGATATCCACGGATATTGTGGATCGTGCCACAGTCTATAGACTAGGTATGCTAGTAGCTAAATACTATAGAATATAGGGGCCAAGGTGCCTAATGTATACAAGTACAGACCTACTTGGGTCCGTACGGGTCCACATAGGCGCCATTAGTGCAGATTATGTCACAGAAAGACTTCTAGGATCACACTATTCTAATTAGTTAAGCTAGATTCGGTTCGGTTCAAGTTAAGTCTTAGCTTATATAATACTAAGGAATAGGAAGTAGGGTAAAGTAAGGCCGGGACTAATCATAAGGATAGTCCGTATAACCTTACTACTTCTAGAGTTAAGAGTAGTACTCAGTATTATATTACTAGCCAGTTCTTTTAACAAAAAGAGTATATTTTAACTAAAATACTAAGTATAGGGACGGAAAGGAAAGGAGGAAGAAAGAATCGAGTCTCTAAAGCCTTTTATAGGGCCTTAGCAAATAGTAGTAATAAACTATACAAACTTCACACTACTTCTATCCTAATCTAGAATCCTAACCGAAGTTAGGATTTAGTAGCAGAATCCTTCTAACCGCGGTCAAAGATTCTTTCGTAATCAGTTTTGACTAAGGTTAGAAACTCCTACTAGGTGGAAGCTAGCTTAGCTCAGATCGTGACAGTTAGTATTATTAAAAAGATAGAAGTGTAATATAGTCGAAAATGTAGGAGAAGGGTATGGTCAGAAATACACGAGAATATATCTGCATTTTCGACTAAGCTCTTCTTATGTATTTTCGACTAAGGCCTTCTTATGTATATTAGACTATCAGCCTTTAACTTCTTAAACTATAGTAAACTACTATATTTCGACCCTAAATTTATAATTAAAGTAAGAAATTATAGCTAGGTTAACTATTTTAATTATTAAGAAGATATATTATTAATTAAAAGAAGAGGTTAATATTAGTAAAAAGGTAGAAGTATAGTTTAGTCGAAAATGTAGGAGAAGGGTATAGTCGAAAATACAGGAGAAAGGTATGGTCGGAAATGCACGAGAATATATCTACATTTTCGACTAAGCTCTTCTTATGTATTTTAGACTAAGGCCTTCTCGTGCATTTTAGACTATCGGCCTTCAACTTCTTAAGCTATAGGAAACTACTATATTTCGACCCTAAATCTATAATTAAAGTATAAAATTATAGCTAGGCTATCTGTTTTAATTATTAAAAGGATATATTATTAATTAAGATAAGAGGTTAATATTGTTAAAAAGGTAGAAGTATGGTTTGGTCAGAAATGTAAGAGAAGAGCTTAGTCGAAAATGTATGAGAAGAGCTTAGTCGAAAATACAGTTATTAGTTTCAGTCTATTCCTCATTAGGAATTTCGGACTAAAAGCTAACCTAATTAGGAATTTCGGACCAAACCATCTAATGCAGTTCGAAAACTTCAATATCCTACCACAAATTTAATAAAATAGACAAAAATAAATAGATTTCACATATCAATTCAGAATGAAAGGGGGCATAAATGAAAAATATAAAAACAGTAAATATCATTCTATAGAGGGTACCATATACACCGGTTTTTAACTAGTAGAAACGGTGTGCTACTTTACGAATTAAAGAGATTTCTTTATTCTTAAAAGCCTAAATAGCTAATAGAATCCTACCTTCTTACTCTATTGAATTTCGAGAGGTTTGAGAGCGAATTGATGGTATGGTGGGTGGTTGAATTAATTAAGTGTAAATCTAGGGGCGCGTTTGAGGTGGGGTAGACCACTCGGTGGTATCGACCACTCGGTAGTGAAATACGTTAGTTAGTTTACTAGGTTTAATATTAGTGATTAATAACGCGGTATCGATAGCGATAGGTAAGATACCATAGAAGCTAATATTCGGCTTCGATTTACACATACCATAGAATCTACTATATAACATTCTCGGCGTCGACAGAGAACTCGCTCCACAGCAGGATGCCGTGGAATGTCTAAAGTACGCCGCGATATGTATAAAGGATTACTATGACAGACAATATCAACCGATACACTTCGCCATAGGCGACAAGGTCCTCCTTCGAATCGGGCGAGGATATAATATCTCTATGAACGAGGCAATCACACGCAAACTCGGACAGCAATATGCAGGACTTTTTACAGTCGTCGAACGAATTGGCCGCCTGGCGTACAAACTGGACTTACCCCCGACGTGGCGAGTTCACCCGGTGATAAGTGTGCAGCATCTAGAGCCGGCACGGTGACTCCCGACCCGGCCCCTATAGGGCCCGCGTAGGTAGACAAATATAGAATCATTATCTTCCCCTAGGCTTTCAGTGTAACACAATCATCGATGAATGACTTCTTTCCTTGGCTTTGTATGAACCAACATCGAATCTAGTGTCTATATCATATGCAAGCTATAGCTGTAAACGAGGGCCATACAATTAAAACTATCAAACAGGAATGAAACATGTAAGCAAATAATGTTGATCTCTGTTCCTCACTTGTTCAACAGTGACAACTTGTCTCCGTCATCTCTCTGTTGCTTCACTGCAGAGGGCCTGGCATTTCCCTAGGTGTCTATCTCGGGTCAAGTTGATAGGCAAGGCTGGATAGTAAAATTCCTTTTGTGATCATTTCACTTATCACTATGCGGCGGCATCCGGTCATATTAGGCGTCGGGGACCAGGGGGCTAACCCGCTGCAGCTTTAGGCTACTCCTTACCTAAGGATAACCACGATGACCAATAGTCTTTGGTCTCGATACTTATCAACCCTGGATACTCGACCCACGGTAGGAAAAATGGAAGCATTTGTTGAAGAAAAAATCTGAGGCGGATCCAAACTACTTTTTGTTGAGGTGGATGGAAAGATCAAAACCTAAACACGGTTGTGGACGTTACATGGAAAATTTCAGATGATAGATTTGGACATATAGTTTTGAACGTGAATATTCAATCAATGTTTAGCCCTTGCGTTTGTTGTCTTGTAGAGAAAGCTGTTTCTTTGCCTTTTCTGTAATTTCATTAACATCGGTCGATCTAACAGGTTTGTATAAGAATAATTCAGTGAATAGCCCCATCTCGCAAGATCCGAAAGATCGAATATCGCGAGGTCTGAAACCTTTATCCAATGCTTCCTTTATCAATTCACTCCAAACTTCAGCGTACGTCCCTTTCCAATCCTCCATGAAAGCTTCGGCTTGGGCCATCGTCCTAAATCTTTTATGACATGAACCCTCCACCTTGATGACTTCTCTCTCCGCACCATTCTCACCACTAAATGTTGTCAGCTTTTATGAACATCTTCAAGGTAGATGATTGGAAATACCTACCGGTAAAAGGGGTAGATACCAGGCTTAGCCCCGTTCGCAACCGCATAGAATCCGTTTCCATCCAGAGGGGTAGTCTCTCCTGCTTCGCTTTTTATGATCTCTTTTGCCTTTATGACACCCATCTCTTCCATGTAAGTTCGTGCTTCTTGTAGGGTATAGCAGCTTTTGTATTTTGACGTGCAGCCTGTCACGCGGGGATGCGCATCCCCCCTACCAAATTTAAGTTAGATAAAGCTTGGGTTAGTAATACAGGAGAAAGGAGTATTACCACGATGAGTATATTGTCGGCTCTTTGATACGCCCAGTAATTATCGCATAGTATTCTTTGTTCTTTCGACGTGGACGTTGCGGCATGGCTCAAGACGACTCGGAATGAGGCACGGTTGAAAGGTTGTTCAGGTATGCGATAGTGCTTTGAGGAGGAGAATAGGATATTAGTAGAAACATCCAAAGAAACAATATTTCCACCTGAGTCCAACCCGTTCAATCAGGTGACAGCAAGCATGTAGTTCTGTGCGAATTTCAGAGACTCTGTGATTGGGCCACGTGTATGCTGCTGCCAGAGCTAATGCACAGAGTCCTCACAGTGCATTGAATCAGGCGCCGATGCGCATGAGGATTCCAACAATAGAACCCGCGCCTCTGTTTCTAACGCATAAGCACCGAGTAGCAAGTTAGTGCCCGGAGCAGGAGCGCGATTTAAAGAACAGGTAATCTACAGAATCGTTTCAAAGAGAACATAACGAGCAGGCCCGTAGAAGAACGAGGTTTAAATATGAGTGCGAAGGTGGCCAACAAACGAAGTCACCTGGCACTATCTGTTTAGCGCCTTTGAGGTTCATGCTGCTGAAACCCCCCACTAGAAAATCGAATGTATCTGAGCGCTGCTTTCCACCATTCATCTGCTTTGAAATGATGCAGCCCCAAGATTTCCCGAAACGAGCCCCACTTGGCGTTGAAACATTGCGCCATAGATTTGGTCTACTCGACTTTCGAACCGGATATCACTTATCGACTGACACTACGCGCCACGCTAACAACACGAGCACTTTTGTGTGAATGCGCACTTGCATTAGCGGGCTTTCGGTACCACGGAACAAGGATGCTCTGGAGCTGTGGTTCTTTTGCCTATTCCATCTTTCTTTCAAAACAATTTTGCCGCATATTCTATGAGCCCAGCCAGTATTCTACACCACAATTTTGTAGCCGAAGCTGATGGCTCAAATGGATCTTCAGATTCAAAACCTCACTCAATTTCAAGTCGTACAAATTTGCATACTAAGCGATCGAATCTTTTCCCATTTGCAGCCAAAGTGACTTGGAGGCTGAGTGTTTTGCTGCTCTTTTAGAGCTTCCTTCTGCAGATGATTTGACTCCTCTATATTGAGCCACAGCACACCACCTTGGAGGGTCAAACCCCAGTCGAATCAAACTGTATTCCGGTGAACAGCACTCGGAATCTCCCATCTCTTTCAGTGCACTTGTATATTTATGATCCTCACAAATCTGCTCTATAGCAAGGTGCGAGTAACTTTGATGGAACATTTCGTCATTGGTGCGTAATTGCTGTTCTTGGTTCCATGGTTTGTATGGTGTATGTTCCTGGAAGTGGGAGAGCGTTAGATTGTCACTTTCCCCATTTGTGCATTCTTTCACACTCCTGGTGAGGTTTACGATCCCTTCTCGACGCTTGTCCAGGTGCCCGGAGAGAAGAACTCGAATGGGTACCATAGATAGAGATGGCTCTTGGTAACCTTGGATGACCTTTGTTCCAATGCTGTGGAAGAAAAGAGTTGCGGCAGACTCTGACGAGCTATCAAAATGTGTTTTCGGCTCTATTGCCAAAAGAAGCTCGTCATACTGGAGCTCGTTCCGAAGCAGATGCTGACGGATCTTATATGCCGCGGTTAAGATCCGTTGGTTTTCAGATTCAAGTGAGGACTCACCTTGACAATGGATGCATTCGACAGTTGTGGAACGTAGAGATATAGCCATAAGCCAATCTCAAGCTTAAGCCATTCAAGCCCAACAAATTCAACTGCTTGGTCAATTAGGTGAAAATTCCGAAGTCATCGCAGCGTGCACTTACGTTTTTGAGCGAAGAACTTAGACATGCTTTCTATCAGAGTATGATTGAGACTCGAGAACTTTCTGATGAAGTATGAACCTTTTGTTTTCTAGTTATCTGCCCTCAATGCTAAGATTCAATGCTTGGCTATCTGTTCTAATTATATTTATGACACGCTATCAGATCACAGACTCAAATGCCACGTCATTGAGGCTATGTTTTCTAATGCAAGTACAATCAGCTGGATAGCGCTCAAGCCTCCTTTTTGTTCCCAAGGCAGCTTTTTCGTTCATGCTGATGCTTACTATGAAATGTCCTCCAATCCTTGAGTTTTCAATGTCAGTCGCCTCTGGCATTAGGCAGAGATGCAGGCGATGTGCTGGCGAGGCAAACACACTAATGCAAGCAAAGCCTCGCAGGAAGTCAGCCTCTCGAAAGCCTTAGGCTTAGCAGAATTTGAGGCATAAATAATTCTATAAATTCGAAATCAATATCTATTATAAATTCGACTACTTCGAGGGTCGACGCCTTTTTATCATTCACAAGAGTGACCTTTTTCTGTGATTACATCCACCAAGTAAAGGATTCCACACGATTTTGCCTCTCCCAGAACTATCAAAAGACTTCTAAACAAGAAGTACCAACACTGGGAGAGAAATGTCCAACAAAACTCCTCATACCGCATCATTGTCTGAGCTTGAGGCCATCGAAAAATTGAGAGTCTTCGAACTGAATGGCTCGGATTGCTCCCATGACCAAGGTGAAGATCTAGGCTAAAGTTAAAAACTTTATACACTGCTGACTGTATGTATCAGATGAGTGGCTTGGGCTTCATGTCTGGGCGATTTTTATCAGGATAAAATTTATCGAGAGTAATCCTAAAGCCGGGTTATCACCTGGAATACCTGTAACGTGCCATGAATCCTTTGTTTGCGAAATACTAAGTCCTTCAGGAACTGGACCGACTATTCTCCAAAGGATTCAACTCCATCGGTGCTATTAAGCAGATGGTCGAAGCTGACCCACATCTGGAAAAGTCTCTTCGTCATTTGAACAGACCCTCGCTTTTCAAAGCTTTGGGACTTGCTGTGAGAAACGCGTCATTGAACCTGGAACAAATTGTCGCTACTCTTTCGCAATTCTGTCAGTACAAGCCAGGCCCTTCCTTGCAAGAGCAGCATATCGAAGCTAAAATGAGCAACGAACCATCGATTTCTCTATCCAACACAAGAAATGCTGAAAATCGCCGGCTAAGCGACGTTCAGAACAATACGGACCAGATTCATGAAGATCATAAATATACAAGTGCACTGAAAGAGATGGGAGATTCCGAGTGCTGTTCACCGGAATACAGTTTGATTCGACTGGGGTTTGATCCTCCAAGGTGGTGTGCTGTGGCTCAATATAGAGGAGTCAAATCATCTGCAGAAGGAAGCTCTAAAAGAGCAGCAAAACACTCAGCCTCGAAGTCACTTTGGCTGCAAATGGGAAAAGATTCGATCGCTTAGTTAAAATATCTATACGACAAACCCTTGAAATTGGACAAACCCTCGAAATTGCTTTGGTACTTGGGCTGCCTAGGTCTACTGGGGTTTGAAGGAAGAACTGCCCTTGAAGATATTCATTCAATCGCTAATTTGACTGGCTTTCACCTTTTCCTTGTTGCATCTCGGAACAAGACAAATGAAGTCCTGACCGTGAGAAGAATCCACAGAGATCCAGAGAGATTGCTTAAGATAGAGTAGTTTAGTTCGGGTCGCTTCTGCATCAGAGAGGCGAAGCGGGGGCACCGCACAAGGAGTCTCGATCGCGATGCGGCTTAATGAACCATCAATGTGTATAAATCATCAGCCTTATCTAGTCCACTGATCAAGAACAAAAGCTTGACTACACCTTCAATTCAACAGGAATCCAAGATCATGTGCTCAAGAACATGAACTAGCTTCCACAAAGTCAAACGGTCAAGTGTGTCCATGCCGTGCTTTTTTGCGAATATATGCAGTCGTGCATGTATAAGTAATGCATCGATGTTTTGGCAAATGTTTTCTGTTTTCCTGCAAATTGGCTGGATGGGTGTTTGCGGAAAGTTTTCTGCCAGATGATCCAAAAGCTGCTGAGTACTCGCATGGGTCCGAAAATAGTTATTCTTGAGCAGTAGAACCTTCTCAAATGCGACTTTAGTTCTATCTTCACAAACTATATGAGCCGAGTCATCCTCCAAGACTGAAATCTGATAGTCCACTGGTGGCAAGTCCGCTGTCTGAAATCTACGGCCGCGTGAGAGTGGTTCAAACATGGAACTTTTTGTACATAGTCTTCAACGCAGCCTGTGGTGGGGCGCGCACAAAAGAAACGATTATCATACTTCGCTTCGTCGCCGGTCTTTGCGGAAGCGCCACACTCGGTGTACGTGGTTCAATTTCAACGTTTGCTATTGTCAGCTAATTTCCTTTCTCTAGATCGGGGGTGGCACGTTGAGTGATCTTTTCCGGGCGAGAGATCGTGGAAAGGCGGTGGCAATCTACAGCTGGTCTCCAATTCTCGCTCCATTGGTTGGTGCAATCATAGGCAGTTTCATCTCACAAAATACAACCTGGAAGTGGACATTCTATGCATCCTCACTTTTGAGTGTGATAATTCAACTTTCGGGTCTTATCTTTCTTGAGGAAACATATCCATCACTCCTGTTGCGACAGAAAAAAGCCAGGCAGGCAAGGGACACCGGAGCCAACAATCTCTATACCGAATATGACTATCTGGACGAAGGTAGAGTCGAAGTGCTATCCACGAATTTGTTTCGGCCTTTTAAACTGCTTGCCACTCAACCTATCATCCAGGTCCTTGCTCTTTACAACGCCTACCTCTATGGCAATATCTATATATTGTACGCTGATTTCATCGACCTGTGGACTGATATCTACGGGGAATCTATTGAGATTGCTGGGCTGAACTACATCTCAATCGCCATTGGATCTGCCATTGCTGCAGAATGCTGCACCCTTATAAATGACAGGATATATCGGACATTATCCAAGCGTAACGGGGGTCAAGGCGTCCCCGAGTTTAGAATTCCGAGCATGCTACCTGCAACGCTCTCTTTGAGTGCTGGGATGTTCTGGTACGGTTGGACCGCCGAAAAAAGGATGCACTGGATTATGCCTAATATCGGAGCCTCCATATTTGTTGCTGGGGCACTTGCATGCACGATATCTGTAAACGCCTATGTCATCGATACTTATGGACAATTCTCGGCGAGTGGACTAGCGGCTGTTTCCGCCTTACAGAGCCTTACTAGAGAGTAGTGGTACTCCCGTTAAGATCTAAAATATATATCTGATATCAGAGTATTAAAATCAATACTTTCTACAATATCTTGTCCTCTACTTATCGGATCTTATTTAAAATTAAAATATATACTAATATAGATACTATGATTTAATATTCTGAATTTAAACTCTATATAATTGGTAGAAAAGGCTATAATATAGCGATTACAAAGGCTAATACCGATAGGCTTTATTAGGGGCCTTATAGGCGCCCCTACTAATAGGCTGTGGGTTAGGTTGGGCTTTGAAGGTAGGGCCTATAGCCCACTGCGGGTTAGGCTATGGGCTTGAGCTCCGGGCCTAACCCGGCCCATTGCGGAGGTCTACTAATTGGTAGGGCTTTGCGCACTATCCTCGGGCCCACTGGTGGGATATAGGCCTAGGGGGAAAGCCCAATAGGCTTTCAATAGGGGCCCAATACCTAATTCGGGACTAGCACGGTGTCATTAGTGAAATGGCGGTGCTGATAGTGTTATACCTACATAACAAGTGCCTAATTTGGAATAGAACTGTGTATATCACGTGCTATGCAACAGTCACGTGGGTAGTTTACCCTGTGCAGTCATATGACAGTAGAAGTCCGGGGCTGGAATAACAATAAACCCAATGTGAAACTTAAAAATCAAACAAATGTAGGCCGTGCTTACCCCTAATAACAGTAATCCATGTTTGTTTTGCTTCACTCAGCACAATTATATAAATAACGGGACGGAAAAGGTGTAATTCCGGCTAACAATAGTGTACCTTACGACTTTGGTACCCCTCTACTCCCTTCTTACGAGTTAGGCACTTCGGTTGAGGACCTGAAAAGATGAATTGACGAGACTGGGATTATCGAAGAGACTACCAGTGCCTACTCCTGATCCAGGCAATGAGCCTAGCAGCCAAGCGTTCTAGTCGCCTGGGAGGCACCAAATCTAAGACCGGGTGCGACACATGCAAGTTAGTTAGCTTCCTGGGAATCCGATCAGTCGCTGAATCTAACATTCGCTCGCAGAATTCGCCGTGTGAAGTGTGGCGAGGAGAAGCCATACTGCCTAAGATGTACCAGTACAGGACGGCGGTGCGGCTATAGCACTGGCTTCCGCCCTATTGGGCGGCCCCAGCTGGCCATCGCAACCTTTTCATATCAGGCATCGCGAGAGCGTCGTGCATTTGAATATTACTTCTACAATGCTGGCCCGTCTCTTTCAGGAGACTTAGATCAGTCTTTTTGGAGGGGTTTGGTCCTCCAAGTCTGCCGGACACAGCCAGTTATTTGGGACGCGATCATCTCGCTCAGCGTGCTTTATGAACGACCTCCTATTCACGAGACGCCTCCCTGGGTGCTTATGAATGGCCCAGCTGCGGTGCGAGATCGATACCATCGTGAAGCGCTAGTTTGGTACTCGCGCTCGCTGGCTCTCCTACAGCAACGTATTAACCAGGGGACGGCAGATCTGATGGTTTCCTTGACCGGCTGCATCCTCTTCATTGCTATCGAGCTCCTGCAGGGAAATCGCAAAGCTGCTTATATCCTGTACAAAAAAGGCGCCCAAGTGATTGCTCGTGCTACACCAACAGCAGCATCTACCATCGCTACCCTCGACCCTATCTTCCGCCGTTTGGGAACATGGGTCTTCATCGCCAATGAACCGTTAGAAGAAAGCTGGGATCTTTATTTGGCCGTTCCAGAGGAGCGGTTTATATCGATTGCAGAGGCAAGAAACATTCTGTGTAGTATCGTAGTCGAGATGAAGGCCCTCAACATTGACTCCAAGGCCTATCTACGCCGAACCGCAGATAGCCGGCTTCTCAAGATGTCAGAGCTGGTGGCTAGACAACAGCGCCTAAAAGCCCGCCTCGCCCAATGGTACCGCATCTTTACATACCTGAAGCCTATGGATGGCACGAACGTTGACGGTGCAACCGCGCTTCTTCTTATGACATATACAAGCGTCTTTATCGAAACAGAAGTCATGCTGAATCCGAACCAAGGTGTATATGACGCCTACGAATCTGAATTCGCCCAGATCATTGGCTTTGCCCCCACTGCGGTTGCATGGACACGCGGCTCGGAAGGGAAGCAACCGGGGTTCATGTTTGAGATGGGCGTATTCCTCCCACTTTTCATCACAGGCCTCAAATGTCCATTCCCCGAGCTACGCCGTCAGGCATTACGGTATATGGGCGAGGCTCCCCCGGCACAAGGACTGTTCATGTGCGCTCCTACCGCTCATATCTTGGCCATTCTTATTGCGCTAGAGGAGAATCCCGACCTTCTGCCAGGACAAGCCTCTCAAGTATATGATCTACTGGCCAAACCCGGACATGTCCCACCAGCCCAATACCGGACATGTGATTTCAATGTGTCATCAGTTCTGGACGAGGAGGGCAAGACGCGGAACTGGTTGAACTATACACTCCACCACTTTGACGAAGAGGGGACGATACAGCTCATAGAGAAAGGGGTACCATTTCCCTGGGTCGGTTCGTAAATATAAAAATATCATCTTGGCTGACCTACGGGTTAGTCCTCTATAGCAGTGGTACGTAGTCATGTAAAAGTACTGTTTGTCAGACTAAGATCTTTGTTTGCCAGTTTGTTTGAGGATTTAGTATTTATACCCAGTTTCTCCATAGATTATCAATACAGCTTTTTCTCCCTTCATCTCTCTCTCTCTCTCTCTCTCACACACACACACACACACACACACACACATGGCATGCTCAATAGGTTACGAAGCCCTCTTTCTGACCCTGAATTCCCATCATCCTCATCAATATTTCATCAACTTTCATCATGGTATGTTGATATTCATCGAGGATTCATCAATATCTATCATTTCCCTCCAAATATGATCACATTTCCTTTAATTAAACCCATTCCAAGCACCTTTCAAGTGCTCAAACCCTCATTATTCCAAGCATTGTGCTGGTGCTGGTTTAAACTAATTAGATAACCGGCTTTCATATGATGTCACTCAAAGCTTTCTTTCATTATAGTGACAGTCACCCCTGTTGATTGGGACGAAGATGATGATACCGCGGTCATCAACCAGTCAATTGACTGCTAGAGATAGTAAGTTTCACCTATTACAAGATTGCTCCTCCTCTCAAAGAGAGAGAGGATCTGGACAAGTGATTGACCAGGTTTAGTGAATTCTAGAAAGCCATAACCTCCATAATATCATTAATAAGTCAATTTTCAACCCCTCTAACCACACGAAGCCAATCACAAGTGGAAGATAACCATGAAATAAGTGAGAAGCTGGCTATCGAGTTGCTTAGATACCACCCTTTCGTATAAAATGAACAGTTGCGGCAACTTTATTAACTTCGCCGACGACTTTGTTGAGGAAATCACCCAAGAAGCATATATAGGGCGAAGCTGAGAGGGCTTTGAAAGGAGCACTGATCGAGTTCCGTACAACCCCAACGAAACCAGTTCTTGATAAGCGGATAGTTTACCAAAGCTCTCGAATCACAATACATAATACTTCTTAGATCAAAGGAGCTATTCTAGCATACTATGCACTGCAAACTGTGCTGCTAGAATATCCGGGATATCTTGATGACCCGGAGGACCTTGCTGTCTTTGACGATTCAACTTTGATCTCATCAAGCTACTATAAGCCCACTATCGACACTTGCTTTTACCCCTTTCTTCTGGACACATTAAGCATCCTTAACCAATATATCAATAACTAAACTTAGTCGCCTTATCCATCTTCTCCTGTGGGACAGAACTTTGGTGTAAAACGACTAGAGCTGAATATCCAATAGCCTTTAAAATATGGAAAGGGTAAATCACAGTAATAGTCTTTGTGCTGAGCGAAATACTTTCCTCATAATGATCTCAATTTAAGGGCACATCTCATCCACTGTTGCATTCGTACAGGGCGGTGACTCCAGCTCTACCGCATCCAAGGGCTTAGATGGCTCGATGTCGATCTCATGTGCATCAGAATATTCCAAGATGGGGTCCATCTTTCGGCACTTATGCCATACACTAAAGTCAGGGAAGCTGAACTCCCGACCTTTTAGCCAACTCCTTGTAACAATCCCAAGATCACCTTGGCATTGTATAGATTGCCGAAGAATGTCAATACAGTGATCTTGAGTTTGTCAGTACTTTTGTTGCATAAACAAACACCTAGATTGCACGCCCTTACCAACATGAAGGCGAAGGAGCTCCTCGCCATCTGTGAATGCGGCCGGCTTGTTCTGTTGAGCAGAGTAGTAGTCATAATAAGTATATTGCCGTACAAGGTTGACGCAATGAAGCTTGGTTGTCGTTAGCTATGGTTGTGTAATTATCGTGAGTTAGAAGGATGGTACAAACCTGGTGAAACACCTCAATTGACCCGGCATAACTACCGCCATCCATTTTCATCGTTTTTACTTGGGAATATGGTTTCTTTAAACGAGGCATATCCTGACTAGCGATACTGATTTGGGCCACTGGTAGAAGTAAGAGAAGCTATTTGCAAAATAAAAAGAAAGGATACCTGCCATGGGTGATCCTGTCCCATTCCGCATCTAGATGTGGATTAGGTGCTCCCTTGTAGGGGTTCGTGTCGAAAAAACTTCCCTGGAATCGGACGTCCTCGTACTCTACAAGATTCAACAGAGGTGCTGCCGTCAAAGCATTAATTAAAGAACTCACTTAACAAAGGAACTAGACGACAACATAGGTTAAATCGGGATCCCTTGGAGAACTTACAATACGCTGAAATCTTAGCCGCACATTGCTGCTCTGTTGCAGAATTATGTCGTAGGTTCAAAATGCCCACCAGTATTGCCAGTGAAGCGAGGAATAAAAAGAGCGAGGTCGTCCAAAAAGATCGGTAAATTAGATGATAAAACGGAACTTTCCTCTTATCAAAAGACTTGTCAATCATAAGGGTCTCGGGTTCGCTTTCATTGCTATCAGTCGAAAGTCGCTCATAGTTTGATGTCGACATTATTTCAAGGACAGCAATTAAGTGGTCTCACAGACAAAATATCATTGACTGGACTCCGAATTGAGAACCGACCAGAAGAGGGACGCAGCAAGGGTCAAATAAGTTTATTAAACATGTTACTAGGCTCTTCCCCGTCCAATTTTGATTCTCTCCCATTATAGCCAAGAATAGTGGCCATCCACGTACACATTTGGTCGTATATTTGCCAGCTAGATCGACAGTTCTTCAACCCTAATTAAGTACCTAATACATATTTCTGCATGTATTGTAGCGTTGGCACCAATAGAACCAAATTCGGCGTTCTAATCAATGTTTCACTTGTACATGAGACCGCCAGGTCTGCAGCAAACTTTATCCGAAAGTTCGCTTTCTATTTGATCAAGTGAATTATGGCACACTTATCACCAGAGTCTCATTAGCAACTGGTTTATAGCATATGAAAATGATACCCCTAGGTAGCTACACGCTACAGCATCTGCGTAATTTGTGGCTTTGTAACACATAAACATACGTAGTTTGTCTAACTGTGAACTCTACTCCTAGCTAGATACATGCGATGCAGCTCACAACTGCCAAAGGTTACCATCGAATTCCACTCAGTGCAGTAGGGGTTAACCATTCTTCCTTCTTATACTTGTAACAAGGGGTCCATTACATTTGTCCATGGCTTTCGGAAGGCACAGGTCTATTTTGAGCACAATGCTAGTGGATGGGGAACTCCATCGATTGATTCGGATTGTCTATGTTTCTATGGTGGCAATACAATATAGAACCTGTTATACAGAATCTGGGCGATGGACCGGATGTACCCCCTATAATAACATACTGTTTTGGGAGCATAACTTGGACCACTTTAGAGTCTCAGATGGGCAGTTCCCTTACGTTCGAGTCTATTTCCGTGTGATAAGCTGCCTTTCATGTTACACATTGGTCTTCTATATACGCTTTCGACTGTCTGATCAGCAGATCTCTTACTTCCAGCTCTACGTCCGTGTAACACGCTACCATTATACGTTGCACATTACCGCTGTAGATACTCTTTCGACTATGCGCCATGTTCAATAGGTAAAGTGGCAAATATGGCTCCTTCTCGCGTTCATGACGGAACCTATATCCGATTAGTAGTTAAAAACATAACATGCTACGCGTTGTAAGTGTCTTTCGCAGACAGCTGGAAGTAATACTTAAACTCCATCTTCAGCTTTCAACCCTCTTCATCTCAATCCCTTAGCCTTAAAGGCGTGACGTGACCTCCAACAATATGCAGCTTTTTGGTATTGCAATCTTAATGGCGTCAGCCCTGATCTCGAGCAGTAATGGTGCACCTGTGCAACTGTAAGTACCCTGTTAGAATACCCTTCGGTTCAACTTCATTCTGTGGAAGCCATTATAAACTAAGACTAACAGGACTTGTAGAGAAACTCGGTCGCTGGATGTCACCGCAAAATACGATTGGCCATCTGTGAGGGCCCGATCTACAGATATTGCTACTGAGGCTGAAAAGCCCCAAGTTAAACCTCGAGCCCTGGAAGCCACTGGAAAATACGACTGGCCATCTGTGAAGGCCCGATCTGCGGACACTATTAGTGAGGCTGAGGACCCCCTAATTGAAGCTCGAGCCCTAGATGTCACTGGAAAATACGACTGGCGGGCTGTGAGAGCCTGATCTGTAGATGCTACCAATCAAGTTCTAGAACCATCTATCGTTACGCTGTTCTATGGATATATTGGGAAGCATATAAGAGTTTGCACAATGCATAACTCAGGGAAGCAATTCGCAGTCGATTTCAACACTTTTCTGCAGCATGTATATTCCGTTCAACATGGAATGAGCAAACCTATCTTGGATCGCTGGATGGTGGAAAGCCGGCTTTCGTTGTTACTAATGTTCCTATTCTAAGTCACACGTCGCTCTTTACAGTGATATTTTGTATCAGATATTAGCTGTTGAATGCAACTTTTAACATACTACTCTTCCCTATCTTGATCCTCTCCTCATTTGAGTAACTATTTGTTTCAATGCCTACATACGTCTAGTAGCAAAATTTGTCTATAATAATGCCTTCTTCTAAGACAAATGACAACCACCAAAGAAATTTCAGCAGAAATTATTCAAGGTTAAATTTCCATTCAGTATGGGGCAATTGGCAGGCTAAAAGGTGGAGATAGCATACCTGTCTTGCAATTGTTTTGTCACTGTAAATCATTAAATGGCATATCATCACCGCGTCGCAGTGAAGCTTCCGCACCGGCATTGTGCTCGTGAGATGTTACATCGCACACCACCATTCGAGGTAGTAAATTACTGATACTCTAGTGCGCTTGGTCCTGTATGCCTTGGCATTTACTAAGTTATAAAAAGCGTCAAGCTACTTGTATTCCACCCACCAATTCCTAGACAGTGCCTTACATTATTCTCAACCCTACCATGGAACAACCGCAGTTTGAGCTAATACGCTCTCTTTTAGACCAGCTGGCCAGTGCTGTTAATGAGCTCGAGTCAACCGGTTCTGATTTAGCAAGGAGAAATGCTGTTGAGCAAACATCTAAGTTAACTAGGCTCCTTGAGAGCCCGAATGACACGATCTTGCAACTTTTCCTTTCTGTGGGTCACCATCTATTTATTCAGCCATACCCATTCTGAGACACATGCTAAGTACAGGTAGCCTACGCTCCTCATGGCTGTGAAAATTGGCAATGATGTGGGGGTTTTCTCTGCCCTTGTACAATCATCCATTCCTCTTAGCAGTTACGAACTATCCACTCTCACTGGATCGGATCAACTTTTGATAGGTCTGTATCTGATTGCCTTTTGATTTCCTCTATTGTTCCTACTGAAGCAAATTGTCGAGGCTGCAAAGCGGAAACTTTATACAGAACTAACTTCCAGTAGTGAGAGTATTACGCGTACTCAGCGCAATTGATTTCGCCAAGCAAGACGAGCAGGGCAGGTATTTGTCCACTCCGTTGTCGATCGAAATGACCCGACGAGCATCTATTAGTGTTGTTGAAGCACTGTAAGTTTTGAAACTTTCGTCACCAAGGCAGACAGAATTTACATAGTATGACTACCCAAGGTTTATGGACATCTTTCCAGTGATACAACATGCACCGGAGTTCCTTCGTCACACTAAATACCAGAACCCTCAGGACCTACTCGTTGGTCCAGTTCAGTACGCCTATCAAACCGAGCTGTCTAAGCAGCAATGGCTCGGGCAGAATCCATTAGTTCAAGCTCGCTTCCATGCATATGTCGAGGGCGTACAAGCCCATCAGCCTTCCTGGGTCGATTGGTTTCCTGTGCATCAGCTCATCTCGACACGCTGTGGTCGTATAGACGGCGTGGCCCTTGTGGATATTGGTGGAGGCACAGGGCGCGACATCTCTACCTTCAAAGAGAAATTACCAGGGTTGGTAGGAAGGCTTATTTTACAAGATCTTCCCTCGGTGATCGAGAATATTGCATGTGTTGGTTCAGGAATTGAAGCTATGAAGTATGATTTGTCAACTCCGCAGCCTGTTATTGGTAGGTCTTTAAAGGATGCAGCTTGGTTGCCACCTCTTCCTTCCTACATCTCCTATTTTAGAATTCCTTGGTCCATGTCCATTTCCTTCACGCCCTTCACTGGTCATCTCATAGTTCTCACGTCGAAAGTCGCCAGGCCTTCTAACGGTGAGTGTCTCTACTAGGTGCCTGCGTATATTATTTGAAATTCGTACTGCATGAGTTCACCGATGCCAAATGCACAGTTGCACTTAGACATACAGCTTCTGCAATGCAGAGAGGATATTCCAAGATTTTTATTGAGGAATACGTACTTCCAGATATCGGTGCGAGGGCTTTCCATGGCATGCTGGATATGGTGTTGATGGTCTTCAATCCGGGCATGGTCCGTACTCTCTCGCAGTGGAAAATCCTCCTACACGATGCCGGCCTTACTCTCAACGCTGTACACCACCCGGTTGGCGATGGGCCGTCTATAATAGAGGCCGAACTACTATGAAAGGCTGTCATTGAAACTCCGAGATTCTGGAAATACATTAATTGTCCATTTCATTTTAGGTATATTTGGGATAGTGGGAAAGGTGTTATTTCTTTTAATTGAGAGGGGAGCGAGAGCGAGGTGGTAACACTCAGACTGCAGCCACAATTACGCCGTAGTACGAGACAATTGTGGTCAAGGCGTACATATATGACGGAACCTGCATCTTTTGGTCGACAATTTGATTTCCGAAGTGTCCACCAATCCCAGGAATGTTGGCCAACTGATTTAATGCCAACGCCTGCCTGCCTATCTCAAACTAGAAATGCGAGTCTTGACATGTGGAACATCAAAATACATCTAGTTGCATTGTATTTTAGGTCTCTTCCTTCTCATTCTTATCCCTCTAAAACTCGCAGAAATTAAACAGACGGCTTTTTTTTTTTTTATTCAACCATGATGTCAGTTCCTGATGATACTGTCACATTTCAGAAAATGGCTAGAGAAAATGACATCCGTATCTCAGAAGAGACTAGAAGTCTGATCAGCCATGAAAACAGGATAGCGACTAGTGCTAGCGCGCCTGAAGCTTTGCCACGGCTCCTGGAAGATATGGGATGCCTGAGTTCTGCGTTTCTCAACGGCGATCCAGATTCAAGACCAAAACTAGTCGACACGGCGCGTTCTATAATATATGCAATGCAAACACCTCGGGAGGCAATCCTTCGATACTGTTTAGCTCATGTCAGTTGGTTTGAGTCTATATGCCGCCGTGGTATACCATACACAAAGCTCTAACTACTAAAAGTCCAGCATGACTGCTTGCATTGAGATATGTTCTAGTTTAGGGGTTTTCCAAATATTGGGTCAAACCGAAGAGCCAAAGGGCGTCGCTGAATTGGCAGAAGAGACCGGAGCGGAGTTCAATTTGTTAGGTGAATCTCCTTTTTCCCGTCCGAATCTTATATAATTTTAGACTAATATCCTGCCTAGCACGTGTCATGAAGCACCTTGGAGCAATGGGTGTCGTTATCGAAGTTTCCTCGAACATTTATCGCTCTAATGGAGTTACAAAAACTCTTTCTTTCACACGTTACAGGGACATGTGGCCTTGTATGTACGTTGACTCTTTCGATCAAGCACCCTTTTTACTATGATCAATTTCCACCTACAGTCTTGGAAGTTCTGCGCTCGTGATATCTCTGTTCTACTAATTAAGGAACTGACCACAACATTTATTCAGGAAAGGGTGCACAATAGGATCAGCTCAAGCACTTCCACAATGGGTAAAGGAAAACCAGTATCGAAGCCCAAAAGATGTCAGAAACTGCCCATTTACGATGGGATACAAAACGGAGATGTCCTTCTATGAATGGTTGGGAGCAAATCCTCATCTTTCTATTCAATTCAATAATTACTCGTCAACATACCGCCAAGGTAGGCCTTCATGGATGGATGAGAGATTTTATCCCGTACAGGAAAGACTGATAAATGGGTCACGAGGGTTGGAAAATGATGTATTTTTAGTTGATGTTGGGGGGAATCGTGGTCACGACCTCCTGGAATTTCAATCCAAATGGCCGATTGTTCCTGGGCGATTGGTTCTACAGGATTTACCGTCTGTCCTTGGTGGGATTGAATTTCCCAAGGGCTCAATCGAGATTATGCCCCATAACTTCTTTTTAGAGCAACCAATCAAAGGCAAGTAATTGTGATGACTACCTAGGTAGTTAACACCTGAGCAACAATTTTCAGCTGACTTTTGACAGGAGCACGTGCCTACTACCTTCATTCCATTCTCCACAACTGGAATGATCAGAACTGCCTCGAAATCTTGTCGAGGATCTCTAAAGTAATGGATCCAAACTATAGCAGGTTATTGATTCATGAAAATGTTCTACCATCAATCGGGGCGCATTGGGAGGTGACGGCTATGGATATTATGATGATGGCAAATGTCGGTGCTGAAGAGCGAACTGAGCTTCAATGGCGCCGATTGATAGAACAAGCGGGTCTGAAGATTTCAAAAATTTGGACGACTGTATCTAGCGCTGAAAGCCTAGTGGAATGCATCCTCCTGGGAGAGGGTCAATAGGCTTGATAGTAAGTCATGGAAGCTTGGTGTCTGGTTGTTTTTGTTCAAGGAATATATGAATTTTATAATGCCTAATACAAGTAATATTTGTACCTGATTTTTTTTCCATAAATAGAGAAATGTGATGCTAAAGTATTAGACTACTAAATGTGGGGAAGTCATTCAAGGTTTTAGGGTTAAGAAAATCCTGAACTTTCCGGGGTATATGCATATGCCAAGAGAGGAAAGTGTTCTCACATATAAGAATATACTACGGAGTACTATATACCATATTAATTATACGCCAATTCTATGCCAATTACACCAATTATATACCAATTCCATCCCAATTCCCATCCCAATCACTATTAAATCCCAGATCCACCAAGAAGCGAGCAACAAGGCCCACATAGAAAACCAAATATGGCGATCATTAAAAATTTCTTGCCACCGCCTCAGCTCCCTTCAATTTTTTTGCCTTGGGAATTTTTACTTTGTATGTAGTTCACTCGCAATGGGTTTGAAGCCGTATTTTGGTCTTCGGGGAAATTCCCTTCTCCGTGCTGCCCTATTCTTGGTTGTATGTCCAACTTTCACTTGCTATGGATATAATATGGGAGTGACCGGAGGGCTTTTGACGCTCGAGGCCTTCAATTCCCAATTTCCCAAAATGGACACAATGAATACCCACGGAGCACTGAACAAAGAGAACTCACAAATGCAAGGTCGGTTTATCCGACACAACTTTTTGACTCGATAGCTGATCGAATTTTCCGGATAGGCACCGTCATCGCCCTCTATACCGTCGGAGGTATCTTTGGCGCCCTATCATGCATCTACCTTGGTGATCTCTGGGGCCGACGTAAGGTGATTTTCATAACCAACTTTGTCAGTATAATCGGCGCTGTTCTCATGGCAACCTCTTTCGATTTCGCTCAATTTATCGTCGCACGACTCGTTCTGGGTTTGGGCATCGGTGGATATGTGGCGACGGTCCCGGTCTGGCAATCTGAACTCTCCCCAGCGGATAAGAGAGGATCCAATGTCGTCACGAATGGCATCTTTATTGGAATTGGTGTCACTGGCGCCCTGTGGATTGATCTGGGTTTCTATTTTATCAAAAACAACTCGGTCTCTTGGAGGTTCCCTCTCGCCTTCCAAATCATTATGCCGGTCACTGCAATGTTTTTCATCGCAATGCTGCCAGAATCGCCTCGCTGGCTCATCAAGAACGGGCAGGTAGAGGATGGACGCAAAGTACTCGCGGCATTACTCGATGTCGATGAGGATTCGGATGAAGTCAACGAAAACATCCTCAGCATCGAGACTTCCCTTGCCTACTGTCCGGCGGCGTGGACAGAAATGTTCAAAAATGGCGAGCAACGTCTCTTTCACCGCGCGTACCTGGCCGCCACAGGCCAGATGTTCCAGCAGATGTGTGGTGTGAATCTGATCACTTACTACGCCACAACCATCTTCCAGCAGTACCTCGGGATGAACGCGGTCAACTCTCGGGTCCTCGCCGCTGCAATGACAATGATGCAACCCTTCGGTGGTTACCTGGCCTACTTCACCATCGACCGTCTCGGCCGCCGCCCGCTCATGCTGTGGAGTGCCGGAGCCATGACTATCTGCATGGCAGGCCTCGCTGGCACGACTGCCCCTTCTGCAGCTAATAACACAGGAGCTTTAGCCATGGCCGTGGTGTTCCTGTTCTGCTTCCAGTTTATCTTCACGGTTGGCTACTGCGGTCTCACCTTCCTCTACGCCGCGGAAATGGCACCTCTTCAGGTCCGCGCCGCAGTCAACGCGGTATCCACTGCTACCGTGTGGGCTTTTAGTTTCATGATCGCTCAGGTAACCCCGGTGGGTTTCTCCACGATCGGAAATCGTTACTATATCATTTTCGCTGTTGTCAACGCTGCTATCGTGCCCAGCGTGTACTTCTTCTTCCCCGAGACCAAGGGGCGGTCACTAGAGGAGATTGATGAGATCTTTGCGCAATCAAAGTCTATATTTGACCCCCCTCGTGTAGCTCGCGCTATGCAAAAGCGTGCAATGCAGGCACGTCAATCGAACTCCGATTCTGATACCGCCGATGACGTTGCTGTCAGCGAGGAGGTCAAGGCGTGATAACCATGAACTACGTTTCAACTAGATGGATTCGGAGGATCCGACCTTGAAAAAGGATCTGAAATGTCTTGGTGAACCATATAATTTGTAAATATCATATTTCTTTTCCCTTGTATATTTATAGACTTCCATAAGGTTTGCGCTACTCTTTTAACCTAAGTACCATATTTTCTCTTTTATTTTAGCTTAATTTAATGCGCTCTAGTATGCATCTGTCCTAAACATTCTACAATGAAAATTTTCGACACGGATGTTTGATATAGATCCGTGTACTTATCCCGCTTGGTTTGGAACACACAATATGTACAGTGGATTTGTCCAAGTGCGATTTAGAGATACAGCATCTCTATGACGGTTACTTCCGACATCCCTCACTGCAGTTGCAGCCAAGAAGGTCACATTCTTTGTTTTTTTTTTATTAATGGTCAATCCAATATAAGAGTTTATGGATTTACTCACTTCCTTTACCACAAAACGGGTTTGGCTTAGATCCATCTGCGCATAGTTTCTTGCAAATTTTAGTCCCCAAGATATCTGTGGAGCAGGATCTCTGTTTCTGGACTCCATGACAACACTCCGCCATTGAAAGATGGGCTGTTGCAAGGAAAAGGAGGCAAAGTGTAAGAACTCTGGTCACACTCAAATTGACAAACATATTGAAGAATTGACTAGAGGAGGTCAGTTGGATTGCCTTGAAACTAGAGAAATAATATGAGTATACCAAGAATAATTGCGTGATTTAGGTCGGACTAGGAAGTTTTTCGCTCTTGATCGAAAGTGATATAACTGCATTTGATGTCAAGAGGTAAGCTCTCTTATTAGGACAGTGTCTCCCTTTGGTCCCCTTTCTAGGACATTTAACTACGTATTATCATACCTGGAGACCCACAACCATCTAGGGATATGACGTTTGATACCCTATTAGATTTAAAGAATGTCAATGTCTAATAATTTGCTCCAAGGTTAGTTATGTGCATAGATTGATTGTACACTCAACAGATAACACAGGAATCCTAAGGGCGATCAACCGTAAGGGACAAAATCACCCTGCCAAGCACGGAATGTGGTTCATTCGCGAAACCCCTGCTTGTGATTCCTAGCGTGATCTTCAGAGACCATTCGAGACCATTGAAAGCAAAAATCTCTAATCGAGAGAGCAAGTGAAACAATGTACATCATGTACCTATTGTAAGTTCTAACTTTGACGCGAAGGGGATGCCGTTCTAATGGTTCTCAGTATACTTGTTGAATTCTTCAATGGATTGGGCACCGTCTAGACTCTCGTTTCTAACATTAAATGTTACCCACATGGCTATTTTCCATGACGTTTTGATGGCAAGAGGCGGAGTCTACATAGTTCATATACTTATCATCACTCATCGCAGGGCTTGATATCATACTCTACGTCAGTCCTGATGATATATTTTGCCCCCTTCCTTACCCCTGTACCTTCATGTAACAAGGCTCCATTTGACTCCCCATGTGGGAAGATCGCAACAGCTCCCATCACAGGTCGCACCGGGTATCCATTGAGGGTTCCCTCCCGCGGAGCTGGCATGAAGAACGTCGTCTCTCCGCCTTCAAACTCATCGTTGAGATATAGTAGAAAGGTGTACATAGAACTCTGCTTCTTATCCTCCGGCGAAGAGTCGTACACGTATGTGTCATCCGGGAGAATACCGGACGGTGGCCAGGCTCCATCAATGTGGCACCGATATTCAGCGCCGGGGACGTACCTGTACACGCGGAACCGGCGATTGATACCTCGGACCAAGCGCCCGTTGATCGAGGGAGGCACATAAGGAGAAATTCGCGCCCAAAGCATGTCGTGGAATGTGGTATCAATTATCCAGTAAAAGTTGTGGGCTAGAATGCTTATATCTCCATCTTCGCGAAGGGGCGCGTCCGGAAGGAAATTGACAGATTCACCGGCAGCGATGATCGCCTTGCACTCGGCCTCGGATAGCACGTTGAGGGCGAGGCCGAGGCCTGGCACTGCCGGATGTGGATGGTATGTTATAGTAGGACCGATGGGAGCCAGTGGAACAGCGTTCGGGGCGGTGGTATATAGGATGGCTGGATGGTGATTGGGTGGTTTGCGGAGTGGGCCCGGGGTTCGTTCGATGACACGGAGGGCGGATGGAGACTTGGGTGCCTCGTTCAAAATTGATTTGTCAAGGACCGAGGCATAGACTGGAAGTGGTGTCGTCGAGGGGCGAAGATCCCAGATAGACTGGAAGGCGATGGGAGCGGTTGAGTCAATGGCGTTGGTGTTAGTGTCAATCGGGGTGCTGACGCGCAGGATGGCATCAAGGACGCCGAGGATTTCCATCTCCTTGGCACTGCGCTGAATGGGGGTATGATCTTGTGCTTTCGGCTGTGTCGAAAGGCCGCTGACGACATCCAAATCTCGCACCCAGCGACACAAGGCTCCGATTTTGGGCTGTTCTTTCCTAATCCTCATCTCGGCGAGCAAGATCCTGGCTTCAATATATTTCTCGTCCGCCAATGCACCAGTTATTCGCGCTGTCAAGTTGGCGCCCTCTATCGAATGGTTAGCTATAGTACAGTCTATAGGCAGAGATAGCGCAGCGTACCAGCAGTGTTAACGCCCGTAGTACATGCCTGACGGAAGTCGTAGACTGCGACTCGAAGGTCCTTGCATGCCTTCGACTTTGTTAGGCTGGGATACTCCGCAAGTGCTGTAAGTGTTTCAATTGTGATGTCGAGTTCCTCGTCTGAGACGACAGCATTGAGATGCGTTGACTCGACGGTTACGCCATCGGGAGGCGGTGTTAGATTCGGGACTGCCTTTGGGAGCTTTTGTGGAAGGTCGACTTGTGCATTGCGCTTACGCTTAGCCGCTTTGGACTTGGCCATTGTTTTATATAAATTTGATGCAGGAGGTCAAGAGTTTACAATTTTACGAGTCTTACGAGTCCACGGGAATTTGGCCCGAACCTTGGATCCTTGGATTACGTAAGTGAAGGAAATTTTCCCAGCTAGGCAACTTGAAAAGTTCAAGGTTATATCATTTGCCACATAGTCCAACATATACTTTGAAAAACTCGAATCCTACTTATATCGTACATGTCTATATGGTTATTGTACTTCTTGTTGCGTACAGGACCATAATTCATGTACTAATCGGCGGAATGGACTGTCGGTCCACCCATGATACATCTGACTTGGGAGATCAACTGATATCAGATTCAATTGTCCATTTTAGCTATGGTGATAGAGAAGAATAGCCAGTGCTTTCTTTCTGAGGACATCAGGGTCACGCATATCATTAGCGGTATAATTTTAGACCACAAGTCTGCGATGACACGCCACCGCCATTCCAGGTTCATCCCATGGGACAATGATCTCCAGCGATTGTTTCTTGTCAAGACTTCTCACAGAATTTATCAATTTGTAAGGCTGTTTGAATCCCATACGCAGGATTGCATGAAGTTTTGCATTATCGGATCGTCTTGGTCGCACTGGTGAAGCCATAGTTACGACCACCTTCATCTTTGTAGAGTCCGCTTCTTTGTAGACCCCACTAGTCACGATTTCAAGGATTCTGCTGGGTAACGTCGCTATGCCTAAGTTGTGCAAGGTGTTTTGTGCAATTGAAGAGTCACAAAGCTATGCAACCCGAGTGTGACAGGGCTTAAAAGCCTAAACTCCGGCCGCCCTGTGTTACCCTACACTTAGACAACGGACAATAAGCAACACAATGATTGGGGTATCTCATTCGCACTGCTAGAATATAGAGGGATAGAAATCATGTTTCCCCGTACTTACTCTTCGGATTGATGGAGCTTTTGCGTGGAATTGTCAACCTTCTCATGTACAGCGTGTGCCTTCCGTTTCGTTTTGGTGTAACCCTCAATTCCAGCAAGCATGATATAAGACTTGCTCATAGAAACATGGGACATGTCAACACCTTGTTGCTGCAGGGCGTGGTGAAATGCCCTAAAATTGGCGGCTGGGGGGCGATAATGGCCACTGAACACATTAGCCTGCCCTTTCAGTCACAAAGCTGAAGAATGAAACTTTAATTGAACCCACCTTAGCGGTGCCAGGCTTCGAAGTTGGCCGTGTTTAATCTTAATCATTCCAGCTGCTGCGATACGGGCACCTCGAAGAAAGGATGAATGCTGAAAAGCACCTGATTCCTTTATGCCAATGTATAACCGGAAAGAAGTATCTGCAACCTAGGAGTGGTTTAGTCTGCATTTAATAACCACAAATGGAACTTTTACTCACGAATAACCACATATCTTCTTTATCTTTGGACTTTCCCAAAAGTCGCTTCAATGCAGCTGCGGGGCTTGCGTGCATCACCTTTCTCATCATCTTTGTATATTTGTACTCATCCTCGGCGATATGCTCCGGGTCTTGGTTTATGACTATACTATCAACGCTCTGCCTTGTAGACGTCGATACCGATGATGATGGTAAAGATGAGCCTGGTGTCGATTTGGATGGTGACGGTGATAAGCCCGAGGTGGAATCTGGTTGTATAGTTGTGAAGTTTCCTCTAAATTGTGGCACATCATCCTCAATTCCCACAATCCCTTCGAGGCTATCTTTGAAATGTGCGATAGTTGTCCACACCAGCTGATTGTTCTTGGCCCACCGGAAGAGGCCAGTCTCGTCTACCGTCACCATGTAATTCAATCGTTCCTCGCGAGTGAGATAGCGCACTTGTTCTTTCTCAAGTCTTTCTCGTGAACATTTTGGAAGTTCAATGTCTTTTCCATCGCCATAGTCCAACCAATAGAAGAAGTTTTGGTTTGACGAAGAATTCCGCCAATAGGTGTGGTACGAGCGCAGATTGCTTCCGTGTCGATGTTTGAGATCCACCATTTCGAGAAAATATTGAAGATCCATCATCTTTGAAGTAGCCCCCGACGAAATCTCTGCATTATGCTCTGATCGAGTTGCCATAGAAGATGAAACTTTGGAAAAACAATCGTCGCCGCCGGCGCGCAGAGCGACACTAACCGCCCGTTGCCAGTTTCGACGGGCTTGGTTAAAGCCGTCATTCCCGGGTGCTATGCGAGGCTCAGGAGGTCGATGAAGTGTTTGCCACTGGGCTTCTTGAAAGGCCTGAAGGGGGAGGAGAAACAAGGTTAGACTCTTGGTCGCTTTCACGCAAGATACACACTTACCTCAACCCATCGTGTCGAAGCAGCCAAACCGAGACCACGCAGCTCTCGTCGCGTTCGATGACCGCGGTAGATCCTCTAACAATGCTCAGCGTAAATCGGCAACACCATGATCATTGTAACTGTACCTGAACCGTTCGTGCGGCCTGTTCCTCGATGACGTCATGCGAAAGAGTGGATGTTTTCGGAATTTCGGTCATCAAGAAGTTGATAGGTGGAAAATGGGTAACTATTATCAATGACTAGAGAATTTAAGGTGTCAAAATGTTAAAACGCCAAAATATGAAAGAGTTCAACAGGCGATTCATTCAAGCCTGCTTAGATTCTGCCCCCGGTCATCTTTGTCAGCCCCAACCTTGGAACAATAGAAAGTCTATGAGCCTAAAAATTACCTTGAATTGACCTTTGATATACATAATGTACAACATATGTATTTTGTGGCCATTATCATTATAGGCATGTACAACAAGATTTGCAGAGCTTAACAGACCCCTCATGGGGCATTTCCTTTCTCCTACAAAATAAAGATCGGTATAGCTCCCGAGATTAAAGGTAGGGACAATATTTCCTCATTTAGAAACCGACCCATAATTGGCATCATCTCCACCTTTAACATCGTTCTGATCTAACGCAAGATAACGCCCCCAATTACCCCTCGTGAGGAGATATGAGGGGAACTCAATATTGATGTTGGAGCTTACAGTACATATAAATGAGGACATTTGCTCTAAACGATTTACTAAATTTCACATATTCTCACCATGGCTCCCTATATCCATCCTCTCATCGACAATGGCGTCACGCAAGGCTCCAGTAGCTTCACCGGTGGGAAACTCCACTGCCACTGTGCGTCCGACCAGGTCGAAATCACGCTGAATAGCAACGTTGCCCACAACCACGCCTGTGGCTGCTCTAAGTGTTGGAAGCCATCTGGTTTCCTCTTCTCCATTGTTGGGGTTGTACCCCGAGACGCTGTCTCGGTGACAGCGAATGCCTCGAAGCTTCGGATTGTGGACAAAGAAGCTACCATCCAACGCAATGCCTGCAAGGACTGCGGTGTACACCTCTTCGGTCGTATCGAGAAGGATCATCCTTTCAAGGGACTTGACTTCGTCCACGTGGAGTTGTCCGATGAAAAAGGCTGGCAGGAACCACAATTCGCCGGTTTCGTCTCATCCATCATTGAACAGGGTTACCACCCGAAAGAAATGGATGATGTGAGAGCCAGATTCAAGGCCGTTGGACTGCAGACATACGATGTGCTGTCCCCGGCTTTGATGGACCTGATCTCCACCTTTACAGCTCAGAAGTCCGGCATCAGATTTGCCAATTTGTGATATAGAAAGTTTTTATTTCCTGAAAGTGACGGTTGCGGAAATTTATATCTGAGTGGAGTATGAAAAGGAGTGATGGTGTTCATACCAAGTGATGTATTACAGTGGTTATTATGTGGCTCATTTAGTATATGTCAAGTACTATGGAATAAAAGCGAAATAATATTGAACACTATGAGTTGTATTGCTGCCCGTGGCCTACAAACTGTGTTCTTTTGCTGAGCCCCTTAGAGATCTCTCCCTCAACTGCCAGCGTATTTTATGGTCATTCATTCACTGCGGGTTTTCCATTATTATCCTATTGGAATTGGAAACACGGTGCCTTTGTTGACGTCAAGCGGCGTTCCTTAGATTCAAGCTGAACGATACGTGTTGAACTGATTATAATCTCCCATCCCTTGATTGTACTCTTCTCCGTTCTGTCATTTGGTCACTTTCAAATCCAGGCTTTGTATTATCTTATCTGGTTGACCCAATAATCCTGCGGTTTTTCCGTGGGCTTGGCTCCCATCAATTCATATTTCTTAAATACGCGCTCTGAGCTTCTCGGCCGTTTCTTGGAGCGGGTACCCGTGTTGCTTTGTTTTACTGCGGACGTGTTCGCCATCCTGAGGTGTGATGTACCGAGCTTCGACTGCAGGATTGTACCCCAAACCAGAAACCCTCTTGATATCTTTATCTGAAATGGGGTGGCTGACCTGTCCATCGGCTCGCTTGTAGATAGTTACCACCACTGCTCCTCCCAAACCGAGGTTGTGCTGCAAAGCGACATCAGTGCCAGGGACAAGACGATTGTTAGCCCAACCGCGGAGTTGCCAAGTAAGTTCCGCACACTGAGCCAACCCTGTGGCCCCTAGAGGGTGACCTTTTGAGATCAGCCCGCCAGATGGGTTCACAACCAGGCCGTTACCTCCATACGTGATGTCCCCCCGACGAACCATCTCGTGGGCTTTCCCTGGCTCTGAGAAGCCAAGTGCGTCAAGCAGTAGAAGCTCGTTGGTAGAGAAACAGTCGTGAAGCTCGCAAACCTTGATATCTTTTACTCCGACACCAGCCTCCCGCATCGCGAGCCGGGCAGCTTGTCGCGACATATTGAACCCAACGAGATCAATTGCGCTTCGGGAATATACCTCTGGTCCGTCAGTCAATAACTGTTGGCCCGCCATGAGAATAGCCTGGGATTTGAGGTAAGGACGCGCATCCAAGAACCGCTGGGATACAATGATTGCCGCTGCAGCACCGTCACTAGTTGGGGAGCACTGGAGCTTGGTTAGGGGCCCATAGATCTGTGTTTTCGGATCCAAGATCTGATCCAGGGAGTATGCAGTTCGGAACTGGGCATACGGGTTTCGCTGGGAGTGTTCATGCGACACGCGAGCAATTTCACCAAAGTCTTCCGCTTTGGCGCCATATCTGTTTTCCTGGTCAGTACAAAGTCGAGATCTAGGTCGCCGGGCACTCTACTTGTCCATGTACTCTTGTCCGGCATTGCCAAAATACTGAGCATTCCGAGGGCTTTGATGTTTACCGAACGTGTCTTCCATCATTTTGGTCGATGGTCCCAATGGACTAGGCCGATCGTCCCATACACTCTTGATTGACCCTGGGCGCATCTGTTCGAAGCCGACAACGAGGACACAGTCCGCCTGGCCTCCTCTGACCAGAGTACGGGCAAGATAAAGGCCAGTAGATCCAGTAGCACATGCATTGTTAGTATTGTAAATTGGAATCCCCGTCATTCCTAGCTGGTACATAATCCGCTGGCCAGAAGTCGTGTCGCCGTAGCAATAGCAGGCCACACCTGCTTGTACATCATCGTATGTGATATGCGCATCGATTAGAGCTTTGACTGCTGCCTCATAGCCAAGTTCTGGGTCTGTAGGGGACAATAGATGGTGAGCTTCCCATCAGCTCTCTATGCAACATAGTATATAGACAAGGTACCAAATAGAAACGGATGGTCTCACATTCACGAGTGCGACGTGGCTTCAGAAACTGGGTCATTCCTACCCCCAAAACGTAAGCTTGAGATGTCATGGTGAATTGTAAAGACCTTGACTAGTCATTATTCGCGGGGCTCCAGGGTTGCATATAAACAAATGGGATTTAGCCGAGCTTCCGAGGTATGTTGACTTTTCCCCTCACCTTTAGGGAGGTTATGAAGCCGACTCTATAATGTCTTTTTAACGAATAGTTCTGGCTGTAATTGTTCAAATTGTTTTCATATAGCCTATTTAACCACATTCCAGAACTCATCCACACCAAAGCCGGAAAATTCACAAAGGACAGTTGTTGGACCATCAATGATTCCTACAATCATAAGCTTTGGTCAAGGCCAGTGATAGATCCCATGGTCAACATCCTTCTTCAGTTGGCTATCCACACGTAGATATCCAGACTTTGTCAAAGCATCCTGTTTCTGGGTAATCAGTTCCGCCACAATTCCTCCAAACAGAATACTCCCTGGCACATTCAGGTGGGTATGGTCCGCTGGGTTAAGGTTGTATGTAAAAGCATTTTCTGGTCCAATTGCATTTAGATACCGAGTGCTAGCCTGATTCAGGTCTATATATGTAGCAGATGACTGGTGTGCAGCATTGATGGTGCCCATGGTCTCATTGGCGAGACTCATGACGATACGCGGTGTACCCGTTGAATTATCGTAATTTCGCCGAGACAGAGGAGTGACGAGAATAGGTATAGCTCCAGCATCAAAAGCTTCAGTCACAAATTTTTCAAGATTACTGGTGTACTGTGACAATGAAATTTTTGCAGCTGGCTTTTGGTCATTGTGCCCAAACTGAATGGTCACAAATGGATGATAGTCGTGTCGAACCCCTCTCACAGTCGCTAAGACCTCGTCCCAGTCACCTCCATCACGAAAGCTAACAGTAGTTGCACCGTTGTGGCCGAAATTGCGACCAGAGGCTCCTTTGAAAAGGGTTTTGTTAAGAAAGCCGTCCCCCCACCCTCCTCCGTTTGATGATTGGGTAGCTGTGGTGCTATCACCCGCCAAAACAAAAAATGGTGGTTTGTGCAACTGTTCGAGGTGACTGGAGGGATATGCCTGAGCATAAGATAGGATACTGAGGAGGGCCACTCCGGTTGCTTTTAAGGTGCCCATTATTGTGTAAGTTATTAGGATAATAAATATTGCATATAAATAGGGACATTCTCAAGATCCTCGTTATAACACTCAGATATGAATAGATTCATTTCTCCCGTTGGTGGAAATTTGGTAGTTAGGAAAGTCATTTTGCGGGGGTTTCATACTGAAAGTGACGACATGCAAACACATTCTCGCGGTCAATTATCCCGATGGCCAAGTACAAAGTACGTGTTCAAAATTATTAGGCATGCAGTTTGGGTTATCTACAGCCATGCTCATTATTAATGGCGTTTTTAGTAGAAGTTTAAGGCAAATTTCGCACAAGGAATATGCTGTATGTTCTATCCACGAATATTCCTCCTTTAGATTCGATCCGTTCTATACAGAGCGACTCAACTCTTCAGTGCCTTGGAGACAAGCTCTGCCACTTTTAGCAACTCCTCATCATGCATGTTTCTGCCGACGAGCTGCACGCAACACGGAGCTCCCTCAATCTCATCAGCCACATCTGCATTCCGGAATCAGCATTAAATCCATCAATCATAATTAGTGGAAAGTATAAATCTTACAAGGAGGCTTGTAGTTAACATCCCGAATAAAATCCTTGTCAGCGCTCTTATTCGCCTTACCATGCGGAATGATGCAGCTCGGGTACTTTGCAGAATTAGTACAGTTCCATAAGATGAGACGAGTTAAACTTACATCCATCACATTCCAAAGGACGGTGTAGGGTACAAATCCAAACAAGTCGTGAGGTTGGGCGGTACCTTGGTAGCCAGGCATGATAATGGCATCCACATTTGCCCCCATAATGAGATTGCGGAATTCTTCCTTAAGGTGATTCCGCTCCTCGTTGAGGTCATACAACCCTTCAAGTGTCAGCGGGGCATACCCATATGGCATGTAGCCATGGTCCAGAGATGTTGATGCCAAAGCAGGGATAGTTGGTTCCCCACTAGCAGCAATGTGTTTGAATGGAGTCATGGCTGGATCCATCGAGAACATACGAAATGCCAACGTGCAGGCATCTCGAATAAGCGAGGTATTTAGAGGAACAATCTCATTCCCAACTGCTTGAAGCTTTTCGGTTGCTCTTGTGAGAGTTCGCAAAACCGGTGGATGTAGAGGGAAATATGGATCCTCCAGGATAAGGCCAAGTCGCAACGTAAACTTGTGGGGAACAGTGCGCCATGGAGAAAACACAGCAGAGGAATCCAATCTCCATGGGTCTGTATTGGTCACGAGTCTCATGAACAGCTCCAGGTCTCTGACTGATGTCGCCATGGGCCCTGCGCAGGCCTTGATCCCAGCTAGACCTCGGCGAGCAGAACTAGTCTGTCCCCCGTATGGAATGCGGTCCGCTGAAGGTCGCAATGAATATATTCCATTGCAGATAGCCGGGATTCGAATGGAGCCAGCAATGTCTGTACCAACTCCAAGTACCGATCCTCTCATGGCAATCAATGCCCCTTCACCCCCAGTTGACCCGCCAGCAGTAAGATTCGATCGGTGGGGGTTGAGGGTCCGGCCGAATACGTAGTTGTGTGAGTCTGCAGCCTAGAATTCCAGTTAAGCAATTGTGGTATATTGATAATTATAAGTTCACTCACCATCATAGTCTGGGGGACATTTGTCTTCACATACGGGATTGCTCCCAAGTTGATCAAAATCTGAACTGCCGGGGAATTTGAACTAAGAGGGCCATTTTTGATAAACGAGGTAAATCCAATCGTGGATGCAACCCCGGCGATATTAAAGCAATCCTTCATATGTCATCAGTAAGTCCAACCTTGGAAACTCACTACCTATGATTGTCGTACCTTGAAACTGATAGGCAAACCATGCAAAGGCCCGACAAGTGTCCCTGTTTTAGATAATATGTGATCCAAATTCTTTGCACGCTGCAGGGCACGCTCAAAAAAGGTCTCAGTAAGACATCGAGTCTATAAGGTCATTGTAAGCCTCTAGTAAGCATCAAAGAGCGGGCAAGGGAGAGGTCATGTAAATACATACCACTTGCTGTGCAATCGCAGCGCGAATGCAAAATGCTTCGGTGACCTCATAGGCAGACAGCTCTTGGCGATGGATCATATCCAGCAGGTCAGTTGCGTCATATTTCTCAGTTATCTCGAGTTGTTTTGCTGATAGGATTCCTGACCGGCGTGGAACATCTAGCACATTCATACCAGATGTCTCAGATATGTTGGTCAGTTCTTCCGGGACTTGCCATTCAATTGGGATCTTAGCAGCATCTTCAAGTTGCTTTGTGTGCACGAGGACTTCCCATGACTCGGGCTCCATTGCTACCAATGTATGATTGTTGTGTATCAAGATGAGATAAGAGAAAATTGAGAATAGAAGTTGTGCATGAAAGAAGAAGAGAAAGCGAAAAGGAAGAGAAGTTGGAAGATAATGATATTTATACCGGAGGCTAACGCGCAGGAGCCAGCGCACCAAAACTTAACGCATCAAACATCTAGCCAAGAGAGTGAAGCAAATTTTCAAATAAGCTTCACATTGGGAAAGTCATATCTAGCTATTTCCACTGTTCTTTAGTCCCTCCTAAGGTCTTAGGGCCTATAGTAATCACTAGATGACGCTACATCTTGAATCCCATGACCACCCACGCACGTATGGCGAAATGGTCTCGTGTCAGACGCCATGGTGTTTTCCCCTATATTTTTACTAATATATGTATCTTAGTGACCGGAATCAACATTTCTCCAGACATTTCAAAAGGGGATCGCCAGATGCCATGAAAGACCAACATATCTTCCCTGGTGTAGAAGCCTTCCAACTTATTGATCATAACCTTCCGAATACTCTCTCTTCTTCGACCGTTTCCAAATCTGATATTGCAGCCTTAGTGACCTCAGATCTCCCGTGAGATCCTTTCTTTTATTTTGCTTCTCTTACGTGAAAAATACCAACGAATTATCGCCCCCCTCCTCATCCTCCTTTCACGCATATCCGTTACTTTCCGAGGGAAAACTGCAACGCGCTTTTTAAAAGAATAGTGGCAACAATTTTAGCTTCGGACTGTTTCTGGTTTTTGTAGGTTCGTGAGAGAATCTTCGCATCCCCGACCAGGGTTCACTCTGTTTTTAGAGGGCCAAATACCATCCATCCAAGGGCTATCAGAAACAGAGAACGCCAGTCAGTCAATCAATATATATACATGGTTATACTGATGGACCGGTGAGAGGCATGCATCTAGTGATTTTGTCGCAAATCAACTTATTGTCAACTCCGAGCACTTGCTTTGTTAGGCTCATCTCTATTGTATAGTTCGGGGGTCTCGGGAATCAAATACAGCCAACTCGTTCCATTGATCCTCCAGTTCTCGCATCATCCACGAAGTGCGCCACCCTAACACTTTTTCTACTCGAGTCAAAAATTTCAATGATCCTTCCTGCTCGACTGCGTTACGAAGACAGTAACCGACTAAGGACAAGTCAGCAGGCAGTGAGTGGGGGAATGTGGATTTTAAACGAACAACGATGTAATAAATGTGATGCCATAAAATAAGCATTCTCTACGCTTTCGTTGGATAGTGACAGGCCGATAACCACGACAAGATGGTCAGCAATAGTTTTCTAGGGTTTGTATTAGCTTCTGAATAGAGTTTCTCAGAGCCTCGGTTTGGCTACCTCCTTCATACGCCTCGAACGGGCCCTTTGATAGTCGCTCATCTCGTGCAATGGGGATTCCGACAAAGCGAGGAAAATACACGCCGAGTGATAGTACTGCATTCCGACTACTGTGGTTACGGTCAGTAACTCCTGCCAACATTATTATTAGGACTAAATACATACCTGCAGGCGGAGATATCATCCATACCTCAGGAAAAGGACGGCCAGCAGCCAGACTCGATGCTTGGTACCGAATAGGTTGCCAAGTTGTGGATTTTGTCTGATTCCACCGGTTCACGCTATCCGATATTTGGCGCCAAGTATCTTGTTCCACGAGTTCACCGGGCGTATCGCAGCACAGTTGTAGGATGCGCGCGCAATAATAAATAATCCTATTAGCACAAGCAGCGTCGTCGTCACGGTGAAACATTGACGAGCGCTCATAATTCTGCATGTCAAGCTGCAAGGGCTGATACTGTACAACCGATGCATATATAGCTTGTCGCAAGAACTGCCAGCTCACTGCCTCAGCCACCCCACCAGAAGAGGCAGAGCGGGTTACAAGATTGACCAAACGATTAGACCCAAGAAGATGAAACTGTTCATCAGTCTTATTGTCCAGCTCCTCATATATACGAAGAATCACAACCGTAATGAGCATGTTCTCGTCGCAATTTGTCTCGGCTTGATCTAATGCCGCAATCAATAATTGCAAACACCGTCCGTGATAGGCCGAGGCCTCCCAGTCACTACCGTCGGCCAAGATCGCCTCATGTCGCGCAGACAGAGCCAGGATAGCTTGCAGTACCATTTTATTTTCCAATGCCCGTTTTGGGACATCGGTGCTGAAATGTGAATGGATGTCACAAACATCGGCCTATAACGATCAGATACGTAATTATAATATGAGACTCGCTTACAGCTCACCCACGGTGCTATTTTCTGGATAAAGTAGCGCATCAGCGATGCTTCTCTTAGTGATAATGCTGATCCATTGTCCGACAGCAGGCTGAGTGGACTACTCCTAGAGTCCTGGCGAGATCGGTTCTCATAAAGTGGGCCGTGGATATGGGTCTGATATGTCTCCGAGTGAAGAGGTGGAGTCCATGTACTGCGACCATGTGATACGCGCTCTCGTGATGGGGTGTTGTATTGTTCTAAAGCACTATCTCCATCTCCAGATGATTCATCATTCGGCTCAAGGACAAATGTCACTGGATCAGATCAGTATATGAATATCAAGTCATGGGCCATGAACGCCTACCGGGCTGTAACACGTCCACCCATACTTGATCTTTGTCCCAGTCTAGCGCAAATCGGGCAGAGGTACCATTTTGCTTTTGGTAAACGTGGTTGACAGGCTTGAACTGGAAGCGGGGATCGAGATGACACGCCCGACCGAGTCGCAAACACGGAGTGCAAGTTGAAGCACCGGTGGAAATCACACACCGTATATGGCGAAGACGACACCTCCCACAACCCTTGCCTACTCTCATATGGATATCGACTTAAAAATATCCAGAGTCATCTATATAGAACCTTCCGAACCAGGAGAAGGAATGGAAAGATTCCCCGCATATGCTGAGTCATTGGGCGTCCAAGAAAGTTTTCCACATCCATGGTTTGTCACTCACAGTACCAAGGATTTGAGGCATAATTGGACATAAAACGGACATAAAATGGATGTTGTGATGGCTTTTGATTACTATGACGTCTTTTGATATTCTTAGGATTCCTCCGTTGGATCGCCAGTCAATGGTTTGAACCCGACCAGGCCGCCAAGAGCTGCCAAGGGCCGCCAATTCTGTTGCCTATTACCTATCCCATCAATAAATAGTTCTCCGCACGGGGATTGGCTTGCACAAAAATAGCAACACTCCTCCCGTACCGAGACGATGATCAATCCATGACAGTTAGCTTTCAAAAGAACCGAACAGACCTTCCACGATGCGGAGATTGCTTCAAAACTGGAATTACGCATCTCTAAAGAGAGTAATCCCGTAGCGGGCCGTGGATCTCGGGTATCGCCAGACAAAACATCCAAAGCTGACCAATCAACACTAGAAGCAGTGACGATCGGTATTTCAATTGACATGCAATCGCCTTAGGCTGGAAGTTTTTCGACTCCGCCTCCCTCCATACCATTTACCTTAAAACTAACAATGCCCTGTGCCTTGCGCGCACATCTTAAAGGCCGATCGTGTGAAATAAGTAACTGCAGCTCCGCAAGCCTCACCCGTACGGATGATTGTGATCTACCTTCTCATGGTTGCCGCTGCATGGCAAAGAGCGGTCGCTGATTCTGACGGCTGTAAGTGATGTATTCTTTTTTCTTTGCCTTGGTCAGTGGTATAACTCATTCCATATAGGTTCAAGCAGTGTAGTGATCTCGAATCAAAGCGATGCGAATAAACTGACCAACTGCGACACATTCGGCGGAAGCATTACGATATCCTCTTCTGCCACCGGAGTGATCACCATCAACAATGTCGAGGAAATCAAGGGCGCATTCATTGCTGAGGGTGCCTCAGGTCTCACAAAGATTATTATGCCTGATTTGGACAGTGTACGGGGAGGTGTCACACTGAGTAACCTCATCTCACTCACAACCATAACTATGGGCGCGCTATCACAAGTTTCTTCAAGTATAATTATCACGGGGAATCCGAAGCTGAAAACACTTCGGTTCCAAGACTTGGATGAAGTTGAAGGACAGTTGATATTGACGGGATCATTCGACAGGTACGGTCATTACAACAGCCATCACCTCCCTCCTTCCACGAAACTGATCAATATACTAGCGTTTTATTACCTTCTCTTGATGAAGTCAAAGGTCAGACATTAATCAGAGGCAGCAGTTCAATGTCATGCAGTACATTGAACCGTTCAAGATCCGATGACGTCTTTAAAAGCGGCTACTCCTGTTCTAGTGGCTCATCTGGCCTAAGTCCAGGGGCCAAGGGCGGAATCGCAGTGTGTGTGATCGTGGCTGTTCTTCTTATTGTGCTGCTCGTATGGTTTGTCCTTCGGCGCAGGCGTCAGAGACAGAGAGCTGGGGGGACTCAATCAAATATTCCCCCTTCATCAACCCCATCAACTGTGGTAACAAATGATGAAAAGGGACCCATTTCTCACGGCAGCGTATCACCTCAAGAAGCATCACCTCCAGCAGAACCGCTGCCTCTCTTACCCCGAAAGCCAGTGGGGTCGGCAATATTCTTGGATGGTCGATCCATCTATGAGGCCCCGAATGGATCCGCCCGAGACCAAGAATGTCATGAGTTGGACGCAGGACCAATCTTGAGCTCTCATCAGCGACCAATCAATGCAGCCTAAAACGATGTTCAAGTCCGATTTACGAGCAGAGATGATCTTGACGAATGGAACAGCCATGGGATGGCATAAGCGACATGACGGACAGCTTTTCACAATATATATACCCATGGAACCCTTTTGTTGAAACGCAACATGTAACATTGATTTTTACCCTCGTTCACAGAATTTCAAACGCAACAGCCTATCAAGAAAACCTAGTCTACAATATTTCACCTGCGCGGGTTTGTGTGGTCTTTGGAATCCTCGTATTTGAGCCATGTCACCATTGCCAGCTAGAGATACAGTATATAGGTGGTTTGTGCTGGAATTCCAGGGGTACTAGGATATAGTGAATTCTTCAGAAGTCAGGCACTCAACGGGCGTAGGCCAAAGGGTTTATATGGGATGGTCAGTTGATCTTGATCGGGTGATTATATCAAATTTGCTAGATATTTCCGGTACTAGTGCATGGCTTATTTTGACACTCTGTAAAACGTACGGATATCTATTTCTCATCAACCAGCGGGCGCCTAAGGCTATTGCTTTTGGCGAACTTAAACACTCAGAATGACTTTGTGATCAGCGGTCTTCTCCTCGGGCTCGCCGAAAATATCGATGTTCCAACGAGGCTTGTTGGCAGTATAAGGAATGTTGTAGCGCCTTCGGTCCTTGCCCAGAGCGCTGACTTTTTGAACTTCCTCGGGGGTGAGCTCTACCTCCTTGAAGTTATCACGAATGCGCGAAGGCGTGACTGACTTGGGGATCACACTGTGTCCACCGACCTGAGACCAGGCGAGACTTGAAGATTGTTAGCTTTCAACGATAGTAAGAAGTAGAGTGTATAATCTTACATGACGTGTGCGGGGGTGACTTCCTGGCCAGTGCGCTTTGAAACAGACTCGGCGACTTCCTTGACTTCCGGCCGGGTGATGAGCAGAGGAATGCCAAGCATATTGTTACCAAATGCCTAGGGTCTCAGTCAGCATCGAGCTTCTCCGCCATTAACCATAGATATAGGTACGCACAGAATAAGCAGTAACGTGGATTCCCTTCTGTTGGCAGTACTCAATCAAGTCATTGCTCTGGAGCACGGGATGGCGCTCGATCTGGTTGGCTGCAGGGACGACACCGGTGCCATTAATGATAGCCTCAAGCTGCAGGGTCGTATTAGCTGATGTATGGCAATTTTGGGGACAGAGGGGCCACAAACATGCTCAATCTTGTGGTTGGAAACACCGACAGAACGAGCCTTGCTCTTGGGGAGCTGGGTCATAGCTAAGAAGAGTTAGATAGGTCTTTCCCGTTTGCACAATATAGTGACTCGCCCTTCCAGGTGTCCACAATAGAGACACCATCGTCAATGATTACATCACCCCCCTCGACGGTGCTGTTGGCAACGAGGGGGAAGTATGCATCTCCCTTCTCGAAGGCAACGGGCCAATGAACAAGGTAAAGCTGTGTTTGTTAGCAATAGCTCACAAAGTTACTGAATGGAATAATCATACATCAAGATAATCCAACTCAAGCTCAGCAAGGCAAGCATCCAAGGATGCCTCGACAACCTCCGGGCGGTGCTGGCTATATGCAGAATCAATAACCGTATAGTGTAGAACGATAGTTTGACAGAGCGTACCTGTTCCATAGCTTAGAAGTCTGCATAATGATACGTCAGTTCCTAAATCATATAACATCCCAAGTATAGATTTACTTACAATAAAGATATCCTCGCGCTTCAGACCGGGGACATCCTTATAAGCACGCTTAATTCCATCGGCTACCTCGCGCTGGTTCTGGTAGCTGTGAACAAGTGGTAAGTACGGCGCAATTGCAACATGTGGGGTCTTGTGGTCAAGGGATTAGTGCTGCGTACATAGTTGCTAAATCCTGAGAAGGGAGAGGGGTTAGCGAATAGTTTGAAGAAACATAGATGGTGTATACACATACCAGGTGACGGTAACCAGCTTTCAGTGCCTCATAGACAGCCTCACCGACCTGGCCAGGAGCAGATTGCCATGTACCAAAGCCCAGCTGGCTAAACGTGGGGGTCAGTGATGAAGTCAGTATCTTCTGTAGAATATACGTACGGAATCTGGTGGCCGGAGTTGAGAGTGACTTTCTTTCCGAGAGACATGATTTAGATGGGTTCTTTTAACAGAAGAATAATAAGAAGGAGAAAAGGAAACGTGGACAAATAAATGTGTCTGGTGGGGGGGATACATCCCACCTGCCATCCCACTCCCTTTCGGAGTAGACTCCACCGAGGGGAATATACACATTACAACATACATTATTAGTTGAATAAATTCGAATAAAGTTGAATATAGAAGAAACCGTTTGAGTGACATTTATTCTTATTTATTGATTTACTTTTCTTTCAAACATAGGGTACTATATAGTATACCTATAGCCTATATCGTAGATAAAGTACATTTATAAATTACCCCAACTGTGGGGAAGTTAGTCATGATGTCATTCTCAATATAAATTCGTGATCTTACATTGTTTTACTAAGAATGATATATATATATATGGTTTCTGTTGAAGCCTTCACAAAGGCAAGATTGCCTTATTAAACTAGTCTACTGGCCCATGAAAACCTTTAAAAGTTCTGGATAGTTAGGAGTACCCAATCCAGTCACTGGATCCCATCCCTTGGCCGCAGAGAAGCCGTCAGTATTACAACCTGCATTTGTGCCCTTGGTCACATCAAAGAACGCCTCTGGGTGAGCGTATAATACAGGGTTAACAAACCCAACAGTGGACTTACCAGCAGCCAGTCGCTCCTCGTTGATGCGGGTGAGGATTCCAGCAAACACAGGTGCAGAGGCCGATGTCCCACCAATTGCCACAGCCATTCCTCTATTGTAGATAACGACTTTGTCACCAACAGCAGCAACATCTGGGTAGGCACGTCCAATCCGGTTGTAGATACCGTTATTCTCACCGAAGCTACTATTATCCACACTCTCATAGTATGGGTATGGGATATTAGCCGAGGCAAAGTAGTCCGCAACAGCCTGCGCCTGATAATCAGGCGCCTTATAGATATTGCTGAAACCGCCACCTGATGGGTACCTTGTCACGGCTTGCTCCAGATGATCTCCTGCCGAGGAACCGGTAGGAATTTCAGTGCCTCCCACCGCAGTAAGGTATGGACAGGAGGCAGGGAAATCGGGAGCAAAGATTCTACCATCTAAGCCAAGGCAGTTGCTAGGGGTGGGGTCGCCTCCACGTCCAGCCACTCCAGAATCGCCCGAGGCGACTATCACTGAAACTCCCATTGTACCTAGCTTCATGAACTCGGCGCACTGTCGCCGCTGATAGGAAATGGGAAGGTCCGCCTCAGAGGAGCCATACGAAATCGAGACAACCTTGGGTGGGTCGTACACGCCACATTGCAGAGAGCCCTTGTAACCTCCATCATTTGAATCAGGGTAGGGAGGGTCCAAAGGCGAGATCGTACTGCAGTACGAGCCATCGATAGCATCCAAGAACGTATTGAGGAACCCTCTGAATCTATAATGACGCTCGTAATACATATCATCGGTTTGGAAAAGGATGGAGTTTTGTGGCCAGATAATCGGGTAGGAGATTTGGAAGTCCAGATCGGATTCAGGCCCAGCAGTGGAGGTATTTGTAGGAGCCTCACCGCCATCAACTAACTTGAGAGTTGGGTGTGTACCGTTGGGGATTTTCCTAAATGAAAGTCAGCTCGAAATCCAATCCACTCGGAACAATATGATTAAAGACAACGTACGGGTACAATTTTGAGAAGAAGGAATTTAGATCTTCCTGGGCATAGACATCCCCGATGTCCTCAAAGATCCCCAATTCATTCCCTTCTGTGGCAGAGTGACCCGCACTTATGTTATACATCTCTATGCGCTCGTCAGAGATCCAATTTGGGGGGGATCTGTGCTTGTGTCACTTACCTAGAACGCATTCGGGTGTGATCGCCTGGTCGCAAAAGGAGGCAGCCGCGCTCGACAGCGTCTCAATTGGTAGGGGGATTGGCTCAGTGATCGGGGGAATCCCATCAGCGAAGCGTTTCTGCTTGTCGATCGATCTCGGGACAGCAGTCACCTCCCGCAGAGAGATTCCTGGGGTGATATAATCGACGTGCTCGCGTACACAGCTCGGGAGATGATATCTATGGATAGGACGTCAGTAATACTGTAGATCATATCCAAATGACAGCCTTACTCGCGACAGGCCACGTGCGATCGACCCGTTTCAGCATGTGAGTAGACATAATACTTTGTGTGCAGCAAATTCTCGAGCTCCTCGGCATCGGCATCAAACTAAATCCATTGCTTGTTGACTGACTAGGTGATGCGGTCTTTTGAGATACCAGCCGCCTCCAACCAAGGACGCACATCATTCACACTCTTTTGAGTTGGAGCAAACAAGTCGTGCACTTCATCGATAGACAGATGCTGTCCGTATCGGTTCGAGTTAGGGTTAGATCTAAACAGATCCATCTCAGCTTCAGACGGTGAAGGTCCACTGCGCAAGTTCATACAAATCCATAAGTAGCTCATGGCCATAGTCTAGGTTAGACTGGGTCAATCCAATTCGCACAGGTAGTGAAACATTGCCCTCGAGCTTTTTGCTTTCAACCCAAGATTTTGGGAGGAAATCACGACGCTCGTGTAATTGATAATTGTGAGCCTTTGGCACTGCCGTCGCACCAGCCGCCAAGGCACAAACCATAATGAGAGGCTTCATGGCAATAGTCTTAACAGGAGTTTGCCAATTCAGCTTTCACCTTTGAACTTGCGGATCAAGTCAAAAAAGTCCACGGCGGACGAGGCATACTTTATAGCATCTCCGGTCTTTCAATATAAGATGTAAGCCTAAATAGGGCTTTCAGGTTCAAGGACCGTGAGCTCGGTGGGCTGAGATCACCCAAGGGGAAAGGCAGCCAGTCGATTAAGGATTCTAAGATCCCCGAAATCAAACGGGGTAAGGACAGAGCTTGTCCTGCTTGGCATTGAAGTTTAGACTTCATCATTATTAGCTCCGTTTTGGCCTATGAGTGTATCGCTAGGGGTTAAACATCCGTGTGAGGTTTTAGGAGCCATTCGTCCGTAGGAACAACCTAAAATGACACCTCTCGGAAGGTTAAGGCTAGAGATAGTCGGGAAGGTCACACAGAGGGCCATGTGAATATCGTTTACACGGTGAGTATCTCCTCCCTGATAGGGTTGCGTCCTTCGGCGAGATTCGAAAATGGCTTCGCTACGACCCATGAAGTCGACGAGAGTCAAGACATTTGGAAAGATGTATCTTGGCCTTCAATCGCAGAGTAGGGTCCATTGCTTTCCAACCTCCGAGCAAACGAATTATCAGTAGTTACAAGTCCGATTTAACAAGAATCCTTCGGAAGCACAGCAATGGCCTCGTGCGAAGATAAACAACCATCGCCGTGCTACCTCGGGAGAAAATGATCCCGAGTGATAGACTGGTAACGAGGTCATTGAATGCAACCAGAATTGTTAAACGCAGAACGCCTGAGCCACTGGACGTCGAGGGCTATCTGATGGAAATGTGGAGGAAGTATTTCTTCAAAGAAATCCCCCGTCAAGTGTGAGGCAAAGCTATACATTCTATAATGTTGTGGAAAACAGGAGTGGAGAAATTGAATTGAATGAGATCAAGCCCAAGCGTAGAGCCGAACTATTAATTGCAAAGCATCATAATTCCCTGGAATTCAGATGGTGGAATTATTACCGATACTTGGTCTGGTGGTAAAAAGGTGAAAAGCCCAGTCCTATGCACTCTGCATAGTACTTTTTTGTATCAATCACGGTGATCAAAAGGATTGGCTGCTGTTCCAGCCCCATGGACACATGGGATGACCATTCCTGCATTGGGACTTGCATCGCAACCGTCATCCACCCAGTATGCGGCTGCCTAAGGGTTTATAGAGAAGACCACCCAAGGCTGTGTGGTTGCAACGTCGGTGGCAGAAACACAGTTTCATGTGCCCTCTCCAGGCATAAGTCATGCGAGCAAAAGATCTAGCTCAAGGGGCATTTCGTATGCAGAGAGCTGTATTCTGTCCGTGGGCGACATTGGCATAAATATTCGAGGGCAGTCGAGCGGAGAACTAAAAATCAATATTCAAGAAGAGTCAGAACCCAAAGTATCGTAAGAACATGGTTTCAAGATCCGTTTGGTGGACTGATATCCCAGGAGTTCAAGTGAAATTTGGCAGTACTTCTGCCGCATCGACAAGAGAATGTAGGTTGGAAACCTCAACCTGACGGTTCGATCGCAGATTCTCCTGCCCATGGCGCTGACACGGGTCTTTTTCAGCTGCTGTGCCTTGATCGCATCAGAAAATGGCCTCAAGCTGGCGACGTGAGATTCTGGGACACAATCCCCGACGTAGGATAAGCATCCACTCAGGATCCGCACCATTTCCATAATAAATCAACCAGCTGCTGCCGATGCAAAGGCTTAGCTATGTAATCGTCCATGCCTTTGGCCAGATACATCTCTGCGTCTCCCTTCAGAGCATTGCCTGTCAATGCGAGGATGGGCACATCGAGTTTCATTCGTCGAATGTGTTCTGTGGCGGTCAATCCATCCATGACCGGCATGTTTATGTCCATCAGGATCACATTGTATGCCAAAGGCTTCTGCTTGACCATACGCACTGCTTCTGCTCCATCCCAGGCAGCATCAACGCGCTTGAAACCCAGGCTGCTGAGAAGTTTCAACATAATAAGTTGATTGACCTTGTTGTCTTCGACTAGGAGAAGGTGCTTGTGTGGAGCGACCTTTTGGAGTGAGGCGGAATTATCCAATGCCTCAGGCACAACCGGTGGCAACCTCGGCTTCACTGGAGACACTGGCGAGGTAAGGCGAGCCATCTTAGCTGTCATCCAGAAAACACTACCGGGTCCCTCGGGGTTGGCATGGAATCCAACCGCTCCATCCATCAATTCAGCCAGGCTCTTGCATATCGACAGACCAAGCCCAGTACCTTGGTATCTTTTGGCGGCCGTGTCCGCGAATCGGGTGAAGGGGGTGAAGAGGATGCTCGCCGCATCTTCGGGTACGCCGATACCAGTATCCACTACCTGCGTGGAAATCACGTACATCTCAGGGTCCTTCTCATCGATATCATAAGTGGCATGAATTCGAATATGACCACTCTCTGTGAACTTGACGGCGTTGGTGACCAGGTTTTGTAGGACTTGGCGGAATCGTAGCGGGTCGCCTTTGAGATTTGGAGGAAAGCCGTCGCTCACACCGCTCATGATCTGAACCCCAGGCTTGAGCGCTGACTGGCAATTCCGAACCACGGCAGAGATCACATCGGGGATGTTGACCACGTCTGCGTTCAAGGGGAAGGTTCCCGAGGATAGTTTCGAATAATCCAACACATCGTTAATGACCTGCAGCAAGATAGAGGTTGAGTCTTCGAGGATGCAAGCAAATTCTCGCTGGTCATCTGTCAACTCGGTCCTGAGTAACATTGTCAAAGCCAAGAGCATTCCGTTCATCGGGGTGCGCAGTTCGTGGGACATGTTGGCCAAAAAGTCGGACTTGAGCTTAGCAGATTCTTCAAAGGCGTCGATCAAACGAGCCTCTGCCGCACGGCGTTCGGTCAGATCGCGGGTAACTTTCACGAATCCCACATGGCTACCATTCTGGTAGATGGCGGTGATCATGACATTGGCCCAAAATCGGGTGCCATCCTTGCGGTAACGCCAGCCCTCGTCCTCAACTTTGCCTTCTTTTAAACAGACCTCCAGCTCACGGGCGGGCTTGTTCATTTCCCAGTCATCGCGACCGTAAAAGACGGAAAAATGCTGGCCGATGATTTCGGATGAGGTGTATCCCTTTAAAATGGCGGCGCCGGAATTCCAAGTCGCAATATGGCCATGCGTGTCCAGCATAAAAATGGCATAGTCCCTTACTGTGTCCACCAGAATTTTGTAGGTTTGGTTGAGATAGGTTTGTTCGCTGATGGAATTCGTCCTGCTCCGTTCATCGTTGGTCCGCTGGGCTTCCAAGAGTAGGTAGATCAGGGAATCGTCTTCAAAGATAGGTGTCACGCTCAGTGCAAAGCAGGTGTCGAGATGTGGCACAGAAATACGCTTAATGACCTGCACTTCGCGAGTTGTTATGGCAGTACCGAGGGCACCACTTAAGGAGGCAATATCGGGGGCGGGGAGGATGGAGGGGGGAAGATCGTAGACATTTGCTGCTAACAGTTGATCTCGCGGACGCTTGAAGAGTTCCACATGACTATTGGATACTTCGATGACTCGTAGTGTACCGTCTAATACGAGAGTGGGTTTACTGTAAGGGTTAATAATATTGCTTTTGGAAGCCCTGGATTAGGGGACCTGGGGAGAACTCACGGTGTCAATCGATAGATGCGGCTTAAATCAACTTTCTCCAAGTCCTTTGGAGGGGTAATGACCACATTTTTCATACGCTCAGTGATACTCAGATGGAGCATCTCATCCACGGGCATGTTGAGTGATTGAGGATGTCATTCCAAAGAATTTTGGAGAGGATAAGGATAAGGATAAGGATTTCAAGGTTGACAGGTTAATGGGGGGGGAAGATCGAGACAAAAGAGATCAAAGTGGATAGAAAAAGAAAAAAAAAAAAAAAAACTGGAATAGAACATCATAATCCATGGATATTTCTTATTAAAGGTAATTATTTATGTATGATATACAACATATATTAATAACCTGTGTTACCTTCGTACTTTTTAAACACATAGCCTTATATCTCATCTCTTTAAATCCATACATAATGTACCTACCTACAACATAGGTACATACATACATACCTAGGTATGTAGTCTCTTTAGTCTTAATAATCTTCGTCTTATCTTAGATATTGTCCGGCAAAAAAAAAGGCGGAAAAAGACCTTAGATAATCTACAAAATGACATTTTCACGCTCCACCGTCTCCACCATCTTAACCAACGCGTCAGCAATTCCATATGAAAATGCATAACCACCTCCACCAAACCCATATGCCGATAAGATCACTCGATTACCCTTTCGTTCCGAATCCAGACGGAATCCTCCCTTTCGAGATGGTCGAATTCCAATAATATAACTCACCTTATCTATAGATGGGTGTTCTGGAATAATCTCAGGAGCTAATCGATGCGCACGAGCAATCTCATCCCGAGCAATATCCATATCGACTTCAGGTGACCTGAAAAGAGTTAGCTAGGGGAATTGTGGATTTGGAGGATTTTGGAGATTCCCATACAGAGTGTCTTGTTGCTTCACCCCACCCAGGACCACCCCCTTGGATAGTGGCCGTGGAATCACATAGGTATATTCCTTGCCATTTCGGAAGTAGAGTGTATCACATTGATCGGTGGCTAGAAACACATTCTGCCCTCGCTCCGGAAAACATTTGTCATCTTGCACATCCGTCAAATTTTTACTACCCCAACCGCTGGCATTGATGAATACCCGTGATTCGGGGAACATCGCATATAACTCCTGGAGAGACTCGACACGTTGACGGATAAAGTGGCCCCCAAGAGACTCCACTTGTTTCCTTAGATAAGGCATATGCCTTGTGGGATCTGTGACAAGCGTCTCATAGGCCCAGGCACAGTTGAAATTGGGAGGATATTCACCAGGGTTCATCTCACGGAACTAACAATCAACTTAGTTAGCATGGAGATATTCATCAAATCAAGGAATCACAGTACAACATACCTTGGAGACTACCGTCTTACCCCATATCGCCGAATCAGGAGCAGGTTTTTCTTCCAGGTACTCTCGTGCGTTAACAATGCTCACCCCCGCCTCAGGCCCATCTTGTGCCATCTTGAGTAGTACGCGATGTGTGACAGCTTGAAGGTACCGTTGATCATGAGTGATACCCCCAGCAGCATGCCACGCTGCTCCTGCCCAAGCCGATGCATAGTAGATATTCTGGTCTCCCGGTAGATATTCACCCACCAATACCACAGAGAACCCGTTCAGTAGCAATTGTCGAGCAGTCGAACAACCAATAATCCCCGCACCGAGGATTACAATGGGTCTTTGAGGAAAGGGCACCTCATTGGTATCAAATTGGCCACATTCACCCATGGTGAATATAAGGTGACCTCACAGCGTTTCGAGATAAGTTCCTGATAGAAACCGGCACTTGAATATAATGTATTATTTTGAAATGATCGAATCAATGGGAGTAAATATATCAAATCTCGAGACAAAGGGGGAAGTTTGTAGGACTTTGGAGCTTTTAATTTTCAAGGTGGCCTACTTTAAAATTTGATCTGATTAAATTTTTAAGTCTCTTCGACTACTAATTCTACTCCTTACTCCTTATTATAATACAATTAATACATTCATATCAGGCTATATCTTACTCGGGCAATAATAAAGTGGGTCTATAACGGCCTTTTCCGACGTCGCACCCTCATCTTTTCCCCCTTTCCCCTATATATCCATTTTTTTTGGACCCTTACTACCCAATCCCATGCAAGAAAAAGGAATCCGGGGTGGTAGGTGACCCCAATACCCTTCTTTTATTGGTTCTATCGGCTCACATCCTTGTACAGAATATCTGGAAATTCATGCAGTTATTGGTGGCCCGGTCTTCCACTCGGCTCAAGCCGACTCAACACTGAATTGGGATTGGTCTTTTTTTTTTACCTTAGGGAGAGAGAAGTGAGTTCAGGATGAACAGAGCGGAAAAATGTCAAAATTTCTGGAGCCAGGTGGGTTCTTAGCCTGATCTCCCTCATTTCTTGCTGAATTAACTGTTTCAAATCTCAGAGGGCTACTCTGGATCAGGATGGAATTGATATTCTTCACGACCGGGATGCCGAGGAGATCTTACCCTATGAAGCCGATGATTCGCCTTTTCCGGAGGTACGGGCTGTCATCCAGCCAGTCAATGACTTGACCCTGCCTGTTAATACGGTTCGCATGTGGACTATCGGTATTTTGTTTACTATCGTACGTATTATGTTTTATGTGGCCCGACGATCGGCATAATATATATACTAACCCGGCACAGGTGGGGAGTGGACTCAACCAATTCTTCAGCTTGCGACAGCCCAGTGTAAATATCAGTGCCCTGGTAGCCCAGTTGCTGGCTTTCCCCCTGGGATGTGCCTGGGCAAAATGGATACCCATTGGAGTGTTGAATCCCGACCGACATTTCAATATCAAGGAGCATGCCTTGATCACAATCATGGCAAAGGTTTCTATTGGCTCTGCTGCTGCCACCCAAGTTATCGAGGCACTTGTCAAATTCTATAACATGCCATCCCAAGGTGGATTTGAGGTCTTATTATGCATTACCACACAATTGTTCGGCTTCGGCTTAGCTGGCCTAGCCTCGCGCTGGCTAGTAACCCCGGCATCCATGCTTTGGCCACAGGTATTGTCAAATGCAGCACTTTTGACCACTCTCCATTCTCGCTCCAATACTATCGCAGATGGCTGGCGGATCACACGTCTCCGCTTCTTTCTTTATGTTTTTACCGGTGGCGCTATCTGGTACTTCGTCCCAGGATATGTCTTTACAGGTCTCAGCACCTTCGCCTTCATATGCTGGATCGCGCCATCCAACGTGGTGGTAAATCAGCTTTTTGGACAAACAACTGGACTGGGGATGTCGGTTCTGACCTTCGACTGGGCCCAGGTGGTCTATGCCAATCATAGTCCCCTGCTTGTTCCCTTCTGGGCCGGTCTTAACGTGATAGGATCATTCGCGTTCTTCTTTTGGCTCTTGTGTCCCCTCGTTTATTACTCCAACACTTGGTATTCCGCACACCTACCACTGCTCAACTCTGACACGTTCGATAATACCGGAGTTCCTTATAACACCAGTCGTATCATGGGGCCAAGCGGAAGTATTGACCAAACTGCTTATCGGGACTATTCGCCCATGTTTTTACCGGCCGGCTTTGCAATCACATTCGGTGTTGCCTTTGCTAACTTGACGGGCATCTTCTTCCATGTGGCATTGTATCATGGTAAAGACTTGTGGCAACAATGGAAGGGGACAAGCAAACAAGATGTCCATGGTCGACTGATGTCTTCGTATCAATCCGTTCCCTGGTGGTGGTTTGCTGCAATAACTGCCATTATGTTTGCCTTGAGTGTTGTCACCAACGAAGTGTGGCATACGGGCCTACCGGCATGGGGTGTGCTTGTGGCATTCGTGTTACCGGCGGTCTACTTTATCCCTGTGGGAGTCATCAAAGCCATCACAAATATCAGCAGTAACCAACTTAACCTGCTCACGGAATTCATTGGCGGGTATGCCTTCCTCGGGCAGCCAGTGGCCAACATGGCTTTGAAGTTTTATGGTTATGTCGCTGTTCAGCAAGGGCTCGAGTGAGTTACATACTGTGCCAAAAAGCAAAAATTACTGTGTTAACACCATAATAGATTTGTCGCCGATATGAAGTTGGCTCATTATATGCACATCGCTCCACGGCTTCTGTTTGTAGCTCAAGGCCTTGCCACACTCATTGGAGCTATCGTCCAATGTGGCGTTACGGTGTTCATGATCACCAGAATTGATGGCGTGTGCACCCCTGAGGCTGAGGGGAATTTCATCTGCCCTCATGGAAAAGTCACATACTCTTCGTCTCTCATTTGGGGTGAGTTCAATTTTATTGATATTTTACCAGCTCATAGCTAACCAGCCTTTAGGTGCTGTTGGTCCAGGCCGGTTGTTTTCTCCGGGGCAGATATATAGCAATCTGCTTTGGTTTTTCCTAGTTGGACCCACGGTGGTAGTCATTACCTACCTCGTAGGTCGTCGTTGGAAAGCTGCCAATTATATCTCCTGGCCCGTCGCCTTCGGTGCAATGAGCTTAGTCCCACCCGCTACAGGTATCAGCTTCTCCTCGTGGTGGATAGTCAACTTGATATTCAACGGCATACTCCGTCGCCGCAAGCCCGCGTGGTGGTCAAAATATAGTATGTGTATCGTGTCTTCTTCATTGTTTCTTCTTTGGCTAATCGTCAGCAGATTATGTGCTATCCGCCGCTTTAGACTGCGGTGTTGCAGTTGCCACGGTAATCATCTTCTTTTGCATCACTCTGCCGGCCGGCTCGCTGAACTGGTGGGGGAATACTGTATCGAAAACCACAGCCGATGGCAAAGGAACACCCTACATGACTTTACCAGCGCAAGGCTACTTTGGCCCTCCAAAGGGAACTTGGCAATGACCAGTTTGGCGTGTTTCTGTCTCCATACGTTTCCGGTAATCTAATCTCGCGTGTTAGGTGCATTTGCATCTCCTGTTTATATATAATATCTTAGGCATACGGGAGTTGAACATGGTCTTTCGGATACCCCTGGTAATTGATCTTTGGGAGTTTGACATCTATTCTCGGACCGTAACTCACGGATATCATTTCTCATTTCTCATCAATTAATATTGACCGTCAAATCTTGACCGACCGTCCGCTCACATAGACTTTGACAATATTCCGATCATCACCAGTCATCAAAAACTTCTCAAATATCACTTGAGTGGTGTCTTCATCTTCGACGGGGCTCATCACTCCTGGTTGGCCAAGATCAGCGGTATGAACTTCGAGCGCATCAAACTCTTTGCCAACTACAAAGTTACCGACTCGGTCATCGAGTCCACACACTTGCGCACCACCCAGAGTAGCGAGAAAGAAGCCCTCGTGCAAAGATAGAGCAGGGTCCCGCCCTTGAGTCAACATTTGCTGCGCATTTGACACAATAAAGGCCTGCTTCATGACATCCATTATGGATGACGAGTAGCCACCTCCGCTATCGGTGCCCAAGCCTACCTTGATACCACGGCGCAGATACTCTCGGACAGGCGCTACCATAAACTCTTGCATGGTTGTGTTGGAGATTGGGCAGTGGGCAACCCCACAGCCAAGCTCCTGGATACGACGCATCTCGCCTTCTTGAAGAAAGATACAATGGGCAAGAATAGACCGATCATTCAAGAGACCATATTGCTGATAGAGATCAGCTTCTGTATCGAACTCTGGAAAGAGCTGGCGTGTGAACTCAATCTCCTGCTTTGCTTCATTGAAATGGGTTTGTATTGGGAGATCGGGATGTTCACGAGCAATGGCACCAAGCCCATCCAGTAATTCCGGTTCACAAGATATCGCAAATCGTGGCGTTAGTATTGGTTTTACTAGATGGTATTCCGGATCAAGTTGCTGAACATGGTGAATGAGCTCACGCGTTTCGCGCAGCGAGTCGGACACTGACAGATCCCGATACCAGTCCGGGGCATTCCGGTTCATGTTACACTTGCCGATTAGAGCGCGCTGTCCTTTTTCAAAACAGACTTCAGCCAGAATTCGAGTTGCCTGGCCATGATATGAGCCGTAATATGATGCGGTGGTAATGCCCTGTTGTAAGAAGCCCGTCACGCACGAGGCGTACATCCGTTTGGCATACTCTGGATCTTGAAACTTGGCCTCGTGGGCAAAAGTGACCTTATCCAGCCAGTCGAGCAAAGAAATCCCTCGTCCGACACCACGTTGTGCCCACTGAGGTGCATGGTTGTGGGTATCAACAAAGCCGGGGCACAGAAATTCCCCGCGCTTGAGATATTTCACTGGGAAGACGTCGGGCACATACTCATTTTCTGAGAGGACGGACTTGATCTGATCCAATTCCACATCTGCTTGTAACGCCTGAATCTTGCCATCTGTACCGACGATCATAATGCAATTTTCTAGGATCTCGAGGCCATCCAAACTTCGGGAATGGATTACCGTGCCATGAAAGGCGAGGGGCAGCCCAGAGCCCGGGTTGCCATTCTTGTCGAGTTCTTCCATGATACAGGAAAATCAATTTAGTATTGATTATAAAATGATTGGCTGTAATTTCCGCAAAATGTAGACGGGAGATGAAGATGGACAATCGCTAGAGGTGCCCAGGTGAGGGGGAGGCATTAATAATCGGCATAAGCTGCCCAGGTGCCCAGGTGTCTGCAAGTATGCATGTCAAAGCCTGAACATAAGAAATATCCTATGATTGTCATTCTTTTTTACTATAGCAGAAACCTAAGAATAAGCCTGCTATGCTTCAAATATCTAAAGAGGTTGATCTCGAGTGGGAATTGTATAAAGATCCATCATCGGATGATCATGAACCATATGAAAGATGTATGTCGCAGATACTGAGATGATTCTTGAATTGAGTCTGATTTATTTTGATTGAGACAAACTGGTATGGTATTAACATGAAAACAAAAAGCCTGGCCTCATGCAAAACTCCGTCTACCTCCGGTAGAGCATAGGTGAAATACAAGGAAAGAGATTCGTTTAAAGGGTATAGTATGATGCCATCTCCTCTTGGAACCAATTGTAGGAGTAGTAGAGTTGTTCCGCCATCTGGGGATCAATTATCGGGACAGTCCCACTGCCATCCACGAGTAACACGTCGTCGAGAACTGGAGCAAGTGGGACTGGAGGTGGAGGAGGTGCGGCCAAAGACATTGGATGAGGTGGGAGAAGTGCAGGCGGAGGCGGTGGTTGCGGTTGCGGTTGCGGTTGGTGCTGTGGGTGATGGTGATGCTGCTGTTCTAATTGCTGCTGATAGGCCATTTGGCTGAAGATCACTGTACTCTGATGCCGGAATGTCTCTGCCAACCGATCTACCCCAGGTCGACGCTTGCCAAATTCTTCCAATAGTACGACAACGGCCTGGATACCACGTCGCATCGTCTGTTCTTCGGGGTTCCAAGGAGCAGGCTGAAAGTCGCGTAATGAGCGTGCATTCTGCTCAAGGCACCACAGGATAGTAATGCCTGCAAAATAAACCTGGCTCAGCGTTAACCATATCCATTTCAGCTTGCCGACTGAGTAGGTGTCCCAATATGATCGGATGACTTGAATACTAGATTCGCCACAGCTGATGATACTGGTTATGTCGGGCGTTGGATTCCGGGGGCTGGGACGATACATCAAGAGAAGTGTTGTGTAATAGAGATAATCGTAATAAGATGTAGAATAGAGAAGTGCCGATGGATATACTGGAGCGTTCATGCGCCAATCATCAACCTCATGGCGGAATCGACTGAGCGTGACGGCAGCTTCTTGGGGTGGGAGTCGTGGCAGACTGCTATATACTATAGATGAAATAGTCAGAAAAGAAAGAACAGATAAGATTCGAGACTTCACTTACAGTACTGATAAATGCGTGAAAATATCCGTCGCAGTCGTATCACCTGCAAAGGAATCGTCATCGCGCTAGCGCCAGGCGCTTCGGTTTCATCATCATTGAGTTCTCGCGGAAGACCCACGCTAATATCGTCGTCGGCAATTCCCAATGGCCGACCCAAGGTGCTAGCGATGAGGCGATCCAGGTTGTAAAGACTCCAAAAAGCGCGCTTGGCCATCTCCTCCTCGGTAATGGTAGGGTATGACCGCGCTTTGTGTAAACCCATACTAATCGACAATCTCATTGTCGCACCCAACACATGCCAAATGCTGGGACCAGCCGTCGCAAACATGGTATACAAGGCCAATCCCAGCAGTGCCCGCACAGCCGGCAAGTCTTCATTTTGCAATGCCAATGGGAACGTCTCCTGGCTGGCATGGTAAAATTCAGCAGCCTGTGTCGGATCCGCAGACCCAATCAGAAGCGCAATGGCGATGACGATGTGATAAGAATGATGGGTTTCGGGCGACGGAATACCACCAGTATAGATATGGCGCAGATGGCCCATAAATTCTGGACGAGACAGGAACGGGTATTGGTACCCTATACTATCGAAATATTGTCCGGCTAGCCGTTCCGCTTCCTCCAGCGACGACAAGCGCATGACTCGTGGCGCGGAGGAAGGACGTGCCACCGACGGTCGGCGGTGCTCCAGCTGATCGCGAAAGATTTCGCCGATATTTGGCAGTTCAGTGCCTACCCCCGTCGAGGCCTCCGAGGGTCCTGCAGTTACAGAAGAACCGCCACTACCGGCAGGGCTTGGAAGTGAGGTAAGATAATTACCCCCGGTCGCTATCATAGCGGGCACCTGATACCACCAATCCGGATCTCCCTCGCCATCAACCGGTGTCCCTGTCGGTAATTCCGCCACCGATAATCCAGACTTGCGACGTACGACCTCCTCCAACCATCGTACTCGTTTCTGCAAATTCTCCAGCTGATCTCGGGGAACAGAGGCGCTAGCGACTTGAGGACCGGGCGGGGGTATGGTGCATCGGACTCCGGCGCGGGTGCAGGCCGAACAATTGGGGTATCGAAAGTCGCATTTCTTCTTCCTTTTGCGACAAAAATCACAGGCAGTCGATACTCGTTTGCTCCGGGCATGTGTAGTATCTATAGACTCAACTGGAGGTGGTTGAGGCCAAGTTGGGGTATAAGTATTAATTGAATCCAAGCGAAACTTCCCCAGTTGATCGCGGAAATCTTTATTTCCAGTCATGGTCGGGGACGTAATTTATCCATTTCCCACATCCACCAATTGTCATACAATATAGCAAACGTGCATACTCTTGTTGAAGAAGGGAAGATATGAAAAGTGGGGAGAAGAGCTTAGCCCTTTGACTTTCGCTTACATAGGCGGATGGCCAAAAGGGTTATCATTTTGCGAGACTATAAAAATTCATTCTATTTTATTTTCATTTTATTTATACATGTACTTTGTTTTTGTATACCCCTGTTTCATGCTTATCTGACGTAGGATCTTAGGGTTACTGAATAATCAGTTGATTGGAAAAAAAAAAACGGACTATGAAGTCGAAGATATACTATGTATACTACTGTAGAACAACTTCACAGTTACAATGAATTATTCAGTTTATTCATAACTTATAACTAAATCCATTTAATAGATATACTACATATGTATTCCTTATACTTCATACCAATCCCTTTGAATGCAATCTCTATGCGCTGTATACAACTCTAAAAACATAAAATGATCCAGAACTGATCTACATTGATACATACCTGAAGTAGAACGAATGATGGGTCCTTGTGTTTCTACTATACAATGTTACCACAGCATGATATATCCTTGTTATTTTAAGAGTCCCGAGGTTGCAACTACACTAAAATGTCCGGGGATATGGAAGCTTCATTGCCTCAAAAACACATAAATAGGCCCCTGTTTCCTCCCAAAAACTGATCACTTACACACCACTCTCCCATTGACTATTCCAATCTCACTCTCACTCTCAACATGAAGATCACCGCCCTACCCGTCCTGTTCGCCACCGCTGTCAGCGCCAGTGTCCAGGGCTTCGACATCTCCGGCTACCAACCTACCGTGGACTTTGCCGGTGCTTATGCATCTGGTGCCCGCTTCGTCATGATTAAGGTGAGCTTTTCCAAGATCACATATCTATTCTCCGTCACAATACTAACTATTATCAGGCGACTGAGGGTACAAGCTTCATCTCCAAATCTTTCTCGGCACAATACGCGGGTGCCACTGACGCCGGTCTAATCCGTGGTGGTTACCACTTTGCCCAGCCCGGCAGCAGCAGCGGTGCCGCACAAGCCAAGTACTTCCTTGCTCACGGTGGAGGTTGGTCCGATGATGGTAAAACCCTACCCGGTATGCTGGACATTGAATACAACCCATCCGGTGCAACCTGCTATGGGCTCAGCCAGTCTGCCATGGTTTCCTGGATCAAGGACTTTGGCGAGACCTACAAGGGCACCGCTGGTCGGTACCCTATGATCTACACCACCACTGACTGGTGGAACACTTGCACCGGTGGCAGCACGGCATTCGGTAACGACTACCCCTTGGTTCTTGCTCGATATGCCGGTTCGGTCGGCACTATCCCCGCTGGCTGGCCTTTCCAAAGCTTCTGGCAGAACTCGGATGCCTACAGCTTCGGAGGTGATTCGGAAATTTGGAATGGCACCGAAGAATCTCTGAAGAAGTTCGCCAAGACCGCTGCTTGAACCAATTGGTTTTAGAATCTCTCATTAAGATGTATATATATCTATTTGGATTGTGAATTTTGTTTGTGCAAATAATTATGTCGATGAGCTGTTTTTACATCTTTGATGGAACGGCACTGGAATTGATTGTCCTTATGTACCAGATCCATCCTAAGCTTCAAAGAGTAAAAGTAATAAGGACTTGCAGTACTTGACAGGTTTATGTATTCTAGAAAGCCTTTTTATCAAATGGGGATCATATCTTCTATTACTATACAATTTAACCCACTTCATATACCCACACCTACCGATGATGGATAGTGACTCATCATGGTTCATCATGACAAACTACCAACCTTCCAAGGTTGGAAGGTTAAAACGTTGTATACACGTGACTAATATCGAATTATACTTAAATCATCCCTTGTCTAAACAATTTGCTTCTAATGGGTAAAAGAGTTTCAAGCAATAATGACATATCTCGGTTTCTCCTCAGATGGCTCTTTTGTGAAAGGTCTCTCTGCCATATATCTTTTGGTAACAGCCCTCTCGGGGTTCATTGTTGTCCTCGCATGGCGCTGGGTAGCAAAACCGACAATACCCATTGTAAACTCATACTCCGGTGATATAAATTCGAAAAAGGCTCAGTCAATATTTATATCAGATGCCAGGGGTTTGATTAAGGAAGGAATCCAGAAGGTAAGTTGGCTAGCTTCCTACACGAACACTACAGCTAATGTATACGCCTCAGTTTAATGGCCCATTTCGCATCATAACCACTCGTGGCTCTCGGGTAATTCTCCCGGCCTCTTATACAGAGTGGGTAAAGAATTGTCTGGATTTAGATCATCAGGCGCTTGTACACGATGTAAGTTGCAGCTCCCTTCACTAATGAGAGATGGAAACTGACGAGACACGATTTCATAAAGGAATATTTCGCAGCATACCCGGGGATGGAAGGACAAAGGACTGTCACTGATCCCAGAAAGATTCTGATAAATGTCACCAAAACGAAACTGAATAATCAAAACAGTCGTACGTGACATCTTTAGAGCCATTGTTCACATTAACTCACTAACATGGCCTTCCCTCACAGAGTGTAAGCTGTTCCATGAACACCTTACGGAGGCTCTAGAAGAGATCTGGACAGATTGTAGCGGTAAGCTTGCTCTATATTGTGCCGGAATGTTTGATTGACTTATCATACAGATTGGCACACCGTTGATTGGTCTCAGCACGCAGTCCGCTTCATCGGGCGAATGTCAGCATCTGTTTTTGTCGGACCTGAATTAGCTCGCGATCCTAAATGGCAAGAATTAATTCTTACTTCGACGATAAATACCTTTATGGGGGTTCGGTCTCTCCGCGCTTGGCCAGCTTTCCTTCGTCCACTGGTTCATTGGTTTTTGCCAGAACTCAGAAAGTGCCGTCAGCAACTTCGTCTTGCTCGTCTTATATTGCAGCCAATCTTCGACCGCAGGGGTTATGGGAAATCCCGTTCTATTAGTCCTGATAAGGTCGAAAAGTGCGAGGATACCATACGGTGGCTTGAAGAAATCGCTGCCGGACGCCCCTACGATGCCGCTGCAGCGCAAATCGCATTCGCGATAAGCGCAATGCACACGACGTCTGAACTTCTTAAACAGACGCTACTGGATATTTGTATGCACCCAGAACTGATTCCAGTTCTACGAGATGAAGCACAGAAAGCTGTCGAAGAGAGTGGATGGACAACTGCAGCCGTTTTCAAGATGCAGCTACTGGACAGCGCAGTAAAGGAAACACAACGGCTCAAACCAGGGTCTTTAGGTATGTTTCCCTTCAACTCATCAATGCTCCTATATCAAAGCATTAAACTCACACTCTCACAGTAAATCTTGAGCGAAAAGCCCTACAAGATGTCGTCCTTCCCAAGGGCTCGATTATCCCTCGCGGAACAAATGTTGCCGTTGATTCATCCATGATGTGGGATCCAGCAATTTACCCCAATCCATCGTCTTATGATGCCTACCGTTTCCTTCGTCTTCGCAACTCCGGTAATACTGCGGCAGCACTCGCATCCACCAGCCCGGAACATATTGCCTTTGGAATCGGCAAGCCAATCTGTCCAGGGAGATTCTTTGCTAGCAATGAAGTCAAGATTGCTGTTGCTAAGATTCTTTTGACTTACGATGTCAGGATTCCTGAAGGGATGACACCCAAGATTATTGAGATGGGGTTTGAAATGCTGAGTGATCCAGATGCAAAGCTGGAGATTCGGAAGCGAAAGTGAAAAATCACTTTTGAAATATAAATTCATTACCGTGTACTATATAGAACAATATAAACCAATACATCTTTAACATAATTCTACAAAAAAAAAATTGAAAGAGAGCTGAGAGTGGGCGGACCCTCGGGGTACCGATGGGGATTAGTGTGTCTCTCCTGAACTCGCCTCTTATATCCTCGGAACTCCCATAAGATTCTAGATATTCTTTCCTTTCGGAGCTTTTTATCTGATTTTATCTAAGAATCATGGATCTCATCAAATATGCCACTGAGGCCGATGGACCAGGACTTGCCAAAGTCAACGTCCAAAGCTTTCAAAACCATCTCCTCGGAGAACTTTTTCCAGGGGCCAGCTCGACGAGAATTCAGGAATACAAAATGATTGTAGGAATGAAACATCTTGCCGACCCCAATATGCACGTTCTCAAGATTCATGATCCAGTCACTGGAGAGCTGGCGACCTACAGCCGTTGGCATTTCCCAGCTTCATTTGGTCCCAGTCTGGTTACCCTAAGTGAAGAGGCGGCCACTGTGGCCAAGGACCCTATTTCACATGCACCCCAGCCAATGAATGGGGAACTTTTTAATGCCTTTAAAACGCTCCTTGGGGAGGCTCGCAAGCGACACACCACAGAGAACGATATCAGTAAGTGAAGCCCCGCATTCCCGATAGGGGATCTTACTCAAATGTTTCATTAGTCCTCGATCTGTTAGCAACCCTGCCTGAATATCAAGGACGAGGTTTCGGCTCTGCTATCTTGAAATGGGGCATGGAAAAGGCAGATGCCTCTCAGTCGCGCATCTTCCTCGAGGGTACGCCGGAAGGTGTTCCTCTCTACCTCAAGCATGGATGGAAGCTAGTAGAGGAAGTGACTCTGGATTACACATTTAGTAATGATGAGCAAAAGTCATTTTTCCTGATGATGAGAGATCCAGTTTCAAAATAAAGAGTGCAGGGTATAAATCTACTTTGGAGAATTGAATAGCCGAGGCACATTTACTGAAAGAAGCTTGAAGTAAACTACCATACTCCAATACATTATAAACATCTTTTGCCAATATTTGTTTTTAAATCACACATATGTTTACAGGCATTATAGTGTATATATATATATATATATATATATATATGTACATGAAATCATTCTACTAATAGTTGAGTGGATAAACGAATAGCCCGGAAACGCGGGGGGAATTTCTCGCATTTCCCACGTTGACTCTTTTCGCTCTCGCATATATTCATTCTTTAACAATGGCTCAACTCAAGTTTGCAATCCTTGACGACTATCAGAATATTGCACCTGCTTATTTCACTCACCTTGAGTCGCGAATTGACATTTCCAGTTTTCCTGAAACCCTCGACCCCCGCGATCCTGTACAACACGATGCTCTTGTCCAACGACTCCTTCCCTTCGATATCATCTTGGCGATGCGCGAGCGAACACCTTTTACAGCACAGACAATCAAAGCGCTCCCAAAGTTGAAACTCCTTTTGACCACGGGTACCCGAAACCTAGCGCTCGATCTTGAGGCATTTACACGTTCCAACGTGGTCGTCGCAGGCACCGAGGGCCGCCCACCCGGTGTCAATTCGACAGTTCAGCATACATGGGCTTTGATCCTGGGTCTTGTTCGAAATATAGCACGCGATGATGCAGCTGTCAAACGCGGCGCATGGCAGGGCTCCCTCGGGGTCAACTTGTCTGGGAAGACACTGGGTCTATTAGGCTTGGGAAAACTGGGGTCACAAGTAGGAAATATTGGCGCTCTCGCTTTTGGGATGAATATTATCGCATGGTCAACAAACTTGACACAGGAAAAGGCTGATGAGCAAGCGCGCGCTCAGGGTCTGCCAGCGGGGACATTTGCCGTTGCTGCATCCAAAGAAGAATTCTTCGCACATGCCGATATCGTCAGTATACACAGTGTTCTATCAGATCGAAGCCGTGGAATTGTGGGTGCAGCTGAAATAGCAAATATGCGATCGTCTGCATTTATTATCAATACCTCGCGTGGGCCCTTGATTGAGGAGCAGGCCCTTCTCGAAGCCTTGAATGCGGGCCGCATTCGTGGTGCCGCATTAGATGTCTTTGACCCGGAACCATTGCCTCTCGATAGCCCATGGCGAACTACCCCCTGGGGACAAGACGGACGCAGTGAAGTTCTGCTTTCCCCCCACATGGGATATGGAGAAGAAGATCTATTGCGGGGGTGGTATCGGGAAACCGCCGAGAATTTAGAACGGTGGTTGAATGGACAAGAGCTACTACATAAGATGAACTAAATAATAGACATTAAAAAAAAAATTCAATTCAAAAAGGATGAAAGGAACAAAGGACTTGAATGACAGGGTATAGTCAAATTACCGTTTCCGGTAAGAAGCCGAGAATGTGGGATGTTCTGCATGTGGACGCTCACCGAATGACCAATTCGTATGATCAGCCACTTTAATTCCACGTTTCAAGTCTTAAAGGTGTAAACACTGGGGTATATTAACATAATTGCACGGTATTGTGTTAATAGTGCCTCGGTCTTCTGTGCGGAAAGACCTCGGTTGAAAGGAACAATGTGAGATCTCCAGATGTCTCTTCTCTAATACATCTTCTTAATAAAACCCCAATTATTTCTCCTTTTTCCCGATTCACCTCAAAGATTCCAATCTCATTCTATTATCTTACTATATTCTCCTCCATTCTCTTCTCCATACCTCCCTCACTATGGCTCCATCCGCCGATCCCGTTCCTGTGCCCACCCTTGCCAACTTCCCTCCTCCGACCCATCCCGAATGTCTGCGTGTCAACCGCAGTACAAAGGCATTTGCCAGTGGAGCTTATTCTCTCGTTGACCTCCCCGCGGGTGCGGTCTTCGCCAAGATTACTACGGCAACTCCCGGAAAGAAGGCCTACACAAGTGTGCAAACTGGCCGCGACACCCATATCGAACTCAATTCCGACCTAGTCTACTGCAACCACTCATGTGCACCATCATTGGTCTTTGACATGGCCCGTATGGAGGTGCGGGTCGTGGACGACCGTCCTTTGAAGATCGATGATGCCCTCACCTTCTTCTACCCCAGCACCGAGTGGGATATGGACCAGGCATTCCAGTGTACCTGCGGGGCAGGTGAAGGAGTCTGCAGAGGCTACATCTCTGGGGCCAAGAACATGTCCAGCGATCAGTTGAAGGGCTACTGGCTCAATGACCATATTTCCGAATTGTTGAATGAGAAGGCCAATTGAGAACTTGTGCTTAGCGAAAAGATATCCAAAAAATATCCGATAGATAATAGATACCAGCGTTGAGATAATTACAATATATATTCTCATGCCCAATTTCAACTACCAGCTCCACCAATCATTGCAAATTGAATCAACCTACGTCGGTCAATCTCCTTCTTCAACATCATCAAACAGCTTGCAACAATGACCGCCTCGTCCAGCTCAAAGAACTGTAACGCAGCTGTATCAATCTGCAATTCACCCCCATTGCCCGCAGAAGATCGCGACGTTCCGGGCGTACGAGAATCCTCTCCACGAACTAGCTGTGCAATCCGGCCCTCAATTGTTTTCTTCATACCCTTCTCTTCCACTGCACGGAAAACAATCAAATTGACCTTCTGTCCATCTGCCCTTTTTTCCTTGGCATATTCCCATTCGAACTGTTTACCTCCAGGCATACTAAAGCGCGTTGTTCGAGAGGTCCATTTCCCAGTTGCAATCACTTCCTCGGGAATACCGGAATGCAGGAGGTGCATAACGGGATCACGGCTCGGACCGAAGAAGTATTCGGTTCGGATAAGACTTCCGCGCTTTGGGTGGGACAAGGTCGCATTGCCTGAGGAAGGCTTGTCACGCGTGGAGACATAGGCCTCGGTGTTGTCTTGATTGTAGATAACAATCTCAGTTTGGCGAGATGGTAGTGGGAGACGAATGGCTCCAATACCTTGTGCATCAATGGTTAAAAAGCGTGATGGGTAAAAAGATGGACCCTCGAGTGTGCTTAGAGTACTGTTGGACCTTATAGAGGAGGAGGAGTGAACCTCCATCTTCTGATCAAGAGAGGTCATTATGAGAGTGATTTGATTTCTTTGACCTCTAAGTGCTCTTGGGCGTCTATATATTATTTTACATCAATACGAGACTTTCCTATTTGGGATTTATCAGTTCAAACTTCCATTTCTTGGCTTTCCCTCTCTTCTTCTCCCATTTGTTCGTATTAGACCTACTGAGCCTCATTTGCATAGCCCACTTTCTAGAGCAAGGCAAATCGCCTGAAACTTATTTCCCCATCCCAAAGCCAAAAAAAAAAAAGGATACGATCTTACAACATACAGACTTCGATGGCTGTGAGAGCGCCTATTATGGATACAGCAGGCGAGCTGCGGAACATCTCACAGCCACTGTGAGTCAAATTTCATCGGATATTTTAAGCCCAAAGACAAGTTTCAGCCAAACCATGTCAGAGAAACTGCTCAAGGAGATGATGGGAGACTACTTGGATCTCCGGTCTGATTTTCCTAATTGGGTATTCCGAGTCCACACAGCCCCTTTCGGCTTTCCCGTTCAATTGGTCTCTTCCAATTCCCATTCCTTTAAGTCTTCTCAGTCACTAAATCAATTTGCCTTTCATCCAATTGGGCTTGTGGTTTAGTGGTATAATACTCCCTTAGCATGGGAGTGGTCCAGGGTTCGATTCCCTGCAAGTCCATATTTTTTGGTGTTTTACTATATTCAGGTATATTTTTGATCTATTTTGTTGACATCTATATATCTTAGGTCTAATGCCTATCTCCCTCAGCTGACACTACCTCTATATCTATATTCCAATCACACTCGAGTCCAAATATCTTGTGCAGTCAGCAGTGTACTCAACACCATGGTCGATCCAACCACCACGTCTCCAGTGGGCATCCATCCCAAAAGCTCTAACGGGATGAACAAATCACAGGAATCCACCACGATCTGCTTGACTCGGGCAGAGGCAACAGTCGCTTTAGCCGGGGGAGCCTTCTCAGAGATCTTCTGGTTATTTTTCTTGCCATTCTTCTTAGAAGGCTGCTCCGCGGAACCGACAAGAAGCGCCCAAATACCTCCAGCAACAGAGAAAGCGAGCGCATAGAACCAGAAAGTATTGGCCTGGTCCATGACACGGCCATTCCAGGAAACTGCATAAACACCCATCGCGTGAAGCTAGCCCGTCAGTCTAGTTCACCGAAAAGAAAGTAAGTAACATACCGTGGTCAGGTCTTCCAGGACAAAGTAAAGACCAAAGCAAGTGCATTTAGCCAGTTCTAGCATCCCAGCCACAGAACTGAAGCCATCTTTGCCCAGCAAGGCAGACATACGCTGGAAGGAGTCAATGAATCCAAAGAACCGGAAATATCTCCGCGCTACGCAGGTACTCCAGTATCAGCATATATAACAATCAATTGAAGCGCATAGCTCTCCATCGGACATTAGAATTCAACTTACCCAATGCCAATTGCAGCTTGACCGTGGTCAATTGCACGGCCAGAGTACTGCTCATGGTGAGTGCAGCAACGACCTGTGACAGGCATTGGATCAGACGAAGGGTCTTTTCAAGACCAGCGCCTGATTTAACAAAACGAGAAAAGTGTTGGATCATTATAACCCTGCTACAAGCCCTAGGAACAATACACTCTTAAAGGATAGGGGTGTCGGTGTGTCAAAGGCTTGGAAGTGGGCTAATCTGGCCTGCACTAGTGTTGCTTATTCAGCCTTTGCATGTTCGAGAAGTAATGTATACTTTATGTGTTATCAAATATTAATTATCGTTTAAAATGGGTTATCCGGTGTGGTCTAGGCGTGATTGTAGTTGGCTAGTAGTTCTATGTTAAAAGATATATATAGACCGACAGCTCAAGAGGTCCAACACTACAAAAACAAATTAGACATAATGGTCTTCGCATATCATAAAAATAAAACAATTGACACGCAAAATGAACAATGCTTGCAAAATAGTAGGAATATATCAGTCCGTCAGCTATTCACGAGCAGGTTCATCAAACTCGCTCGACAATATTTCGGAGTCTCTGCTCTACCGCCCTTTGCCGCCCGAGATATCCTGACCCAGACGATATCCACCGACCTTCTCCCACTCTACTTTCTGTCGTGTAATGGGAAGCTGCCTCCGGAGACCCTTGAACACGCCCTCAGATGTTTGGACAAAGGCCCGGTTCAACGCTTCCTGATAGTCACGCTCCGCCGTAGCAATCCGCGAGACAATAGACTCAGCGGATACGGAGGGGATGGAAACGTTGATAGGCTTAGTAGTGTTGAGGGCAACGTTGCCATCTTCGTAGTAGTGCACGTCAACGTGAATGTTGCCAGTCAGGGTAGAGGATGAGGAGGAAACGGGAAGTTGATAAATTGCGCGGAAACGACCGTTCCTATTGTGATAGAACAGACAATCCTCCCCAGACAGGGAAGCGCCGATAACGATTAGTTCCCATTCAAATGTTAGTCGTATAGATTGTAACCACTCACCAGAAGTTGTTGGGAGAGTATCGGTTGGAGACCAACACGATGGCAACGGCGGAATCGTTCTCAATGGGGTAGACACCATATGAGCAGTTAGGGTAGTGTTCACGGGCATGAGCACCGAACGACTTGAGCAGCGATTTGCTAAACACGGTAAGCGGGATACACCAAGACTTCAACCAAGATCATTTCTTACATCAAGTCCGCATTCTCTGACTCCAATGGGTATGATTGTGCCGCAGAGGCAGTCTATTGCCATAGTGCAAACTCGTAAGCCTTCAATGTACTGCGCTAGTTGGTTAGACGAAACATACCTGTGTAGTGTGGTCGACCTCGAACGAGGTTTGGCTCTCGGGGTCGAAGTAGCGGTTATCCTCGAGCTGGTTAAATTCACTAACAATGACCTTCCCATCAAAAGTGTCAGCTCCACTGCAGACATAGATCACACCTTCGAGCGAAACCCACCTCCTGGCTTGATCCTGGCAATTTCACCGTTGCGAGCTGCGTTTCGTTGTACCGTTTGAATGCGGGTAGAAGGGAGGGAATGATATCATCGCCATCGGAAGTCAAGGCTTGCACATCTAATTAAGTAGTAGGGATCAGCATCGCCGTTCGTGTAGGAGTTGGTGTTAAGGGGATCTGGAAAGGCAGTGTAACGCTAAGAGGGCCATTTACCGGCGACGACATCGGCGAGCTGATAAAAAACAAGTCAGCGATCATACCTTGAGCTTTAGAGGAATGATGACTAGGGGAGTGGGGGATCCTGGGTCATTGTTGACATGCATACCTCTCCGGGCGGGGCACCCTCGATGAAGGAGGACGCCAGGTCAACAGTGGAAGGCATGGTGTAGGAGAATACGATCAAGGTATTGAATATCGAGCGATAGGATCAAGCACAATTGAACTACCTGAGAAGTACTGGAGCTTGGAAGTGTGGTGATTGGGAATCTGCGGAGAGAAAGCTGTCGGAGGCGGAGAGCGATAAGCACGTGGTTTACGATACAGGAACTATCAACATTGAAGGTAAAGAACTAGAAGAGAAGTACAACATTGAATGATTCATAAATTAAATTGCCATGAGGTATCTGAAACGCTAAAATAACGAATGTGTATCCTGCTTGAAAATCCAGACACCATACACCTAAAACGCTTTCCAAAGAAAACAAAATGCCCGTAAACCCCGAGGACCCACGAAGAATATCAAATTCAAAAGCGCCTTTTAATCAATGCTCATATTCATAAAGCCATCGCTGGCTTCGGTCATCCCTTGCAGGCCGACGCGTTTCACACCTCCTGGATGAGCTATTGTTCGATTGCTCGTTTCAGAACTGAGTCGTTCAGAGAACGGGGCACCGAGGCCAGGCTTTGGTGGAGGACCCCAGATGTTTGGGCCCATATCACTGACGGTGTGGGAGTGAGTCATCACTGGACTGCTCTGAACACTCACACTGGGCGAAACAGCCCGGCGCTTGAAAAGATTAGGGTCGAAGTCATCGTCACGACGCCGCTTGCGACATATCTCCCCAATACTTGGCATACCCGGCGCATGGGGGGTAGAAGAGCGGGAACGATGCTTGAAGGATTCCGCGGTAACAGAGCCAATGGTCGTAGAGGGAGTCATATCCATAAACATATCCTCATCAGCCAAAGACGGGGGGCCTTCCTGACGAACCGGGGGAGGGGTTCGGTAACGTCCGTCGAATGAGTTCCAAAAGGCGACGCCGCCCGAGTTACGACTAGCTTGTTTACCAAAAGTATCCGTAGATGCTGTGTCCATTCCCACTTTGACCGCGGTATCTTCTGACGGTGTCGAATCAAGTGAGGTCGAGGGCTGCAATGATGGGAACTCGCCGAGTGCAGGAGTTGGCTCGGGCTCGGTGTCGCGGACCTGCCGGACCACTTCTGCTTCTCGTTTCATATCGCTATCAACTGGAGCACCCTCCTCCATTAGAGCGGCACGAATGCGCGCAAATGTCTTGGTTTTGGGCTGTCACTGGAGTTAATTTCTGGACCACTAAAGCAGAAAAAAACCACTTACAAGTAAGCTCCCACGTCGGGTCACTGCGCGACGGATTACTCCCAATGGACCACCACCTTCCGGGTGCGGGGTTGGAATTGGGCTTCCACCCCGTGTCGCACGACTCTCGCTGTCATCACTCATATCAGACAAACGCAGGTCGCGTGCGCCAAAGCTGAGACTCTCTCTGCGTGAATGCACACTCTGTCGCGGGGCAAAGTAACCCCCACTGGAGTGCTCGACACTCTTCATGATGGGTGGAGAGTGAGGGGCAGGACTATGCTTTGAACTGTTTCCACTCGCACTGCTAGAGCTATGGCGACTGCGGCCTTTGCGAAAGCGAGCGCGTTGGAAACTCATCAAGCTGGCAGCGGCTTGTGAGTATCCTCCCATCCACTCATTGCCCGGGCTCTGCATATTGCTAGCAAACGGACTCGGCGCACTTAAGCGGGTCGCCTGCGGTGTATTGAGCATGATATCATCCCGATCGGCCATTGACTCATCTTCGCTACTACTTGTGTCCGACTCCATCATATTCACACTCGACATGGAGCTCGAGATGGTTGTACGGTCGCCCGGACCCGAGGTTGAAAATAATGGAACGGATGTCGCTCCAAGTGATCCGCGTCGCTGGGGTATTGCCATGCCCCGCCCTCCAACGGTGGGAGACGAATCCGGGGACGACTCGGCTAGAGTGGAATGGTGGAGATTCGTACATGCGCGTGAGAAGTCGAGCCCCCGAGATCGTCGAGGGAGAACAGACCCGGGAGATCCGTAGATATGTGATGGGTCAAGTTTAGGAGAGAGAGGAGCGCGGTTTGTAAGTGATGGCGACGCGGCTGGTTTGGAAGGCAAGTTTAGCGAGAGGCTCGAATGAGCCACACTTGATCTTCGAGGGGTTGCAGGGAGGACAGGTATGGAAGTATCGTCTTTGCTAGACCGGCTGAGATCACCAGTGGATGGTTGAGAGGGTGTAGGTCTGGACGCATCAGATAATGAACGCGACTTCGGAGAGCGTGACGGTTCGAGTTGGTGTTCTAGATCAGTTTGATGAGGTTGAGCTAATTGTTGACTGAGTTTGCTTTCAAACCCATGGGCCGATACACTGCGCCCCGGCGCTGGTGGTCGCACCTGCGCCATATTCAAGTCACTTTGGTCTGATTGAGCGATACAGAGCAAGGGTGTATGGTGAAGGGCATCATTCGTCAGCACCGAGGCAGGAAAATGGGCTCAACACCACAGTTAATGCCCGAAGAGCACATGGGCTGTGTTTTATAATAAGATCTTCACAGTATTCGGGTCGATGTGAGGTCTACATTACATCGCAGGTCGCTGCTCTGAGCGGTTAACGAGATCAGATGACATGCGCTAACCCGATCCGGACAAACCCCTCCTACATACATGTAGTGAGTGATCTATACAGATATTGTGTTCTATACTTTCCATGTGTATAGGATTTGAAATCCATTCAATATCCAACGTTTCTATCATTTACAGAAGGTTTCGCTTGCTCGTTCTTCCTCATTCCCTATGCCAGACTCATGGCATTGCTGATCGGTACTACATGCCATTCCCAATCATTGCATTGATTCTGCAGAGTGGTTCCTTTCATCAAATCTGAATCGCGTGTCTGCCATAGCTTGGTAATCACTGCCCGTGTTCTAGCAATGTTTGAGATCGTTGAATCAGCCATTGTTGCTAGGGAACGTAGCACAATCGCTCGTCCCGATCCCGATTCCATTTCAGATTCCGGGAAGACCTCGTCATCAGATGGGTCAAGCTCCACAGCTGCCACAAATACTGGCCATGTCACATTGACCAGCGACTTGCGGTCGAGGAGGTCGGATATAAGGCGCAGAATTTGGCGCACATAACTCTTCACCAATGGTGTGGTGGGACCAGCCCCATACAGAGAACAATGCAAGTAAAGCATTGCAGCCAGCCGCTTAGAATCTGCAACCAGTGCGAGAATTTCGTCGTCACCATCTCCCACCTCTTGGACTAAGTTCTCCAGTTGGCGTTCAAGGGAAGCAGCACGCAGTGAGAATGATGCCTTGTCCTCATCGGACGTATTTTGTCTCCTCGTTCGACTCATATCTGTGATTTTGGCCAGGATTGAGACTAGTTCAGGACTACATCCCATCCAAAGATCAATGTTGCGTTCGTCCGGTTTCCAGTAGTCGGTACCAAATAAGACCTCTTTGGCACAAGCGGTTCGACCCATGACATCCTGGAAGGCAAAGAATTGCTCTGCAAAACTCGTCACAGGATCCGACGGGACAGTTGATTGAGTTAATCTCATTTGTTGTTTTCTTCGCAGTCGAATTAAATCGTTGGCGCCTTTGAGGTGGATGGTCCATTGTTGATCACACTTGTCCACTATCTCGTACAAACATAGCATGATCATGATAATCAGTACTTCAGGATCCATGGAACATGTCAAAGTTCCCTCCGACGAAAGACGTTGACGAAGGTCCCTCAAAGCTTCTGATTTATAACGTAGGCCGATTGAACTATAGCCTGGATTGAGCCTTGACCAATGGCATGCCCCTAACGCTTGAATGGCCTTGAAAAGCGTGGGAGAAGCCGATAGACAGAATGGTAAGATCACAGAGGCGAACGGCGAAGGAAATGCGGAGCTGGCGGCTGTGCGAGGGCACACTTGTTGAAGATAGTAATCAAATAGCTCTCCGTGCCCAGACTTCGATAGTTCTGGAAACAGTGCAAGAGATGGTGGAAGGCTTGGATTGAAATCCATGTTAAGCGCGCTGAGTTGTGGAAAATGTTGTAGCCAGGACCATAATTGGGGTGAGTAGGAGGTCTGAGCAACTGATACCAGTGCATTCAACTCATCGAAGTCAACGTTCACTTCACCTGGGCGTTCGAAAGTCGAAATACTGCTGTTGATGAAGCCCCAAGGGCCAATAGTTGGCACTGGGCACCACTCACGCATTTCCGAAGAAAGCGAGCCATATGTAGGTTGATTTGCGCCAGATTTGTTCCAAACACCTGCACGCCCAAAAGCTGCTCCACGACTGATGAATTCCGATTCCCATTTCAAAACCAGATTTTTCATACATGGTAGTCCTTTCTCCTGGCAACGTGTGCAAATTGGCTTTTTGGTGTCACATCGGACACGGCTCTCCCGGCATTCTTTGCATCCATCGCGAGATCGGGTCTTCACCGGACCTGTGCGGTCTCCAGCTTTTCTTCGTGGCATACGAGTTCCAAATTTGGGATATATAAACTTCACATGGTATGTAGCAGCCTGTGCTTAGGATAGTCCACTGGTAATGTGATGGTTGAAGTTGGCAAAGAAAATTGGGGGTGGCGGATAAGAGCCACCCCACCAAATCTGATTGTACTATGAGTACAGAGTACTTCGTAGAAGATTATAGATCCACAAGAATGAATTGAATAACAATATTCTAAGCATGATTTTTTTTCCACTCTGCCGCACAATCACCAAATGTCACAAATTCAACATCTTGCTGTTTGAGCCACGAAATCATTCGGTCAATCATCCCAACCACATGAGCCATTCCACTCGTATCTGGGTGTAGAACCAAAGGGAAAACAAAGCCTTGATCGGCATCTTCTTCAATTGATTTTTCAAGAGCCTCACTGTAGAGGAACTCAAATCGTGACTTCCAATTCTGCTCAATGATGGCGGAACTAACGAAGCCATGCGAGGAGGGGTTCCCATTGAAATATTGCATAGGGGTCATATCCTCCATATACCAATTACATGGAATTTCAACTAGTGTCTCGGGAGTCCTGGCTGCAGCGGCAGGAAGGGGCTTCATCCAAGTAGAAGCAGACTTGGAAGGAGAAAAGTCAATAGCATCGGGCTCTGACATTCGAGGGACAAAGTACAATGACGAATCATGATGCGTGAGAGAGGAATCTGGTCTGTATTTAGTTTCCTGGTAGGTATATGATATGAGCAAAGTAGTATACCGTATAAAAATCCAAACTCCTCTAAGACTTGAATGGTGTGTGTTCGCAACTGATATAATGGCGCCCTCCATCCTTGAGGTTTCTTTCCGGTTAAGTCGGTTGCCAGCTGCACACATTTGGCGATGACCTCTCTCTCTTGTGATTCAGTCATTTGACTGGAGCCCTCATGTGCATATCCATGGCAACCGATTTCGGCGCCCGACTGAACAATTGCTTTGGTCTCTTCTGGGAATGATTCCATTGAATGACCGGGCACAAACCAAGTCACTGAAGAACTAATTTCATGCTTCTTGAAGAGGCGCAATAAGCGTGGCACTCCGACTTGAGCTGCGAAAAAGCCACTACTGTAATCGGCCAGATTGGTTGTATCCGAAGCACCAGTCCCTAGAAAGCCCGACACAGCATCGAAATCCACGGAGAGCAGAATCTGGACTTTTGGTTTCCGAGAAGAAGTCATTTGAAGTAAAGCTAAGTGTATCAATATGCAATATGATTTTAAGTGAAAAAGATGAAGGTAAAGATAAAGGGGTTATGAAAGGTGATGAATGTTATAAGACAAGTCAGACAAGTCAGAACCCGAGAGGGAAAGACGACCCGACTGGATCCACCCAACCTTGCTCCTTGGAACAACATCTTGTCTTTGTTAGCATTTTAATTCGAGAGACAACATGTTGATTCAGATTCAACAAGTCTACTTTGGTTATTCTCTTGATTCGACACAGCAACATCTAAACTTGGGTTTCCCGTAAAGAAGTTGACCGGCTTGAGACCAACTACCATCTTTTCAGATGGCATTACTGGCCAATCCTCGATTCTTGGATTGTGTGTCGATCCAAATGTGTGCCAAATAACAATGTCTTCATTTCGCACTGTTGACTTGGAGTCCGGGTCATTTCTCCGTTGAGCAATTGCCGAATTGATCCCTTCACCACCAAGCGACTGCATAGTATGTTTTCCGGCCGGGAAAAGCTCGTCATCGTGATAGCGTGTGATCCAGATTGCATGGTTTCCATATTCAGATCGCTTTGCATGGAAAGACTCTGGATGGGCTAGTAGCAGTTGGCTATAGCATGGAACGAGTTTGAAACCAACCGGTGTGCCGGTGATCGGATTGACTTTGGCCTCATTGATGATTTTGAAAGTGCGATTCTTGTTAAAATCAAGATCTAGTCCTCCCTCCTCTGTAACAACCTCTGAATGTGTTGTGTATCCGACCCCGAAAGGATTTCGAACGGATGGGTCGTTGAAGGGCAAAGGGTTGGACTCTTCCACCTGCAACGAGTTTGCAATTCCATCAATGGCAGGATCGATGCGAAGAGAGAACAAGTGCTGATGATATGGAGCAAGGACACCCGGGGCAACAATAGTACCATATCCAACTTCGTCCCCGATGTTGATAGGACTGGTAGACAAGATTCCAGTGGCTCGAACTTCATAATGAATCGAAGCATCTTGGCCAAAGTGGAAAGCAAAGATGTACTCATAGTTGCTAACTGTGATGATTGTCTGCAACACCAGGATACGTGATCTTACCACCGCGGCATTTCCTGTGCGGAAGTTCGTGTGCTTCCATAAAATCCCATCGTCCTGCTCATGGCAGCAGACGACATTGGGCAATTTCAATGGTTCCCCCGAGGAAGTGTTGTGCCACCCATCAAAATATTTTATTAATCCTAGGCAGTCACATCCAAGAGATAAGTTGTTCGCGTTAATCCCAGCACCATCGTTCCCAAGGTCAAATGCAGCTTTGCGTGGAAACGGAGCACGAGGATCACCGTAAGGCACAAACATCTCTGCCAAAGAAAGACGGTAGAAGAGACTCCTCCCATTATAACGGATGTCATGCAATGTGAGACCCTCACGATAGTTGAAACCCATGCGCATAGTCCATTTCTCCCAGGTCAACAGGTTTCCGTGTGACTCGAAGGAAACCCCATCTGGCTGGACAACCTGGTAGGGTTTGGTGGTTGTGCGCGGTGGTGGTCGTAAACTCGGATGATATTCACTCATAGCAGCGGAATGGATCTTGCAAGGGTCATATGGTCGTGCATCTTCATGGACCCTCTCACTCTCCGATGAAGGCAAATGGTAGACCTTAGTCACCTTGAGTTGCTCAGAGACCTCCGCACACAAGTCAAGTGGATATGCGTAATAGTTGGCGTCTGGATTGTCCACTAGTCGCATATAGAACCAACACTATATATATGTTAGCTAGGTTTGAGATATTGAAATTATTGGACATATACTTACCATGCTAGTCCGCTCTGACATGTCGTTCATGCCATCAGTGGCATAAGCCCACGGTTCAACAACAACCGAGGCCCCTTGAGGTAGCCTCAATTTCCTGATCTCACTTTGCACCCTTTCATCTGCCATACAGGCATTTTCCACATCTTTCATGTATACTGAGTCAATAAACGAGTGTTTTCCCATAAGGATCACTCGTTGGATGACAACACCCCGGTCCAGATCAACCCGAAGCTCGTTGAGTTCATTTGGCCCAGATTCACCACGAACGATCACTTGGACATGAGCGATACGAGCAGGTCGGGAGATTTGGGGCTGGTCAAGATGTTCTCTCTCCAAGAATGATATCATCTCCTGCTTTAAAGGCTCCTTCAGGGTGATGACACGAAAGTTGAAGCTTTTTCCATGGAGCAGCTCTTGAACAACTTTTGCGGCCTACAACATGATTAAAAGGATATTCAACCTTTGTTAGAGATGAGCTACCTTGGTAATTTCCTGGGGCCCAAGAGGATCAAAAGGGTGTATATCAGACATGATGGAAGTATTTAGGTAAAATGATAAAGACAGTTTGATAAATCTGGGCTTTTATAATTCGAACACATCCCAAGAGGATATGCGCGATATCGCTAAGATATAAGTATAACCGAAAAGATTGGCTGGTAAATCGCTAAGGTAAAGAATAGCCGGAGTAGCGATTATCTTCGACTCCAAAGGTTAGAACAATATATTTGTCTCCACAGATATTCTTTTTAGTAAGAATATGATTGAGTTATGTACATAAGGTAGTTACTTACCTAGGTAGGTAGTTATATATATCAAAAAGTATTCGGACAATCTCCGTGGGTTATCTCCGATATCTTCCCCCGCTTCATTTCTTCTTTCTCCCTATATTCACTATGGCTTCAACTCGTACAATCCTGGTCTTTCAGCATGATGCCAGTCTCTACACACTTGAAACCATAGTTACGGCCGTTTCCCCTTTCAATTCCCTCGAAGCATCCAATCGTCAACTCTTCAAAGACGCCAGCGAGGAACATCATGTCATTGTGACCGAGAAGACTATTTTTCACCCCCAAGGGGGCGGTCAACCCTCCGATACGGGTGTGATAAAAGGTTCATCTGGTACTTTCACAGTCACAGCTGTTCGCACGGATGCCAATGGACAGGTGCTTCACTTCGGACTTTTCGAGGGCTCATCTGCTTTCAACAAAGGCGAGACAGTTGAGCAAGCAATTGACGTGGAAAAGCGTTTATTATATTCCCGTTTGCATACTGCAGGACATGTACTAGGGGCATCGGTCCGACACCTTTTGGAGAAAGAAATTGAGAACTTCGATGAGCTGAAAGCCTCACACTTTCCCGACTCGGCAGCATGTGAATTCCACGGCATAATTGAAGGGAAATGGAAGGGGTCTATCCAGAACAAACTGGATGGATATATCGCTGCCAAGATGCCAGTTCAAATCGAATGGTGGGATGAAGAGGATTTCCGCTCACGTGGATTGGAGCGATTGATTCCCGATCGCAGCTTGGTGCCCGAAGGTGAAAAATCTCGTGTGGTTAACATCGTTGGAGCTGAAGTGTACCCTTGCGGAGGCACGCATGTCGATACGACAGATTTGTGTGGACCTGTGACCGTGAAGAAGATTTCAAGAAAACAAGGAAACTCACGAGTCAGCTATGAGGTGAATTGATGTTGATCCGTTTGTTCTTTTTTTTTTGGGAATGATATAGGGAGTGAGCATGATAGAAGTCCTCTAATAGACCAAAATATTCTGAGACCCCAATATGCATTCCACGGCAATGTGAGACAGAAAGATTATACAGTACAAGATCAGACCGATATTGTTCTTGAGATGGCCCAACAGCAAAAGCTCGTTAATAGTGTGAGCAAATACGCTAGAGCAAAAATATAATATTGTGTCCAAAGCGCTTCATCGAGAGGGCTCTGTATCTTGGAGTTCATAGTTTTCCTCCGTATCACCGCGTGGAATGAAAGGCCGCGAGAGAGCCTCTTCATCACCCAACTTAGCAAAGCCATCCGGTCCAGCAAGATCGGCTTTGTCATAGGGAACATCACACATGGTCGACCGCAACGGTGGATAATAGCGGCGGTACGAGAACCAGGCTATTAACATGCCCAAGAGCCCCCCGCACGTCACATCATATACATCATGTCGATAATCGGCCAAACGGGAAAGGGCGACCATCAACGCACAAAGTAATGGAAAGAACGCAAGTAAACAGCGTCCGAGATCAGTTCGAGGGCGGAAGACATGCATTTGGCCACACAAGAAGCTATAGGGTCACGATGGTTAGACCGTAGCGTAGTAGGTTTAGAGAATCACTTACAGATATAGATAGCCTAGACCACCAAAAGAGAAGCTACTATGCCCACTAGGGAAGCTCCTCCACCCCTCTTGTAGAATATGCTGGTTGGATTCTGTGCAGACAGTCCATGCGACCAGCACCTTGTTCGATGTACCCCGGGAGGGTTTGCAGCGCGATAACAAGTCCGGACGTGGTCTTCCCGCCGCATTTTTTATTATGTCCGTCAAAAACGAGGTCAACATCAAAGCCACAAATAGCCCGAGTACTGTCACTTGCGTCTTTTGTACACCAGCGTGAAACAATGCGGACCAAACGAGAATAACCAGGAACGGAATCAGACCAGCGAAGACGACCGACCACACTATTACACTTTAGAATCAAGAGAAGCAGACTCTAGTGGCAATTGACTTACAAACAGGAACTCGTTCGTGGACAGCGAACGGGTACTGAATGGCTCTATTATCCAGCGAAAACATGCGATGGAACGGATTCACAAATAATTGAATCTATTCGTGTATTAGCAAGAAACTGGCCTGTATCCATAATCTGGCAGTATAATTTAAGACTCACTAGTATCCATCCTACCACTAGAAACCCCAATGCAATGTAGTCGGCGGCATAGGTGCGTTGCGCAAAGCGGGCTGCAGCACCAGCGAGTCCAGCACGCTGTAGAATTGGGGTCGACCCATTCCCTGAACCATTAAGAGGCATCCTGCGCAGGACTTGAGAGAGATCTTTAGATCTTCATGGAGAGCATGTCGAGTGAAGAAAGTCAACGTTGACATTCGACACATTGCGGAAGCACAGACCACCTCACCTCTCTCCGCTCTAAGGAACTCCTACGCTCTGCTCACCTTCGCTAACTTTTCTCTCTTTCTCACATTACCACCGCGCTAATAGACATGGCCGACGAGAGCCAACAACGAACCGTGAACACGGCATTTGCGCCCCCGCCGCCCTTATGGAAACACTTTACGCGCGAGAATATCGACAAAGTGGAGCAGATCAAAGCTGAAGCTTCCAGGAGCGAAGATGGACGGTTGAATAAGAACAAGAAATGGTCTCCAGCGGAGCTGCGCGCTTTAGAGATCCCCTCAGAGCTTCGGTACCTGGTGCCGCCCAGCATCCCGGAAGGACAGTACAGCGTCTTTGGCGAATTACAAACCGTTTGTTCCCCCTACATCTGACCTTTGCACCTGACAATACTGACTCTGGAATAGCTCTCTACAGCACTGCCATCATTACAAGAGCAGGGAATTGAACAGCTCTATCCAGAACCCCCCGCAGCCGGTACCGATCAGAACTTGCAGCCCTCGCCCCCTCTCAATCACGCATACTACCTTCTCAAGATCAGCAAATCCCTGCTCCTTAATTTCCTAGAGTTTACCGGTATCTTATCGGTCTCGCCGGAACAATTCGAATCCAAGGTCGAAGACCTGCGTAACTTATTCATCAATGCGCACCACCTTCTCAACCTCTACCGTCCTCACCAAGCCCGCGAATCACTCATCATGATGATGGAAGAGCAGCTCAATCACAGCCGAGAGGAAATGAAACAAATGGACAAAGTCAAGGTGGAGGTTGAGAGCTTACTAGAGCAGTTGCAAGCGGAGGGCAGCCGTGTGGCTGCTGCTGGGTCAGGCGACGATACCGACCAGGCCAAAGCGCTGAAAGAAAAGGCCGACCAGCACTCTCGGCTAATCTGGGATCTCCTGGACAAAGAAAACTGAATTCACCAACGGGTTCGCTTTTTCTGAATTCGAACAGTATTGTTCTCTCCAAGTCAAATGACTGAACTTTCCCTGGCCTATGTGCTTTATGACCAAAAGGTCAACATCGTGTTTGAATGGCCCAACGCGGAAGAATCTCAAGGCAAAGGCTCGTCAATATCCAAGAAGATGGTCCTCGACCATGCGTCGTCCCATGGACACACAAGCTTAGTGGCCTGTTGAATATGACACCTTTATGTGTCGATTGAACCATCATGCGCTTCACATCATCCCAGGGCAGATATTGGTTCCCGCCAATATATCGGGGGCGTTCTATGGTGCTCTAGCCACATCTACCACCAGTGGCCCCTGGTTTTAGGATACTGAGCTATCGGAGTTAAGCTGCCTCAAAATCCCATTAATTCACCCGAGAAGCTAGCAACATGCCGGTTTGAATCTCTAGCGGGGAATTCTTGCCTGCAATTAGAGATCGCATCATATATGAGATATCATTCTATTAAATGCTGCTCAAGCCATCTCTATCGAATGCAAGCCAAATGACCGGTCTTTCTATCAACATTAGTATCTTCGTCAATTCTAAGTACCGCACTCAATAAACTCTGCTAAGTGCAGGCAGTATTATCAACCCGTAAAATAATAGGAAGAGAACCATGTGCAAATCAATAAGAGGCGGCGCGCTGTTCCGCCCAGGCCTTGTCAATGGCACACTCAGCCAATCGCTTCAATTCCACGATGAAATCGGCGACCAACTTGAAGTGAACAAGCTCAGGTTCAGGCAATTTTCGCAAGAAGATACGCTCCATCATAACCGTGGCGACATTCAATCGGCCCAAGTCTTCACGCGAATGTGGATCCAATGGGTTCTGAAGAATGCTGCAGAAGATCGTGAGTAGAGCGGACATAGGGTAAAAGATTAGAGTCCTAAGACGGATTAGCCTGGTGCCCAGATAACAACAAGCATCACATACCAAAAAACCCCGTCGACTACTACATGTTCTGCTGCTTCGAGGTAACATAGACTTGATCGACTGGCCTCTACTGAAAGTGCCATACTTGAACTCACTCCCTCCATCATACCAGTTTGACCTTGCATCCATGCCTTACATCTTCCACTTGCTTGATGGATGATGGTCATGCATAGGTGATAGTTCAGACGCAGCAGAACAGTATGCATACCCATATTTGGATCAGACGTCTCGGAAGAAAAGGACATGGTTGGACGCCACATCGGAGGGACTGATAGCCGCCATTCTTCTAGCGCGTTATCGAGTTCTCGGATTGACTTGAGCAGCTCGGCGTCTGATTTTTGGAGGCAGCTGACTGAATACAGCTCTCGATGCGCTCGACCTTTGATGATACTCAGACGCAAGTCGAATGGAAATACTGGACCGCACCATGGGGCCTCCTCGTTTTCCACGTCCAAGAATGCTCGGTCGAGATAACCCGGTGGAAGTGTCAGATCACAATTTTCATCAGTGATAGTAGGTGGCAGACCCGTGCGCAGTGCGAGATCTTTATCAATCGTGTAGCAAATCCAAAATAGATTCCGCAGTTGTAAATGCTTTTTCTCGCTGCGCTCATCGATCGGGCAGGCTTGGCTGCTAGAAAGATTGCCACCAAGCATGAAAATGAGCCGCGCAGCAACCGCCGCATAGTAGTTCGCTGCCCGCATATTTCCCGAAGACAGCTCAAAGAGAGTCTGTATTCATCTGTCAGTTATCGGGTATTTTACACCAGGGGTGGCTCACTTACCAATATGGTAATAGCCTGCGCTGCATCCAAGCTGGCAGCCTCTTGTAATACTTGGGGCATAAAGAACTGTGCCTTGGTGGCAAATAGATCATGATCGATTGGACTGATCGTAGTCCCTCTGATAAAAGCCTTGACATCAGGGAGACGAGAAACAAAGGTAATAAATGCCATGACACAAACCCTGGCGCTAGCTTGGCCATATTTGAAGGTAGATGGAGATTGACTGAAAGCTGTACTGAGGGTCTCCTCAAAAAGCTCCAGGTCTATAATAGGAAATATGCGCCGCATCACCTTGGAACTCTTATATGCCTGGAAGTACGCCTGCGCCGTTCTCCAGTCGGGAAGTTCATAGGGATTGCAAGTGTTCAAGTTAATGTTCATCAAAACAGTGTTGAAAGTTTGTCCGCGCTCCTTATCCCAAGGTACTCGCGTTGGACAAAGCGTGTCAATTGCAACGTCCTGTCCGGTGCGGGATTTGATCCATTCCTGTCCCTCGGGAAAGAGGAATGGTGTGCCTGTGAGTAAACTGATGGCACCTAACTCTTTGCCGGCGAAGTGAACTCGCACTGATGACGAGTTTGGAGGTTGGGTGCTACTTGGAGAGTTGTTGGCTGTCGTGCTAGCCGTCGTGCTGGTTTCGAAGGATTGAGGTGAGCTTCCAGGCACTTTTTCCAATTAGTATTGGGATGCTCCTAGGTATACCAAAGAGACACTATACCAGAGACCTGATCACTCATTAAGTTCTCTGCCAGAAGCTGCTCGATACGACTAATTCGCTCTGATAGTCGTGAGACTTTGGGGCGTCTTAACTTCAATGTTAGACAGATAGAAGAATAGCCTCAAGGTACAGACTCACCCTTCATCATCGGCATTTTTTCTTTTCCTCTGCACCACTCTGTCGAATGTGCAGGGGATATTATGGTGGCTGCACCAATTACACTGCGGAAGCGCCGCATCACATTTGATCTGGGACTGGTTTAGCGGGATGGACAGTTGATGAATCTACTAATCTACCTTTCTTCTGTAACAGGAATCACAGGCACGAGAAGTTCGTGTCCTCGGGGGATCCTCCGAAGTATTAGAGGCAGGATACATTTGCAATATCTTCAGGGAAATAATTTAAGCTCAAAAGGATTGACCGGAAGATGGAAATGGCTGGACCCGAAAGCCGCTGACGATATACCCGCTGACTCAGTTAGATCCATGGATGCCTCAGGTATCTATTGAAATGATGTTTATATCGAGCAATCTGTAGACTATAACACTGGGAATTAACATCTAGCATATAATTAATTTTACTGGGCTCATATATGCATGTTAAACAGAGCCATTGAAGAGTAATATATTGATATGCTCGGGGTATTGAATCCAGGTTATCAGAGACAGGAATGAAATTAAACGCAGTTATTCCCAATCCCTTTGGACCCTCGTATGCACATATTCTCCACATATTCTCCATTTGACCCTCCACGGGTAGTCAGATCATTCACCCAAGATTCCAACCAGAAAAAAGGATAATGAGATTGAGATGGCAGGCCAGCTCACATCACAGTGCATATACAGCAATCGCACTCTTCATCGCCGCAATCACAGCCAAAGCATGGCTTGGAGACTGACTTGATTGGCTTTTTGATAGAGCTACTGGAGCTGGTAGAAGGAAGGGTGCAGTCGAAAGGGGTTGAAATAGAGGTGACAGCCATGGCGAAGAGGAGGCAGAGGCCTAGATATATTAGATATTGTTAGTCAAGTCCGAAAGAGAGAGATAAAAAGAAAAGCCTGGAACATTATAAAGAGAACGTACCTTCAAGGATAAAAAACAAGGATATAGGGCTGAAGCAACGGGGGTTGGGGGAAATGAAGGGAAAAGTGAAGATTAGGCCCGAGCAGGCAGCAATATATTAAAAATGATCTCCCACTTAACCTCTTTAACCCTCAAAAATTAGATACAATAATATACAACCCCAGAGATATTAAATCAGCTGAAACGACATTTTAATTATCTTCATGTCGATCAAAATGGGACCCGCCACCCACGTCACAGGGATATATAGAATAACAGATATTGTACAAAGACATGATTATATCTCTCTTGGGCTTATTTTATGTCATCTATAAGCACAATTGAAAAATAAAAGAAATATATAGAAACTTTGTACTCTATTAGTATAGATCCCTCTAGAATAAAAATTAGCCTGTACTCATAGAGAGGATATGGGGGTAGTGACACACATGAAGCCCAGACTCAGGCTGATTGCGATAGACATCTTTCCCTTGAAGTCCATGTTAAGATTCTAAATAAAGATCCACGGAAGAAGTGCAGAGTAGAATTTCACAGCAGCACACCAGCCTAAATTGCATGAAGATCAGTACAGAGCTTGTATGAACAGTCGAAGAGAAAATTAAAAACATACATCCGAGCAAAACGGAGACAGGGGTAACTGGGACAACAGTACGGCATGGGATGCGAGGGTCATATATAGATTGAGACGGAAGACGCTGGAACTAGAAGATGATGGCAGTTATCACCGAGACAATACAGGCTGACTGTCAAGATCCATATTGAAATGAGATGCCATCGGTTGGCCAAATCCATGTATACTAGCTATCGTGAGAAAGATAGTGTAAAGAAGTAAAAATACCTAGAGTTGAGTCAGTGTTCGGTCCTAAGACTAGCCCTGGTCGTTGATGGAATAGGAAAAAGCCTACCTAAGCTAGATTGAAGACATGATCGTCCAATCCAAGTACCTTCACGATATATACTCGTGTATAGAGTCTGAGAGGAACCAGAATAAAAGAGAATAAAGTCATAGCCCACATCACCGAAATGGCACGAACGCCTTTCCCAGCCAACATCTTCCAGATTTTGAAAGCCAATTAAATTAGAACTAAGTGTAGATCAATGGAGCCCAGATCTTGCTGGGATGCGAGATCGAGAAGTTAGATGGCATCTTCGAAAGACAAATTCATCCCCTCCCTCAACTTAATAGATTGATAATATTGTGTAAAAGAATACTGACAAACTAAGGGTTGACTTCTTTACACTCCGTCCATCGGTACAAGGGATAGTTACGGTAGAACAGCGAAACAACTGCCGTTGATATGGCTAATCCAGTACATGTACGCACTCCCATTGGAATTGCGATCGTCTATGATATATTAAGGCCAAGGATAGACTAAGCATCATCGGGACGGTAATTAGTTTAGCAACGGTGCATTCTAGCGCTCGCTTAGAGAGTTACAAAGACTAAGGTACTAGCTAGGGTACTTCCAATTGGATATTCCACACTCCGTATTTCGTACTTTTGTGCTTTTTCGCGGTCTTAGCTATTTTGAATACAGCCTGTTCGGCCACTGTCACCGGAGATGAGCCATTTACGAAAATCAATTGAAGTATCAATTATATCCAATTGGCACTAACGGGGTGTATTATGGAGTGCGTCTAGGCCCAGAAATATGGAATATAAAGTATTTCCCCTCTAATAATTCGTTTTTGATTCGCACCGTTCATTTATATGGGGCGCAGGATTGGGCGAGGGGTATATACCATGCCATACACGGGCTGTCTAAGGAGTATATATTATTTGTACATCGCAGAATTTTGAGGTTTCGAGGACGTATTCAACTTACAACCCGAGTGCCTTGCAACTATGCTTGATTACGGGAAGAAAGATGCTGCCATTATGCTTGGCTATGCCTTTATCCTATCCATATCAATCTGGTCCTTAATGACATATCTCCTTTCCCCCCTGCGCCGTTTCCCTGGCCCTTTCTTTGCAGGTGAGTCGATTACTATTCCAATGCCGGTTTTACGGGAGAAAGAACTAGTTCTATGTTGACCTCTTATTAATAGACTGGACGAACCTATGGCGCATGTTGCATGTTCGCCGAGGAAACTGCCATATGGTCATCCAGGAGCTACACAAGAAATACGGCCCAGTGGTGCGCATCGGCCCTAATGTGCTTGACTTTGATATCCCCGAGTTGATCAATACCATTTACAATATCAAATCAGATTATTTGAAGGTGAGTGGCTCTTTTACCGTGATTAGTAGCATTAATCATAACCTATGACAGACCGAATTTTATCATGGCAGTAGCGCTAAAAACAACCGCTAAATCATCTACAATCTTTTTAGCGAGTGTAATCCTAAAGTACATACACAGGAGAAGCGGCCCATCTCAAAATATTATTCCTTAGCTAGAGTACTTCCACTAGAGCCCCATATCGATGATATGATTTCATACCTCTGTCAACGCCTGGAGGAGGAATTCATCGATGGATCTAACTCAACTAAAACATGCGACCTAGGTAAATGGATTGCCTATTGTAAGTTCGAGTCCTCTACATCATCCTTCTTAGAACTTACAAATCGTCTAGATACCTGGGATGTGGTTAGCAATGCCACATTCAGCCAGCCTATTGGATATCTGGAAAAAGGGTATGACTTTGACAATACAATCCCAACAAGCCCGACTTCCTGGATAAATTCATCGAGGCCAAGGAGAAATGTCCAGAGGTGGTGGATGATATGCAAGTCATTTCATATCTAATGATCAACATGATTGCAGGAGCCGACACAACAGGTGTTACCATCAACGCAGCCTTGTACTTCTCTTTGAAACATCCTCACGTCTGGGAGCGTCTGAGAACTGAGATACTCGCCTATGACACCTCTGAAAGCACGGTGATATCTTACAAATCTGCCAAGCAGTTCACATACTTAAATGCCGTGGTACGGGGAGCAATGAGATGTCATCCCGCTGTCGCCATGCTGTTAGAGCGATACGTACCAGAGGACGGACTTACCCTCCCCAATAGAAGCCTCGTTCCTGCAGGGTCCATAGTTGGCATCAACCCTTACATTGTGGGGCGCAATAAATCTGTCTGGGGCGATGATGCCGAAGAGTTCCGTCCAGAGCGATGGCTGCGCGATGAACCACGGGAGACCGAAGATGCGTTCCAGGAACGATTGCTATCAATGAACAAGGCTGACCTCAGTTTTGGCGGTGGAAGTCGTAGTTGTATCGGGGAGCATCTTGGTCTGCTGGAGGTGTACAAGGTGATTGCAACTCTTGTGTCAAGGTACGATATCAAACTGGCTCATCCGGAGAAGGATTGGAAGACGCATAATAGCTTTTTTGTGCGGCAGACTGGTATTGAGGTCAAGCTTACTCGGCGGACCTAAAATACTGTCTACATGACGGGGGATGCATATGGGGTATAGAGGTGTAGTTTAGTCGCTTTTACACAAAAAAATTCAAAGTTAAAGATCAAAGCATGTAGTCATTGACAGTATATACAGCAGCAACTTTTGAGGGGTTTCATCAATCATTGCCGCAGTGACTGGGGTATCGTCTAGTCATCTCGGGCTTCCAAGCCATCCGTCTATCCATTAAATAAATCCTTTTTTGTTCATCAATCCATAAAAGAGCAGTCGGCTTACAGCTGCTCCACCCAGGGAGCGGCACCGGGCTGCATCTGGTTCAGCCACTTGACAAGCTCAATGAGCTCGGCCCGACGCTCATCATCCAACTGATCCTCATCGCCGGTGAGAACCGACTGGAAGACGGGAAGGAGGCTAGGGGTGAGTTCGCGGATGGTGACATCCTCCCACTTGTACATCTGGCAGATCATGCGGTACAGAGGCTCGTTCTCCTCGAAGTCGTTCTTCAGAGGAAGAATGTTGACGAGGGCAGGAAGCACGTCCTTGGTTGGGACACTGTCACGGTAACGCAAGATCATGCGGCTGACACAGCCGGTAGCATTATCCTGGAGACGCGAGACGTTCATCTGGAGGCAAGACTCAAGACGAGCGAGAATAGTGGGGATCTCCTTGATGATCTCAGCTTCAGCGTTGGAGTGCTGAATCAAGCGGCCAACGGCGTAAGCAGCGTTGGACTTGGTCTGAGAGTCCTCATCGGCCAGGCGGTGAAGGAGCAGCTTCATGAAGACAGGAGTGAAGGGGGTCACGGCGGCACCCATACCGTTGATGCACTCAGCGAGGACACCAACAGCGGTAGCACGCTCAAGAGACTCACTGCTACCAGCGTAGCGGAGAATGGTCTTCTCAAACACCTTCCAGAGCTCCGCGAAGCTCTGACCCATAGCGGCGGCCATGCCAGAGACAACGTCCAGGGCAGTGTCGACAACAATCCAGTCAAACTCGGAAGATTCCTCACCAGCCTCAAGAGTCTCCTCCTCAGGGCCAAACTCAACCTGGCAGATGTGCTGCTTTGTGATGATATCAGTGATCATTTGGATCACGTTGTGCAGCATAGTCTCGTTGGCAATGAGGGCAGGACCGCAGAAGCGAAGGTTCTCAGCCATGTTGCGGTTGATATCGGCGACGGTAGAGCTATTAATCATGGGTCAGCAATCAAGTCATTGAAGCAACAGTCGATCAATAATGAAGCATTGGTAGAAGTAGATCTCAGAGTGTAGACTTCGCCGTTTACATCAAGTGTGCCTTTGGCACATCAAAGTGAGCTGGGTTAAGCGGAAAACATCATCATAGAAATGGGAATGGGTAAGGGCAAAAAATAGAAAAAAGATGTTTGAAACATACCGGTCATCTTCTTCGGTCCACATCTTGACAGTAGCAGTCATGAGGATCTCACCGAACTTCTGGACCTCCTTTGCAGGCTGAACCTGAAGGGGAAGACCAGGCTGCCACTTGGGCATCTGGCCGTTCTCCTCAGCGATAGCAAAGAGCATAGCGTATGAACGGTGGAGAGTGCTGATTGTGCTCTTGCGAACACCCTCGTAAGGGTGCTCACACAAGGGCATCACGTGCTCAATGGTCTTCTCAAAGTAGGGCAGGAAGACGCTGCGGGTGTGAGTGACGAGATCGCCGATAACCTCAACAGCAATCTCCTTCTCAAGTGAAAGAGGAGTAGTGGCGGTGATGTCATCCCAATCATCCTCATCCTCGAGATCCACATCTTCGATATCACCGTCATCATCATCATCTTCGGCACTTGCGACCTTGACCTTGCGGCCGTTGAAGGTAACCTCCTGGCCAACAAGGTCCTTGGCAGCACTGCCAAGGTCGACATCAAGGTCGCTCTCGTCCTGCTCGATGCAATCGTACAGGCCCTTCACGACACCGTCAAGGAAGGGAGCAAAGTGCTCGCCGTAGACCTTAGCCATGGCGCCCCAGAAGATGTAAGTGCTCTCCTTGAGACGGGAGTGACCGAGGTGCAAAGCTTCCTCAGTGGCGCGCATGAGGGGCTCAACATACGGCTGGTAACGCTCGGGGCCAGCGGCAGCAGCCATCTCACCCATGGAGTCGGTGACACTGGCACGGAGGTCGAGTTCGTCCTCACTGTCCTTGACAGTAGCGAACTCCTGGAGGAGATGCATCGACTCGTCGAAGAATGAGAGGAAGGAGTCTCCAGCAGAGGAGGCGAGGGAGCCAAGAGCACCGGCAGCCAAGGCCTTGATCTTGAAATCAGGGTGCTTAAAGAGGTTGTGCAGAATGGGAACAAGCTCAGCCTGGTAAGGAGAGACATCCTTCTCATCAAGACCATCAACGACAGCATCAATGGCACTAATACCAGCCTTGATGATATCGAGGGTAGGGCCCTCCTCCTCGCCCTTGTACTCTTGCATAGCGCTGGCCAGGTTCTGGAAGAGCAAGGGCATGAGGCGCGCGTGCTCGGAACTCAGGTCCTCAACAAGGTCCTCTGCGAGACGAGCGACAGTGTGCAATGAAGCCTGGCGCACCTTCGGGTCCTGATCAGCAAGAAGCTGGAGGACAATAGGGAAGATCTCCTTCATCTGGGTGCTGATGAAGTCGGGGGCACCCTCAACACACATGCCGAGGGCCATGATACCAGCGCGACGGTAGTCAGGGTTGGCATTGTTGAAGTACTGTCCAAGGGCATTAAGCAAGGGGACAACAACCTGGCTGGGAGGCAGGCTCTGGGAGAGCATGTCCAAGAGGCCGAGAGCGGAACGAGCAGGAGTGATATCATCATCACCCGGAGCGGCATCGCCCAACTCAGTCACGATCTGGAGGGCAGTGCGGGTGAGCTCCTCGCCAATGCGCATGCCCTGAACCTTGAGCTTGCGGTACTGGATGGTCTGCATCAGGAAGCTGATGGCCTGGGTGCGGACATCCTCATCAACCTCGGTGTTGGCAGAGATCTGGTTCATCAAGATGACCAGGTCCTTGAGGTGGACGGTCAGCAAAGCAGGGTCACAACCAAGCAGAGTCTGGAAGACTTCGAAAGACTGCATGATGTGGTCCTCCTCTTGCTTCTCAATGGAGTCCTTGAGGATGGCAACCATGGCAGGAACCAGCTCTTGGAAAGCCTTGACGGGAGCCTCATCCTCCTCCGAGTCAAGGTGCATAGCAAGCTTGCTCAAAGACATGAGGGTGTTGATACGAACTTCGGCACTCTCAGGATCCCGGATGGTCTTGTTGAAGAGGTTGAAGAGGTCCTGGAACTTCTCCTCAAAGCCTTCACCGAGAGTGTCCAAGATGGTGAAGAGAATGTAGATGGCCACAGCACGCTCCGCAGCATTACCGCTGTTACCAGCCTGCAGCAGCAGGTTGGGCAGGTCAGCCCACTCGCCATCGTTCAAATCGATCTTCGCAATAGCAGAGATAATCTGAGCAATGGAGTGCTGGACAAGAGATGAACTCTCGCCCATGGTAGAACGAAGCAGCTGCTCGCGAATCTGGGGCTTCTGGTTGGCGGGAACCTTCAACCAGTGCTTAGAAACGAGCGAACGGGACTCCACAGAAGAGAGCTGGCGCAGATTTTGGTCATCATGGCTAGTACAGATCTGGATAAGGAAGACAAGGGATTCGGGCTTGTTGTAAAATTCCTTTTGCAAGACTCCGGTGGCCTCCTTAAGGTTTCCCTGGGATGCTAAATGAATGGGTCAGCAAGATGAACCTTGCATTGGATGGTTCAAGACGAACTCACGGTCCAGGATAATCTGCAACTGCTGCAGGAATCGCTGCTGATCCATGGTGGAAGAATGTGAAATATTTTCAAGTGATGGTTTCAGTTGCCCGTCTCTAAGAGACTCAGGCCACAAGAACAAAGATTGAGCAGTCTGTCTCAGACAAACAACTCAAATGGGGGTATCACAAAGCAATATTGACAAGAAAAAAAAGGAAGGAAAAAAGAGAGTGATGAAGGAGAAGAAAGAAAGGAGAAGAAAAAAAAATTTAGGGGAGTGGGCTGCTGCCCAATTGAGTTTAGCGCGGGACTGGATTGTCAACACGCGGGAATTTGGGCAGAGATTTTCTTTATGACTTCATTTTTATAAGGGATTGTTTATACTTGTAGGGTTATTATTACAAGGATAGTCGGCTGTATAAATGGCCTTGTAATATATTTTCAGTGGTCTTTTTAGTCCTCCTTTCAGTAGTATCCTTAGTGGTCATCTCAGATATCATTCTGTTTAGATACATAGATAGGTCTACGGCAAAAAAAAAGAGGCGGAAGATGGCTTTGTGCAGATGACTTTTCTAAGTACAACTTTGAACATAGTAAGTAACCTTTGATATCATGATTATAGTTATACTAATAGGAATATATTCATGTTGATTCTTATATGTTATTAAAGAGTACAATTGAGGTATGATCAATAGTATATCAGCTATATATAACAGTAAACTGCACCTACATGCCTCAAAAAATGTATAAAAATTTCCCACATTAAAAAGATTAGAATAATAGAAAAAAAGATAAATCAAAGATCCCTTTGCCCGAAAACTCCTCTTCCATCTTGTTGGATAGCAAACTGTGAATGTTGACTGCTTTGTTATGGATTAACAGCCCTAGAGCCGTACATCCGGTCGATTTCCAGACCCACACACTAACGAAGCCCCAAATAACCGAGGAATCACTTAATATTCATCAGAGTCATAATCATCATGGACGAGTGATGTGCGATAGCCACGTGAAGCAAGGTTAGCCTCTAGACCACCGTCAGATGCAGGGTCAAAGTAACCTATATCCAATTAGTAGAGTTCACATTAAATAGGGAATCAATTTGCACATACCACCGCCGCCAAAGTAGCTGAGAGCTACTGGTAAGAAGATGAGAGCATGAGTAGCAGCAAAAACCACCAGGGCTAGCCACACCCGGAAGTAGTAGATCTCGAAGATCTTGCTCCGAGTAAACGCCAGGACACAAACCCCTAAGAGTTTTGTCACGGTGATACCACTAAAGACACTTCCACCAACATTGACCAAGGCCGCCCATGCTCGAGCGTCCTTACCACGGAATTCGGCGGGAACCTTCTCCATAATGGGTCGGGCGGGGAACATGAATGCTCGGGCTATGTGAGCACAGAACTCAACGCCAATGCCCACACAAATGACCAAATTGACAAGAGAAATAGCGTTCAAGGACACACCCACAATCGCCATCGTGCCAATAATATCGACCACTATCATAACCACTGTGGTTGTAACGACAGCGCCCGTGGCTATAGACCCCAGTATCACGGAGGTTAAGACGAAGATGATAGCCACAGCCGACCCGAGAAGGGTGCCAGTAAGTCGCACAATGGAAACATATTGATCGAAGAAGATGTAGAACTTGGAATATGGGAAGACGTCAATACCGTGCTCCTGTGAGATGCCGTCTGCAATCCGGCGAGCTGCAATATATGCCTCGATAAATTCATCCTGGCTCCGAAGAGGAGTGTGGCTAGTACGGAAATGACTGGCATTGATCGTCTTAAACTTGTCATCAATGACCAAAGCATTGCTGTAGGGCGCTTTGCCACCAAGGGGACAAGAGGCATCGGTGGGAGCATCGATCCATTTTTTGGCATAATGGACAAATTCAGACCCTTCTGGCATCCCTGAGAGAGAGATGTTCCAGGCAGGAACGCGGTCCTCAAAACAAAGCTTGCCGTTTTCTTTACAACAGTCTTGCTGGGGATTCAACCAATAGAAGAAATCATCAATCCAGCTGGCGGCAGAGCCTGCAAGATAAGAAACATCCGGACGCTTAGACTCTTGCTCGAGAACGAATGGTAGCGAGTATTCCTCGCAAGTGGTGAAGCGTCCACAGAGCTGTTGTTGGTGAGTTCGCTCGGTAACATTCACATTCCGGGTGACGAAGTAGACTGGAGGCCCTGCGCCAAAGTATGAATCCAAGTCGTTGAAATATGAAATCAGGTATGAGTCGCTAGGAAGCGCAATCCGCTGATCTAACCCAAGAGGAACCTCGGGGATAAAGGCTAGACCAGCAGTCAAAAGACCCAAGAAAAATATAACAACACCTACTTTCACCCGACGATCTAGGAGTAAAGGCGCGTAGACCCGACGAATGAAGACCTGCAACGTGCTCTCTGCCTCCTGTCCGTCGTAGTTTTCCTCGGGGAAGCCGAACGAGTTTGCTTTTCGGACGGTCAGACAAGGGACACAGTCTGCTCGGAGACTCTGCACGCGTCGCTGGTTCAGAGCCAAGACGGAGATGAACATGGTAATTTGCAGAATGGCGTTAATGAAGACAGCACCGGCGGCGTACGCAGCAAAATTCTTGACAGCAGGCATCCCAACAAAGGCGCCCAGAGCAAAGGCCACTGTCTCCGTCAAAGCAGACAGGAATATGCTAGGTCCGATTCGACTAACCGCTCGAGCAACTCGCTCGTCGATTTCTTCGTCGGGATGGCTGATATTGACTCGTTCGAATTCATGGACGATCAAGAAAATATTGTCTACTCCCACTGCCAGGACCAAAAATGGAATAACTTCGGCAATGATCAGGGTCACCTTAACGCCCGCTGCCGAGAACAGGCCGACCGACGCAGAAACAGACATCAAAACAATGACGATCCCGACGATCCCCAGTGTAAATTTAGATTGAACAAGAGCGTTGGAAGGGTTGATCAGCAAAGACCTCCAGGTCATTGTGACTGAACCCAGAGCCATTGAGGCGTAGAAGAACATGATCAGATAGCTGATAACAACAATCTTCGCATCTGTGTTGGTAGACTTGTTTAGTTCCTGTTCCAGACTGACCTCAGAATTGAAAGACACCCGAAGGCCTCGCTCAGCAGCTTCTTCCTGGACTACTCCGAGAACAGCCTGGAAAGTGTTCTCCCAATCGATGGCTTTTGCTTCTTCTTCTGTTCCTTGTGCATAGTTATTTACCACCCAGGTTACAATGAGCGCCTGGGCATCCAGAACATTCCCTGTGTCTTCATATCCACCAAGAATCATTTCGGGTCTCAGAGGCTGCGAGAAACCCGGGAGACAGCTCGGGTCTCCAGGCGACTCTGTACAGTGGATGAGTCGGTCCTTCCATGTATCTGGGTCAAGGTTGGAGACAGAGCCGCCAAAATACCCTGTGATTGATTGCACGACACAGGCTTCGCCGGTCGGCTTGAAACAAACGTCATCAAGGTTGAGAGCCCGATCCAACGAGATCACGCGTTGCACACGAGATTCTACGTCAAACCACCAAGTGAGGGTTTCGTAGTCCAAGAGGGGGCGTGTGTTGTTCTCTGGGCGGTCATTCACTAAGAATGCCTGCTCGGCTCGGTAGAATGGCCCAAAGCTCCGATCAAAGAAATCTTTCTCCTGGGCAGCTGCAGATGATGGACTCACCCAGAGTCGCACCGGATCTGTTTCAACCGCGAAGCTCAACCACCCTAGGCTCAGCAGCGCCACTCCGATGACGCTGGAGGATATTGTTATTGCCGGGAATCGCGCACAAGTACCACCAATCCGATGGAACAAAGCTGACAGCACAGAGTTGAGCTTGTACACTCCCTGTGCTCGTTCCATGTATCCCCCGCGATACATGACTTCCCCTTCATCTTCGTCATCGCTGGGTGTGGGATCTTGCAGCAAGCGCACCCGCTCTGGCTTGCGGAACCGGCGCTCTTTGTATGTGACATAGCTCGCGAGAGCCATAACAAACAACAGAAAGATGGAATAAACGAGGATGACGGCAAAAGATAGACACGGTAGAAGTCCTACATGACATATCTTGTGGGGAGAGATTGCGGGCAACTCTGGACACACTTCTGGGCAGTCCACACAAGAGCATCGGAATGATTTGTCTTCGTCATTGCAGGCCTTTGGTTTTATTGACAAAGCCTTCATTCCTTGCGGGTCAGACCCAGTGGGCTCTGTGTGATAGTTAATCTGGAATGGGCTCCCAAGAAATTTCTTATCACCTAAAAATTTCATGAAATGGGTAGCGTCTTTAGCTCCGCCGCCAATGAAGTCGATGGCTTTTCCACCTGAGGCACCGTTTTTTACGTTCTTGCAGCTATCAAAGAAGCCACTCTGGTATTCTTTGGACCAAACATTGTCCAACTCGGTCACAAGTCTTTTGCCAGAGCTGTGCTCTTCTGTTTTGGTAACATTAATAAAAAGCGACTGGTCGGGAGAACATGTAAAGGTGCAGAATATGTTGAAAAAATTGTCTCGGCAGGCGGGGCAGGACGCGATAATCCCCTCTGCTAGTCTGAGGTTACTTGAAAGCGCATCAATCTATGAGTTATTAGTATGATTGTATAGTAAATATAGTCATGATGAAGTTGCTAAAACCAGAGGCCGGGATTTCTCACCTGTTCTTCTCGACAACAGACCGGGCCTTCGCTCCATTTGCTGCCACACAGATTTACCAATTTCCGGCGTACTGCGTCTTCTGGTTGCTGCGCCAGATCATTATCGGGACAGGGTAGTTCTCCCCCAAAAATAGACTGTTTCCCACAATGACCACGGATAGCACAACGACCCTCTTCATGGATTTTGGTTTCGCCCTGCGCACCCACAAGGGTGGGCGCAAAAGAGCCCAGCCCCGCAAGCGCTGCAATAGCCCTAGGTAGCCGCATATTGCAGGAAGGATAGGTATGATGAGATTAACAACTTTTTATACCAGTCTCCAATTAATATGCCTGGGGGATGACGCCATGCACTTGTCGGTCCGTGTGGGAGAGGTTGCCGAGTTTAGAAGCGCAACGCGATGCGAATTTAAAAGACGATCCGATAGGTTTTAAAATTTAAGTCGGACTAAAATCAATCAAGGCTATGAGAGTAGGAAGAGGAAGAGAGAGGGCAAAGCAAGCTTTTGGAAGGGAGTGACGTGAAGGCGGAGACCTACGGTACATCCCCCGCACGGTTAACCCAAGTACCTTGGCGCTAACGTCAGGCACAAGGATCGTGGCTCGAATCATCTTTCTTCTTGGCAACAATCTGATCTGAGATGTTCCCAGGTTTTTATTTTTATTTTCCAAGGATATGTAGGGAAATTTCAAGTCTACATAGTGTTATATATGCATTTTTGAATCATGATTTCATTTAGAAAATATTACAAACATAAGAAACGACCCGACTCCGAGCTGAACCGAATTCGATGAACAGTAACTCCGGGTCTCAAACTAGAAGAGACGAATAAGATCGCGCCTGGGTCCCCAGTGATTCAGTTAGCGATGAGAACAATGAGTGGAGCCCAGAGAGAGATCACGAGATTTCACATGTGAAAAAGTAGGCCCAAGGGGTATCATCACAGTGCAGGGCCGGCAACATAAGCAAGCTAATAGCCGTCATCATCGGTCTTTTGGTAGACATGGCGGGTTCGGGTCGGGTCCTTGCGCATGGTTTGTCCGGAACCTATGAATCCCACTAAGAGATGAGACCAATTAGCATCCACAGGATCGAGAAGAATAATTGCTACAAAATACATACCTCGTGCATTGACGCCTTCACCCGTGCGGAACATGCTCTCCTTTTTGCCAAATGCACCTTTGCCTTTGCCCTTAGTCTTCGCAGCAAAATCCTTCCATTTGTTCTTCCCTTCTTCGAGGGCCTTAGTTGTCCGGGGCATCTTGGCAGGACGAGCCGGTCCATCACTGTTCTTTTTGGGTTCGTGGCGAGCCTGGGTAGCCAGTGTGGGGTTGATATCTGCCGCGGCGGAGATTACACCAGGGTGAGGGGGAGCGGGCGAGGGAAATGCCGAACTGTCTGGTGTTCCATCAGCCTTGCGCTTTCGCGAGTCAGTGCCAGAGATGGGTCGGATATCCTTGGCAGTCAAAGTTTCCACGGTTGCATATGACTTGAATGTGACAAGGTAGACTGGGTTGGTCGAGGAGCCAGTAATGGAGTTGATTTTGGCAGGGTAGAAAGCCTTATCGCCAGAGACCCAGCGCGCAAGAACAGTGTCATTCACTGCAAATGACGCGGGAGTAGTTGCAGTAGATGCCTCCTCTGGGTGCTTAGCAGACTTGGAAGCTGGTTTGGGCACAATTGACTTGAGCTCGGCGATTTGAGTTTTGAGAACGTCCATGTATTCTTCGAGCTCCGTTTTGAGGCTGTTTAGTTCCACATTATCAGGGTCTACCTCCAGGCCCAACATAACAGTTTCGATCTATTGGTTGAAGTTAGCATAACACGTGGGTAACCGTTGGGAATTCTGTGACAACTAACCTGAGAATTGCAGTCCGATAAATCGGTCTCCAAGGAAGAGAGATCAGCCATGATGGAAGATGATTCAGAGAATCCTGCGAGATAAAGAGTGATCTTAGGAACTCTGCTCGACGCGTCTCGCTGAGGAAGCTTAAGAAGTAAGTGACTAGGTGAATGAATTGCCCAGGTGCGGAGAAATAATTATCTGATGGCAAATTCGCTCCGATCACGTGCATAGACTGTCCGCCTTTTTGTCCGCCTTGATATGGGTGATTTTACGCCACCTGCGGAGTACTCTGTACGGAGTAGATCGATATGAACTAACCTTAGCAGTCAAGAATTCAATGTAGTGAAAAAAGAAATCAGCTTGTTTTCTACCTAGATGAGGATGATTTATTTAAGAGATAGGAAAACAGGTTACTGCCCTGTAGTATGTATCGCATACATCATAGCCTTCGATAAGCAATTTCGATAATCCACTTTCCGTAGATCGATATGGGGGGATATGCACCCGTGGGCAGTTAAGGTCTGCATTGCATGTACCCTAGAGCTATGGGCACCATATACATAGTAATATACGGCTAATTTTATAGGGAAGTGGCAACGTCATAAATCCATGGTCTGATACTCAGGAAGATCGGACCGGGGGATTTGGAAGATCCGTGGGCCCAGACCTCGGAACCCGGAGAGAATGTTAATTTCAGATTTTGCTCCATACGGCGTATATTCATATGTCAAGATATGCATATGAGTCAGATAGAATGTACTTTAAGTATGTAGGTACATGGAATTTCAGGGAACAGTTTTTTTTTTTTTTTGAAAAAAAGGGCTAGGCAATTTAGGGCTTGAAAGAGAAGCTACTCGAAAGTGGAGCAAAAAAAAAAGATCAAACTGATTTCAAAGCAAAGACATCAATAACCAATCATTTTTAGTAGATAATTCACCGCCTATCTAAGATCGCCCATTTCCCCCCCCCTCCCAGTCATCCCCATCCTCCAGTCATACTCTCTCTTTCATCATTTCTCTTAGATTCTGCAACTTTCATTTACTTTATTTGCTCCCATTTACTCATATCAGCCTCGGTTTTGCCTAAGCCACATTTCTACCGTAATTTGACTAGCGGGGAATCTGTCCTCGCCTCAGGCCCCCCTCTCGAAACTAGAAACTCTTCTTCCTCTTTCCCCTCCATAATTATCACGCCCCCTGCCACCCCCGAAAATTTGGAATTCTATTATCGGCTCTAACTTGCGACTGATCAAGATCCGACATAATAATCGGGTTAAGATTAACACTCAATAAATCCTCCCAAGCTGTGAGGCTATATTGCGAGGATTGAATCATCATTCAACCCCCTCGTTTTACGGCATCCATCAATATCTGTTACGGGCGGGAGCCCGGCTGGAGTCTCTATTGAAATCCATACAATTTCCATTACCCTTCTCTCGTCTTTCGACCTTCTATTGGAAGTAACCTGTCACAATGGGTGATTACGATCAAACATACCAGCAAGGTCTTTACCTATCCCCAAACCAACAGGATCTCTTACTCGCCGCTCTATCTTCCAACAACCCCGGCCGAAAGCCTCAAAGTGGCTCTCCCCATATCAAGTCCTCTCAAAGCCCCGATGAAAATTCATCAAACGGTCTCAGTGGCCCTCCCTCGGGTGGGTTTGACAATTCCCATGCCAACAATTTCGGATTTGGGGATGACGAAAGCCCTTTCTTGGATTTCGTCCCGGAAGTTGACTTCGATTTCCCCGGTTCGGCCGACCTAATCGGTGACCTACCAGGATCGGGGTATGGTTATGATATTGGCGAGAAGCGAAAGTCCCTGGATGGGAAGTCGGACATTGATGGAGAGGAGACCGGCAAGAAGCGTAGGGAAAGCGAGGCCAAGAAGCCTGGTAGGAAGCCACTGACTTCAGAGCCTACTACGGTATGCCACTCTTGCTGCACGCGGAAGTTGCTGGGACTAGAGTCGTGAACTGACGTATTGAGCAGAAGCGCAAGGCCCAAAACCGGGCTGCCCAGCGAGCCTTCCGCGAACGCAAGGAGAAGCACTTGAAGGATTTGGAGGATTCGGTGGAAAGGCTGCAGAAGACATCAGACATGACAAACCAGGAGAATGGCTTGCTGCGTGCCCAGGTCGAGCGATTGCAGGTCGAGCTCCGTGAGTACCGAAAGCGCCTGTCCTGGATGGCCTCGGGATCAGGAAGCGGCATTTCGGCTATGAGCTCGAATTCCATTCCGAGTGCCCATTCCAAGGGGGCATATGGCCTCCAAAACAATGACTTCCTCTTCGATTTCCCCAAGTTTGGCGATTTGCCTGGTGGTCATCTCTTCAATGGACAAGCCAACAAGAACGACCAATCCAAGTCTAATGACATCTCTCAGCCACCTGGTGTATTGGGTCGGGACAGTCTGAACAGTCCTTCGTCTCGGTCGAACTCTCTTGCCCAGTCGAACAAATCGAAGTATAGCGGAACTCCTAATAGTGCCACTTCCGCCAAAGCACCCTACTCTGGCTTCAAGTCTTCCACAACTGACAACTCTACTTCGGAGAATTCTCCATCGTCTTCGTGTGATTCGCACCAGAGCCAGATGCCATCGTCAATCGGGACTTCCCCAGAACCAAGTCTGAACTCCCCAGATGGGCAGCACCGCGAGCTGGGACCAGGTGACTCGTGCGGCGGACATGTCACCACCGATGGCGAGAAATCCTTCTGTGCACAGCTTGGTATGGCATGCGGCAACATCAAAAATCCCATCCCAGCGGTCCGGGATAACAGAACCAAATCTATCAGTATTTCAAGCGGTCAGCCAACACCAATTGATGGCCAAGCCGAGGGTGAAGACTCTCAGGATCTTGGCATCGATTGGTTGGCTCATCAGAATGGTGGCCAATTCGATCCAGTGCTCTTTGGTGACTGGCGAGAGCCCCAGGACGCTGTTCTATCTCAGGATTTCGGCTCTTTCTTCAATGAAGCATTCCCTCTGCCAGACCTGGGTAGTCCCTCCCACAACTTATCCGAGGTCGCCACTGGCACGGCCCCACCCAAGAAGAACCTCGTTGCCCAGATTGATAGTAAACTCGAGGAAGACGAGGTTGTTCCAGGCGAAGACCAGTCGCAGATGCTATCGTGCACGAAGATTTGGTATGTCCATACTCATAGTAACGTACGCCAATTATCTTGGAGATTACTGACATGATATTTTTCTCTAGGGATCGTCTTCAATCTATGGAAAGATTCCGCAACGGCGAAATCGATGTTGACAATCTCTGCTCCGAGCTCCGCACCAAGGCACGATGTTCTGAGGGTGGTGTAGTCGTGAACCAAACTGACGTTGACGACATTATGGGACGAGCCAAGTAGCTTGCTTCTAGGACGCTCACCATCACGACTGCCCACAACTCATACTTGGGCTTAATTCACGATTCACGGACCAACAACCCACTGATACTCGCGCTCTTTTGATTTCTACGCATACCCATCATCGATTGTCATTTATGGGAGGAATCCTGCCCGGCGTCATGAATACAACACAGGATAAGAAGAGGAAAACCCTCACGGGAGGGGAGAAATAACATCCAATTCAATTTTGGTTTTGATCTTGATTTTGAATTCTTTCTTTTTTTTTTTTTGGTCAATGCTCTCATAGTTGGCAGTCTATCAGTTTCCCATCTTAAGGGAACAACACATTCCTTCTATTCCTCTCCCACGTTTGCCTGTTTATCCTCTTTGCTTTTTCTTTTTTTTTTTTTTTTTGCATCAGTAATTGTCAATTGATTTTCATTCGATCGACAGAAACGAGCTTGGCGAATTGGGGGGGAAGGCGCCATCTCACATTGGCCATGAGATGGCAAATACAGACATGGCACTTCCAATATTGTACGGAAAAGAAACATGGCGAACTTGATATACTACTTTCTTTTGTGAATTGGGGATAGGATGGCTCTTACGCTGTTCTTTTTGTACACAATCTGTTAAATGGATCTCTACTCTGTCGACTTCTTTCAGTCCGGCTAGTAATAGGAAGGGTTGTACATGAGAAAGAGTACGGAGTAACAAACTAGATCTACATACTCCAAAGCAAAGCTGTAAGGGTATCGATGTGGTCCACGGACATAAAACTAGAGTACAAAGAGAAACAGAGAAACAGAGGTGAAAGGGTGTATTCTGGTTGTTTTTTTTCTTGGTTTTCCTTCCTGATGTTTTCTGCATCTCATTCTTCCCTCTGCAAACAAAAAAGAAATAATGTCCGGAACTCAAGGGCTTTCAGAGTCCAGATCAACGCTGCAATTCGCGTCCATGTCCTGTCTTTCTGACCAGACTTGAGAACAAAGAACATAAAGATTGAGCGCTATCAAATTCAAAAAAAGGGGAAAAGATTTGCAAACGGGATGGATGAGATAAAAGACACAAAAGAATTAGAGTATCAGGTGTAAGATCGAGTCGATGTCGATGGCCGGGGAAAAGAAGTTATGAGACATAGAAAGTTTCAATGTCACCGATTAGGCGTCACCGGATGCGACGGGCTTATCACCTGAGGGGGCAGAAGATTCATTTGGGCCGCTCTTGAAGCCACCCCGACCTCCCCCACGACCACCACGACCACGCTCGCCACTGCCACGGCCGCCGCGGCCACGACCACCGAATCCACCACGGCGGCTGCCGTCGCTGTCACTGGCGCTCTGATAACCACGCGGGGCGGTAGTGATGCCTCCCCGGGTGCTGGACTGCCAAGTTCCGGCGTTACCGACGGCAGCACGGGGTCCACGGTCCTCGAAGAACTTGAAGTTGGGCTTACGTTGCTGACCATGGGGGGTGGGTCCGGGCTTCTTCAGCTCGATAGGAAGGTGGTCCATAGCCGCCTTGGCCTCTTCAGGGCCCGAGAATGTCACAACATGGTTGTACTTGCCAAGCTTATCGATCTTGGTAATCTTCGATCTGTCTTCCTCGGAGATGAGGTCACGGACAGCCTGTTCGCTTTCCGCGCTGGTTACGAAAAGAGCATTGGCGGGCTTCTTCTCGGCCCGAGGTGCAGGTGATTCACTTGGCTTTTCGTGCGGCGTGGTACCGTTAGTGTCGACAACTGCGATCTTTTCTTCCCCAGCGGGCTGAGCAGAGGCGACAACAGCTGGCTGCGGACTAATGGACTTGGGAATCACAGGGACGGGGGAGGCCCGGGGTCCCTTCTGGCCCTGAGGAATGGGTGCACGCGCGGGAGGAGCTTGGCCGAACTGGGGAGCCACGACGGGGGTTCGGGCAGCGCCAGTTGGAGCGGGTGAAGCAGTGGTCGCTGGGAGACCGCTGGAGACAGGTTGAGGAGCACCACCTGCCTGGGGTTTGCCAGTGCGGTGCGCGAAGTTGAATCCTTGAGCCCGCATCTCCGTCGCGATGCGGCCAGCTTCAACCTCCAGTACGAGATATCCGAACGCGGCATCCGCCAAGTTAAAGTTCCACATATTCTTGAATGCACTTTCGTCAACCTGACCAGCAGCATTACCAGCGGCAACAGGGCCACCGAACGGATTACCGCCATTGGCAATGGAAGGCATCTTGTGGACAACATCAAGGGCATTCTCTAAAAGGGTCTTCTGGCCATCATTAGAGGAAATGGCGGCCTCAACCTCGGTTTTAACGGTCTCCCAAACATCGTTGAATGATGCCTTGGAGGCAGCAAGCTTGCCGCGATAGTGGTCCAAAGACGGGTTCACGGAGAACTCATTGTACGAGGATCCATACCGGAAATGGAGACCAGCCGAAATGGAAAAGTCTGCCTTGAGTGTAACGGATAGCTGGTTCAGCATGCCCTCGCGAGCAGGTGAAGCATGGGTAACGAAGACACGAGTCTCGGAGGGGTCGTAGACACGGTTGGCGGTGTCAATAAGTTCTCCCATCTGCAAAAGCGTTGTCCACATAGTACCTTGACCGCCGGCAATAGTTGTCTTTCCTTCACCGTTGTCGAAAAGCTTATGCATCACGACGGCACCTCCCAAGCCGAGAAGACGGAGTTTCACACCGCCAATATCGAGAAGACGCGAGTTGGCCTCGTCGATAATGTGAAGCTTATCAACCTTGTACTCCCCTGAACGGAACTTCTCCAACACGCGCACATCTTCGCAGGCACCCCATACTGTGTAAACTGGGACATCAAGGGTGATGCGCTTGTCGAGAAGCATGGAGAGCTCAGAGAGGGGCAGCTGGTCAGGCGGGAAGCGCTGCTTAATTGACTGCTGGGGAGATACCTGTGCGATAGATCGTTTCACGTTCTCGGGTAGGAGGGGAGAATATTGTGCGACATGCTTCAATGTCCTGTTCGTTGATCCGGGGTTAACTAATGCTGTCCAGTACATTTTGGTGCCTAGTGAAGCGACTGTGTTGGGCAGCAAACACGCGCCGAGAAGCTTAGGAAGAATACTCACTTGTCTGCAATTCGCTCGAGAGAAGTATCATCGTAGAAACCAAAGTCACCTGTGTGAATGATGTGGTCGGCGCGGGCCTGCTTCGCAAGCTCGTTAAGAGACTTCAAGTTGCCTGTTGCATGGGTTCAATTACTACTGTGTCACTTTGCCAAGAAAAACATTTGTAGCTTATAATTACCTCGGACGTCTGCGATGCACAAGATTCGTGTCGGACCGCTCTGAATCACACGGCCATTGTTGGGGAGCAGCGGCGTAGCACCGGGGACAGGGCCCGCAGCCGCACCATTCGAAATCGGGTAGCCTTGAGCACCGAAGTTGGGGCGGGGCTATAAATGGAAAGAAGATGATGATATTAGCCAAGCTCTTCAATATCTCAAAAAGATGGTATTCAGCGCGATTAGAAGCTGGGGGCAAATGCGCAAATACGAGGGGTGGTAAGGCTAAGGAGCCACTTACAGAAGCCATGGAGGAGTTGAATTTAAATAATGGGAGGGTATGGGTGATATGGGTGCAGATGAAGGAGAAGAAAAAGAAGGGAAAGGAAGGGAAAGGATGAAGGTGTGTTGAGGGGAAAAAGATGTCGAAGATTCACTTTCTCATCGATGAAGCAGCAGCCGTGACATGAAGATTAGGTAAGCCACCCCTGGGCCCGCGGGCACCTCAGGCAGTACAAACAACACACTCTTTATATTGATATGCTCTCTGAGCTAATTGAATTGATTGAACTTATTTCATTGATTTGACTATGTTGCATTACTCTCACCTGCTGCTGAGAAATGGTATTTTTGTTTTTTTTCGCCTTCACCCTGGCCCGAGATATAGGTCGTTGTAGTCTTGACATTGCAAATGAGACAGATACCCCTTGCCCAATCATCCGGGGTACGAATTTTCATATTTCCAAAGGTGCTAAGACTATCAGGTATGTAGCTATCCTTATATATGGCACAAATAATAACATGACACGCATATGTCAGACCAGCGACAAGGTGTATCAAAGCTCTTCGATATGACCCCCAACGCGATATTGCCGCCTATCCAACTTCTGTCCGGCAGGCTTTGACACTGCTGTATGCGGACATGATAACGACTGAATGTATTGAGGGCCCTTGAGTGCCGACAACGCAAAATGTCCACCAACAGTTGGACGGGCCTGACATAAAATAGGAACTCCTAGCTCATTTCCGTGCCCAGAAGTTGCAACATACCGATCAGAAAAAGGCAAGTTGTGTTTCCTGTTGGTCATGAATGACCATAGGTCATCGACGAATTTGTCCCTGGTGCTCGTCTCAAATGTGCGAGCCTAACAGAAGAGGCAAATCAAGACCCCTCGTCAAAAGAAATCGGAGAGTGCAGTTTTCTTGATTACTAGATCATCTTGACCGTAGCATGCCTCTACATAGTAGTACTCGGGCTTTGAATTGACCCAGAATCGTGATACGCATGATCTAGAAAATGCCGATGGTAATTAGCATTTTCAAGACGCACATATCTCGTTCACTCACAGGGACGACAACGGAAGATAAAAATTCGTCTCCCTCGATTCTTATAGCCATGACGGTCGCAATAGTCAGATCTCAAAGAGATCCTCTAAGGATTTATTGATAATAACAAAAACGACAAGGGTATGAACTCGATCTTCCGAGCTAAACAGATTGTTCTTAGAAGTATAGGCCGAAGTTGCTGCTCAATCAAAACTTAAGTTATCTCACCTTTAAGCAGCTATTCAAACGTTTACTCTACAACAACTGAAGCCGCCTCGTCTTGCAGACTTCTCTCACTCATCTGAACCTGGTACGTCCACAGCTTTTACTTATTGCCCTCCCCCTACTTTAAACAGCTATTCTGGCATATTTCTTTCACGACACAAGCCCTCAGCCTACCTACAATGGTACGCCTACCTCACCTACTAACACTATTGAAACTTAGGTGATAACGGCACGACTAGAAGTGAGTCTACCCACACCTCGCAGGCTGGTAGGCAAACGGTACGGAGTCGAGACAATATTCCTCGCATGGCTTGTACTAACACTATTCTCAATATCAGCCCCCGCTCAGAACCAGGAGAGCCGGGTGTCTCATACACCTTCCAAACAGACCGCATCTAAATCGGCGGGCAAGACAAAACAACAGGTGGGACCTGATATCATATACCCGGTATTGATTATACGTGCTAATGTCATATAGACAAAATTTCTCAGCCTAGACAGCCGTATCAACGATGCGAAAGAATCTAGGCGAGGCTCAACAAGTGAGCCTTCGCCGACCCCATTTGACTTGGCTATCGCTAAAATACAAAGAGACATCCCCGGCGGCATAGCGCGAATTCTCCCATTCTAGGGAGTTACAGAAAGCTCTAGTTTTGCCGTCGACCCATCTAAACAGAATGATATCCAAGAAGACTACTAAATATACCACTAGAAAGAGCACTGAAACGACTACTGAAAAGACACCACAAGGCCACTTATGCGGCCGACTATTCTTGTAAACACATTAATCACAATCGCTCCAGCCCCACGAGAAGCATGCAATAGACAAAAGCATGGAAAAGACATTATGATTTACTATAGCTTGAGTCGTGTCTGCTATTCACTGTAAAGAATATCCAAGTGAAATTTTACTATCATATAACCTCTATCAATTTTCGACTTGTTCATTGCAGCGATTTTATGAGCCAGGCAAGCGCGCTGGGCGTATATAGCAATATAAACGACTTAGCAGGTATCAACATTCAAGCTTTGTAGGGAGGAACATTGTAGAAATTAGAAGCTGAAGATATAAACGACCCCTCACCGATCTCCCTGCGTCATATTGTGAGGAACATAGTACTTACGTCCACGGGTATAACACTGCCGGAAAGAGAAGAGCAGTCTCAGCGACGAGACCGATGTAATAGAGCCATATTCAATTTATCTTAACTATTGGCAAAGTCTATAGAACTTATAAAATTCATCTATCTTCATTTCTATATGTATCTACAACTGGGCCTTCTGAATTCGTCGCCCAATCTCATCGAAATGAATCTGCTTCCCAGACACCAGTGCCTCCTGGAGATAAGAACCAATCTCAACGGCCTTGACAGCATTGCTCAACTTCATAGGGAGCGGTGTGTTGTCCAAGCAGGCCGCAGTGAAGTCATTGGCCTCCTGAACAAATGCAGGGCTGAAGCGACCCATAAAATTGTGAGGAATTTCGCGAGTGATGCCGCCGTTGTGGTACAAGTTGACAAAGTTTCGCTGAGGATTTCCGTTTACTGTCAACTTGCCCTCTGTGCCAATGATCTCAGTGGTGTCTTCCTGGCCAGCGGCCATCATGCGCGAGCAGTAATAGTAGGCAATCTTGCCATTCCAGAACTCCACAATACCCACAGCGTTATCATAGTCGTTGTACTTCTTCAGCTCTGGTTGGACTGCGGTGATACCGTGAGCAGAGATGCTCTTGGGCATGACCTCATCCCCAAAGAACCACAGACTGAGATCAATATCATGCACGGACATATCGACAAATACGCCGCCGGACCAGGCTGCATATTCAACATAGAACCCCGAGGGATCAAACTTGTCACAGGTTTGACTGCGGATAATGGCAGGCCGTCCGATGAGGCCTTGCTCCATCTTGGCGTGAGCATCACGGTACGAATCATCGAAGCGTCTGGAGAAGCCACACATCACCTTCAGATGGGGCTTCTTCTTAGCAGCCTGGACTACTGCTCTGCACTTTGAAAGAGATATTTATCAGCATTCATAATTCCAAAACAGGGAGAATCCCATACCACTTCGACATCGGTAGACAAGGGCTTCTCGCAGAGAACATGCAAGTCTTGTTCGATCGCCTTGATTGTCTCTTCTGCGTGCACGGAGGTGGCCGTACCAATAGCAACGGCCTGCAGACCGGGATGCTTGAGCATGTCATCATAGTTGGTGTACAAAGTCACGCCGTGGGGTTCCAAGTTCACCCTCCCCCATGCAATCTCAACCGGGTCTGGTGTGAATGCTGCAACAAGCTCTGCACGGGGTGTCTTCTGGAGAAAGTTGATAGCATGGAGCTTGCCGACTCGACCAAGGCCGGCCATTCCAACTTGGAGTTTTTGGACTACCATTGTGCTTAATGGATTGAACAGTAGAGGGAATATTTGATGTCTTTCTGAACCCTCAATTTCCTGGGTCTTTGAGGGGGTTTAAATAGTTTTGAAAGAAATCTATCCATCTGCATCTTGATCTGCACCTTGATCAGTATATTACTTCAAATGTTATTCAAAGGTAATATTTGCCGTAAAGCAGTGGGAATTTATATGGAGAATGGAAAGAATTGCTGGATAGAACGAAAGAGGAAGGTTGGGGTTTCCCCGCATTGGTCTCCCAGCTAGGTGATGTTTCACTTATGTGATTGTTTTGGTGTGTGTTTTGTCTGAATAACTAATGCCAAGTCATGTCTCATTTACCAGATATTTCACTACCATAATAGTGGGTCATGCATACAGCCCCGTGGGGGAACGGAAAGAATTTCCTGTTTGCAAATCTCTTGGACATGTCTCTAAGAAAGAATCGCCTAGTAGCTGGCTGGTGGGTTAGTATGCAACATGGAAGAAGATCTCTACTAATTGAGTTCATTGACCGTAGCCAACGATGTCGTGGTAAGTCTCCGTGGGGTATCAAGAGTTGCTGAGAAACTGACAATTCTTGAAGTCCGACACCTAAAATGTAAGTATTATCGACTGGGAAACTATATAGTATATTGATCAAGCATAGGTGATATCAATGACCTGGGCTGCGAGCACTGTCAACAGGCTGGTGTGCATTGTGACAGAACCAATGTCCGGTTTCGCAATGGCCTCTCATTACCCAAAGAGGCTGAGATTGCCTTTTCGGACCAAAACTGGACCAAAATACGTGGCAAGGGTAGGTGCGAGTTAACTATTCGGTATTATCTAAATTTAACCATCCTAGTACGCTTTCATGACGAAACACCCGAAATCGCTAGCTTGTACTCGACTCTTCAGGATGGTCAGTCGGCTTCTCCCACCGATTCTAGTAGGTTAGAAGTCGGGCCGAGAGATGATCTTGATAACCCGAGCGGTCTACTGGCACCATATGCAGCTAATGGAGCCGGTGAAGCCGGTGCCGCCCAATTCTCAGCTTCTACGGAAAATGCGTCACCATCTGTTCCACTGTCTTCTCCAAGTACAATCGAATCAAGGACATCCTCTAAACCTTCGCCCTTAAGTGAAAGAGAAGCCATATTGTTGAGAAATTTTGTCGAAAACATGGCGCTCTGGGTACGTCTACAGCCGAACGACATACTATTATTCATCTATACTGATTAGAATAGGCTGATATTACCGACCCCCAACGTCATTTTGAAACAGAGGTTTCAGCCCGGTCATTGAAGGAGCCTATCTTACGCTATGCAATTTTTGCATTTTCCTCGCGCCATCTTGACCGACAAGACAAGAGAGATGTAACAGAGGCACTACAGTACCATAATTGTTGTGTTCAACTACTTATTCCTGCACTTTCTGGGCGCGAGCACATCACCGAGGATATACTAGCTGCTGTCGCTATACTCCGTCAGCACGAAGAAATGGATGGTCAGTCATCGACAAGTAACATCAGATAAATGCTCACACATTCCAGGGGAGGACAATCAATTCCATCTCACTGGTACAACTCATATCCTGAATACCGTATCAACTTTTGGCTCTTCAGGTGGCCTGGGCGAAGCTGCTGCTTGGCTCTGTTTGCGGCAGGATATCTATATCTCGCTAACCAGTCAACGGCCTCTGCGGACCAACCTACAAAGCTTCTTCCACTCAGATGTGTTTCAACGAAATGATGACTTTGCATGGTCAAGCAGAATGGTCTTTCTACTTGCTAATGTTCTCCAATGTGCTTTCACAAACACCACTATAACAGATGTCACCGACCACGAGATCGAAGAGTGGTATTCCACTAAACCGCACACCTTCGACCCGGTTAGATTAGTTCCACAAGGCCCTGGGCCAGATCAACGACTTCCGATCATGTGGATGTTACTCCCCGTACATGGTGACTGGTCCTCATAACATGTGTGTATAGCAGACTCGAGACTGACGTTGACTCAAATGCCATAGTTATTGGTGTTCAATATTACCATATTGCCAAGATTGTTTTGGCCCTTTCCGATCCTTCACGGGTATCCTCCACCTATGAGAGATTGCGACATTCCCGAATAGTGGAGGTTTGTTAAATCACTAACCCTTTTGGTATTCGCTGACAATGGGATTTAGAAGAAAGTACGCCACCATCTGTTGATGGTCATGGGATTGGCACAGTCTAATACAAAGGCGGAGAACACGTTATTTACTGCACGTCATAGTCTAGTCGCCTGTGAGTTATATAAAGGTTATTAGTTTAGACGTATCATACTGACTTGATAGGGGGTTGGGTCCTTCGACATCCCCTCGATCAAAGGGCCGCAGAGTCATTATTGCAAGCCATGCATGCAAGGACCGGTTGGAATATGGATTCCCTAATTCGGACATTACGTGTACAGTGGCAAGAGGTGGATGATAATTAACAAATTAATATGAACCTTTGAACATAGAAGAGTTCCGAAGAAATTTAATAAAAAAAAAACAACATCCGAGTGAAAATTGGCCCCAGGACTGGTTGTATACCAAACCTTTGAAGGGATCAAGGGGAAGATCACAATCTCAGGGGATCTACGTCGTACGTAGTAACCCCCCACTCCCTTTTTTTCTTCCCATTTAAAGTGAACTTCCTTTCCTCCGAATAATTTGTTATGTTCTCAAGAATATTCACTCTTCACATCCTTGTTGCTTGTTGTTTCATCCCCGCAAATTCATCCCGCTAGTGAAAGCGGATCCACGTTGCCTCGGCCCTCTACTCGCGTGACAAACGTCTTTCGCAAAAATGAACACAATCCTCGGGCTGGTCCCAAGTCTTCTGAACCTCGATTTCTCATTCGGATGGAAATTCTACTATGTACCAATCATGAGCTCAAATTCCTCGAGCGCAACCAAAAGCGCCAAAAGCGCAAAAGAGAGCACATCAATTTCACCATATTGCGCACCCCCGCCTTACAATGATGTGAGCGGCCCCGTTATCATAGGCCAAGATGGCAAACCTCAATTCCTATCACCAGAGGAAGAGGTGGAGCGACAACATCGACTGCAGCAAGCGGTGCGCGAGAAGATGTTAGGGTTACCACGAACGACCAAGTTCGAATGGTACCAGGGGACGTCAGGAATGTCAACAACAGAAACATCAGGGGCTACAGGAACTGTGGAAGAATTACAACTACCACCATATACACCCCGAGATGAGAAATGATGTCATGCCAAGGGCAGATACGCAGCTTTAGCAAAGCCATTCCCTACACATGTGCGCAGAGTACAGACCGCAGTACACTTTATATAGACTGCGGGCGGAGCTTTGTATAATAATAATGCATCGAAGGTTCACCTTTTGATTTCATGGATCCACTATTTGTAAAAGGATTTTGTAGATGTATGCGAGGCTTAGTTCCGGAACAGTTTCAAACCACCTTCTTCCCGGTCGATATCATCCTCTTCATCGCTGGCACTCTCATCACCTTCACCGAGCAAACCACTGGCCGATTTACCGAGTAGAGAAGCAAAGAACTCATCACGTGCGCGTGTAGACCAGGTACCACGGTCATCAGGAGCCATGAAGTTCTGAAGCTTTTCATGCACAGTGTACTTCATTTTGCGGCCCTTAGAAGCACGGGTATCAATGTCTCGCTTGACCTTGTCGTTGCGCATACCAGTGATGGGGTGAATGGGCAGGCGTGAGGGCAGCTGGTGCAGGTTGTCAAAGCCACTAGTCATGGAATCGGAGGACATGCGCTGTTCAACGAGATCGCGCAGAAGGGACTGATAGAAAGCTCCGTCGTCGTAGAATGGTTCTTGTTGTTCAGATGTGCGCGAACGCTTGGAGGATCTTTCTCCAATCTCTGTGGCGACTTGGGCATCAAGGACGGCGGTGATGGTCTGTTGGCGACTGGAAGAACCGAGCAGCTTGCCTCTGGCGTTGGGGAGAGATGCAGAAGTGCCACGGACTTTTGAGGACCACTTATCGAGAACAGAACGACGGTGGGAAATGGACTCAGACTCCAATTCAGCCATACGTTCCCATAGCGAGGCAGAGCTAGTACTAGGCGAGGCGGGGGAGGGTCTCTTCCGTTTTTTGCTGCCTTCTTTGGCGGTAGCATCGGCCAAGGCGGTACGTAACCCTTCGAGAGTTGACCACAATGCAAGTGCAGCTGACTCTGCCGACTTAATTGCTTCCTCATCAACCACCTCCTCTTCATCATTCATCGCGTTCTCTGCATCAGCTTCATTCTTCGAACCCAAAACAGCAGCAATACCATTGACAGAAGTCAATCCACTCTGAAGTTTCATTCGCGCGTTAAGGAGCGCATCAAAAGTGGTACGTTGTTGCTTGACAGCCTTTCCTTTCGTAGCATCGGCCTTAGCTGCCGAGGATATTGTCGCAGCGATAGTTTTCTGATCCGTCGCCATTAGTTTCCGAATCTCGTCGCGGTCACCCGACGGTCCGTTTTCGCCATGTGGCACTGGTTGGAGGTTCTTCTTCGAGCTGCTGCTAACAGTATCGTTTGTCGCGCCATCAAGGACTTCTTCACGGCTCTTCTTCGACTTGCTGCCGACAACATGGGCCCACTCCTCCTCTACGCCATCGTCCTCATCTTCATCCTCCTCGTCCTCTTCGCTGTCTTGTGGCTCTACGCCCTCGTCTCGCTGGGCCACATCCTGGTCGGACGCCTCTTCATGCTCTTCGGAGGACAGGGCTTCTGAGTCTTCTTCTTCACTTTCGGCGCCTAGCGCGGCCCGGCTGACCCGGGCACCATCATATTGTTTCCCCAGAGTGAGGGGATCATCTTTGCGGAGCTTCGCTTTCCTGTTTGATTATTAGCGAGCTAGTGCCATCAAATGAACCTATTATTACAAACCCAACAGTCTGGTAATGCTCTCTGCCTGTATTCACTTCCTCTTCATATTCATCTTCATCGTCGCTTGATTGTTGGCCATTATCGATGTCCTCGGGGTCAAAGTCTATGCATCAAGTAAGCATTGGGTGTCCGGTACCCAATAGAATCTATAGATGAATCATTCATCCATACCTTTAGGAGTTGGATCTTCAAAATCAGCAAGCTGATCAGCTAGTGAACGAGCTGCGCGTGGTTTGCCCATGGTGATTTGGTATTGGAAGAGAGGAGGTTTACGAACAACCTTGGAACTATTTTTTTTGATGGTTTTTCCGGATAACGGACTATTAATCCTATCTAGGTCTAGTTCCCGTGAGCGGTATAGATTCACGTGGGCGGTGTATAGTGGAGATTTCAACTTAAACAGGCGGTCGGCTTTTATATCGGCAGTATCGCAGTGGATATCCTGCACAGCATCTTCTTCAACTACTTCTATTGCTCACGGAGCATTCAGTGCATTGTTCCCTCTCGTCTGTCTCATTTTGCTTATCAGCATGTTGGGTTCTCCATATGGTGCCATCCCCAGGGGAGCGAGGCTTTTTTCCACCTGCCGAGCTCTTCAGCATGACAATCCTTTGGTTAGTTGTTACACTACAATTTGGAGCTCCTTCCGGCTCAGTGATTATTTCCAATGATCATTTTATTACAAATGGCAATCTTGGCTTGAATTAACTGACTATTAACAGGGACTTCCACGGTCTGGCACCCCGCCAACTTTCCGTTCGCGCCGAGGGATGCCCGAAAAGCGCAAGATTCGAGATGTCAAGAAAGTTGTTGCAGTCTCTTCAGCAAAAGGAGGAGTTGGCAAGTCTACAATAGCGGGTATGTTGCCATTCTCTATACCTATATATCTCTCAAATTGGGTAGCCACAACAGAAGACCTGTGAGCCCAAGTGGAATGAACAATCGCTAAAGAGATCTTACCAGTCAATCTCGCGCTATCATTTGCACGCCGTGGTATCAAGACTGGAATCCTTGACACTGATATCTTCGGTCCTTCAATCCCTACCCTCCTAAATCTCTCCGGCGAACCTCGTCTCGACGAAAGTGAGTCACCTTTCTAGGCTCATCGCCATTGCAGCGATAATCAATATGCTTATGAACATTGCCAGACAACTGCCTTGTCCCTTTAACAAACTACGGCCTTAAATCTATGTCAATGGGCTACCTCCTCCCCCAAACACAAGCCGATAGCACAACAGGCGAACTACCCATGGACACAACGCCAATCTCATGGCGTGGACTAATGGTAACCAAAGCCATGCACCAACTTCTCCACTCAGTATCATGGGGTCCACTAGACGTCCTCATCCTCGACCTACCCCCGGGGACCGGCGACGTCCAACTCACAATCAACCAAGAAGTCATCATCGACGGGGCTGTGATCGTATCAACGCCCCAAGACATCGCACTCCGCGACGCGGTACGGGGAATTGGGATGTTCCAGCGAATGGAAGTGCCCGTCCTCGGTATGGTGCGCAACATGGCATATTTCGCGTGTCCACAATGTGGGACCCAGACTCGTATATTCTCGCATGGCGATAGCCACCACCAGACGCACGGTGAAAACCACGGTGTCGTGGCTGAATGCGAACGGCTCGGAGTAGACTTCCTCGGTGATATTCCTCTTGATGCTCGTGTATGCGAGGATGCTGATCGTGGAATGCCGACTGTTGTTGCGGAGGAGAGTGATGAGCGCAGTGCGAGACGGGAGGCTTTCCTTGGTGTTGCTGAGCAAGTGGCTCGGAAGATTGGTCTTGATTGGCGCTGAAGGGTCGATCAATTTTCACTAGACGTAAATTTATAAACATTGTGTATTATTATATTAGACATGTATCCGGTGGCTCGCTACTGGCTACTTATCTTTTTCAGCCTGGGGGTTTATTCTCAATCGCTGCCCGAAGTGCTATCAACTCGTGTGCTTCAGTGTCTACAAAGTCATAGTTGGCTCACGGAATAACGGGGACTAGTATAACTGCAAAACCCAAGGTTGTACTTAGAAAAGTCCATTGCACAAAGCCATTATCCGCCTTCTTTCGCTATAAACTTGAGAAGACATCTACACAGAATAATATTTGAGAAGACCACTGAAAAGACATCACAGGGGCGCATAAGTGGCCCTGTATCCTTGTTGAGGTATAATTGTATTCATTCTCTTCCATCTACAAATGATGGTGGGCTGCCAGTGACCTGGAAGCTTGCTGCCAAAATCGGGTATATCCAACACAAAGAAACAAAAAAATAACAGAAGTAAATGGGAAGTCGCTGCATATATCTTCAACAAAAGAGCGAGAGGTCGAAAGAAAATAGAAAGATTCAAAATGACAGTTGAAATGACATTATAATGAAAATGTTCATAAATGGCAATACTATGAGGCTGACTCGGCAGTTTTGTAAACCTCCCTGTCCAGCATCTCAGGCTGGTGTGACATGGAGTCCCGACCAGTCGCAGAGAGAACAGATAAAGTATCTGTAGAGCGACGGCCATCACAAGTCATAGGGGAAATAACACCACGCGCGCCATTCACAGCGCGGGTGCTCGCGGTATCAGGTCCCATGTTCATGTAGGCGAAATAGTCCTTGTCGCCACCAACGGTACTTCCAGTGTCTGACATCATCTCACTTCGGCCAGTGCCTGATCCTGCAGCGGATGATGGCCGGTACCTGCTGTGGGATAAGGAAAGATCGGACTTCATCGGGAGAGCGCCTGCTGCATGAAAGAGACCCCTCGTGCTGGCATTCTCATCTGTAAATTTGTTGTTGTTCACCCCGGGCAATATAAGGATTGGGCCAGCGCTTTTCTGCGAGAGAGGTCGAGAGGCGGTCCCGGGATCTGTGGAGATGCGTCCAATAGAAGAATCACCATTACTGGGGTGCTCCTTTTCATCCCGGCTGACTGCCGTGTAGCCGTTAAATTGCGATTTGTTGTTATCTTTGTCTAAGACTTTTTCGGTTTGGGGATTCGTCGCCGGCGTGCTGGACCATGCTCCAGCCTGCCCAGCGTCAGTACTGACACGGGTGGAACGTCTGCCCGATTCCTCAGCCCGCTTCTCCATTTCTATTCTGCGCTCATCATGCCTGCTTCCCCAGCCGCTCCACATCATCATGCCGTAGTTCTTCTTGGCATGTCGCTTTGGTAGTACGCCAGGAGCAGCTCGCCGCGCGGCCAAGGAGCTCGGAGGAGGACATTCTCCGTCAAAGTCTTGGAAGCCATGCGCCAACTCTTTCAGGCGTCGGCTCTGAACCCGAAGCTTCTCCTTTGCAAATCGGATATCCCACTCCTTCTTTGCATCCAACCACATCTGGATCAGCACGGGATTAACTGCGCCTATCTTGGCAGGAGGGATATCTAGCACTGGGTAGGAAGAGGGAGGATCTAGCGGGAAGACATGCCCTCGTTTATCGATTCGTTGGCGTATCATGTGTTCTTGGAAGGCTGGAAGAGGGTCCCCGGCCTTACCGACAAATGACGGTCCAGGTTCCCCAGGCGGACTGTTCAGGGCGATTTGAGGCTCTGGAACATCGTCCTCTTCTGAGCTACTTGATGAAACGGCCGAAAGAGCACTATCATCCTCAATTTCAACCTCGCCATTCTGTGCACGAGCCAATGCCCAAGAGCCAAACTGGGCAATGGAACGGAACATATACTTGGCTGGGCGCGTGAAACTCAGAGTAGGAGCAACATGGCATAGGTTTTCCCACACCTGAAATTGTACATAAGTTGGTTCGTACTTGTTCAACGTCTCCCGAGTAGGATCGTTCTCATCGAGATATGCGTCACTGGGTGGATATGCCGTCGGGTTGGCTGCTTTGTGGGCCACGTAGAATTGCTCGTCACGAAGCGTCTCACCACCGCCACTCAATATATGTAGAGGTGGCAGGCCACCCAGGGAGGGTTGGAGGACCGGCGAAACAAGAGGATGGGACATGAGTTGGTTCGTCGTGTACAACTGAATTTGGTCCTTGAGTTCGACTGTCTTCCCGTCCAAGACAACGTGAATGTTATCGGGTTCGGCGTGCAAACTAGCAGGACTCGGGGCTTGCTGCAAGCCAGGGTAGGCCGGTTCAGCTAGGGCTGGGGTGTTCTCGTGCACAGTATAACCACGGATGGCAGTCTCTTCGGCAGTGCTGTTCGGTTGGGGAATGGCTTTTTTAACATCCTCTGGAGTCACTATTGGTTGGTGCGACATTCGTTTTATTTCCAGGATATCATCAGCATTGGGAGGAGGCCAAGCGGGCGAAGGTTTATGCCGGAAACCATAAGCAGGGATATAATCACCTGGGTTGTCCTCAACAATACTCGGGAAAGAGTGTGTCAAATCAACCCAGGGTGAGATCAAGATGGCGCCCGCGGGTAAAGGAATACCTTGGTCTCTCATGATGACCAGCATCGATAGAGCCATACCTCCACCCGCAGAATCACCAGCAAGTATAATTTCCTTTGGTTCATGAGACTTGAGCAACCAAAGGTAAGCCGCCATGCAATCGTGCAGGCCACATGGGAAAGGGAATTGTGGCGACAGTCGATACTCCGGTGCAAATACACGTCCCTTCAGCTTGCGCGCATGGCGCTGCATCATATACCGATGGGTGTCTACACTTCCGAAGAAATAGGCCCCACCATGGATATATAGCATCACACGATTACAATGCTGGCCAGCCCCCTCCGTTTGATTATAGTGGTTCCGCATCTCAATCCACTCCCCCTTCAGCTCTTCGGACGGCCCGCGCCATTGCCACCATTTCTCTCCTCCCACTCGTATGACACCCTTGGGCCCCAGCTGCTTTGTGACAGCATCTGCAGCAGTGTACAGGAACTCGTTGGGGATTGTGACAGTTTCTGTTCTCACCCAATGTGGGCTTGGAACCCATTGGCGAGTGAACGCCTGGAGGTCTTCGACCGGGTGTTTGGATGCATAAAATAAGAATTGACGAACGATCTGGATACCTTCATCGTAGGTAACGTGAACGGAGGGTTTGTTATGTAGCGATTTGCGATTCAAGTACTATAGATATACCATCAGCTAGACAACCCTAATTTTAGATGCCATAAGGACTTACATGACTGATGAGAGTATGAAGGACAGTGGGAGTCAATGCGACACCTAATGCGACTGTATGTAATGGCATGATTTTGGGAGTATGTCTGTCGCATAGATTCAAATGATACAAAATCAAAAAAACAAAAGAATTACATGAAAGACAAAAGGGCCAAAAGGGACAAAAGGGTCAAAACATTGCCCGACGTCATTTCAAGGAGAAAAGGCTGAGAATCTCCAGATTTGAACAGGGGGAAATGATGTCATCGGGGAAGATCGGCAAGGGAATTTTCGATCTCAACTTCTCAATCTCATTCTCTTCTCTTTCCTTGTACTCTGTAATTTCCACGCCTTTAATTGCTTCTTCTCGGTCTTCCAATCCAACTAACAATCACAATATAACTCATTCCAATAACACCAGCCACAACACAAGTTGCAATGACTGCCCCACGTGGTCCTTGGGCAAGTTTGAATCCAAGCCCAACATTGATGATACCCAATATCATCATCAGCCGACCAAACCAGCGGTGGATATAAGCAAAGGGCCCTTTTCTACCTGTCTTCCGGAAGAACATGTGTTGCAACATGCCCATGGCAGGTTGAAAAAGAGCAAGAGATGCGACAATGATTATCCCAAGTACGGTATGGTAAGAATCGATCAATTCAATCTGTCGTGCCATAGAAACACCAACTCCGAGGCCCGCAATTGCCACGCCCAAAGCGAGGAGTTGAAACGTTCCATGAATGTTCACCGTCCATTTCGATGGGAAAATATGAAGTCCGAGCGCGAAGAAAGGGAACATGACCACAAAAGCTACAATCATGAGTACTGCATGAGCTGTCTTTTTCTTTCGGATTGTATTTCGGAAGGCTGCATAGCTGGGATCTTCTTCAGCCGGAGGGATTGACACTTCCATTTGGGCCAAGGCAGGAATGGCCCAAAGCCAAGAAGAGATATATCGAACCATTGCAAAAATCGAGATTGACTATTCTGGTCTCAGAAAGGGAGTCATCTCAATAAATACCTTGATTTTTGTTGCACGGTTGATATCCCAACTACGTCAGTAGTAAAGACAGCTTTTGTGTCTCCCCAGGAGAAAAGCTCTTCATTTCGACCTGCAGAGTCACTCAATGTCTCAAGCCTTTTTTTTTCTTTCTCGTAACCCTACTATCTTATAATTAACCCTTTTCCTTTTCTAGTGGGTTTGTTCCGAATATGGCGGGACCAGTCAACATTACAATAAAAAATGTGGTTACTCTCGTCAATGACACGAATCTAATTTGGTACTACTATGGTCAGATTGGCCATTGCCACGTCGGCATGCTTGGTACTATCAATCTGTCGTAAGCAGGGGAGGCTTAGCTTATTCATTTTTTGTCAGCTTTACGATGGCAAGGGACCCCTACGCTCTTTTATACAGAATACAACAAATGCGAAAGGCAGCACTATACCTGCAATGATTCATACTCGGAGGGTCTAAGAATGAGTCGCCGAGCAGCGCAGTCAGCGAATCGGCGATCTGAACTGGTGCTATTTCAAGTCCAGCAAACTCGGCTAATATAATGACCATGTCCATCGGTATGGCATTTCCTAGGTATGGTTATCAATAGTACTACAACATCCGACGTCCATATCAGAATATCATAACGGGGTTCTCTTTGTCCATGTGTCTGCGCATGATAACTTAGGCCAATTGCCCTAAATATTGGATGTTCTAACTTGAATGAAATTTGTCTTTGCTTACACAGTAGTGGTCATAGTACAAAGTAAATAAAATATATATATTATAATGACAGCTCATTTCCCTTCTGCTGTTTTGCCACTGTCGTCTATGGAGATATCTACACCAAAAGGAACATAAAGACATGTAAAGTCCTCTGCTCCTTATTTCAATAAATTGCTCTTTCTTATTTGACCACCTTCATTCTCTTGTCTGTCCCTTCGTTTTCTTCTTCCATAACTCCAGTGATAGTCCTACGTGAACTGTTGAAATATGTTGCATGATTCAAACTCCCTAGACATCGAGCGTTTCGATCCATTGCCTGCATCAAAGCCATCGGGTCCTAAGCCAGCACTGCTGTATCTGTAAGGTACTGAGAGAACAGGGAAGACCCCCTTTGGTGGTGAAGTACCTACAATTTTACGCACATCCCGACCCTGCAGAAAAGTACCTTTTAAAATCTGCTAGGCAGCGCACAATCATGACACGCATTTGATAATAATAATTATGGTCAATTGCGTGCAGTCAATTACCACATTCCAACTGAAGAAAAAAGAACCGACCGATTACCAGTGCCGTACGATCTCTGCAGAAGTCAAGGACTGTGGAATTGGTTGGCCACAAGGTCCGCACAAGCTTCCACGCGGTACTCCCCAGAAATGAAATATGGAGAATCCTCCCACTTTTTTCAGACGAGCTAAGCCAAATGGTCTCAAATGATTGCAACGGATAGGGCCGATCGCATTCTCGTGCCTTTCTTGGCACCGCGGAAGGTCCCCAGGAGCGTCGATACGGGTGGATGCCCTAACGAGTGTGTGAACATAAAAGCCACAAGCCATGTCAGATTCTGAACTCAGTCGCAGTCACAATGCTCGGCAAATCCTCTCTTACAGTGGCGACGCTGGTCGCCCAGGCTTTTCCTGGACTTGGAGCGATCATTGAACGAGAAACGGTCAAAGTAACAACCTCCGAGACAGTTCGAGGTGGTGAACTAGCCAATATTCATCTCAACTGGCTTAATCAACCGCCGAGTTTGATCGAATCTGTCTACGCGCCCTGTGATGGCGACGATTCATTGACAAAGGGGCAAATCATCGGACGGTTTTCAATTCACGATCATCCTCCACAGCGACTAGCTTGGGTGGTTCCAGAGGAGGCTGCAACGCACCACTGTGTTTACATATATGGAGTTGACGACTCAGATGTGACGCAAAAGGTCTTGGGCAAAAGTGGCCCTGTTTCCTTGCAGAAGAAGCAGAACAAACGATCCACGGCAGACATCGATATCCCACTGCTGAAAGACTTTGATGCGCAGGGAGCATGGTTCGATGGAGTCGCCAAAATCAAGGCCAAAGTGAAAAGTGATGGGGGAGTTGCTTCAAAGAACTCGCCAAAGAATACCTCGATCGCGATTGTTGGAGGCGGGATCTCCGGACTTGCAACAGGGTTGATGCTGGACAGCGTCGGTGTACACAACTGGGAGATCATCGAAGCCAGCGGCCGTGTTGGTGGCAGATTTCGCACAAAATATGTCGCGGACACTCAAGAATGGGCTGAGATGGGACCAATGCGACTCCCATATTCGGTCACCTACAAAGACGACAATGAGACACTCCTATATTCTGATCATCAGTTGACTTTCCAAATGGCCGAGATCTTGAACAACATGAATAGGAATGACTCGCAGTGGAAAATTGATTTTATCCCTTGGATCCAACACAGTCCCAATGAGTTGTATGCTCGAGACACTCGCCGCCACCCAGATGGAAGAATCCCAACTCGCGCTGAGATAGAGGAGGACCCCAGCCTGAAGGATCCTCCAGGAATGACAAGTGCCGAATATACCAACACCAAGAACCAGATGGAAAAAATCCTGAAAGATGAAAAGACTCTCAAGTCTCTTCAGAAAGATGTCTGGAGAGCCCACAAGACGGCCATGGACCAGGGGCTCGATGACTGGAGTGAACAGGCAATGATGCGACATGTCTTCAAAGCAAGTCAAAATGTCACCGACGAAATCTGGACATCATCCGACTACGATGTGTTCTGGGATGAGCTTCATCACAACTCCAACCTCGGCCTAGATGGAAGCAAGGACAGTATAGGCGAAACAGAATGGCTCTGTATTGATGGGGGATTTAACCGCCTGTCCGACGCCTTTCTTCCTCACGTCCGCGACAGACTTACTCTCAATCGAAAAATCCGGAAACTAGAGCCAGTCAAGGGAAGTGATGGTCACACTCGCACTCGATTGTCATGGTACCCCAATACCTCAAATCGCACCTTCGAGTCCAAAGAGTATGACTACACAATCATGTCAGCACCATTCACCATGACCCGCTTCATGGACCTGCCTAAATTCTCATCCGTCCTAGACCGCGCAATCAGCGAAGCAGGTCTGCGATTCAAGTCCGCATGCAAAGTAGCCCTACTATTCTCCGAGCGATTCTGGGAAAAGGGCGACCGACCAATTTTTGGCGGTTACTCCAAGCCATCAAGCAACTCAGTTGGTGCGCTCTACTACCCAGTCTATGGACTCAACGAGTCTCGGCCAGGTCTAATCATGCACTACCGAGGCGGTGATTGGAGCGACCGGTTTGTGAGTTTCTCGGACGAAGAACACGTCCAGACAGTGCTGGATTCAATTGTCAGCCTGCACGGTGAACAAGCGCGCGATCTTTACACAGGAGATTATGAGCGTCTTTGTTGGCTCGAGGATGAACATACTGCGACTTCTTGGTGTCGGCCGGATGTTGCACAGCATGAGTTATACATTCCGACTTACCATCAGACGGAGCATAACACTATTTTTATTGGTGAGCACACAGCACCAACTCAGGCTTGGGTTAGCTCCTCGCTGCATTCTTCTGTTCGTGGGTCGGTTCAATTGTTGTTGGAGTTGGGTTTAGTGGACGAGGCGAAGGAACTTAACCAACGATGGATGGGGAGATGGATCAAGCTATGATGTCTCTATCCTCTTGGTTTAGGGTATATTACCTTGTAATGTGAAGATACTCATATAAAATATAAAGTTTAGCAGTAACACTATACATAGCATTATAATACTGATTGTACAGTGCAGCCCAAGATAATGTAAATCATTTGTGCACTGTGTCATTTCTCTATTTCCCTCTCTACCATGGCAAAATATCTCCAGTTTGCGATACGAACTTTCCCGACACATTTTGCCTTGTAGCACTGTCGATAACACCAAGCATTCCATTAACACTATCTTCAACAGTCACCAGTGGATCACCAGAATATCCCCACTCTTTTGCAACAAAATCCCCCGCGCGCGTCTGCACCCAGCCAGGATGCAGAGCGAAGGCAACCAAGCCATCTTTCTCATTTTCACCATGAAGAGCCTTGGTAAGCCAGTTTGAGGCTGCTTTACTGGGACCATATGCCCCACCTGGAACAGGCTCTTGGCCAGAAATTGAACCGACGGAGGAGGAGATGACCACGAGCTTGGGCGCAGCATCCGATTTCTGCATAAATGGCCAAAAGGCCTGGAACACAAGGAGTGGGGCGATGGTGTTGACTTCAAATGCTTGACGAAGATCTTCCGCCGAAGTCAGTAAGGCCGGGGTCATAGGCGTTGCAAATCCGGCATTGCAGATGAGCACATCGACATGCGTCACTGTACTGACTCTTGCGGAAAAGACCTGTGCAATCTCTTCGGGGGATATCGCAGTGGAAAAGTCCAGTTCGATGATGTAAATAACACTATTTTTGCCCACAAAAACACCTTCAACGGCTGACCTAAGGCTTATGGCTGCGTCCTTGTTGCGCACTGAGGCCACGACGGTAGTAGCAGGGCGTTCGAGTAGCCGTTTGGTCAGTCCGAGACCGAGGCCTCTATTTGCACCTGTCACGACGTATACTGTGTTTGCAGTGGATACCATTATGGGTGTCTTTTGATACTATTTTCAAGAAACAAAAGAGGGGAAAGAGGAAAGAAATCAAAGAACTTCATGCGCCCCCTCCTTTTTATACTTGGACTTAGGGCTTATGTGAAGCGGACCAATCAGAGCTGAATTCATCACAATAGATGTCAGCGTCGTCATATTCCAAGGCTAATTCAAGCTAATACTATTTATTTATTTCAATCATATCAAATATCTATTAAGCCCCTAATTACTTTAACTGTAACTAACTAGTTAGTTACAGTTAAAGTAATTAGGCATTCAAGCATTCAACCGCCGAGAATCTCCCCCTGAGATATACCGAGAGATACCGCAATCACCGAAATCATTGCCAAGGAAAGTTGGAGAACGATATCTTCATATCTTATCTATTATGAAATATGAAAAGGCCAATGGCTGCAAGCTATGTCCGTTATCTCCATATTTGAAGTTAATAGGACTAATAAGACCTATATTTCCGGCGCCCTCGGAAGGTCGAGCCGGATATGCGTGAGCATCGGATTGTAGGTTGGACTGGCATATTTAAAGCTCCGATCCGCTCAATTATGGCTACAAGAAAAGCAATCATGGCTCCTAATGGTCTTGGTTCTGGCCTTTGGCGTGTCTCTGCCTCTCTTCTTTTCTTCCTGGCCGCCACAACTGTCTCTGCCACTAGTGTTGATAATGGCAAACTACTTACGGTCAATGGCATCAACTACTATAGTGGTGACGCTGTCTCAAAAATAGACATCTCTGATTCTGATTTGACTCGATTGGACACAATCATTCCCCTGACAGTCATTCGGATAAATGAAGCACTGCTCACCACGAACATTATAAAAGAAACCATTTCAAACTACTCAACCGCCGATGATGTTTTCCAGGCCGGATTTCTTGAAGGTGGGTGTTAAACAAGTCAATATCTCTGCCAAAGACCTTCCATTGACTTCAAGATAGCGGTTTTCCTTGTCTATGATGGACACGGTCGGGGCCAAGTCGAGCCTGCTGTTCAAAAGTCTCTGAAGGGACTTGGAAATAAAATGGTGATGGCCTCTTCCAAATTTCGATCTGGAAATTATTTTACATCTGCCAAACTTCGTGATGACATACCAAATGGGCCCTACTTTTACTCGCCGCAGACTGGAGAGATCTATCAAGCCTTCCGTCTCTATTCCGATCACCAGCTAGCATTCACTGAAGCTGCTCTCAGCGATGGCAGCGGAGGATTTAAGCCCTTGCCAGCAACCTCATCGGTGGGTAAAACTGTGACCTATTTCCAACCATCTTTGCTGATCAGTTCCAGGGCGCAATGACGAAGAGCGTCGCTGTACCATCTAGGCTATACTATACACCGACATCAACGAAGCCACTTGCAGGGGTATGAGCAGCAAGATAATCCTCTATGTTTCAAAAATTTGACTAACAACATGCAGTTACGTGTTGGAGTGAAAGATATCTTTGATATGAAAGGACTGCATACTAGTGGTGGCAATCGGGCCTTTTACGATTTATACCCTCCGCGGAATACCACCGGCCCCGCACTCCAAAGACTCATAGATGCGGGAGCTATCATTGTAGGGAAAATGGGTACAGTGCAATTTGCAAATGGAGATAATCCTACAGCTGATTGGGTCGACTTCCACTGTCCTTTCAACCCTCGAGTAAGTCCAGCCGTCAAAGTCGATGGGGATTTCACTAACGGTTGTCTCAGGGTGATGGTTACCAAGCTCCCGGTGGTTCATCTTCAGGGCCTGGTGCTGGTATCGCGTCCTACGACTGGCTTGACATTGCCGTGGGAAGTGACACAGGTGGCTCTATGCGCAGCCCAGGAGGAATGCAGGGACTCTTTGCCAACCGCCCTTCTACTGGGGCTGTATCTCTTGACAATGTCATTCCACTTTGTCACGTACTCGATACAGCTGGTGTTTTTGCTCGCGATGCTGCCACCTGGTCAAAGGTTATGCATGCGTGGTACCAGAACTTCACTGACTATAGAGAGTATCCGAAAAAGTTGTTCTACCAGAACTCTTCTTTCCCCAATCCCGACACAGCATCCGGTGCACTACTCGAGGAATTAGTTATAAAAGTGGAAAATTTCCTAGATACGAAGAGGGAGTTTATTGATATCGCTTCCCACTGGGAAAAAACCCGGCCTTCCGAGACACCCTCGAAGATTAATGACTTACTGAATACAGTGAGTTCCGGCAAGATTGAAACATATATTCAGAGACTAATATCCTGTAGACCTATGCTGCGTTGGTATCTGTCGACCAATATCGCTCTCTTGCTTTGCCGTTTTACGCCGACTATGCAGCAAAGCACGGTGGTCGTCGACCATTTGTGAACCCAGGTCCCTTATCTCGATGGGCTTGGGGTCAAAATAATGGCGGTGATGCGATATACGAGGAAGCTTTCAAGAACAAGACGATTTTCAAAGGCTGGTGGGAATCAGATGGATACGGAAAGGCAGACGAAACGACTTGCTCTGAGGGTATCTACATCTATCCTTACACCAAGGGTCAGACACAGTATCGGAATACCTATTTTGAGTGAGTGAAAATCCCCTGAGCCAAAATTACCCATTGCTCATATCTACAGTGCACCTTCTGCACCTCCAATGGGCTTTTCGGATGGTCGAATGGCCGTCTTGGCCGGTACCCCCGATCTAGTGGTTCCTGTGGGAGAAGTCCCTTATTACTCTACCATTTCGCTCCAAACAGAATTTATGCCAGTTACGATGAGTTTTTTTGCAGCTCGAGGCTGTGATTTGATGCTAGTCAACCTCATCGAGGATTTGGAAAAGGCGGGGATCTTAAAGCCCGTGAGCACAGGGTCGATGATGTATCCATCGTGAGTCCAAACGCATTCAGTTTAACATTTCAAGTGAATATATAGCCAGCCAGGAATTGTATATATGGAAGTCTAATTTTGAATCATTAACTGTGCGAAATATCTCTTGGTCCGCCGGGGCCCTCTTGCAACCCGTTCCTTCTAGGTGCGTCAGGGCGCCAGCGCCAGAATGGGCGCATGAAAGATGAGCTTTGGTTACCATTCTCAAATATATCCGCCGCATGCTATGCGTTGTTAGTAATTATCCTACGGTGAGAGAGGATTTTCCTACCTTTCCCAGAACTGGTAAGAACTTTGCACCATGACCACTACCACCAGTACAAACGAATACAGATTTCTCCGCGAAAGTTGGGACATGATCAATCTGATGAGAGCCATGTCAGCAAAGATATCCAGGGGAGGAAGAACTATGTACCCACCACAAATGAATTGTCCAGGGAGTCTGTGTACCAGCAAAGTTTCGTAGAGAAAAATGGCGTATTCTCGAACTCAGGCAGGAATATAGACACAAACTGCTTGATTGCATACAAGGCTGGCTCTGGAAGTACCGAACACTCCTCCACTGGAAGAGGCACAGACCATTGACCATCTTGGGTGAATGGAGTATCTTGCGGTGCTGGCTGGAAATTGGTCCACTGAACCGACGCAATTAGCAGATATCGAGAGGGTTTTGGCTAGGTAGTATTATATACCTTGATTCCACGATAACCAATCTTGACAAGACCCTCTGGGGTTCTTGGTAGAACGTAAATGCTCCCTGTGTCATTTCCAGAGATGTCTCGTGGTGTACTCTTCCAGGTCATGACGGGAGAACGTTCTGGTGAGTACTTGTCCCATAGCTCGGTGTTGCTCTTGTCTATCTTGAAAGTTGCAAGGCTGCCAGCTGAGGACTCGAGGTGATAGCTTAGTTCAGGGAGAATCTGTGTCGAAAACGATCCGGCTTTGAGATGTGAGTAAGAGATGGGAATTGGGGATTCTCACGACTCACCAGCCACAACAACGGAGTCCGCATCATGAACAACACCGTCCTTTGTCTTCAGACCTGTAACTTTATCTTTACTCGGTTCAAGACTGCTTTTCAGTTTGACCAAGTAATCAACAGCCCCCTTCTGTGGGCCGAAATAAAATTTCACGCCCTTGTCGGCGGCCATTTTTTGGTAATGAGCACAGGCATTACTGCACCTCACAAACCCAGCCAGGGAGTCAAGGACCGCCTCGTATGTTCTTTCAGCAGAATCTGGGATGTGGAAATTGAGTATTTTATCCTTCCAACCCAGCTTACCAGCCCGTTCGCAGTCTGCGGGGTTGCTCTTAACGAACTGCGTATCTCGTAGACCATCACGCTCCATGTTGGCTAGGGTTTCTTTCTCTAGAGTAGCCAAGTGGTCAGATGGCTGTATACGGAGCATCCCGCTGTTAACAAACAGTCCGAGATTCCTGCCGTCGTCTTGGTCCGTTGATCCACGCTTCTCGTCCTCTGAAACCCACATGCTGCGGCTTTCTAAAGCAAGACGCTGGTAGTGAATCTCTTTCCCGTATGATGCACGGAACTGATATTATCAATTATCATGGACTTGGTTCTGAGGCCGGTTCAAGTCACTCACGATTTTGTTGTGATCGGCGGATGCAGCTTGTACATCATCGGCTGTAGGGTCATATCCATTTGCATCGTATTGACTTCGATCAAAGACGGTCACTTTGTAGTCTATCTGGTATAAGTTTGTAAACTATTTCCAATAAGTGCCTTGCTTACTTCTATCTCGCAGGGCAATCGCCAGTGAAAGACCAAATATGCCCGCTTTGGTGATCGTTAACAATTTTCAACCTATCCACTTTGATATTTATCTTACCTCCAATAATGGCGACTGACTTTGAATCTGTCATTCTTGGTTTGTCTAAATAGGTTGTAATATGTGAAGGAGTGGATGTCCCCGCAAGCCAAGAGCTTCAATGCCCATGGGGTCCCTAATGCTCCACCTTAGTGAAATTAACCCCTCAATTAGTCTGTTCGTGTGAGATAAGTCTAACAATACACCTTACCCCTTCAGGTATTTCAATTGTTCTGATCATTAGTTCGGTTGTAGTAAAATATATATATATATGGTCATATTGGCCATCGTTGCACATCTATCACATTATATACTATGTTTTACCGATTCATGGATGTTATGTCCAAGTTAGTACAACATAAATGATAATTTTTGAGTATATCAACCTTATATTGAAGAAATATAAAGAAATAATGTATAGATCAGGGCTATCTTGATCTAGATATGATCGATTATATCAAGTACCGTAAATAGAGAAAGTTACCACACACAAACGCCCGGATGGTCTAGTGGTATGTTCCACTTAAAATATGCTGTCCTGCGAATCTCAAACTAATGAATAATTAGGTATGATTCGCGCTTCGGGTAAAACTTGTGCGAGGTCCCGCGTTCAAATCGCGGTTCGGGCCCTTCTTTTTGCTTTTTGTCCTTATTTTTCTTGCTTAGATGAATGTTAGATGATGATCTGTGTAAATAGCATACTATAACCGGAAGTAATCGCGAAGTGGATCGCGGCCGCTTGACGAAAGGAAGGCCGAAATGAAAGACCTAAAGACTCGCCCCGAAGTACCAACGCTGGATTGTCAATGTTGGTCTTGCAGATTGCAAGAACCGGAACTGATGGTTTGATTAGAATGTGTTATGTATCATGGTAAAACGTAGGAGTTCTATCGGTCTATAATCGGATATCGGGAATAGTATAAAGTCATGTGGTGGAGATATGGTTGGGTAGCAGAGTAGAGTAGGTATTGCTCGACGCACGGAAAACAGCATGTAGAGACAGGAGGAACTACAATGTGTACAACATCATGATGGGCTAAAAGTTGATGGAAAGAAATTATCACCTAGTATAGATCATCCCCCACAAGACATAAATCATCTCAGTGGTGTTGATACTCACGCAGACAGGCTCATGTGAACATTGGGATCTCAACTGTAGTTTCTTGGTATGCACGTTGCTGGTCCAGCCCTCGCCCAGACTAGGCTAGGCCCCTTGGCATCGAGGTTGCAGATTTTCTTCATGGCCGGGGTGCATAGTATTTGCTTGTTGCATACCGTGTTGAAGAACAAACAGAACATGATGGTGTCGATAGAGTACCGCTCAGAAATTAAAACCCAGAAAATAACAGTCCAGAGACGCTCATTCATTGGGATCTCTAACCACTATTAAACCAAGTTAGGTTCAGGCAAAGACGAATAAGATATATCTGTATGTATGTCTACAACATATGACACCTGCTTTGGACAGGGAACCCCCTATTTATGGGGTCAAATCATCAGTTATGTTTTTTCTCTTCTCTTTCACAACCTATCAGGGAGATATTAATTAACCCCCCCAAAAAAAAGTCCAGGGGAAAAGAAAGGCATAGAATAGAATATGAGAATAAGGAAAGGAAAAAGATAGAAAAACAAAAAAAGAAACGTCCCCGGGAAGGCTTGAACTTCCAACCTCCCGATTAACAGTCGGACGCGCTAACCAATTGCGCCACGGAGACTTGTTATTGCGAAATCCAGCAAAAATGAGTTTCTTGTACTAATCTGGTCTGGAAGAGAGATTTAACTTCTGTCTAATGTAGGATATTTTGATCTACCGTCTCCGTATGTATAGGCGTTAAGTATAACAAAAGTAGTCGGCCTTAACGATATATTTCCAGTGTATCTTTGGTGGTATTCTCAGGTAAAACGTTTGGATATCTTTGAAATATATTCTTCCTCTTAGTTTTATAGGTACACAGCAAAGAATGCTAAAATTGGTTTAATTCCTGATTTACCGACACAGCGAACAGGTTTATATCAAATAACATAATAGTCATTGTTCTTTCAACAAGCACGTCTCCGTGGCGCAATTGGTTAGCGCGTCCGACTGTTAATCGGGAGGTTGGAAGTTCAAGCCTTCCCGGGGACGTTTCTTTTTGGTTTTTGTTTTTTTATTTTTCCTACCTATGTTCATTCCATTCCCTTCCTTTCTTTTTTTTTTTTGCATTTTAAATGAGGTCAACTTATAACTAAATTTAAATTGTGATTCAAGCGATCGAAATAAAATGTTTTAAGGTTTCGTCCGTATTGCAATGCAACCTCGAATGCCGTCACCCTATCTCTACTGTAGCATACAGGGAGTCTCGCGTGAGCTGTATCCGGATCGACAATGCACTAGTTCTGGTGATTTTATGAAAATAGCAGCCGACATATGCTATGTCTCAGTCTACCTGCATGCTTTCTGTTGAACCCCGCAATCATCCTCGGCCTTATTGCACCTGTTTCTTGGGACTATCTATTATCGGAGTATCGGCTGACAGTGGACCAAGATGAGGGAATCCTATTTGGGCCGTGTCACCTGTAAATCTAAGACTTTCGTCTAAGACCTGCGCTGGATGCAGCCTGCCAGCAAAGAGGGAATGGAACAGTCTTGGATAGATGGGAGGGAAGCCTCACGGACAAAGATATATAAAGCTCGGTGGGAAGGGAGCAAAATGTATACAGCAAGCAACCCAAACTTTACACTCTGCTCCAAAGCATTATCAAATCCTCCACAAAAATGAAGTCTATCATCGTGTTCGCTTCTGCCCTCCTGGCAACCCTTAACCTTGCTGCTGCTGCTCCCGCCCCGGCAGAGGCGCAAAAAGTATCTATCTCCTATGACCCCAAATACGATATTGGAACTTCCTCTTTGAACACCGTCTCTTGCTCCAATGGAATCTATGGCCTGATCACTCAAGGCTATACCGACTTTGCATCGTTGCCAACCTTCCCAAACATTGGAGGTGCGATCACCATCCCGGGCTGGAACAGCCCTAATTGCGGCAAATGCTACACGCTGCACTACTCCAACGGCAGGACCGACAAGAGCATCAACATCCTTGCTGTCGACGCCGCCCCGGGTGGCTTCAACATTGGTCTGCAAGCCATGAACACGTTGACCAATGGTATGGCGGTGGAACTCGGCCGTGTTGACGCCACTTATGTTGAGGCGGAGGACAGTGCGTGCGGGCTGTGAGAGTTGACAAGATCTATATGGAATGTAATAATCTAGGGACAGAATGGTACACGAAATTGCTAGATAATGTGCTGGATAATCCGATGGCAGAGATGAGAGTGTTGAGCCGAGTATGGAATTAAATTTGTCAAACTACATAATGTACACAGATAGTTCATAATATACAAAGGTTCAATCAAGTACCTTCAACATTTCTTCTACACGCCCAAGCTTATCCCGAGGCTTACCCTTTAGTTGACCGCTCTCTCGCTCTGCCGCATCGATTCGCTGCCAGTCTTGCCACGACGTGGGCCGTAAACCACGGCGCTGGGCCTCGATTTTCACCCCGTCCCAGCCTAGACCGCTACTGTGATCGGGTGCATGGAGTAAAGATGTTGAATCTGCACGATTCGCCAGATCTTGCACAACGGTGTCTGCAGTCGTGAATGCATCGGTCATTGTTGAGGCAATTACACCCGTGGGACCCCGCTTCACCCAGCCAGCACAGTACAGGCCCGGTAGGTGAGAGATGAGAGACCCGTCCGGTAAACTTGCAGACTCGCCTTTGTTCGACAAGCTTGTTACGCGGCCAAATCCATCATTAGGGATGATACCGCGCTGCGCATCGAAGTCGATACCAAGATCCTCTAGTCCTGGTAAAGGAAGAGATTTGTAGCCCACGCTTCGGAAGAAGACACTAGCAGGTAGATTGACCTGTGCACGCTTTCCGTTCGATAAGTGCTTTGGAGAAACCTTGGAGCTGGGGCTGTGGGGGTCGGATGGGTCGAGTTCGTTGCGAGAGAACTTTACATGGGATAGATGGTATGGGTAATCAGGCGACCAGTGAAGAGAATCCGGCGCAAGTAAGAAGTCAAGAGACCAAGACTTTGGAGCGGTCAGAGGGTCGTTGGTTGATCCTTTAGCCAGGAGCTGCATTAGACGCTTCTGGGCCCGGGGTAGTGCTGATACTACTTCTTCTGGCGGGAAAATATCCTTTGGGATGGGGTCAAATGATACGCCTGGAAGCTGCAGCATTTCACGGAGCTCTTTGATAGTGAATGAAGCCTAATTCAAGGAATTAATAAACTGGGTATCAGCGGTCGGTTCATTGCAACTCACCTGTAGGGGTCCGCGGCGCCCAACAACTCGCACTCGCTTAATGCGACTGGTGGCGAGTTTTTCCACAGCATAATCTGCTATATCTGTCTTTTTGAGAGTATCGACGTCTGAAAGAAGAATCCGGGCAACGTCTAGTGCAACATTGCCTTGTCCAACAATCACAGCGTTCTCTCCGCTTAGGTCCGGATCGAGATCTCTGTGCTCTGGAAGACCATTGTACCACCCCACGAAGGCGCGGGCTGAGTGCACGCTATGCAGGGCCTGTTCACCAGGAATTCCTAGCTCCTTATCCTTTGTGGCCCCGTAGGCGAATATGATGGCATCATAGTGGGGTTTGAGAGCAGCGAGCGGTAGATCATGTCCAAGGTCGATATTACCGACAAAATTGAAGCGCGTGGACTCGGCCACCTCTGTGAATTTATCTTCGCAATTCTAATTTTTATATCTCGATGAGCTCATTTCTAGATACAATGTTCAATGGCCGACTCATCACTGAATCGCGGTTACCATGACTCACCTTGACTTCGGGATGGTCTGGGGCAACACCGTACCTAGCCAACCCAAATGGCACAGGCAGCTTCTCATACATATCAACTATCGCATCTTTTTGTTTAGCCAAAAGACGATATGCGGCATAGAAACCTGCTGGGCCGGAGCCCACGACGGCCACTCGGACAGGTCGATCGGTTTGAGCGACATGACTGTTGGAGCGTTTGGATGCGAATTGAGATACAAAACTCTGATACTGTAAAAGAGGTCGGCGATTAAGCCGCACTGTGCATTGACCACATACGAAGGCCTGTTTTAAGCGCATGGTGCATGGGTTCGAGAAATCGCGGAGGTGATCGGAGATAATGCGACAGAGCACGTGATGCTATCGGTTGCCCCTAGTTACTATCACATGTTTACAGCCTCAGACATGTACAACATGCTCAGCCAGGCACACCCCAGAAGCCAACAAGTCGCATTCCATCATTCCAAGGTTCCCTGTCAACATTCCATTCCTTTGCTTCGCGTGGGTGCCACGAGTGGCCTTCAGTCGCTACCATGGGCAGATCGTCGCCTCCATTCCTTTATGAGAGTCCCTCCGCCTACAGCTTTAAAGGTCCCACCGACCGTGGGTTTAACCCGAGGGCCGCGACAGAGGCGAGCTGGACTCGTCCAGCAGTCAAACCCAAGAAAAAAGGGCCACTGGTGGAGCTAAACCGGCACCCTGACACGGTATGTACCACATTTCGAAAATTTACAGTGGATTCTGCTAATGGTGGACGTAGTGGGGTTTCTTCAATACGGCCAGCTCATTTACACCGATGAGCTACAAAACAAAGGATCGAGTCAAGTACGCACGAGCAAGTCAGCTCGCACTTCGAGTGCTCACTTTGCTGGGGGCCCTGGGGTCCTTGTTCTGCTCTATCGTTATTAAGGGAGCTGCAACGACCGTCATTTGGATCATCCGCGCTGGTGTGAGTACAGTTTACCCAAGAAAACTTTTCTTCTCTAACCTCTACTGTAGCCAATAGTTGCAATTCTCCACACCATTTACGGTATCTACCATAATTCCAGATCTGCTCTCAACCGACCAGCGGGTTCTCAAGCCAGCTATGGGCTATTCGCTTCGACTCTCGACTTCGGACTCATTGCATTCTACACATTTACTGCATTTATATCATACGGCGAATGGATCTCCAATGCATACCACTGGAATACTCTCTTCAACGACAGCGATATGACTGTAACAATTTCCGAGACCACCTTCATCCTGGCTATTGCGAATGGTAGCTTGCACCTGATCTCCCTTGCCATATCGATTTTCTTGGCGATCATCTTCCGGAAGATCTCCCGCCTACCGCCTGACATGAACCCACTTGAAGACAATTTGACTGCACGCCCCCGCAAGACCCATAAGGAGTCTGAAATGGAGGAGAAACATCTCAGCCAGTCGACCATGGATTCTGGCTTCGAGGATCCTCTCATCGGACCTCCCCGGAGTGTTCCATTTATGCATACACGTGAACAGTCTTCCGGTGGTGATTCTAACCGTGGATCAATGGGTATTCTCGATGAACAGCGACAATCATATCCTTCCTATTATCAGCATCGCCTATCCCACTTGCAATCCCCAACAGAACCTCACATGGATCCCTCTAGCCCTGAGACTTTATTCCAGGAAACCGTGGAGCCCTATGACTTCACATCACAGACGTCTGCCCCAGAATATCGAAAAGTGGCCTCTCACGCTCCTGAAATCATCGATGCTACCGCTCAAATGCGCCATTTGTCGTCACGTACTGCTGATCGATCGGATACTGTCAGTCCAGTGTCCAACAATTGGGTAGCATATTCTGAGCGGTCTCTATCCCCAATGGGCGAAACGCAGAACGGGAACGAAAACACTCTCCGTCAGTCCTCCTCTGTTTATAGCCGCCAAACCACCAAGACCACCACATCCAACGGTAGTGGCATTCGAGATTGGTTTGCTTATGGCCCCAAGCCGGGGCCAAGTATTGGAAGTGTTATCCCAGAAGATGTACGTGGGGAGTATGCGTCGCTATCCACGCATGAATTCTATGGGCTTGATGATGGCCACGATCGCCACCGTGAACAAGATGTGGGTGATCAACGCATGGACATATTCCCAGACCCAGAAGATCACAGAGATGACGTTGATGACGAGCGTGACGGCGCTATTCCATTCAATCCGCTTATGCTTAACCCACCAACCCCGCAACCTATTCTGACCGAAAAGCCCGAGAACACCGATCCAGTTCGGCGGGTTGTCCTCGGAGATAGCCCCAATCTATCATACAATCCACAGGCACAGCCAGTGTCTGTACCCCACGAGAGCCCCAATCCCACTTCGCCCAAGACCCGGTTCTATGGCGAGCTGGATGTAGATGGCAAGCCTGGATTGGCCGCGTCTCGCGAGTCAAGCGCCCAGGTGGTGCGTAAGCCAACCAAGCTTACGAAGAAACGAAACAGCAAGATGTCTGCTTATGAGTCTCTCAAGAAGAATGACAGCGATGAAGAAAACGGATACCTCTCAGCCAGGAAGCCTGCTTCGCATCGCGCCACCGAAAGTGACCGCAAGGGCCGTGTCGTGAGCAACACCGGTGCAGACACTGCCCGGTCTGGCATCGCAGGCGGGGTTGGTGCATCCTTATCTTCATACGGCAGTTACATTGCCGGTCTGGGCGTCGGACGCCGCCGCGATGTGAGTGGCAAGGTTGCCGAAGAAGGGCGCAGCGACAATGTTCTCGATAAACAACCTGGCCAGAATCAGAACGAAAGTCACAGACAGACTACGAATTCTTCACCCAATCGGGCTGCAGGATGGGCTCGGTTTGCCGGACTTTGAATGTGATACCTATTTTTCTTTGGGAGTTTATGGTTTGTCTTCATGAATGGCATGTAGCGACTTGATTTTGTTCGGGACTTTTATCTCTTCCATTGGTTCGATTTTCATGGGAATATGTATGGGATTATGTCGGTATATTATGGTTACTTCTTTGTATGTAGTTTTGGCCCCCAATGAACATTTAAACGGAGCATGATAGCTATTCAACTTATAAGATTGTATATATTGTCAAGGAGCCGTATAGCCATTGATGTCTATGGTCTCCCTGATGAAGATGGCACCCGTAGTGACCGACCACTTTACATCAACGGCTCAAAATGTGGAATTGGTTTCTGTGGAAATGTAATGAGAATAAATAGTCAGTAGTATAAGTGGCCCTATGGTGTTTCTTCGGTGGTATTCTCAGATATCATTTTAGATGTGTCAGTTTTATAGGTCGCCGGAGAAAAGTGTCCACTGAAATGGATCTTTCTAAGTATAACCTTTGATTGGATAGAACATGGTATACTAGTTAGATCTCGATAGCTTGGGTAGGTGCTTTATTAGTCTTGCTAAGTCTCGGTGGCACAGAGTCTACGTATCCTAGGTTCAACTTGAGTATTTACTTGAAAGGCAGTGAAGTCATGTATTGTCGTGAATTTCTACAATTCGAGATTTCCATATCGAGACCTCGACACTTCCGATGGGAAGTTTTGCTAGTAACGGCAAATTCTGCATGAGATAAATCACACACCCCGGAAAGCGCATATCAGGTGTATTCCAAAGAAATGGAAACGCCGTCCTCGAAATATGGGATATCGGTGGGACTCAAATGACTCGATGACCCTTCATGAAAATCTGAATGCCAAGATCGTAAAATCGCGCAACGTCCATTGCTTGGGGGCTGAGGGGTATTCTGTAGTCATTCTTCGTAGTGTTGCATCGTAGAGTATTGAAGTAGTAGGCTGACATCCGGGTTATTATCGCCTGTATCAATCATATCATCCTGTGGGGTCAATTCAACGGGCCGAGACTCGTGCTCAATACGATCTTCAGTCTTTGCCTTCTCGCGTTGAACTCACGGCAGGCGGGTCCGCATGTTCGGTCCCCGCTTGCCCGGGGGAAATGCCCGAAGTAGTTGTTGCGGAGGACGCGCTCTGGGAAGTTGTCAAGCTGCTGATTTGTCTCTCTGTGGAGAAAATGAGTATACGCGCTTAGATCGAAATCCACTCTCGGAGTGGGGTTGCTCCGTAGAATTAGGCTAAAGACGCCAAGCAGGGGTTTTCTTACCTAGTTCCCGGATCCGCTGCCGCAGGAGCACATTTTCTCGGCTCAATGAACTAGCTTCGGCTTGGTAAAAGGCACTCTCGTCCCGGCTGCCGCGCCGAGATGGACTATGCAACCCCGGAAATGGCTCCACACCCTCCGGCCCACGTGAGTCTAGCGGTCGCAGATTCGGTGACGTTGCCTGGCTTGAAGGTCGCGAGTTTCGGCGGTTTGAGAATGAAGATGAGATCGATAATCTGTTGCTGGCCGGAGGTGGCGGGCCAGGTGGGAAGAAGGCCGATCGTTCGGATGCGGGGGTTGTGTCATCGATTGCGGCAGATGATTGTGGGTTCTGTTGCTGCTGGTATTGCTGTAATTGGGCCTGCTGGCTTCGGATCATCTGGAGCAGACGATTCTACATTCCAAGGTTACTTGATTAGCTTATTACATAGCTTCCACGAATGAGGGTCAACCAACCACTTGTGCTTCCTGTTCTTGCTCCAGCTCTTGGTGTAGCTCTCCCAACGATGGTGCGCGCTGGTGATGGGGATCTGCAGTCGCGAATACGGGGCTTCCACCATGGCTGGACGGGCTGGCTGTGCGGAATGCTTGTCCGATCGAGCCGCGATGGTCGCGGTGGTCTAATGCAAGTAAATCGCTAGCTTGACCTGTGCTATGCATCTCGTTTAGGTTCAGATTCATGCCGGCAGTGGACCGACGACGCTCGGATACCGATAGTCGGCCTATGCTCGAGCCACGGGAGGGCCTTGCGGAGGCGTTCGGCGTCGGACCAGTTCCAGGAGCGGACATATTACGTGGAATGGAGGAGGATGTTGAAGAAGAGCGGGATGGGGGAAGGGAATTTAGATCCGGGGACATCTTCGGGTAATAACTGCGTAGATGTTGATTATGATTGCAGAAGCTCTAATCTGTGACGTGAGGGATCCCGGGCGTGATGATCCGATGACTCATCACTTTCGCGGGGTTAACCACGTGATATAAAAGCCGTTTACAGTAATTGATGCCTGAGGCTACAGGCCATTATAGAATGCTCTAGGGGCTCATAAGACTCACACCGAGTCTCTTTACACCCCGAACATGTACAACTTGGATTCTTTCTGTCGGGGCTTATAGGATTATTCCGGAATATGGACCAGGCCAGACTCTTTACAAAGGTCGAGCCACCATAAATCACATCTTGGCCCTTGGTTGCGCTCAGGGAGGGGGACCACGCCGGTTTCTCCGAGTGGCGCCCAAATTTACAAGTTCCAAGAGTCAGATCGAATTTTATTATATATATGTAAACAAATTCCGGCTGTGAGATCGCCGCAAAGATCATCCAAGGGTCGCGTGGCACTCTCAGATACGATTTTGTCGATCCCAGCGATGTGATTTGCCACAGGAATGTACCAGCGTCCGGGTTCGGGGGTTCGGGGGACGTGCAATGCACTGTGGTTATTTCCGGACTTGTATCCCTTGGAAACCCTCGATGCGACTTGAGGAAAACCTTGGTCTTTTACCCCAGTGGGCAATGGCGGTGAGAGTCAGCAATCATGGGGAAATGTAACTGGGGAAATGTAACAGTCAAAAGAAAGAGGTCATGGGAGTAAGGGATATTCTATCGTGGTTGACATGTACGTAATTGACAGTCTTCGACACATTTCGTTCTGGAACGCAAAGCCGGATCGCCGAATGGTAAGTTTCTATGCAGATCGAAGGATTTTAATAAATCGGGCCGGGAAAGGGGGAAAAAAATATAACGGCCGATCAGTAAGCCACAGGGTAAGCGCAGTCCGAGGGTCAGAAACGCCACGACCGTAATATAAAGGCCATGGCAATTGCTTAGTGTATCTTAGCTGCAGTAGTCTGTACCTGTTCTGCTTGTAACTTGACGTCACTTAATAGTAAAGGCAAGTAATGGGCGACTTTTGGATCTTGTTTTTTTTTAAAGTAGTTGTACTCTGTACCCCATATTTCTTTTTTATCCCCTTTTCTCCACGCATAAAATTTCCATCGCATATTATGGAGAACCATGCGGCCCGGGCACAATCCTCCTTACTTCGCGGGGCACATGGGGTTTGATATTCCGATAAACTCGATGTTGCAATTGTGAAAACTCGAAGCGGACATTCTCTCGACCCAGTGCGGCAACGGGGAAGAGTTCCTGGAGATGTTGTGGGTCCCCAATGCGAGCTTCCTATTCCGGTGTACTCGGGATGTTCAAATAATATTCTGTTTCTTTTTTTTTTTTTTGTATTTAATACATACCTATGTATATGTACATACATTGTAGGTACATATCAGGAACATCTACTGTATCCATAGGATATTAAAAAAGGGAAAAGAAAACTCTGGAGATTCTGGAGAGAGAAAGTCTGGAGAAAAGTGGAGTCCGATGGAGACATCGGCATCCCGTAAGAGTGTAATAGTAAAGTACCTAGGTACCTGGTAAAATCAAGTAAATTCTCAGTTCCAGTAAAAAAAAATCAATTAAATATCACTGGATGATCACATAAAAAACGTGGTAAAAAAGGTGACATGCGTAAACGTACTGAACTGTACTGGAAATGTACTGACATGGTGAATCCTGGAAACCTTGGCTCTTTCCTGCATTTGGCTCTTACCTTTTTTTTCCTTTTTGTATTTAATTGATCGATTTTCCTTTTTCTTTTCCTTCTCTCTTCATCTTCTCCATTCTTGTTCATTTGGGAGTTTCTTCTCTGGTCTTGATACCAGTTTACTACTACAATGACGTTCAAATCTGAAAAACCCATCCCTCCACGGGATACTGTGCAGGCAGCAGAAGCTGCCCACGCACATGCCGTTGTCAATGCAGCTACTGAAAAGTTAGAGGAAGAGGACCAGCTCGAGGAGACTTTAGACTCACCCTCGGCGGAACTCGAGCTCACTGAGGACATGTGCTACGATCGACTGGGATACTCTTTTAGTGAAAAGAAGAAGTGGACCATCATCTCTGTCATCTTCCTCGTCCAAACATCCATGAATTTCAACACATCACTCTATTCAAACGCCGCCACTGGAATTTCAGAGGAGTTTGGTGTTTCCATGCAGGCCGCGCGCTGCGGTGCCATGATCTTCCTGGTTCTTTACGCTTTCGGTTGTGAACTCTGGGCACCATGGAGTGAGGAGCTGGGTCGCAAGCCCATTCTCCAGGCATCCCTGTTTCTTGTCAACGTCTTTCAGCTCCCTGTAGCTCTGGCGCCCAACTTCGCCTCCATTATGGTCGGTCGTGCCCTCGGTGGTCTCTCGTCCGCTGGTGGCTCTGTTACCCTGGGAATGATTGCCGATTTGTGGGAACCCGATGCGCAACAGTACGCTGTGGCCGCTGTCGTGTTTTCATCGGTTGGTGGATCTGTGCTTGGTCCCGTGGTTGGTGGTTTCGTCGAGGCTTTCCTGCCATGGCGGTGGAATATCTGGATTCAGTTGATCTTCGGTGGTTTCGTGCAAATTGCTCACTACCTATTTGTCCCTGAAACCAGAACTACCGTGATGATGGATCGGATTGCCAAAAATATGCGCAAGTCCGGTGAAAACCCTCACATCTACGGTCCTACCGAGGGCATGTCGTTCCGTCAACGTTTCCCGCCTCGTGAGCTTATGGCTACCTGGATTCGTCCCTTCAAGATGTTCCTGACTGAGCCCATTGTACTGGTGCTTTCTCTGCTGAGTGGTTTCAGTGATGCTCTTATCTTCATGTTCATCCAGTCGCTCTCCCTTGTGTACGGCCAATGGGGCTTCAACACCTGGCAGAAGGGTTTGGCCTTCATCCCAATTGTGGTTGGCTACTTCCTCGCTTGGTTCTCCTTCTTTCCGGTCATCAAACGCAACATCAAAGAGCGCCGAGACAACCCAGACAGCGAACGGGCACAGTATGAGTCTCGCTTGTGGTGGTTGCTATATACCGTTCCCTGTCTACCCATTGGTCTGATCGGATTTGCCTGGACCAGTTTGCCCCAGTGTCACTGGATTGGATCTATGGTCTTTGCTGCCATCATCGGTGTTGCCAATTATGCTATTTACATGGCCACGATTGACTACATGATCTGTGCCTACGGACCATACTCTGCATCCGCGACCGGTGGCAATGGTTGGTCGCGAGACTTCCTTGCTGGTGTCCTCACTATCCCGGCCACACCGTTCTTCACAAGTAAGTTGTCTTATGAAATACATTTTCGCAATCTTATGCTAACGGCTTTTGATAGATATCGGTGGCGAGTACCATCTTGAATATGCCTCCACCATTCTTTGTATGGCTATACCCTATCTTTCTACATGAGCTATCAGTCTAATGTTCTTCTAGTCTGCATCTCCATTCCACTTGTCATTGCAGTATATATCATTTACTGGAAGGGCCCTGCACTGCGCAAGCGTTCTCCATTTGCTCAACAGCTCGAGGATGCTCGACACCAATTGCAGGCCGAGAGCCGACGAGGATCCAAGGTCGTTCCAGTATCTCGCCTCAATTCGTATGTGCGATCTCAGCAAGATCTTCGCATTCGCCCAACGATCGGCAGCCGAGGCAACTCGCGGGCCAATTCCCAAGCGAATTCCCGGGCCAACTCTCGCCGCAATAGCATCATCAATGTCAATCATTGATTGCTGTTTGTCATTTTCTTTTGCTGTGAATACCCAAAACCAGTGGGGGTCATGGGGCTGGAACCACTGTCATAGGAATCTATGAGCATCTTCACGTTTCTTCTCCGAGCATGTTTCCGTCCGCATCGATCCTACGCTGTGACTAGCTCTAATACTTGCTCCTGACGCTCGGTGAATATCCCACTCCCGGTCTCTGTCTTTCTGTTATACATTTGAAGTATGAGAGCAATTGATGGGGAAACAGGCGCGGAGGTTTAAAACTAATTGTGTGTTTTTTTTTGCTGTGCTTGGTTTGCTTCGAAAGACAAGATTTACGATCTGCGGGGCGTCATGTATGCTATGGGTTTTCGCGACAGAGCGATACCAGTTATGAATCATACCATTATTATTCTGACTAAACAACTTGCTTTAGGGATATTAGTATGCGAGTATACAAGCAAAGGTGGGGTGTCTAATTTCTCTAATGATTTGCAATTTAGAAAGATTTGAAGATACCTTTCCCCAGGAATCACGAGTCTGATATATCAACTCGGATCTAATATACTAACATATTGTACAACATTAGGTCTTTTTGATCCCGGTCCCAAGGATATGGTACATATGTAGAGATGTGACATTCTTGGGGTCTGGGCCAATCCCTATCCGCTTCCGGTCAAAATTCGATATAGTTGATGAAGCCAAGAGTCTTTTGATTTGAAGAAACCGCTTCTAGTATAATCTGTGCAATTACTAGTTATCGGTCTCAATGCTTAGGTCACATCGAGGGCTTGTGGCTTTTTTCTCGGCATCTCGGAAGTAACCCCAGACTCTACTTGGACTGAATCTTTATCAGTTTCCAAGGTATATTAAATACGAAGTTTCCGCCATGAGCCGGTTACATATGTGTTTGCATAGTTGGATACTGAGATAGGTCAGAACCATCTTCAATGCTGTAATTGGAAATAGTCGGGTCCCGGATTTATAGATATCTACCCCAGGAAGTGATTGCTCCACTGTTAAAATGATGTGTCCACTATTCAAAGTCTAAGTGAAAGTAATAAGCTAGATGTCTTTATGGTCATAGCTCTGATTGAATCAAGAATAGGTTCATTTGGAAATTCAAGAAATTGTGTATTGTTTAGGGTTGAAATAGAACAGAGTAAAAGAAGATTTGAGTGTCCATCAAAACGCATAGACTTCTAAGGGCATCAAATACTTTAATATTTAACGATAGATCATTTAGATGTTATACTTCCTAAGATGAATTTCTAGCTTAATTCGAGCGACAGAGGCCTGGGATAGTCCATTAGAAGCAATCTCACTTTGTATCGAAACAGCTATTAGCTTCCTAAAAAAAAAGCCTTTAAAGTGTATCTTATTTGGAATACCCAGTTCTAAGCCCAATATCTAAGACTGAGATGTATGTTGTATGAAGAATAGCATTGAAGTCTCAGCCATATTTTGATAAGATACTTGGCCCGTGCACATCAACACTTGGCTCTCTTCCCCTCTTCCATCCCTCCTATTCGACCTACATAGAAAAAAAAAATGAATTGTCTTACTTCTATACGTCTCTGTGCGAGACGTATAAATACCCGACCTCTCACGCGACTCTCCAGTCTGCATGCACCCGCGTTCCCGCTCACGCGTCCGTTGCCGAGAATGGCATCCAGCGCGTTTCAGTTCGCCGAGGGCGAAGATGCCCAGCAACTTGCCCGAGATGCCGATGTTTTATTACAACAGGGCTGGGCGAAGGATGGAGATGGGATGGGGATTATGAAGACGTTTCATTTTAAGACTTATTTTAAGGCTGTGGTGAGTTATTAATTTTTTTTCTGGTCTGGACTGGTCTAAGACTGGGGCTGCTTCTACTTGCTAACCGAGTAGGCATTCGTTAATATGATTGCGGCCGAGAGTGCGTCTAAGAAACATCATCCCACTATGACAGTGGTAAGTGGGACGTTTTGATTGTCACAAAAAGAAATTAAGGCTGACATCTCGTTAGCGGATTGGTTCGGTCGATGTGCACTGGACGACCCATCGCCCACGCGGATTTACACAAAAAGATGTTGCAATGGCACAGCATTGTGATCAAGGAGCTGGTCTAATGGGAGCTGTTGATCCTGGTCAGGGACTAAAATGTGGATAGGTCTCGAATTTGCGATTCTTTATTCCCCCCAGTCTGGCTTGAGACTATAGTAGATCCCCCCACTGGCGGTTGGGACTAGTCTGAATGCGAATTTCCCCTTGAAATCCTGCGGTGTTTTTTTTTTTCTTCTTCTCTCCCAAAAGGGTCGTTCCTCGATTTCTTCGATTCCAAATTTCAAAGTCGATTTCTCTCTTTATAGATATATTTCAGCGGCTATTTCCCTGATGCCATGACGTCGAATCAGTCCCACGTTCTCTCTCGATGATCATTGCCTTATTAAACCTTGTCGCTCCTTTTTCTCCAATGCGAACATAAAGTCCCGAATCTTGAAGTGTTGTGAGCTGTGACAATGAATCAGGAACAGCCATCGTTTGGTGAACGCAGAGGTCATCGACTTGCGCCCTTACAAACCAATTTCAGCCGACCAGCTGCTCAAAAACGGGTACAACGCCCTCGGCCAACCGATTACCCCAGCACCAATGGATCAGAAGGTCCCGTTCCGCTCCATGGCCAGGGCCAGGGACCAGTTAAACGGCAATCCTCCAAAACAAGTCTGCGCAATCTCTTTCATAAATCTTCGCGCGCCGACCCCAAATTGGAGGAAATTATAGAGACACAACCGGAACCTCAAACTGCCATTCTCTGGGAAACACCCATGTCGCCCTCTATCACAAGCCCCCGAACTATAGATTCCAATCCCACCATTACCTCCCCAATAGAGCCGCGCGCAAACTTGCAGACTTCCCGCGCGAAACCCGACCCTAAGCATGCGAACCAGGAACAATATGGCTGGAAGCCTCCCCCATTGTTCCAGGCCTATCCCCAATCCACCAAGCATGACTGCCTTCCATCACCTGCTCTCTCTGCAGATTCCATCTTGCGCCTGCACGCCACGACCGCGAGGAGCTCTACCGACGATAACCCCGTCAATCCGTTAGAGCACGATGAGGCCGCCGATGCCGCTCGTAAAAAGCGGGAACAAAGGCAAAAGAAGCACCTCCGGACACTATCCGGTACCATCAACAAGGTGGAATGGACTCAGAAAATATACGTCCTGGCAACTACTGGTTACATCCTCCAATATGCAGGCGAAGGAAAGCACGACCGTCTTCCGGAGAGGATGCTGCTGCTAGGACCCAACTCTGTCGCTTTTGCTAGTGATGCTATCCCTGGGAAACATTGGGTAGTCCAGGTCTCTCATAATCCGACAGATGAACATTCCGCTATACGGGAGCCTCCCAAGCCTCGATTCTCGCGCTTTGGCTTCCACAAATCTACTACCCGGCGATTTTCACGCAACTTTCTTCTGGTGTTCGACAACCCCGATGCTATGATCGGCTGGTTGGCAGCCGTTAGAGCTGAGATTGAAAAACGGGGAGGGCGCAAATTCACGCAAGAGAAGCAGGATGAAGACACGATGCCGCAGCTGCGGTCCAAATCGAATGTTCGACAAATGGTAAAGAAAGATCCCAATCGCATTTCCAGTCTTTTCCTTCAACCTCAGGCCCTCCAATCGCCCACTAAGGAGGAAGATGGGCAGGCTGGTGGTACAGCACGGCCATGTCGCCCTAGTTCATATGTGTCGATGAATCGTCGTTCACTGATTGAATCTCGATCTGGATCGGTTTCGACTGGCCGAATCGAGGCCACACATCCTACCAATGGCTCTGCTTCTGTCGTGTCTGACAATTGCTCTTCATCACTCACTTCTTCGAATATACCGAACTCGCCGCCAATGGACGCCGGCGCTTTCAGGTCTGACGAGTCATTGCCGGAAGGGATTGACCGGATCTACACGGGCAGCCCGCCCCCCTCTAGTCATGGGAAACGACAATCCTTATACATGTCCCTGCCACATCAGCCTCCTCCAATCACAGACTTCACAGAGGAGCCGCAAGCGAATCACCCGCCGCCTGTTCCCGAACCTCATATCCGCTGCATCTCGCCCCCAGCGCCTAATTTCAGTGTTCCTTCATTTAGCAAGAAATTCGTTCCGAGATCTGGGCCGACCCCTATCTCTCATGCCTCCCCTCCTTCATCAATCAACGGCTTCATACACCGTGCTGAGACCGACCCAAATATGTCCGGCTTTGCATCTCCTCCGCAATCTCCAACATTCAGCGTCGCCAGTTCGCGCTATACAGATTCATCGGAGCCCAGGCGCATACTACGTCCCTCGACTTCGGAAGATGGCTTGACTAAAATTGTCCGTTCAGCACAGAATGCCCAAAACTTCTCCCGGACGCCAAGAACAGCGCCCCCTACAGGCCCTCTACCTGATCCCAGAGCATCTTCCCGTCCACTCAGCCTGGTCGGCCGCCCTAGTGTTGGTCGCAAAAGCCTCAATTCAACCCAGGTCCAACCTGTTTCTCCTCCGACAGAACCAATACCGCGCAAGAGAGTCTCTACTGTGAACCCCGACAGTCAAGCTCCGCTGAGTATGTCGCGCCGCAAGAGCATGCCCGGGCTTGGTTTAACAACTGGACCTCCATCCGCGCCACCCCCCAACTGCCCACTCCCTAAGCTCCCCTGGCCTGTTCCTCCTACCACCAATACCGCTCCCCCTGTTCCTTCCACAGACACGCCCATGCCACAGATGCTATCCCCCTGGTCGGCAACGTCCCCGACGCAACGATTCTACGGGTCCGAGCCGGTGCGGGATCACGTCGAAGATCGGAAGAGCGGTAATTCCGCAATGAATGAGCCAGGAAGCAATATTCCACGAAACCCTCGACATTCGAAACTGATCAAGACTCCCATGGTCTAATTCACCCTCCCCTGGTGTGACTCAACATCACAATTATGACACTTCACCTCGCTTTAACACCAATCAATACTCTCGCATCCTCGACATTTTTCCTATGATCTCTCACGATAATACCTTGAGATACACTCCCTATACCCTTTTTCCTTTCTTGCATCTGTCATTACTATATCATTTGGGCCAGCATCAAATACCCCTTTTGCATCTATTGCACATCTGAGCCTATCATATCCATTCTCTTATTGCGCTCATCGGTTATACCAACCCTGCGTACATCATTCCTCTTTATCTACATCTATGCATTACTTCTCTTCGTTCTTGTTTCTATTGGCATTTGTTCTTGTATATACCCCATCATTTTATTTTTTTTTGCATTTTTGCATCATAAGCCATTCTTCTCTCCTCTCTTCTGAACTCGGTATTCTCTGTCTTCTATATTCTATTGGGGGTCTATAATCTACGGGGGATTTGTATTGAGCATAAGACATGGAACTGAGCCTGTATATTACCGGATCTCATTATCTACATATATACTGTCTGCAATATTCGAATACAAAATGATACAATATGCCTACATGTATTTGATGCTGTAGCAAAGCTAAAAGCATATGCTCTTGGCCATATATCAACATCTACATGAAATCAAAAGAGAAGTTGCGCAATGGAATGAAGACAGGAAGAGAAATAAAGGCCTTCGAATGATATCAATTGTTACGAGCAAGGCCCAGAACGCCAGCACGAATATGGAATAAGAATCTCGAAAATACAAATCTCATGGATGGTTTAAAATAAGCATCCCATGTTGATGCGCGCTCGACCTATGATCTACCGGCTTTGAATGTTGTTCAGAACGTAGCAGCACTACTCCTCCACCTCTTCCACACTTGCGGTCAAACCTCGTCGGGCTGCGACTGTGGATGGGGTGGAAGTGGGCTCGGCAGAGCTTGTGGTTGCCGAGGGGGCGTTTGTCGAGGGAGCAGCTGCGGTAACTGGAGCGGGAGCAGAGGCTTTAGCCTTGGATTTGCTAGCCTTTTTGCTCTTTTTTGTCTGTGGTTGAAGGGTCAGTACTATATTGAGAATATGAGAATGGAGAGACACATACCTCTTGCCAGCCCCATAGAGGCTTGAAACTGTCGAAGAATCCGACATCCTCAAAGAGATTGGGGAATAGCCAGAGACCCGGAGCCACGGTGAAGACAGTAATGCAGAATAGAATCAAACGGAAGATAGCCATGGCAAAGAAGAGACCCAGCAGTCCCATCATACCAACACTCAGATACCACACTCCCTGGCGCATAATCATAGGCCACAACGGGAAGAGGACAACGGCGAAAATACCCGCAACAACGGCAGCGGCCATAGCCTTTTGCTTCCACTGCGGACCGTCGTACAACCAAACGTAATGCATCATAGGATCGGTCTCCTGGTGCTGTTCAATCTTCACGGTCCATAGACCCTTAGTGCGGTTCTTGGGTTTGGCATGGTTGTGTCCTTCATGGGGATCAACCTTGCTCACTCGGAGAGCCAGAAGGGAAAGCGGAAGAAGCTTGAAGACGTTCTCAGCGGAGGCGCGGTCGGTCACTGGGGGGAGGAGGGAGTTCTTCTTTGAGGCGGCTTTGGCGTAGGCAGGGGATTCAATGGCTCGGATTGCGCGCTTGACTGTATTAAAGAGAGACCTGTTAGATGAGGATTTCTGGTAATGTATTGAGACCTCGCTGCTCACCCTTGAACATGTCCTTGCGCTGTCCGTCCATGATACATGTACGTGGCTTGAGATTTTGCGACCGCAGCCAGTTGGCCACAGCTATCGCCTTTGGGTCCGGAGGATTGTTGGGGTTCACAGGAACCTGCTGTGTGGTTGTGTGTTGGTGCTGGGGTGCGGGCTGAGCTTGTTGTCCTTCTGGTGCAGCTTGACCCTGTTGTTCAGCCTGGAGCTTCTGTTGCGCTTGGTGTGCTTGCATTGCTCGCATGCGCAACTGCGCAACATATTGTTCAGTAGTCAAACCGAGCTTTTCGGCATCGGCAGCCAGCTGCTCACGTTGCTTTGCGGCGAATTGCTGCGGCGTCATCCCTCGTTTGGCGGCTTCGGCGGCGAACTGCTGTTGCATGGCCGCCATTTGCTCTGGGCTTGGTTGGCCAGGAGTAGCCATTTTGAATTAAAATTGAAATTAAAAAGCAGAAGAGAGAAAGGAAAAAGGGAGTTGTGAAAGAGAAAAGAAAGAGAAGTGGCCAGATTGACTCAGCTGATTTGTCCGCCCTCCCGACTTCCCCAGCTTAATCTTCTTCTCCAATGAACGTCACTCACAATGAACATGCGTTTCAGACCTATTTCCATGTCGATTCTCAATGTCTATATATGACTCCTCAGCTACCTTGTTAAATGCTACTTGGGTCGCTGTCATACTGGTATGTTATCTTGGTTCGCAAATCACGCCTTTTCTCATAATATCTTAGAGCGAAAGAGATGTCGCTGGTCAAATTCCACTTAACTATGTGACGAACCCTGCTATATCAGTGTCCGCTGCCTGCTTCGGAAACCGCATCTATGATCGAGAAAAAGCTGCGAAATGTTTTTCAAATCTACTATCAATCGGGTACCGACGTCTTGTCGTCGATCTATATTGGTCGGTCAATCGTAGGACTTGGTCCTTCTGTCCGGTGTCTATTCCAGTTAAATCTGGAGAGACTGCATCTCCAGAGAACCCCACCCGTAATGATGATGATGATTCACATGAACACACTCTCTATGAGCTAGGCTCATTCAAGTGCACCGACGGCCTCAACCCCAACACCTTGGCGGAAGTACTAGTTGGTTATTTCCGAGACACAAACGACCAGTTGACCGTATACACGACCTATCTTGTTCTCAATCTCCATGTCGCTGCAAGTGACTCCACGCCAGATGAGCCTGCTTCTACCATATCGGGAAGTCAATTACCATCGGAACCTGAACGAGCAGGCTCAATCCTTGGGAAGGCTCTTAGTAACTTTATCTATACCCCGGCTCAGCTTGCCTTGGACCGAAGCAATCTGAACGAGTCATGGTATAGGGTCGAGCAGAGCTACATGCCTATCACAGAGTACTTTACCGTTCATGAAAATGCAGCGGGCGAACAGAGTACCCCAGATGGCTGGCCGTCATCAAAATACATTCAGCTCGCGAAACGTGATCGAGTGCTCATTGAATATGGGTCTATTGCTCCCCAGCTAGCACATTACAATCTATCTACCGAAGGTAATTCGGTCTTTCCTCCCAGACACATGGCTTCTGACGTGAAGGTCTCCGCAACCACCAACGGCACTCTCACTTCAGGCTGTCTGTATAAGCCTGGGCTCACACGCGTATCCCAAACCAACTCATCATGGGCTATATCAAATCATCTTCCTGTCCCTGATGGTCTTTCCACAGATGAGACGATGCATTCGCTATCGAATGTTCTCTCTGACATTACAGCTTGTGGTCTCTCGCCAATGCTCAAAACCACCCTCTTTGGTCAAACTGCAGACCAGGAAATTGAACATTACCGTAATGTCTCCCTCTCTTCATCCTGGGCTTGGGCAATCGGTGAACCACACGATGCAAAGTATCCCGGCGGCGACGGTGATCCCAAGTATGACCGCTGTGCGATCATGGATCTAACGCTCAACGGCCACTGGCGATCCACAAACTGCACTGAGCAGCGACGGGGTGCCTGCCGAATTGGTGATTTGCCATTCTCCTGGGCCCTGTCAGACACGTCCGACTCTTTTTCCCACGTGTCGAACCATTGTCCACCAGGATCGACCTTCGCTGTACCGCGCACCGGTCTCGAAAACACGTATCTCTACCAACATCTTCTTTCTCTCCCAGAGACAAAGATCAATTTGGGTTCCACAGACCCCGTCCTTCGAGAGGTCTTTGTGAACTTCAACTCGATGGATGTTACTTCCTGCTGGGTATCCGGTGGCTATGGGGCCACCTGTCCCTACGCATCTGACCCGCAGCAGCTCGAGCGCCGAACTGTCCTTGTCGCCGCAATTGCGGGTATTATCATTCTTATCATCACAGCCTTGACTTTCTTTGTCAAGTGCAACGCCAACCGCCGCAATTCCCGGCGCAGAAAGCGTGTCATTGGTGGGTGGGAATATGAAGGTGTTCCCTCATGAGATAATCTATTCACTGGGAGTCATCTTGGTGATGACTCGCTCAGCACAATCTGAAGTTGCTGTCTGGAGATTTTATATCCCTAAAAGCTATATATATATACTGACTTGAGTTCACTTAATATTTATAATTTATAACCTGCTATCTTCTCGCTCTGGCATCGGACTTGTCTGGCCGCACCTCCTGCAGTACCCCCGAGCCTTATTATTGAAGTTCTCATTATCCATCTCACTTCTACCTACACGCTCAAAACTGACACCTTATTTACTTCCTAACTTCTCTCCAAATTCTCGTCTCTCTCTTTCATATTCGCTCTTTTGACGAACGTGTCTCTATCGAAACTACCACCATGGCGCTGCCTCGACAACTGACATCCAAGACAATGACCCTCAAAGCGCCAGTCATACTACCGTACAACAGCATCCTCAGGCTACCTTTACCGACGACGATGGTGAGCCCAAAGGCACCAGTGATAGTATCGTCGACGGTCCTACCATTGGTACCACAAGCAACCCTTGTGCCCTCACCTAAGCTCAGTTTGCTTTATGATCGTGGGATCCTCATAATATGTATTTAGTCTACTTCGCGACCCGGTCGAGTCGGTCAGTCAACTCTTTCTCAGTAGGGCCGTAGTTAGCATAATAGATCATACTTGCTTCCCCTTAGCTCTCAGTGTTTACAGGCTATCTACCAAAGAACAAGAACGTAAAGGTAGAGACAAATCATGGCATGTTGTGTACAATAACAAGGAAGTATAGATACAAGACATTCTAAGTCCAAAAACAAAGATATATTCATCTATCAGGCGCTGGAAACAAAAATCCCAAAGCACTAAAAGTAACAAAAACCGGGTATATGCAAGACACATCTACAGCTTCGGCTTCTCGGCCTGGGCAGCCAGGTCGGGCATGAGGAGGTCACGAAGCTCAGTGGCAGCCTCATTGAGGTAGTGGCTCATACGCTCAGCACCGATACGCTTGCAGACGATGTTGAAGTTGAGACTGGAAAGAATTAGTAATATGCATGGAAGGGATAGGGGGGTGGTGCTTACCTGTTCTCGTTGATCATGTAGGCGATTCCGAAACCATCGTCAATTACCTGACTCCATCCGTATCCGTTGAAGTACTCGGAGCTCAGCTGGGAGGTGGAAAGGTACCAAGAGGAAGAGTAGGTGTAAGCGGGATCCTGGTAGAGCTCGGGCAACTTCTCGCCGGGCTGGAGAAGCTTCTTCAGACCGAACAGGTGACGGTCGACACCGTGACCGGAGCTAGCCTCCTGGGTGTACTTGGTGTGCTGGGCAAGGGCAGCGCGGAAGAGCTTAACGGTCTCCTCGCGGGAGGTGGTGTGGTCCTCGTGAGCCTTGCAGAAGGCGACGCTCTCGTCGGAGACGGTGCGGGTTGTCTCTGTGCGGCCTTCGGCATACTTGCGGGTGGAGGCGGACTCGTAGGTGGGACGGTTCTTGCCGTACATCTTGAAGTAGGCCAGCTGGATGGTCATCTGGACGAAGGCGTCGGGGCTGCACTTGAACTTCTTGATCAGACCCTTGCCGTAGCCCTGGTAGGCCTGGACGACTAGCTCGTGGGAGCCGATCTGCTTGCGGTGGTACTGAGCGGCGAAGTCGATGGCCTCGTTGGCGGCGTCGTTCAGCTTGAAGTTGATGGGCTTGGGGTCGGCGAGCTGGGAGCGCACAGCCTGGGCGGAGAGGTCGATTTTCTTGTTGAAGATGACATTGTTGATGTAGTCGTTAAGACGGTGGGTGGGAGTGCCGTCCATCATGCTGTGTTCACCGGTGAAACCAGCGGTACCGTTGTCGTTGACAATGAACTGCAGAGGCTTGTCAAACCAGCGGTTGGAGCCGTCACCGTGCCAGTACTGCGAGCAGCGCTCGGCCAGAGTGACAGGGCGGGCATCGTCCAAGCAGAGCACGAAGCCAGCGGACTCAATATCCTGCAAGGCCAGCTCATTGGCAGGGTCGAGAGAAACGAGGGTCTTGCGAGCAGCAGTCCAGTGATCACGGTCCGCAACAGTCAGCACACCGACGGGGGGTGCAGGCTGGGCGGTCTCGTAGATGCGCTGGAACTGCCTCTCCAACTCAGAGACATTGAGCTGCTGACCGTCCACGACGAGCGGAACCTTGAAGAACTGGTTCTTGCGCACCACCACGATGTGCTGGTTCTCAGCAGCGGGGTACTTGCGAGGGAAATCCGCACCCTCGGCGGGGATACGGCAGCAGTTGAACATGTATTCGTAAGAGCTCATGGCCTGAGGCTCCTTGCGGAGGTACTCGGGTTCCAAAGAGCCATCATCAACCTTGGCCTTGAACTCGAGCGCAGCAGTGGTGATGGCAGCAGCACGCTTGGCGGGGTTGCGACGCTCGCGGTCGTCTCGGTAGGAGTAGAAGTAGGAGACGTAAGGGATGACGGGGTCACGGTAGGCGAGGTAGGCGGCCTGGTTCCACCACTCGGAGAGCCAGTTCTTGATCTTAGGGTCGGCGGCACGAGCCAACAGACGCTTTTGCAGAGTCTCACCCTGACCACCGGGGCGGACGAATTCCTCTACGGCGCTCTTGGTGCGCTCATACTCGGACTCGGAGACGACAGCGTGGACGGACTTGAGGTACCGACGGCCGGTTTCTTCTAGTGAGGGAACGGGAAGTCTGGGGAGAGATTCCTCGAAACGAAGCATCTTGCCCTTGGAGAGATCCTCCTTGTATCCTATTCTTCTGTCAGCGAGTCTGATTCTGATTTCGGTGTGGACGGGGGGGGGGGGGGGGGGGGGGGGGGGGGGAGGGATTGCCCGCGTTGCGCCGGGCGCATGAATTACTCACCCTCAGGGACGGAAGATGCTGTTCGTCGGGGGGCCATTGTGAGAGTCTATATGCGAGTCAATGGATTGATTCCAGGAGATTTCACAGAAATCCATAGCTGCATAACTACTTACGGAGCGGGCGAGGAGAGGGTTCGGAGGAAGGCGTTGCCTTGGTAGGGTGGAAAGACGGCTTCGGGCAGAAGCAGTGAACATCCCTTTGGTTATATGTGAGATTGTTTGGTGTAGAAGAGAAGTGAACGTGAAGTTGAAAGGAGAATAAGAAGACGAAGTACTGGAGAGATACCGACCTCGGCTGGCGGGGAAGCCGGTAAAACCCGTACGGGGTAGATCGGTCTTTGTATCTTAAAGTCCTGTTCTTTTCCCTCGGAAACAATGGAAAAGCGATGAGATGAATTGTAGTTTGGAGAACTGATAGATAATTTAATTCATACCTTTATTCCTTTTCTCTTATTTATTGCTTCTTAATTGAATTGTGTGACTACATCTAAACGCGGCATATGTTTGAAGGTATATTAATACAGAAATTACAATACCCCGATGAGCCTCGGTCCATTTCCCAGTTGATCTTCAGTCACAAGGAAGATGTGGTCAGGAGAGACTTTGTATGAAGAATGTCATTATAATATTTTAATATCATTCTCCTTGAAAAAGGAGGCTGTATACACAAAATGTATACATAAAAAAACAAAATACCCTAAAAACTTCAATACTCCGGTTCTCCGGGCGATCGTGCGGGGAGAGCTTCTAGCGGATGTACTATGTGTATGGGGTATATAAGGACAACTGGAGTAGTATGTTCTACACAGTCTCAATAAAATAAAACATAGATTATATATAGATGGAAAGAAAATAAATCAAACCTCCCTTTCATCCGATCCCGTTGACCCGGCCAAATAAAGAGAACAAAAAACATGTACACCAACGAGGGCGGGTAAAAGGAGAAAAAAAAACAAACAAACAAAAAAACAAAGTCATACATCTGGAGCTTATGGTCAAAGCCCAGGCCATCAGGAGACTGGCTGCACGGCTGCCGGCTGATCCTGGTCATCAAGAGCTCGAGGTACCTGCACCCCGTTGCGACGTAGCTCATCAATTTTAGCCATCGCAGGGCCTGTGCAGATGCGACCCGTCTGCATAAGTGTGCGGAGACGTTTGCGACGGGCCTCGCCGCTACGCTCTTCGCCGCGGGCAACCCCCTCGTCCACCCAGTCCACGGCATGGACCTTAAAGCTCATGCCGTCGTGGCGACCGTCCCATTTCCGGGATTTCAACCCAAAGAGGAGAGTACTGTCATACTGCGCCACGCGGGGAAGAACGAGCAGGGTGATGTGCAAGTCCTTGTCCGCGGGCGGTATCGGTGGTAGGCGTGGACCCTTAGTCGGGGAATCGCCCTTAGTAGTTTCGGGCGGAGGGGCGTGCTGGTAACTATCTTTAATCTCCAGATCGAGCATTGACTCGTCCACGTCCTCGCCCCACGCACCGCGAATGAAGCCGGAGTGGATGGCAGCCGCCACAGGATCTGAGTCGTCGGTGTAAACACCGGTGCCCCAGAGGGCGCGCCGGGCGCAAATTTCCTCTCGGTGAGATTGATTGATTCGGAAACGGGGCACTCGGACGGTGAATGTGCAATTCTCTCGCTGTTCGAAGCGGGGAAGGGGTTGGGGGGTAGTTGTATATCCAAACTTGGAACTTTCCAAAGAGGACTTGGCTGTAGGGATACTGATGCGAGGCGTGTAGAGCGTTGAGCCAAGATGGTGCCGAGGAAGATGAGCCACGCTCGAAAGCAACGGCTCTAGGTTCACCGTAGTACGGGGCTCGCGGATAGGAGATGCAGCCGGAATGATCGCTGGTCGAGGAACATGGTGATGGTGGTGATGGTGATGTTGGTGGTGATGGTGTGCGGCAGAAGGAGCCGCTGGGGATGTTCGATGGAAGAAGGTAGGACGCTGAAGGGAGCTCAGGGTAGCGGCATCTTCGTCTGCCTTGTGGCGGTGATGGTGGTGGCTAGAGGAATATTAGCATGTGGATGAAATGTGTATCTAGTTGGGTAGAACATACTGATGGTGATGGTGGTGGGAATGTCGAGAGCGACGAGCGTTACGTGCTGATAGTATGCCTCGGGCATCATTAGCCTCAAGCTCCATCTGCTCTTCGTCGCGCGACTTTCTCGACCGTCTGCCGGCTGCAGAGGATGGTCGAGCAAGCTTAGACGCATCATCTATCCCATCTCCATTCGAGCGACCTGTGAGGCTATCGCGCTTGAAAGGACTAGAGCCCAATGGTGTCGATGGTCCGCTGCCACCAGTAGCCGCGGTGACACCGCCAACGCCGCTGCCAATACCAGAGAACACTCGCCCCAGTTCATTCTTGATCGCTGGCTCTCCAGCGGGTCCAAGGTAAGGAGCTTGAGCGCCTTGTACAGCTTGGGGAAGGGGCGACGCACGGCCACCGCGTTTCCCATCAACACCAACGGCCAGCAGGTTGCGATGATGAAGCAGCTCCTCACTTCCTTTGCGTCGTCCCTCATCAGCTAGGGCTGCGAGACCCGAGGATGCGGCCGCTGTCGATGCGGATATAGCAGGGGTTGAGCTTATCCGTGGAGGCTGCCCTTGGTGTCTGATATATGGATCGTGAGACGGCGGGGGAGTTGGTTGGCTACTTCGAGACTGGAGAGAGATCTGAGATTGTCTATGTCCGCCCGGTTGCGACCCCAGTGATTTAGTGTAGCTCTGAATGGCCCCAAACCCGAAACCTGACCCGTGCTCAGGTGCAGGGAAGCGCTTACTCTCCGGCGATGGAGGGTGGGAGCGAGTATGGTCCCATGTAGAGCCGCTCTGGTGACGATTGAGCGGGTCGCGTTCACCGTAGTGGGAGCCATACCGATATGATCCAGGCTGGGCCAACTTGGTATCGGATCCCTGAGCTGGAGCTCGCTCTCGCTCTCGCTGTGCAGTATCCTCCGAGCGCCGCTCGCCAAACATGTTTGCAAACCGACCATGTTGTGGATCATGGCTTCCGTACGACCCAGATGCAGGCCGAGGGCCGGACTCGAAGGCGCGATCCGCGACCCCTTCGGACTGGGAGATCGGACTGTAGCCGGGGGGTCGTGTGGGTGCGTCTGCATGGGGTGGCTGACTACTGGGCCGAGCGATCGGGCCGCTGAGACTCATGCGACGAGGTTCGGTGTACGGTGGCTCTGCGGTGGACATGCGAGGCGAAGGATGCGTCGAGTGTGGTTTCTCAGGATACTGTGAGAGCGACGAGCGTGTGACACCTCCGAATACCGACTGCTCTCCAGCCGGGAGACTAGAACCCCCACCCGACCCAGATCGGTACGTACGCGCGCCTTGAGGTTTAGAGAATGACTTCTCCGGTGTGTGTGAACGACGGAAGAAAGAATTATCGAGCGGGGAGGGTCTTGCCGGGGCAGTGGGTGGGGACATAGCGGCGGAAGATGATGATGGTGCATTACCGAATATTGACGATGAAGGTGGTCGCGAAAAGAACGGCGCAGATTCCCGTGCAGGATCTCGCGCAGGTCGATCCGGGTCGGTACCTAACATCGCGGAAATCGACATGCTGCTGCCTGGTCGGTGCGCCTGACCGCCAGGTACATCGCGCGACATCAAAGACCCCCCGGGCGCGTTGGTTTGTGCTCGCGAGGAATATGAGTGTGGAGGAGATGGGGGTGGCATTTGACGGTTCCCAAATGCCGGTGCGGACTGTTCGTTCGGACCTATCATATGGGTTCAGGTAAGCAGCTGTGTTGGTATAATTCCAAGATGACCGCGCATGCCCCGATTCGGGGTGACGAAATCAAAATGTATCGCGACAGAGGACGGTTGCACGGGGCTCTCGGGCCCAAGGTCGGATGCTTACCAGGAAATCCAGGGCTTCCACTGCTGCCTTGGGAAGTACGACGCTTATTTTCTTGTGATGGCGTATGATTCATAACGGAAGAACCTAAGAGCCCTGTGAACGAGTGAGCAACAGTTCAAACAGGGAAAGCAAGGGCCAGATCGAGGAGAACCCGTGACTCCGGAAGCTCCCACGCTAGTCCCAAAGAGGCAGGGGCTCCTCTGGACACGCTAGACCTGACCTGGATTAGCGCTCCCGAGCTGTCGTCCAGTCGATCTGCGCCACCGGGGAAAATCCATCAGGGGCAGGTGTATTTGGGGAGAAGAGAAGGGGGAAATTTTGGAAGGGGATTTTGATGTGTGTGGTTTTGAATTGAGTCCGATGACTACAGAAACTAATTCCTCCGGTCGCACATTCTCAAAAAGGGAAATGCAATAAAAGTGGAGGCCACGGCACAAGTCCGATCCTTGGAATCCTCAATCTGGGGGGAACCTTCTGGAGAGATATGGCCTACCTTCACGATATCGAACAGCCTGAGGTTGTGAATTATTCCTTCGATGCATTTGTTCATGATTCCTCGTCTCAAGACTCCCATGTCGACGATGTGCTTGTGTTGGTCCATTTCTCGGGAAGTATGCGCTGGAAGTATCTCGAGTATTTGTTCGAGAAACGGTTGACTGATAGAGCTGCGACGGAGAGGGTGTGGTATTCGAAGAGGGAGAAGGGTATGTGCGAGGTTTGTCGGTCTCTGGTTGAGACTCGGTAAAAGGCACGCCGAACTGTCGTGGATCGCGTGGTTCTTGTGAGGTCCCCAAAGGCGAGGGCCGTGGCGGGTATGAATGCTGTAGTCGTCGGTAGTCCATATCCAAAAAAAAGATGAGTTGGGCAGCAAGAATGAAATAGAAGGAAGAAATAAGGGAACAGAATGGCGGTGGAACAGTTCAAAAGAAATCGAAATGGGCCAGAGCTGCAGGATCAGCGGTTGATCGCGCGACCTAGCACGAGACGATGGGAGTGTGCAGAAAGAAGGCGTTTTAGGTGGGAAAGTGTCCACAATCAATTTAAAAGAAATTTCTAAAGTTGGGAGACGGAGAAAAAAACGGTGAGAGATGTGTTTAGCGTGGCCAAGACTCTTTTTCTATCTTGCATGCGGGGATTGTGTACATTTGACATATCTACATGTAAGATGTGTGTGTACTTACATTTGACATGCATCTAGTTTTTTTTAAAAAAAAAATAGAAAAGAAAAGAGAGAAAAAATAAATCATGGCTTTTCAAAAATATTCTTTTTTTTTCTATTCAACCCACATGTCGATTCTCTAACCAGAGTGTCTTGTATTACCTGTTCCTTGTGTATATGTACTAGGCCTAATTAGAAACTTGCATATGCAGGTAATTTGCTAGGATGACCTTGTTTGGGCATGAAAAATGAGATATATATATATATATATATATATATATCATACTAGTCTTGGGTATACTTTATATAACCTCTTGAACCGACTATATCCTAAGATACCGAGGTACAAAATGTAAACATAAACATCAATTAGTCAAATGTAAGAAACACAATATTCAACACTCGACTGTGAAACCTTTTACTTCAATTGCAGTCGGCGCTTCCACCTCATCCCACTCTTGGACATGGCGCGCTGGGTACGCTCAAGCGGGTAGTTGACGGGGGATTCACCACCGGTGAAGATGAAAAAGTCATATAGGAAAGCACCCATAAACCCACCACTCAGAGCTCCAGCCCAAGGCCCATAGAGCCAGTAAGAATTAGTGAATAGAGTGCTAGGGTAACCGATAACAAGAAGCGCAAGCCGAGGACCAAAGTCGCGACTAGGGTTAAATGCCGCTCCGGTCTGATAGGAAAAGCACATGCTCAGACAAGTAATGACCAAGCCAATGATCAGCGAGTTCATACCAGCTCCAGGTGGAGCATTCTGGTCATCACCAAGGGCCAGTATGGTGACAATCAAAAAGGCCGTACCGATAAACTCATTGAAGAATGCCGTGGTAGAACTAATCCATACCTCACGCGAATTTGTCACAAAGCTGTTGATAATACCAGTGTTGGGGTTGAGATAGAGGTAGTTCCGAATGGCTTCGTAGTAGATTCCATACGCAACAAGAGCTGCACAAAAGGCAGCTAGAAACTGAGCAGCAAAGTATTCGGGTATCTTGCGTTTAGGGAAACCACGGAAGAACCACAGTACCATGGTCACGACTGGATTGAGATGGGCGCCGGAAATACCACCACAAATGTAGATTGCCATCATGGTTGCCAACCCCCATGCCCAGGCGGTTGTGTTAGGATTGCCCTGCTTAGCGACGGTGACGGACAAGTCGACACAGAAACCCATAGTGAGCTGGACAAATACACCCAGAGCTTCGGCGAGAGCTTCGCGATGGTGTGTACGGATGACCGACCAGGTGGTATGGTTGTTGTGCACTTCGTCCTCCACCAGTTCCTCCACAAGTGGATGCAGATCTTCGGGGTACCCTGCCTTCTCCAGTTCTGGAATATCTAACAATTCATCCAGCCTTGCACCCAGGTCTTGATTCGCTAGGTGATCATCACCGAGCTCAGGTGGCTCCTCTGATCCATTGTTTGGAGAGCCTCCCTCCTGTACAGTGGATAGCTGATCTAGCGGCAATTCCCAGGCTGAAGGACGTCTTCCTCTGACCGAGGAGGTACGTGACATGCGTGAAGTCCTCGCAGAGGTGCTATCACCCGTGAGAATCTTATTCATGAAATTATTCTCACGCTGCAAGCGAGCATCCTCAACCTGGGCAGCTATCTTACGCGGGTTGGAAGACTTATCAATGCGACCCTGCTGAATAGCATTTGGGTTCACATCAAGGCCAAGTCTCTGTGAGTTTGCCGTGGGATACTGGGCTTTTTCCAAGTTCTGCAAAAGCTCATCTTTGGTTGGTACCATGCTCGGCCGCACTACACGGGGCAGTGGCTTTGCCAGAGACCAGACCGGCCTGGCGTTAGAAGCCTGTTCATAGGATGGATTTAGATCGGCGTACCCAGGCTGGACAAAGGGTTCCTGAGCCAACCGTAGCTGGGGGATTCCGTCCGGTCCAGCTAGGGTGAATTTGCCCTGCGTGCGCTGTGCAAGGGTGCTACGGGGAATCAAGCTGGGTATTCCGCTGCCATTACTGTGTCTCGAACCAACTGAGCTATATCGCCGCGTACCGCTGCCATCCTCAATGGGAATTCTCATGGGTGAGATATAATCCGCATCGCTAGCAGCTCGGTTCTGGGCTGATGACTGTTGCTGAGCACCAGACTAGAAAATATGTTAGACCATATTTTTTTTCTTTCTTTTTTTTTTCCTTTCTGGGCGCCTGCTTCGACTCACTCCCACTATTGGACGACCACTCTCTCCATCCATAGTGGCGGCCTACTCAGACGATCGGAAAAGTTTATGGGTAAAATGTGTTCCTTCCAAGAACAGAACAAAGCAGACCAAAGATAATTGGGAAGAACTTTGAACGATCTAACAGGAGAGGACAATTCATCAATTTATTCCAATCCTACTCCAGTCCGAAGATCTTCATTACTCCTCAATTGATGTGTAAGGTGGAGCATACTCTCAGCATATCAGAAGCTCCCAATCGATGAGATATTTCAGCACTTGATATCATTTGACAGTTCCTTGGCCCCGTACATGTAGCATATGCAAGATGACATTGAACTATTATAGTATCTTGACAACATTACGTATCTCTACATATGTAGATAACTAATTTACCTGCTATATATGTGGGTAGTTGTGAGGGGAAAGACTCTGCGCTTTGTTTTTCCTTTGTCGGCCAATTAACGTGTTAAACATGCAGCCTTTTAAGTCTCTGAATCTCCAAAATCTTGGGATTTCTACTTCCTCTGGATCTTGAAGTTCCGATTTTGACTGGGCTCCTACGGGAATTCCACAAATGGGTATTCCGTTAGTATTTAGTATTAATTTTCTTGACTCGGTTCGTTTGAATTATGTCGTTTGAGATAATATAATTTATGATTCTGTTTTATTCGAAGTGGTCTAATATCAGTTCAAATATCATGCGAGGCTGCAGCTGCAGGTTAAGACCCGTCAAGCTCCTTGCAGTGGGAAGCTGCAGATATTGAAAGCTATATACTTAATATTAAGATATACAGTCTTTTTAGTAGTCTTTTTAGTAGTCTTTTTAGTAGTCTTTTTAGTAGTCTTTTTAGTAGTCTCTTTGATTGTCTTCTTAGATATAATTCTGTTTAGATATGCCAGTTTTATCGAAGGGTTTGTGCAGATGACTTTTCTACAACCTTTGACATTAAAAGATACTTAACTTTGGTGAAGAGGTCAATAGCGTTACTATATATAAGGCCAAACAACGGCCCATCTCAATGGGCCGGATATCCTCTCGGAGAGTATCAAGTTCAATATACGGGTACAGTTCATAAAGTGATGTCTTGAAATTAAGCATGATTCCCTTGGTATATCAAAAGTGTGGAAAGTATTTCAAGGTAGTCTTGAGGTAGCTCCTTCCTCTTTCAGGCTATTCCCCTTTCTCAGATCTTCAACTCGCATTAGGTATCTATAGACGATACTTAGCTTATTGGATAGAAGCAGCCAGCCTTGGAGTAATAGAATAATATTCATGATCACCTGTTTAAAATGGTGATGTGCCCGTGTCTTGGCGTTTGGGCGATCAATCCGACACCTATGGATGTGCCCTTACTCTTCTGTACACATATTGCACATGTATCCTATGCAAACACATTAACCTTCTATGTTAGAATATAACAGTTTTTTTGACTCGAACAAGCCAATTTCACAAACCTCGACTCCTCCCGACGATCATGTAAATGCAATCGCCAATCTTGATTGCGTGCTTCACGCAATTCCCTCCACAATTGCGCAATGTTCCCTCGTCGCAGATACCTTAAGTGACCAATATTTATACCACGCTCCTCGCCTCAATGGCCTCTGAGTACTTGGGTATCTGCGACCTGGTTCGTTATACAAGCTAAACCAAACCTGAGAAGCCTTACCCCTGCAGCTCGCTATGGAATCTATTGCTCCATCTGGAACTGTGACTATGGAGTTTTCAAAGGAGGATTTGGACCTGGAATCCAACACCCAATTACAATACGATCCATGGCTTCTCGATGATCATCCCCTACGATCACACCCGACAGAGTGCATTCCAGGCCTGTCGCTTTATCTCGATGAATACTATGAATCAATCGGAACGCGAAGAGCGATGCTCTTCCGCGCCGGATGCCTTGTTCTTGGATGTCTGTAAGTATTGTCGCTATATCTACAATGTTGCAATCTCCGAGATCCACCTGTCTGACAACATTCTTTTCTCCAGAGCCGCATTCCAATGTCTTCGATTGCTCCCATTAAATATGAAACAGACACTCCCGCCTCGCGAAACCATACCGCATGTCAATATCTAAGGGACATATCGATAATCTCCCTGATCTAAGCAATTGCTCATACGAATTTGTCCGTCCGGCTGCTCTTGCCTGACGGATCATCTCCTGCGCATACTCTCGTGGCTCTTTAGCAGAGCGCACATCTTCCCACGGGTACTTGGTCGTGTCCATGGTGCGGAGCACTTCGGGGAGTGGGGGCCTCCAGCGTTGCAAATGCTGTTTGTACCATCCATCTTCTAGCGATAAGACGCGAAGGGAATCTTGTTCAAATTCTATGAGCTCCGAACCATACCGATTGGTGGCTCTATTCTTAAGGGAATAGCGCATGTGTGATCTCATGATGCCTTTCATGTGGTCAACCCAAGTGTACAAATTTGTGTAACGATTAACGGTTGACCGATTTGATGGTGGTTTCGGCTTTATGGTCTGGGTCGAAGCATCCAATTTCAGATATCTCCGAACCTGTGTCTGGCGTGGCCAGTTCTCCACTAGGGTTTGACGGTCCTGGCGGGCCGTCCGCGACTTGAGTGATTAAAAACACGTTCAACGTGTTGATACATAAGTCTACCTAGTCAAGTATGGTTATCTTAGTCTATATTTTGAAAGAATTATATAGACAGAACAGCGACAAGGGAAATGAAAGTTGGAGGCCGAAATAGCTCAATAAGAAGCGCTCTAAGTGTGGTCCATTTCTTTTATTCGAGAAATCTCATAGCATTCCGCGAGTTGGGTGGTTTTCATGAAGATCTTTCTTGATATCATCAGCAGTGCTTTCAAGTTGGTCCTCGTCGATCCCACAGGGTTCTTGGTCATGGACTCATTATTTAGTCGTTTGCTAGTCCGGATCAGATCATCATCACATTCTCATTCTTCGGTAGGAAGGACTCTTGGACCACGTCCTTTTCCCTTGTCCACTTTCTGTGGTTGATTGTCAAATGCCTGGCCATGGGAGCTTGGCTGCTGGCTTCCCACGATCGGGTGGCAGGAGTAGCCCTCAAAACCGGGTCTCCACAGCCTTGACACGAGCATACTGCTGTATGTTATACTGCGCTCCAGCAACTATAGCACGGAGCTCCTTGATCTTTGCCTGGCCTTTTAGGACTCGACGCTGCCAATCTCGCAGCGCGGCTTTGTCGCCTTAGCGTGTTCGAGGTCTTTAGAGATCTCGTACATCCGGCTGTCAATTGTTGTCAACTAGGCGTCGATTTCCTTGGACCGGTTATCAGTAGATTGATGGATCATACGATTCATCATTCTGGTCAACGAAACGGGTGATGCTTCGCTGCTTCGCTAGCTGAGCTTTGAGGGCAGATGCCTAGGACCTCTTCCGGTCGAGCTTCAGTCTTGCCTGTCGGGCCGTATGGATCCATTAGCGGTAATCTCTCCCTATGCCTGTAGTAGCTTTGGCGGTTGGACAGGATAATGATCAGGACCTTGAACGGGGCAATTCTGCCTGCCTTAGGTAGTCAGATAATTGTACTGAGTCTTCAGCAGCCTGTGACAGCTTGTCGGTATGTGCTTTCATCAAGTTATTTCTGAACAGAATTTTGCTGAATGACGAGCGAGCTCATGTTTACCGAATTTTTGAACCGGGGTATATACCACAACGGCTGTCAGGGACTGCAGCAGGGCGTTGCTGAGGAATTGCTCGTCTTCGGTTGATCCGGGTGTTATTGGAGAGTCAGCAGAAGGTGACACTTCGCTGAGTGGTGCTTCGCTCAACCGAGAGTCGAGCGCTTCACGGTTGACTTCTATTTCTATACTCAAAAAGAAGGGATGGCGGGCCACGCGCTCGGGGCGTGTTTTGGAGTGTCATGGTTGCGTGCAAGCAGGAGTACTTTTCTGAGACAACATGACACGGAGCGGTGAACCCAGGCCCTTGATATCTTTTTAGCAGTCTTTTTCAGGGGTCTTTTTAGGAGACTTTTTAGTCGTTTGTTCAGTATTATCTTTTAGTAGTCTTCTCAGATATCATTCTGTTTAGATAGGTCGACAGCAACAAAAAGGCAGAAAAAAGGCTTTGTGCGGAGGACTCTTCTTTATATAACCTTTGATTGTATAGAGAGGTATAAAAAGCGGTCAGAAATTCTAGATTTTCCTTCCTCCTCGAGCAACTACCTTTATCTCGTCGCCTCATTCATCCCCAAGGATGGAGGGATTTACTATACGGCCCTGACGTGTCTCGTTGTTGGGGTGTCTCGACGCAATGCCTCCTGAATTCTTACCCATCAATCCGCCAGCTGCCCATCTCGAAAAAGCGCGGACGACCCTCTGGGAGATGAAAGCTAGATCTCTAGCGATGATAGAACGGACTATCCCCCGAATGAGAAAATTATCGCCCTGTTTGACGGTAAGGATGATCCCTCGGACGCCCTGGACGATAGAAGTGGAGACGAAGCGAGCGATAAGGGCAGCGAAAGTGAAAGTGATGAAAGCGATGAAGAAGATAGAACCGACGATGAAGATACCGAGACCAGCTCCGATTCCAGTGGAGCCCTCCCACAACCCTTTGCGGCTCGAGGATCTTTAAGGGAAGATCCACTTTATCGACCCCGTGTCGAGGGCAAGAAAACGAAACGGAAGAAGCATAAATCATCCTCGGACACGGAAGAGGAGATACCTATCTATCTGATCCCCGAGGAAACGAACCCGGACCCTGAGGATCCCACGGCCTATATATCCACCTATAAGCTCCCCTACACAACCTACGGGAAGTCTACTGGACCGGGGAAAGGCTGGTTGGCGATCCCCGTCGGGTTATTCACAAGAGATACCATTGAATTTGGCAAGAACGAGAATATGTCAGGGCGACTGCTCACCATCCAAGCAAAATATATAAATAAATAAAACCGAGACGAAATCACTCAAGATCTATCTTATCATCCACATTGGGGTCATAGTCAAAAAGATCAGGTCAGACTCCCCTGATCTTTGTTGAGTTCAAGATGTGGATTTTGATGTGGTTGGTGACATCGAGGCCGCTTTCTTCATGAGGTAGGCAAGTGGATTAAGTACTTCAAACCTATTTCCAACGACACGGTAGACATAGCGAGCCCACTAGACGTTTGCCTCACTTGAAGGACTTTGACCTAGCGCCCACATGATAATCGGGCAAACACTGGATAGCTCAGTGTCATTGCGAGTCCATTTCAAGTTGAGCATTTTCTCAATATCTTGAATAAGAACCGAGGAAATTGTGAGGGTTGGGTAACTCTCATCAGGATCTTTTTTAATGTCATTGGCAGGGCTTTCAAGTTGGTCGTCAATCTTCCAGTCTAGGAAGTCTCGAGTATACGCAGCGGTATAGTGGCCATACGAAAAGATTCCCCTTTCAGGTAATGTTGATAGCTTTTTATACCGCTGTGTGCAATCAAAAGTCATATATAGGAAAGTTGTTTGCACTATCTAAACAGTATGATATCTAAGACGACTAAAAGACTACTGAAAAGACTACATACACAAGGCCGTTTATAAGGCCGATTCTTATGTATTGTAAACTGACAAGTAGGAAAATAAAGCTTTTGGCACTATAAAAGTCATAGGTGGTCAAATGTACAGTACCCAAAGCCTCATTTCTTACTTATACTAAAATATTGATCTCTACATCTCCCTTTTTGAGGGCATTTTTCCTCAAAATGCTTTTGGAAAAGCTTAATCGCAGAACACTGATATGCCATGAGATTAATTCTGATAGAGGAGATGATGAAGCGATGGTATTGACTGATTCTCTAAACCCTCCTAATATACTAAAGAACGAAAGAGGAACAAGTTCCTTGGATAGACATCCATCCGATGACAGATTAACACTTCAATGTTGTATTGTTAGGACTCAGGTCATAGATATATGAAAAGGAATCCTGATATTGTAGCGAGGTCTGTATAGCGATATATGTAAGAGCGTCAGAGTGATATAATATTCTTTCAATAAAAATCCCATCCATAGACCTTCCGTAATTTGATATACCGTTCATCCTTTCCCTCTCTTCCTGTCACTTGGGTTGTTTTCCTGCATGATCATGGCCCCCTTTGTCACTTTACTCTTCACACTCCCATTCACCTGCATGATCGATTTCAAAATGGTCTCCCATGTAGTCGTCGTAGTCCTCATGTTCACCTGTCTCCTCGATTTCAAAATGATCTCCGAGGTAGTCATCATAGCCAACCACATTTCCATCATAGTCAAATAAATCTCCCCCGTACTCAAACTCCTGTCCCTCGGGGCCAAATTCATCTTCCTCGAGATCAGATTGACCTTCCTCGAGGTCGTAGTCATCTTCGGACTCCGTCAGGCTTTCGATGCCCTCTTGTTTGCCATTGCGGTCATTGTGGCCATTGTATTGCCAACGAATCTCTTGATCGCTTCTCTCGATGCTGTTTTCGCCCGTTCGGGTTACAGAAGCCCCAAGCCCAGCCCGCAAGCGGCTCGTCTCTGCATAGAACCGGGTCTGGAACTTGCTGTTTAGTAGTTGCTCCATGTCGGACGATTGTGATAGATACCTGCTCGAGAGTTGCTTCAATGATTGGACCCCCCATATTCTGCACAGTTGTATAGCGTTCCTCCACATGGTCAGAGTACTGCCTGGAGTGTTGAAGCGAGACTTCAGAAATCGAAGGATGGTTCATCTTGAATGGAGTTCGAGTAATTGTGTTTGCTTAGCTGGGTATGAAATAAGTTGAGAGTTGAGTTGAGGTAAGAGGAGAAGAAAGCCAAATATAAGTTACAAATCTAAAAAGGGAATAGTTGGTTGTGATCCATGGATGGCATCAAAGTCTTCCCAAAAAAGGAAACTTCGACCAATTCCCATGTAAGGTAGTCAAGTACATTGTGTAGATATTTACATAATCTAGTAGTGGATTTAAAATCCAACTCACAATCTTGCTTGCGCTTTCCCGGGGGTGCTAGCAAATATCTTGTTCTGACGACTGTCAAGCCGGGATTGAGTAGACTCGAACAACCGTGGGAGCCCAGTTTGTGCAAAATCAACATTAAGTATCATTTTGGCCAGGCCCTCAGCCGCTAGGAAGATTTGTGGCATACCATGTCCCGTGAAACCAGCGATGATATACTGATCTTTCTGTCCTGGGATAGGACCAACATGCGGCAGTCCATCTGTCGAATATCCCATAACTATCGATAATTTGTTAGCTTGGCCAGCCTAATGGTCTTATAAATTGAGCAACGTACTCCCTGTCCAGACTCTGTCTGTATAAGCGTGGCTATTCTCCCAGCCAACAAAATTGCGCTGCATATAATCATCCCAGTATCGAACGGCAGGTTCAAGTACTGAGCTGTCATCACTGACATTGTACCAACTGTCCAGATCATTGATAAAAGTCGGGCGAGCACCACCAACGACTATACTCCCATCAGCGCGAGGGATAAGGTAGTCATAATTCCAGTTATTCCAGCGCAGGGTGTAAGTATTTGTTAGACGAGGAGCGGTATTACCCGGAGGAACAATAATTCGACTGCATGTTCCTCGGACAGGGATAATCTTGTCCTTATACTGAGGGGCCAGGGACGACGTATAGGCATTTGTCGCTAAAACCACTGTCTTGGCGGCGATAGAGCCCCTGGCAGTATTCACTGTCCAGGAATGGCCCGATGTTGAGGAAGTAGACTGTGTCATTGCAGATACCGGTGTGTGTGTCTGTAGATTCACACCTTGTGCGATTGCCCTTTCTAGAAGATGCAGCACGAATTTGTATGGCCAAATGTGACCGGCATCATATGTGAAACATCCCTGTGCCCCTTTGACTCCAGAGAACTGAGATATTAATGGTCAATATCTCCACAGATGATGATTCAACATATGCTAACCTTCTCTGCCTCATCGCTGGGGATATATTTTGCCTTTGCCGTTGGCTCACATCCCATCTTGATCAACTTTTCGTATCCCTCCTTGATTCTTGCGCTATGATCACGAGACAGTTGAACATCGATAGCCTTTGTGACTGTGTATTCACAGTCTATATTTTCCTTTTCGATGAACTCTTTGAGAAATGGGACATGCTTAGCCTCGAAAGCGGCAACCTCAGCAGCAGCCTCGACGCCATGATCAGCGGCCAAGCCAGCAATACCATTATAGACATCAGGTTTCATGTGTCCTCCTACAATAAACAAAAGCAAAAATTTAGCGAAGTTTCTCATTTGTGACTTTCCCAATCTCACCATTTCGACCAGTAGCACCGGAACAAGCCTGTCGAGCCTCCAAAATCACAATCGAAGGTGGTTTTGACCCGGGGGTGATTTGATCAAGGATATGGTGTACGACAGATGCACCTGCATATCCAGCTCCTATGACGACGATATCGCACTCCTGAGGGAGAAATTCGGTCGATCGATGGCTGTCTAGAAAGTGAGGATCTGTCCGCCAGAATGACGTCATCCCATTTGGGACGGGGGTATTCGATTCCATGATAAGACAATTAGCGATATAATTGGAAAAAGGAACATTGAATTATTTGGCATTTATTGATATTGAGCATTGGGGACTAAGGACGGTGTTCGCCTCTCCCGGCGGCTTTTCCACCGGTAACTTTCCCGGTCCCGCTAAACGATAGGCCGACTGCAGTGATAGCACTTCGATTTTGCGGGGGATCGAGCAATTTGAGGAGTTAACTGAGGTCATTTGAGGGGTTGTTTGAGATTTGAAGAGGCAAGGGATAAAAAATATGAATTGAGGTTGAACATGGAAATTATTTCCAGCTAGAATAAGAAATAGCGGACCATACACAATATATTTTGTCTTTTGTTACGGTCTAGTGGTAAATGCTATATTACTCCAAATATTTGCAAGTGCACAAAATGGGCTTGATTTAGATAGCTGCTAGACTAAATACGAAAACTCAAGACGACGCCTGGTGGGCAATGATCTTGTCCGCCATTCCTGGTAGAGTCTCATCCATAACATCCATGTCTCCAAAGAGTTCCGACAAGGACTCTTTCTCCCACACAGAGCAGTATGCTCCCTTGAATCTGTATAGTAATATGTCAGTAATAAGCCTTGGTAGCTCATGACTCAAAGATGAAACACATACCCAGCCTTTCTCGCCGCAGAGACATCCCACATATGGGCCGCCGCAAACCAAGGGGTCTTCCCATCATTCTCCGACTTCAGCTTCTCCAACAAGGGGCGATAAGCTGCCAAGTCAGGCTTACCGACACCGACATCATCACAAGACAGCAAGTTCTCTGCAGGAAGCTCAACACCTGCGTTCTTGAAATAGCCCCCAACACGGTTGATATCAGCGGCGGTAAAAGCCCACACCGTGAAGCCGGCATCACGCAGCTTCTGAACACATTCTGCTGCTCCGGGACGGAATTTGAGAAGTTGGTATTCCGCCATAATGTACTCTAGATCTTCGGGCGAGGCCCAGGTTCGTGGCTCAGCGATGCCAGCCATCCACAGCATGCGGTAGAAGAGTGCACGGAAGACCTGGCCAAAGGGGACATAGCTTTGTGCCAGACTCAGATTGGTATATTCCCGTTCTGCTGCTTCCATCCATGTGTATCCTAGTAGACGGGGCTTGATTCCTTCTGCACGCAATCGATCTCCCAGACGGGTATCAATGGCGTCGAAAACATGATCGTAGGAAACGAGGGTACCAACGATGTCGAAGACAACGTGTTTGGATGAGGACATGATTGGGTCTTGATGTTAAAGCTGTATATTGGGGGTTTGGGAAAGGAAAGATATTGTTATGCTGAAGCACGTTTTGTAAGAGGAAGGATGTCAATTTATCTAAAGGTAGATAAAGAAGAATAGATCAGATAAGTAATGAACCGGTCTTTATTGAACTTATCTCGGACTTTGGAGAACTACAAATCCAACCCCGCACCGGCTATAATCAGCGTAGATCATACATAACTATAAATGATAGTCTCGCTGGTAATACATTTACTATTACTAGTGATAACAAGGAGTATGAGTACAACGTATACATAGTGAGTCCATAGTTCTCAGATATCATTCTGTTTAGATAGGTCGACGGCAAAATGAAGGCGAAAAAGGGCTTTGTGCAAACAACTTTTCTATATATATCTTTTCACTTACTAGATTCTGCATCCGGCTTATGGTCGATATATGTGCCCATAATAGCAAGTAGGAACTACGGACTTAGTTAGGTTTTGATAGACCGATGAGATGCCTGTGATTGTTAGACACCAACACAACAAATGATATACCATCAATCTCTCTAGAGATTTTAAGTGCATTATACCTTATTCCCGGGACATAGACAGGCATTGTAGTTCGTTCTTAGAAACTCGATTGATATCCGTGATACTCCTGATTGATCTACTCTTTCTATATTACATATTTGATAGGTTACTTAAATTGGTAATTATAATCCTTCACTAATATACTAGTAATTACAAGTAAATTGTTATATACATAACCCCAAGACACTAGCCGGTCAAATGCAATGCCGGCGGGAAGTCTGATATTGCTCCCGCCGGGAATACAAGACCGATGATAACGATAAGGATAGACTTGGCCTTGACTAAATCTCAGATATATCAATGGTAAGTATTTCTTTCTATTGGTTTCCTGTGTAAAAAAACCTCTCATCTCCGACTCACGCAGTCAACATGAGGGAATCTCCAATGCAAACGAAGAACGCAACCGATCTCAAAACAAGCGAGACACTTGACATAGAACGCTCGGCGAGCTCAGGAACTGAACGTCATGGTAGCACTGTTGTCCTCTCTGCGACGGACGATGCTGGGTACCATCGTTCCTTGACTAGGCGCCAAATCATGATGATGACCTTTGGCGCTGGCATAGGTACTGGTCTCTGGGTGGGAACTGGACAGGCATTGTATTATGGTAAGTAAGATTATACATCTCAAGACGTAAAATATGCAGGTATTGACATTAGGTAGCCGGTCCTGCTGGTATGGCACTTACCTATACGATCACAGCGTAGGGTACTCCAGAACACTCCAATCTTGCACTCTTGTAACTGACACTGTTTGGGAAGGATGATCGTGTACGCCCAGTATTCTTCAATCGGCGAGATGACCGCATACAAACCTATCCATGGCGGGTTTATCCGCCAATGCGCTGAATATGTGGATCCGGCATTCGGCTTTGCAATTGGTGTCAACTTCTGGTTTGCGGTATGTCAACCTTTCAAAATATGAAGGTCGTATATATTGACGCAATAAAGTGGGTGATGATAATCCCAGCAGAGATAACAGCAGCCATATCCGTCTTGAAATTCTGGCCCGGGGCAGATGTCGTGCCGCTCGCGGCATATATCACTATATTTCTGGTGGTCTTCGCTCTGGCAAACATGTTCCATGTGCGAGTATACGGCTATATTGAGTATTATATGTCGTTTGTGAAGTGCCTTGCAGTTATCTTGATGATATTCTTTATGTTCATCATGACATCGGGAGGAATACCAGCAACAAACGGCCCAATCGAGTTCCGATATTGGAAGAACCCAGGGGCTTTCAATAATGGAATAAAGGGTATTGCTAAAGCGTTCGTACAGGCGGCATTTAGTTTTGGCGGCGGTATGGCTCTTGAGATCTGAAACAAATCGAGGAGATTATACTGACTGAAGTTAGGCGAGCATATTGCTGTTATAGCTGGCGAAGTAGCCGATCCACGTCGCACGATCAAGAAGACAGTTAGACCTGTGTTTTGGAGAATGTTTACCTTCTTCGTGGTCAATATCTGGCTCGTCGGAATGTGTGTTCCATCCAATGACGCCGATCTTGTCAACGCTAGCGGGACACTGGGTAGTCCTTTTGTCATTGCAATCAAGCGGGCGGACGTTTATGGTTTGGCACACGCTATCAACGGGTTCATCTTCCTTAGTGTCATCAGCTGTGGCATTACCAGTGTCTATATCGCAAGTCGAAGTTTGACAGCGCTCGCTGATCTAAACATCATCCATCCGTTCTTCGGAAGAAAGGACTCACAAGGTCGGCCATATGTGTCCCTGGTTATCAGCTTGGGCCTCGGTGGCGGGCTGGGCTATCTAAACTGCAACAGCGTGGGAGTTATGGTGTATGGTTGGTTTTCAGCCTTGGTAAGAACACCCAGCCGAGAGATAGAGACTTCGTGGGGAGTTATTGACAATTTGATGTAGGTGGCAATAGCCACGCTTTTCCAATGGGGCTGCATTTATATTGCTCATCTTCGCTTCCGGCAAGGTCTTCGAGCCCAAGGCAAGGATCTCAGCGCACTTCCGTTTAAAGGTCTCCTCACCCCGTGGGCGCAATACATCAGTCTCACCATTGTGGTGTTTGTCTTTGGCTGTCAATTCTACCTGGCCTGCTGGCCGTTCGGAGAAAAGGGTTCGGTGAAGAGCTTCTTCTCTTCTTATCTCGCGGCCCCTTTGTTCTTCTTTGATTACTTTGCATACAAGGTGAGTGCTTCAGTTATGGTTGGCGATCGAGATCTGACTTTTGTAGTGGTATTTCAAAACAAAGATAGTCAAGCCGATTGACATGGACTTTGGTCCAGCTAGGGCGTTTGATGAGCAGGACCTGATCAATGCTATTGCAGCTGAAGATGCTGAGCGGGATCCAGAGAAGAACAATCGGGAAACTTGGAAAAAGCGTGTTCAGTATATGGTATTTGGATAGGGAAAGCAGCGAGGAAGACTCTTAATTCTATTTACGTATCTCAATGTGACATAATCTTGACGGAGATGAAAGATTATACGTATCGAAGTCGAAATCACCGTTTGACCAATCGGGATCAAAGAAAGCCGTCATATCATTCAGCTCTGGATTCGCAAAAGCTTCGGTACCAGGAGTAAGATGCGACAACGGACTGAAGGAAGACAGTTCCACATTTCCACTTGCAGATTTGTCCTTCTTGAGTGACTGTGTCCAGTCTTTGAACTTTGAATAGGCAGAGATAGAACTTTGATCGCTTCGGGACTGAAGAACGGAGTCTTCTTCAGGGACGGCTAGAAGCTGGCTGATAGCTGCTTCGATAGACTCAAGGTATGATATCTCGGATTGGGAAGAGCTTCCCCCAACCATCTGTCGTATGAGGCCCATTCCACGGTGTAGGCCATCTTGAAGTCTTTGGGACCTCCCCGAATTGAGGCTTTCTGCAAGAATGACCAAAATAGCAGCACGACAAGCACCAAACTCATTGTAAGAAGCGCGGCAAAGACCGACGTGGTCTGATAAAGATTGTAGAGTGTTGAGAATGTCCAAAGCACTTGATACGCAGTCATCCACCAAGACTGACCGACGCGTCCGTCCTGAATCATGATCTGCACCAAGTATAGCCTCACTTGGTTCTTTTCTGTCATCAACAAATATAAACGCACGACCCATGTAGACATATATGAGTAAATAGCATAGTCTGAGATGCGAGTTTTGTCGAAAATTTGGGCCTTGCGAGCATAGGTCTCGGCATTCTTCAGTCGCTGGCAGTGAGTCCCACCACTGCTTGATATTTGCCCTCAACTGCAACAGCCGTTCTAAATAATCAGAGAGAAGCCTTTTGGGGCATTTTTTAAATTGTGCACTATTGAAGTATCAGTCTCGTCGATGAACTGGTTCCACATTTTATTCACTCACAGTGTTTCAGAGACCTCTCCCAAGTATGAAATCAATTTATGAAACGCGATCAAGTTAGCAAATCGTGGGGACTCAAAGGAAGAACAGTCCCTTGGCATATCAGCGTTAATTTCTGACTGTGCGATTGACATAGGGCGCCCATGCAAGATGCAGATATATCTATGAAGGTGAATATTAGTTTTCCTCTAAGATGCCACTTGGATATCGTACTTTTCAACAGTGTATGTTGTCCAAAATAAACGATTCCTGATTTCGATGATTCTAGGGTCACAATTACCGCCTTGGTATTTGCGGTGCATCCCATTTTGAATCGCCATCTTCATTGCAAGACCGTAATATGTGTATGCAAGGCCACCTGTGGAAACAGGCAGTGAGTATGTGGCGAGAAGCAAAAACACTTGCACACTTTCCTGAGAGGCAACCAAAAGAACATCTGGAATAAGCTTGCATGCCGCGTGGTAAAAGATTAGCCCGACTGAGTCCTCGGAGCACAAGTTGAGTTCCTCGGTGATCTCTGAAGTGGGCTCTAGTTTTCCGTCCTCCATATGGGCTACCTGAGTACCAATAGCCAGAACAACAAGAACACAGCATACCCAAGGAAAATCGATGGCTGAATATGTAGTTGTCGAGCTATAACAGATGGCGACCTTCTCTTCGATCCATTTCCGCTCCATGTAAAAGGAGTTGATCTCAGCGTACTTGAAGAACATGGTGACGAGGAAGTCGGCAATAGGCCTCGGTGGTAAATGCCTTAACGCCTCTACTATAAGGTCGGGTGAAGATTGAAGCTGGGTTGGTCGCCAGTATTCTTTGACCTGCTGTGAATTGTCAGACACGCTTGAGATTCTTCTGGAAAAAGATACCGACTTTTGAACCAAGCTGTTCTATTTGACAGCTCGTTTTGCGGCGTAGCTTTTGGGAAAAAGTCCAATGAGAAAATTCCCCCGCGTAATGTGCCACATTATTTGATACGAAATGAACGTCGAAGGACTCATTGATATCCAAAGCAGTTTCCGACAGGCTGGTATTCGTTGAGCTTCGTAATTTCTCCGCAATATGGCCAATATTCGCCTCGTCCAAAGGTACATCCCCAAGGAAATGGCGAGCAATATGCTCCAGACTTTCTATTCGCCGATTCTCGTCTCTTGATATAGATGCAACGGGGACGGAGGAGGAAGGGGATGTCGTTCTTGGAACCGGCTGGCCTTGAAAATGGCATGATCGACCTAGTCGTTGGCATCTCCAGCAGGGTTGACCCCCCTCACACTTCTCTTTCTGCTTTCTGCATGTCTCGCAACTTTTTGAGGATTGTCAATTTGAAGTGCCGAATTAGGTCAAGCGGTATACTTACGCTAGGGAAGCGCGTCTCCTCTCCCCACGTTTACGCTTCGTGCCATGATTTGGTTCGCTATCGAGGTTCATGGAAAGAGTAGATAGACACCAGTAAAGTCTGGTGAATGTTAAGGAGACCTCCCTGGGAAGAAACAGGGGATATGGTCGTTATCTCTTATCGGATGAATTTGCGGGGTTCAGCCAATCAAATCATAGCCGAAGTATATAAAATGATAGACGGAATAGACATGGATAGATGGGGAATAACAATAGGAATAAACACCTGTTTGATATCTGATTATCGTCATAGCGATAACTTGATACAAACAAAAAACGTACGACACATGCGCGTTCGTTTGTTTTTCTTCGCGTCTTATGTTTGCGCCCCTTCCCCCTCTCTCTTCCTGTCTTTCATTCACTTCTTCTCTCACCTTTTCACATTCTTTCATTTCTCTCTCATTTCTACCCCATCCACCCCGTGTCTCTGCATAAGCCTTTGCAACGTGACGCATCCACTACTCGTTTGATTCAACATCCATAATAACTTCAACTGCATTTGACCTGATTTCTGACGCACAACATGACAGCTGGAGCATGTTACTGGAGTGGCAACGGCACTTACAGCTGCCCTTGCCTTGGCCGAGGCCAGTCCAATGCCTCCGAAGCTTCATATGCAACTTGCATGGAGTGTGGCCATCCACTCAGAAATCACTTCAGAATTGGGCGTAAGTAATTTCTTCTCTTTATCAAATTCATGCTAACCCTTTTTAGACCAAATCGACCCACATGATCCTTATGCTAATCAGGTTCTCATACCGAGACACCAAACCGTGAGAAAGCTTGCCAACCTTCTCTATGAACAAAGAGTGGTGCTTGCCCGTGGCACCCCCTTCGCAGGAAAAACCTTTCTCGCCAAATCTCTGCATACCTTCCTCCGAGGACAGGGAGTTATGTCGGTTTTTATCAGACGATTCCCCCTTAGTCTAGAGGGTGGTCCCTCGGTGCTACAGTATCTGGCCGACGCCTGTCAGGCCCAAGGTTATCCGGTATCTCCCCTCACCCTTATGCGCCACTCTTTTGTGTTCCTCATCGACGATGCGCACATGACTTACAATAACTCTGAGCTATGGTTGCTTATCAATAGGGCGAATGAAGACAATCTCGCGCACCTTGTAGGACCCAGCTTCTGTATGTTCAGTGCATTCGGTACCCCGGATAAGGGTATTATGCCACAAAACATAGGAAGTGACCTGCTGGTATTCGATAAGAGGCAGCGTCTCTTCTTGTCTCAGCGTTTTGTCGAGGAGATCACTATTTTCTACACCCGCGAAGAGTTCGATCACTACGTTGAAATTCATCTCCAGAATCGAGGCAACGATTACAAAATCTGCGAGGTGCTAAAAGATAGAATCTTTGGCTTAACCGAGGGACAGCCTGGATTGATCACTGCATTCATGGGTCTCTGCGATATGGTATGTGACTCTCCATCATTCTTGTTCAGTCATGCTAACATCTTGCCAGTGGTATGAATCGTTTTACGCACAGGACGATGACATGAATGACATGATCAGCTTGGATGAATATGAAGTTGCACGGTTTTTCCAGATCCGCGGTGTCCTGGAGGCAACCATCGCGAAGATTGTTGACTTCGCAGGTCTTCCACTTTCGGCTGAAACCTTTTACCCCCCTGAACAGGAGTTCCAAGTTCTTTGCCAGGCTGAGTTCCTCGGGGCGATAGGCCTTCCGTTCGACCCACAGAATGAGGCTATGTTATCGTGCATCACCAAAGGTTGGCTGCACATGGAAGAGGATCACGATGGAAGCTTCAGATGTTACTTCCCAACCGCGTTTCACAGCAGGTATGAATGCTTATCTATTTTGAACCTGACATGTGTACTAATAATATCACAGAGTTGTGGAGTACCTCATCGGGGTCCGGGAGTGTCGATACCCCAATCCGCCGACATTGGATGGAGGCGAGTTTGAATTGATGTTGGGGATTCAAAACATGACGATTTCCTAAGGGTTTTGGCTCTTGTGAGCGGCAAGAGCCTTGCGTGAGTATTTGCTCATGCTCCGTCTTGGGCTTTTGTGATCCGACTGACTATCATTGCGAGGGGGTTGCTGGATTCATTTGTGTGGGCGATGAAGTTGCGCAAGTTCGACGGATGGTGGACTTGCGGGCATCTTGATCTTTGTCAACTTTTCACTATGCTATCGTGTGTAAGTGTACCATTATTTTGTCAAATTACTGTAACAATCCAAGTTGTCAACTATTGATGTCCTTCTTTCTGGTAGCCCTACTGGATAGTCTTTATGTAGTATTTTCAGATGTTTTTATTAGTTGTGTTTTTATATACATTTTTCTCTTATTTTGTCGTGGTGTAGGTCCTTAATTCACAGAGAACGAGATGGTGACCTCGTCTTTAATCTGAATTCTAGAAGGAGCCACATCATCTTTACTACCTTTTCCACGCAAGAAGTTCAATGGCCAACCAGGGAAGCTGGTTAATTGGACTTCATCACCATGGGGGCTATCCTCCTCATCTTCAGATGCGTGTTGTCTCGAACGATGGGTTTTGGTGCCCCCTGAATCATAGCAATCTCCTTGTTTCTTGGTAGCTGACTGCTTGATACCCAAAATGGCCCACCAGCGGCGGAACAAGGGTGAAAACGTTGGTAGACAAGCGCAGACAATTCCAATAAAAGGTTCAACGCATGACCACACGAAGACAGGGGCGATTGTCCAAGATGGATCTTCAGACTGGGTATGTTTGTGCAAGAAAATAACGCGAACGACACCGGCAATACAGACACTATAGTGGTTTTTATTAGCATGTTTTCTAAAATTCAAGACGTATGGAAGATTGACTCACAATCCACCAAGCAGTAATATACTAGTCACTGCAACACGCTGGGACTTGGGCATTTGCAATCTCCAGATAATAGGAGCTGGAACACACAGAATCATGACATCAATCACGACAGAGGCAATGCCATTGATCAAGAAGAATTGAGGAACGTCTATGCAAGTCCCTTCAGCCGTGGGGTCTGTGTATTGCTCCCAAAAATATGATGTAGGACGACATGCGGCCGCGATGGTGACAATGACAGCGACGAAGTAGCCTATAATGATGGCCATGGCGTAATATAAGGACCAGCGCAGGTTAAAGATGCGACGATAGAACATGATGATGGAGGATTTGGTCAAAGTGACCGTTGTGCAGTAGATGAAAACATGCGCGAATAGGAGCTTCCAGAGCGAGATGAATTCGGAATCAGTGAGGGCTTGTTGATGCCATCCGTTTTTGTATTTGATACCTTTACAGAGAATGAGTCAGTAAGGACGAAATGTTACCTATAATTGGGGTTTACTCACTGATGATCACGCATATACCAGTGCCGTAAGCGAACCACTAAAAAGATAGGTAAGCTACACGATCAAGGGATTAGTATAACCATGTGCAGACTCACCAAAGCAGCAAAGATCAAAAAGTCATCAAGACCGAAATGTGTCTGGGTTGTCTTTGCCCGTGTATATACGCGTAAAAGAACCGCCAGGGTTCCAATGATCATCAGAGTAATGACTGCCCCGAGCATCTGGGTTTGCTGATTCTCGGCCAGGTCAATGCCTGGAGGCGCAGGGCCAAAATCCCCTGTGGCTTTCATTGAAATGAATGAACATGGAGCATGTGTGAATTGATGAATCTGTGAGATTATTCCAGTAGAATATCTCTCGATATTTGGGGGGGGGACGGGGGGTCTATTTACTATTTAAATATCAAACCCTCGGCCCATATCGGGTTAATCTGGCAGCAGTTAGAGAATGAATGGTACCAAGGGTCAGTATGGGTCTGGTCTCCCGAGGTGAAGAAATGAAAATATCAAAATATCCCGTTGATCTAGACCTATTTATACATAGTATTGTGCAAGGGAAACGGAAATGAAATTTGCAAGAATGTTCATACTGAAGACACTACCAAATGTGTTAAAATGATAACTAAGAGTTGAGGCTGGAAAGTTTATTCACGTTATAAGATTCAATGTCAAGCAACTTCCAAGATATTCCAAGTAAAAATATCAAATTTTTCATCCAATGAAAATAAAATAATCAAAAAAGAATCGAGTCTATGGACTTTGACACCCACTGGTGGAGTCTTCATCTATACAAAGCCCAAGTGGATCAAACTACCGCTTTGCCGCACTGTCAAACATTTGACAGGTAAAATTAAAGGGCAATGAACTTGATTCATTCCTCTATTGAACATCATCGTTTTTATGTCATTTTTTTTATCTCTGCTTCTCTATTATTCTTTCTAGTAATAGGGGTCCATATTTCGGGGGATAATTGCCGCACTTATGAGAGTCTAGATTCCCCAAGATGTTAATATGGATGTTAGCGGAACATCGTACGTTGTTTTGAAATTTCAAAAAAATGGATCCATCGAAGGCACACTGGCTCTAAAATTCATTAACATGTTCCCTTTCTTCATATTTTATTCTATATGACTGAGACAGCATGTCTAACTTAGACTCCAGTATCTTTCCTAAGACTATCAGATATGTCTATATCAGCTCTAGGAAAGTCCACAATTTTTTTTTCCTATAGATCTTCTAGTTTTAAAAAAAACTCAAAACCTCATAAGAATTCCAAGGACCCTCGATCTTACCTCGGCAGTAGAGTGCCATAGGTGGATCCCCTGCACATCATACGTTCGATCTAGAGTTCGCATCGGAGAAAATTGGGTTGAGATGGGAACGAATGGAACTTAAGCATAAGGGTTATGCCCACCGATATGGCACCATCCACGTCGCTATCCCAGTGAAAAACAGACCTGCAGACGCGGGTTGGAACTGCCAAAGTTGGGTGGCAGATGCCCTTACCCGGATGGTGAACAATGGATATTTGAATGCGTCTCAACGAGCATCGGCCATTAAATACCCACAGTAGTTATATCCGCTAATGGCGTAAGAGACGAGCTAGGAAGGACATGCCTATATATTCTCTCTCGAACCGGAATGGAAGAATACGTGACAGATATTCTGGCCAGTCGGGGAGCGGATATTGCCCGATTTCACGAGATTGTTGCCGACTCGGATAACAACGAATGAAGGGTCGTTCTTTCTTGATCATTCATTGCATTCATTTTTAAGAATAGAATATCTGCGTCTGTTGCATTTCAGAAATTCTGGGGTAAAAAGTGAATGAACAGCCAGACAGACCTAATAGGTTTTGGGTCGGAGGCTCTGACCTAAAATGGGGTTCTACCGAAGTCTAGTCATTACCCACAGCGTGCTTTTGGGTGGAGGCGGGGAAGACGAATAATCCTCGGTCAAGATCGAGAGCAAACCATTCTCTATGTTGTATCTGAATGATCCATCGACGTCTCCTTCACGTGCAACCCATCCTCCATCAAAAAAGGACTGGCGCAATCAACGTGACCGTTCGGCAAGAATGCTGCAATCCCGCACCCCCGGAAAATCCTTCGCAGAATAAACCCGAAACGGATCCGACCACGCCTCTGCAAGGGCCGGTATCGACTGACTCGTATCCTCAACAGAACCCCAATTCATTAGGCGGAACTGGAACCGGTATAGACTCGCGGAGCGGATGGAGAGATCGGTAAAACTGAAGAATGTAGCGGGTTGTGGGAGGCGCGCGGAGGGGTGGTCGTATGCGTTTGACGGACTGGAGAGACGGAGATCGTTTATTGAGGAAGGGTGTGAGGGAGCGGAGTTTGGGTCTGGGTCTGCTTCAACGTAGAAGGGGGACATGACGGCTTTTCCTGAGAGAAGGAGATTTGAGAAGGGGTCGTCTGTTCTGGCGACACCGTCTACATCTCGGTCTTTTCTCTATCTTTCTCTTAGTCTCGATCTAGATCTCGGGTATCTGATCCCGTGGGTTCAGACCATGGTGATTGGGGAGAGACGGGGAAGAGGAGGCAGCCCACTGTGAAGCAGGGAACTGATTAATTTGAGATGGGAATATCATTAATTCCAGTAGCCCAACGCTAAGTAGAAAAAGACACTGAAGATAAAACTTGGGAAAATCAGGGCATGATAACTTGACAATTGCTCCCACCAACGCTTCCTTCCTACTAACGAACTTTCGCCATGATGCACCGCTTGTGAGTCTATGAGAGCTCGTACGATGTTTTCATGCCCGTTTTGTCTTGCCATAGAGACAGCAGTTCGTCCGTTGGCGTCGACAAAGTGCGATTTCGCCCCAATAGACAAAAGAATGTTCACGATATCCTCATAGCCGTAGGCGGAAGGCCAGAAAATTGGCGACTGTCCAGAGACTGATAATGAGTCCACATTGATGGATTTCTGAAGGGCTAGGATTCTCACAATCTCCGTTCGCCCTTTAAATGCGGCAATCCATAGGGGCGTTTGACCATTGCTGTTCTTAGTATCAAACGGCACTGATTTAGACAGGAGTTGTTTGGTCTGGTCCATATCGCCACGACTTGCCGCGTCACAGAACCGAGCAATGGCGTCCCAGTGTGGATCGATTGTCGCTGGCGGAATATGCTGGCAAAGATAACGAAGGGAATGTAGGTGCCCGGAACAGGCGACAGCGAAGCACACTTTTTCAGTTATAGCCGCCATGGTTTCGACCCTTCTTTTTTCCAAAAGCAAACCAACGACATCGGAACATGCCATGGTCTGAGCAGCAGCCTCAATCACCTTTTCGGTAACCTGGATCTCGGTCCCTCGCTTCTTAAGGAGAAGCGCTAATATTTCCTTGCCGCAGGTCAAGTTCCTGGCCGCTGTCTTGACGACCCGTTCGGTGATCTGGGTTTCGGCTCCGCGCTTGTCGAGAAGAAGCGCAATAATTTCCTTGCCACTTCTCCAGTTCCTGGCCGCTGCCTTGACGACCCCTTCGGTGATCTGGGTTTCGGCTCCGCATTTGTCGAGAAGAAGCGCAATAATTTCCTCGCCGCTTCTCCAGTTCTCGGCCGCTGCCTTAACGACCCCTTCGGAGATCTGGATCTTCGTCCCTCTCTTATCGAGAAGGAGCGCCACTATACCCGCGCCGCAATGCGGGTTGCTGGCAGCTGTCTTGATTACCTTTTCAGTGATCTGGGCCTCGGCTCCTCCCTTTTCGAGAAGAAGCGCTATGATTTCCTTACCGCAAGTCAAGTTTCTAGCCGCTGCCTTGACGACCCCTTCGGAGATCTGGATCTTCGTCCCTCTCTTATCGAGAAGGAGCGCCACTATACCCGCGCCGCAATGCAGGTTGCTGGCAGCTGTCTTGATTACCTTTTCAGTGATCTGGGCCTCGGCTCCTCCCTTTTCGAGAAGAAGCGCCATGATTTCCTTACCGCAAGTCAAGTTTCTAGCCGCTGCCTTAGCGATCCGTTCGGTAATCCGGATCTCAGTACCACGCTTAGAGAGAAGAAGTTCCAATATTTCCTTGCCACAGGCCATATTCCTTGCCGCTGCCTTGACGACACCTTCGGTGATCTGGATATAGGCACCGCGCTTGTCGAGAAGGAACGCCATGATCTCCTTGCCGCGATGTGAGTTCCCGGCCGCTGCCTTGACGACTCCTTCGGTGATCTGGATCTCGCCCCCGCACTTATCAAAAAGGCGGCTAAAAGTGTTCTCGTCGAGTTCCCTCGCAGCTGTTTGGACGGCCTCTTCAGTGACATGGACCTGGGCTCCGCGCTTGTCAAGAAGGAGCGCCATGATTTCCTTGCTGCTATGTGAGTTCCTGGACGCTGCCTTGACGACGCGGCCGGTGATCTGGATCTCGGTTTCGCGCTTATCGAGAAGAAGCGTAATAATTTCCTTACCATTTCTCCAATTCCCTGCCGCGGCCTTAATAACCTGTTCGGTGATCTGGATCTCGCCCCCGCGCTTATCGAGAAGTAACGCTATAATCTCCTTGCCGCTATATAAGTTCTCGGCCGCCGCCTTGACGACCCCTGCGGTGATCTGGACTTCGTCACCTCGCTTTTCGAGAAGGCAGCTAAATATATTCTGGTCGAATACTCTCGCAATTGTTTGGACGGCGTCTTCGGTGATCTGGATGTGGGCCCCGCGCTTGTCAAGAAGGAACGCCATGATTTTATTCCCGCTATTTGGTGAGTTCCCGGCCGCCGCCTTGACGACTCCTCCGTTTATTTCAAATCGAATTTTGTTGTTAAAAACCCATTCCAAAATGCCGAAGCTGCTACGTCGGACCGCAACTTCTTCGTGAGTGACACCGTCTCTGGTTTTGGGCCGTTCTTGCGCCAGCTTTCTCCATTGTTCAAGGTTCAGAATACCGAACAAATCATAGGCACAAACAACCAGTAGAACTGAAGGTGTATAAGATATAGCGTCCCAAAGCTGGGGCGTAGTTTCTCCAAATGCAAGCCTCTCAACGGTCTTATGCCAACAAAGAAAGCACGAGGGTGGTTCCCGATCCCCGAAAAAGAATTTGAGTAGAAGCTCTTTCAGTCGCGTTAGCCTTTGTTCAGCGGCTACCTGTGCATGGAAACCCCAAAATAAACATGAATAACTCAGAAGCATTGGCAATTGCATAACTTCGGGTGTGATCCTAGAGATATTGAAAAGACAAGCTTCCGCAACAAGTGCGTTTGCGGAGGCGGGATTATACATCTCTTGACCTTCAAGAAACTCTCTGACCGATAAGTGCGAGAAGCGAAACGCATCAATGGTAGAGTCGAAAATGACTAGGTTGCTACACAAGTATAAAAGCTGGTCTTTCGAGATGGCGGATGCGGATCCATCCTTAGCTACAGACACAGCGGCCAGAAAGTCATCCGATTTGAGTTGTTTTTGGGCGCAGAGCAACCAGCTAAGAGCATTCTGGGCAAAACGCCTGTCTGCATCAGCGTCGAGATTTTCGATATTCGAGAGGATGTCCTGGTATAGCTTCGCCAACGTCCTCGGCAGCCGTCCGAGTCTCTCTATAATCGCATCATCGGTACCCTGTCGGCAAAGTGCCTCTAATTGCAAGCTTGCCCAACTGAACCTAATTACGTAAGCCGTGTGCGAAATCGACCTTGGCAAAGTAGACAACCTACATGCCATGCGCGTTAGAAGATAACTCTTTGATGATTTTGTCCTGTAGTTCCTGCTTCCTCGTGCTGGACCGCAGCAAAGATCCATTGGAGATAAGTCGTGCCGTCTCTAACCGTAGGAACAGATCGATATCGTTTGAGTTACGATCGGAGGAGAGGCATAAGTTCGGATAATTTTCCAGTTTATAGACAATATCTTGGTCATTCCGGCTGGACACAAATATCTTCAATAGACATGGGGTAGCGTTCAGAAGATCTTGAAGAGTATCGAGAAAGCTTCCCCGAGTTGACTGGTTGCATTCGTCCAGGGCGTCGATCACAATCGTCATTGTCGCATCCTTGTATTGCTCAAGCAGCTTGAGGATCAGGTCCTTGCTTTCGTCAAGGCCGAGTGGCCCAGATGCAAAGGCATTTGCTTCACGTATGTTGTACGTTTCAATTGCGGCATCAAGAAGTGGTCCACCAGCTTGAAGAGTCGAGAGCTGTCTTGCGATACTAGCCAAAATCTTTGAAGGGTCGGAGCGTCCAGGCTCGGCTGGATTACGGGAACAGTAGAAATATACTGGAGCTGGGGACTGGTTCCTTCGAAATGCGTCTTCCATGTCCTCGACAACAAGAGACCTATGATTTCATTGTCAGATGCGTCAAACATAACACTCTCGTTCGCTCTTTCCGTACGTTAACTTGCTCTTGCCCGAGCCCGGAATGCCATGAAGCCAGATAATCGAGGAGGCACTCTCATTTTTCCACTGTAGGAAAGTTGGGTCCTGGAGCAGCCACTTCCCTGTGCCCTCCAAGACGTCATTCTTCGTTTGTTTGTGGTGTTGCTTATAAGGCTCATCGGAGAGCCAATTCAAAATCCGCTTTCTTCTTGTCACTGGGCGAGTCAGCAACGGCAAGAGATCTTGGATCGGAAAATTTACCATCTAGCTGATCCGTGATGGCATTGAGCGACTCGCTCCAGCGGTTTACTGGCGCATCGAAGGCTTTCAGCATCCGGTGGAGCTCGTCATGCATTTCCAGCTGAGCTTTATTGTGTGAGCGTAGGAACCTTACGACGTGAGTTGTGATTACCTTGTAAGCCGAAGATGCCAAAACAGCTATGGATATCTCCCTGGGCTTTATTGATAGCCGAGAAAGCCGACTCCAAGTCGGACGAGGCAAGGATTCCATTCTTGAGCACGCGTCCTGACTTGGTTAGCAGCGGGCCATGACGAGTTTGTGGCAACGTACTAAAACCGTTCTGAAGATAGTATGTCCTTGCCTTGGCGAGGTAAGTTAGAATACTTGCGTATAACTTGACCAACGCACGACTGAGCTCCTCCGCGTCTTGTGAGCGGGAATGCTTCAGCAGACCTTCAAAGAGGGTACTTCGGCATAAAATTTCCGCAACTGTAGCGGTTGTCTCGAGAAGTTCATTGTAGGTGTTCAATTCACCCATAGCAACCTTCGTGAATATTAGCGGAACTGCCTAGGATGGGTGAAGCGCATCGCATACATTCAACAGGAACCGAATACCCGCCCACGGCAGTGCGGCGTGAACTGGATCGTACTGCACGACAATATCGCCTAGATCCTTGAAATGATTTACCCACTTCGCCACCTTGGCCAAGACATCGCGCACGATAACCTTCTCCCCATTCTTCCGTTTGAAAGACCACGATTTGTCGACCAAGCGTTTCCTCGCATCTTCGGTCACCGCTAGCAGCTCATTCAGAGATTGGTTTTTCTGCTCCTGCGTGAAATCTATCTGAGATTTTAGTTCGTCTCCAAGCATGCCGATTGCGGCAGTCCAAAGGCTGTCGCTGCCCAACTGGTCAGAAGTGAAAGCGCAGGCAAGGCGGTCCACCTACCCGTTGACCCTGACGGAGTGGGTGACATCCATTCTACGCAAGTCCCCCTCGGAGTCGCGTTTCGCCTGTCCCGGGTCAAAAAAATTACTGTCCCAACTGTATTTGTACTGTTGTCACGGCGAGATTTTAAAAAGGGATTCAGTCACCGACGCGGGGTCATACGCTCGTATCACGTGTCCAGGGTTTACCAGTGGTGGAATACATACAGGTCGCATCAATTCGCCTCAAGCTGAACTGCAATTTGATCCACGCTTCACGTGATCCTTAGGGAGCTCACTGCAAGTTCCAAGGTTGCTCCACTTTATGATATGTAATCCCTACTAACTGTAATAATGTAATGAATAGTACGCTGTCAGATGACCATCAAGTAGGCTGTATCTGGCTCTTGCTCCTCGTCATCCCTGTCGTAACGATTCCAAGGTTGGTCCTCCGGGTCTGTCACACACGGCCAAGCGGGCCGTCCAGCGGGCCGCCCAACGGCCCAAACTTCTGTGATCGCTATCAAGGTGTCACGTCATGCACTATATATATCGGAGCCTAGAATATCTGAGCATAATGCTCAAATCACTTGTTAGGTCGATAGCACTAGATACCCACCCTATCTAGTAAATCATAGCCCGAGCTAGAGTTTCAGGCTTGGTTTCTTTATCCGTGAGGATATATATATATATATATATCACTTCATCGATAGTAGTACTACCATAACATTCATTATTCTTTTACCTCTCCAAAGTTAAATATTAAGTGTATAAATACACACAATTTGCTTCAGCAATAATGTAGAAAAACTAGACTCACCATCCGTGTATAATGGAACACCCTCGGTCATAGTTCTCGTATACCCCGCAATGACTCAGAAGATTAGGGTTAAACCGGGTTGATAAAAGCTTACATTTTTTTTATATCAGATCAATTTATTTTTACATGATCTTCACATATATTTAAGACTGCCATAAACATGGAACGTACTCTAACACCGATGAATGTGGATGGAAGCAGTCTGATAACGCCACAGGCTCGTCTGTATGTACTGCAGTAAGCCACCGTAAGAACTAGACTAACATGGCCGCAGACAGCCCATTATCATCATCATCGCCTCAACAACCCTCGTCTTCACAGGATGCGGTATAAACTTCGCATTCGGTGTCTTCCAAGAGCTCTATGACTCAATGTCAAAGGAACCAAATACACCCTTCACCGGCGCAACACCGGCACACATTGATCTGATTGGCACTCTCTCAATCGCACTGATGACAATCGGTGCTCCATTCGCAACAGCATGGACAAAACAATATCCCCCTCGATATGTCATCTGGGCTAGTGGAATCATCCACTCAAGCGCTCTGCTTTTTGCAAGCTTCAGTCAACACCTTTGGCAATTCATTCTCACCCAAGGCATTCTTCTCGGCATTGCCACTTGTTTAACCTATATGCCATCCGTAACCGTGGCACCGACCTGGTTCACCCAACACCGCGGATTAGCGATGGGAATAATTCTCGCGGGCACCGGAATCGGCGGTGTTGCATGGCCACTGGCTTTCCGATACCTAATTGAATCCGTCGGATTCCGCAATACACTCCGTGTCACAGCCGGGATATCTTTCATACTTATTTGCGGATCGGGAACATTTATACGCTGGCCCGCTAGTCAGATCACTCGCATTCAAGCCGAGAACGCCGCTTCAACCCGTGCATCAACTTTCTTCCGCCTTCCGCTGGTTGACTGGCGCGTCGTTCAAAGCCGCAAGTTTGTCGCTCATGCTATGGGTGCAGCATTGCAATCTGCTGCATACTATACACCGGTATTCTTTTTCGCATCCTTTGCCCGTACACTCGGCTACTCACAAGCAACATCGGCAAACTTTATTGCCATCTCAAATGCTGCAAATGCGCTAGGCAAGGTTGTTATCGGCCATGCAGCTGATCGTATGGGAAGACTCAACACTCTGGTATTAACAACGCTCATTTCAGCCGTCTCTGTGCTTGCACTGTGGCTTCCATCGTGTCTATCTACCACACAATCTACCGGGAGTACACTCTTCATCGCATTCACAATATTCTATGGTATTTTTGCTTCAGCATATGTGGCTCTCTTCCCGACGAGCCTGGTGGAGTTGTTCGGTGTGCAGAACTTTGTCAGTGTCAATGGCTTGCTGTATATGGTGCGAGGCTTTGCGACATTGGTTGGAACCCCAGTTGCGGGTGCGCTGATCCGCGGAAATGGCGAGAAGAGCACCGGTCCGCGAAGCTATGAGAATACCAGCGTTATGGTAGGTGTACTGCTGGTTGTGGCGACGTTGGCTGTGGTTTGGGCGCGGCTTGAGGCTACTCTTAACCTTGATTCTACAGCAGGGCGCAGAATGAAGTGGTTGATGTAAATATTCTACCACGTAGAGATCGATGGGGATATGTGGATCGTGGATCCTGACCCTACACCATAGACTGTACATTAATCAGATTCAATAAGATCTCCTCTCAATTCGAATAAAATTAACATCCTAGATCTAATGCTTCTGGCTATTCGTCGGGTATGGCAAGGGGGGAATTGGGAATACACTCATCAATGCCCCGTATCTCTCTCAACTTGGATAACCCGGAGTCATAAAAGGATCTCAATGCATCCATCTGTGCATCATGCTCGCTGTTCTTCCCTCTCTCATATCCACGAACACACAAATAGTGTAAACTATCTGGTAAACAATCCGCAAGTATGAACTTTTCCTTCTCATGGCCTTCTTCCTCCCCTTTGGCGAAATACAACAGAGTTTGAATTCCCATGCTTAATCGTTTCAGCACCGCAAAATCCTTCAGCGACCCCATTTCGTTCCAAAGAAATTGAAGAAACGCACGAGTCAATTCATCTTCGGACAGATCTAACGGGCCACCCTCGCGATCCAGTAATCCAACATCGTGTTCCATCCGTTTCAATTGGGGCTCGCATGTAACATCAAAGTCAACGTCAAGAACCTCTAACGTGCTTTTGTGTAGGCATATCGCTTTCACAAATGCTTTAACGTTAATCTCCCTAACACCTCTTTCCTTAGGCATCATGATATTGGAATATTGAAATTCCCGGAGAGCTTTGCATGATGATATCAATACAGCGAGACAAGTACTGTTGGCTGCCGAGTGAAGTACCGACATCTTGCTAACGTTGGAGGTTCTGACAATGGAAGATAGTTCTTGTTCATCGAGGAACTGTATCCCAACGCCATGTTGGCGTAGTTTGGGGGTGCTGAAGGAATCCATAGATAGGAAGTTGTCAAACAAATGAAAGAAGCGGATGAAATCAGTATCGTTGGCGCTGATATCCCCTGGGGCACGGAAATTTAAATGGATAATATGCACTGTGTGAAGGTTGCGTAGAAATGGCTTGCTTTCGGGGTCGGCATTTGTCTGGCGAAGAAGCTGGAGAAGCGGCCATTCGCTAACAGGACTATACTGGCCCTCAGTTGGTACTGTCACTGCCATGGACTCTAGGTGCGGGGCCACGGTGATAAGTATAGCCGTCAAAGCTTGCGATACAAAACAACCACGCGTTACACACTCCCTATTCTGAGTCAGAACTAACTCTGAAGCTGAGAGTTTGGGCCATCCATACTCAAATTCAATATTCTTTCCTCTTATGTTTGTCGTTTTGATTTCCTTTCGCTGCATGAGCATATTCAGTATGCGATCCTGTTTGAGGCCGGTAAAGCCAGCTTTCCTAATGGCAGCTCGAACACGGCTTATATCATTGTGGCCTAAATGGCGCTGATGCTCTCCTTCGCGATAATTCATAAGCTGGGCTACCGGGATGGCACACTCGATATGACGTACATAACGACCTAGCAGTGGCCGTTTTAAAATGGCCATAAACAAGTCAAATGCCACGTTTCTACTCTCATCGGTATTGGAGATGCGGATTCGATGAAACCTTTTCCGAGTCTCCATATCGCACACGATGTGAAGGGTGCGACATGAGATTGAGAGAGAGGCGACATCTTGACTTGAGGGTATATAAGAGATGACCAGTTCATGAATCTCGGAAGGAAGAGCGAGGAAAGACATTGTTTGCTTTCACGGGGCAATCGCAATTGTGTCTAGGTAATCCTTTTGTGGGAATTACTAGGTATCGAAGTGATATGTCGTCGTTTGAGTACCACGTGATCCTTTAGCTTGGGATTAGTCTCGTTGACTGAGATGAAACGAGTAGTCACATTGTTCGTGAGAGCAGTAACTCCGATGGTCCGTAGATAGTAGCCACGTTGAGAGGAATAGGGAGGGGTGGTAATCAGCAAAGTCACATACCTGACAAGCGTCTCTTCCAAAAGAGAGAGAGACCACCCCTGTATCAAGTCGAAAGGGGCTCTCCGAACCTCCGGTTCCTCCGACTCCGCACCAAAACGATCAAATATCATCAAAATTAGGACACACAATTCACCTCTCTCTCTCTTTGTCTCTCTTTTTCGTACCTTCATATTCTAGACCAATGGTCCCACCGCTTCGACTTCCGCGCCGTGCTCCGGTCGCGCCTGTGAATATGCCGAGAACCGGCTCGACAGGGTTAGCCTTCACGCCGCAGGCATGTAAAAGACCAACATCCGACCCATCATGTTCCTCCGGCATTTCGAGCTGTTCGGTTCCGAACATGCCGTCACCCTTAACCCGAGTGCAAATCGCACCAATGTCTACAATGAAGGCAACCCATGGCCACAGCCAGGCCTGCTGCAACATCCCACCTGTTGTCTCATCGGGCTATGTTCCCAAGGGCTTGTATGAGGAACTCGGCGGAATGAAAACATGTACTGCCAACAGCTCCCCCAATATCTCCTAAACAAAGCTAACAAATACCCGATGCAGATGTAACCGGTCCAGAGGAAGCCACTAGAGGGATTGTCTCTGTCTTCGACATCTTTGGGTACTTTGATCAGACTCTTCAGGGTGCAGATATCCTCGCAACCGGTGATCAACACCAGAAGTATAAGGTGTTTATGCCTGACTGGTTCCACGGCAGCCCGTGTCCGATAGAATGGTAAAGCTTGCTACACAATCAATCGAATGAGCGCTCACTAAGCCGAAACAGGTACCCTCCCAACACCCAACAGAAGCAGAAGCAATTAGGTGAGTGGTTCGGTAGAAACATGCCACACGGTGTTGCAGCTGCATTGCCTAGTTACATTGCCGCGCTCAAGGCTGCGAATCCCTCTATCAAATCATGGGGACTTATCGGGGTGAGTCTTCTTGGATAATACATGGTACAGCCTTCATCTAAACTAACTGGATACAGTACTGTTGGGGAGGCAAAGTGACTGAGCTCGTGACTGCTAGCGAAGACAACCCATTCAAAATCGCTGCTGCTTGCCACCCGGCCATGGTTGATCCCTCCGCTGCAGAGAAAATCCCAGTGCCGTACATTCTACTTTCATCCGGAGAAGAGTCAGCTGAAGATGTGAAGAAATTTGAAACCAACCTGAAAGTACCCAGTCATGTAGAGATCTTCGGGGATCAAGTCCATGGTTGGATGGCTGCGCGTGCTGATCTAGATAATCCCCGTGTTCAGGCGGAGTATAGTCGGGGCTACCAGACTGTGCTGGAATTCTTTGGAAAGCACTGGGATTAGTTAGTGTAGATTTGTCTTTTAGGATATTGTGCAGCGAAGTGCACTAATCCAGTATCTCAGCTCTTTGAATGATTACCATCACGTCACAGTAGAAATCCCCTTAAGAGTAATGGAAGAGACATTATATGATAGGGAGAGGAAGTGGAAGAAGGCTGTAGTGCCTTTCAAAATGATATGTTATAGATCGTTGATTACCTTTGTCCTATAAGGTACGGTGGACATGTTGGTCTAGTGGTTGAAAGTTTGCAGTGTATCTCTTATCCCTCAACTGCTTGCCTTCGTGCCTGCCTGCCTTCCGTATTGTGCAGACCCGGCGTGCCGTTTTGATCGCCGGTCAATCTGCGCAATGACTTTTTATTTTTTTTTTACTTACAATTCTCCTGAACAGTCGTCGCATAAGCGGCCTTGTGATATCTCCTCAGTGGTCTTTTCAGTGGTCTTTTCGATGGTCTTTTCTATTATCATTCTGTTTAAATGCCTTGTCAGGTTCATAGGTCGACAGCAAAAGACTTGTTCCGTAGTATAACAGTTATCATTCTTTATGACCATTCATATTCCAGTTGGCAAGGACAAGGATGTTCAGCTAGGGTTGGCTGCATACAGAAGCTTTTGACAGTAAGGCGATAAAGATCATTTGTACCAACAAACTTGCATGCAAAGTCAGTACTATATCCCTTCTTATCCGCTTCTTCTTCACTGAGACATGGAACAGGTTTGTAGAGCACTATCTCGCGGACCCTACAGTCGAGTTCCCACGAGAGAAATTTCCGGATGTCAAAGCACTTGCAGAAGCTACACTGGACAAGCTGCGGTTCATGATACGAGGCGCGCAACACTTTCTGTCTTGGTTAAGAAATTAGGCAATAGCGCTTTTCCTTTATTATGTGGTATAAGGAAATTACTGATGGCGAGTTGTTAGGGTTGGTATAAACAAGGTGCAACCGAAGCATGATTCAATTTCAGATAAAAGACATATATTTCTAGAACACAAATTCTTGCTCTCTAAAGCAAAATCCAAGTATCAATCATAAATCATAACTATAGTCCCATCTCAGAGCCCGGGAGTCTGAGCCCCCTCCCCAATCCCCATCAACCCACCAGCAAGACCATTCATACGACGATCCAGCAAATCCTCCTCGCTATCAAGAGAAGCAATACTCCGACCTCTCGGCCGAATCGCCCTAGGACTTTCAGGCGCACTATTCGTCTCATCAGGATCAAAAGTATCCCGCGAACGACCCGCTCTCTCCAAATGTCGAAGCTTAGCGAGGAAATCCTCTTTAGCTTTGCCGTCATCCCCCAACGACGTGAAGCCAGTGACACGCGAGGAAGCAAAAGAGGAATGCGATCTCCTCCGACGGGTGCGGTGTTCAGCCTTCATAAATGCCTCATCGCTACCAACAGGCGTGATCTTGCTACCCATTTCCAATGGTCTATCCTCGTCACCCGAGGACTCGCCTGTAAACTTGCGATGGTGGTTACGACCACGTGGAGGCTTTCCTTCGTTCTGGACAGACCATTTGAGGGAAGGGTTGGGATTCAAAGCGTTCATATCCCGATTAGGATAAGAATCCGCTTCCAAGTCATCTGTCTTGATTTTCTGGAACAGAGTCTCGAGCCAGTCCGCGCTGCGATGAATATACTTCCACGCATCCGGGAAGAAGCCAGCCATCTGCATGAATCCGTGTGAAATACCAGGGATCAGGGAGATCTCGACGTAGTTTCTCTCGTTGAAGGGACGGTTAGACCTCTCCAATCCCAGGTCCTGGCGCTCACGGAACTGATGAAGCTTTGCTTGGCGCAGTCTTCCTGCGAATATGACTGTGTCATCAACCAGAGGATCTCGCTCTCCGGTCATAATGTATGTTTTCGGGAAGCGGGCAAGCAAAGCATCTGGAGCTAGAACTGGAGATAGGAGGAAATCGGTGTTGAAGTCAGGGCGATGGTGGGGTCCGATGTATAGAATGATCATCGCACGCGTCATCTCGGGTGTTAGGATTCGGTCGTGGACGTAGGTGATCATAGACGAGACGGCTAATCTAGTCTTGATTGGTTTGACTTCGTCTTCTGCTTTGGCAACAGGTTTCGGAGCTAGGTCCTCGCTCTTTTGGAGTTTCTTCTCCAGTGCCTTGGCAGCTTCGGCGGCCACATTCGGTTCTTTATCCTTTGCCTTCTCGGGTGGTGAGATAGCAGTGAGATCTTCGACTGAGTGACCTGGCGAAGTGAATGGCGTGAGCTTACGATATTCATCCTGTTTCCGTTGCAAAACACTGCGGTTTGTCTGACGGGTGCTCTTCTCCTGAATCAATGCCATCTGCTCGTCGCTCATCCAACTTTCAACCTTCATGTTCAACGCAGGATATCCCAAAACCACACCATCGGGAGCGGGGAGTACATCTTCTCCACGCCAGCCCTGAGACATCGCAGACTGTAGCACCATCAAGGTCATACCAACTGCTAGGTTTCCACCGGCACTCTCGCCAGTGACAAGAATACGAGGACGAGTCTTACCACTCAGACCCATACAACGGCCGTTCGTGGCAATGATGCTATGATAGACATCGTAGCATTCATGCAGCGCATACGGATATGCGAATTCAGGTGCCTTCTTGTAATCAATACTGAGGATGGGGACCTTGAGCTGTCCTGCCCAAGACAACAACTTGTCTTCAGAGTTTCTAGGACTCATAGCCACAAAGCCACCCCCGGGTACATCGAGCACGATGGAAGTCTGATCTCGGAGCGCACTTAACGGACCATCGAAATACAGCCACGCATGCACTGGCTCGGTGTAAACCGACTGCTTTGGACGAGGAATGCGAATCGCTCGAGCCGAGAACTTAGTCATTCGTGGCCGTAACAGTTTCGCCAATGACCATAGATAGGGGCTAGTGGCTTTGTTCCAAGATACGCGCAGATGCTCTAGTGTCAGGGTAGCACGGACGCGACGAACTTTCTCATCGGCCTGTTCAGCGGCAATCAGATAGTACACTGTGAAGACTAGTGAGGCTATATCTCGTAGCCATTTTGGCTTTATGTTCATTGCTGTCCAGAATCCAGCATCTAGACCAGTGGTGATCCATGTTGCTCGGAAGAAAGACCGTGAGTACATATTTGCTAATGGTTCAGGACATTCAAGTCCGACGATCTTGGCGAAGTTCCGGCTGAGGTAGAGCCAAAGGAATATGATAACAGTTGTTTGCCATGTTGTCAATTTTCCTGTGAAGCGGGATGAGAGGGATCGAATAAATGGCGGGCCATGTTTATCTGCTCTGTTGGGAAGTTCAGCGGTTGGAATTCCTGTGTGGACTTGACATGTTGTACCTTAATAAGTAAACCGACCAGAATGAGACAACTGCAAATACTTGGATTTTGCGAAAGCGGGTCGAAGGTCTCCCTAATACGTGGTCTGAACAAGGATTAGACGTTGACTAGGTTTTAAGTGGGATGCAGGTTGCATACCTATCATTTCTCCAAGTTAGGGCTGAGTCTAGTCTGACTAGTTTAGCCTGTGTGTAGTCTATATGGATAGGAATGCATGAAGGTCGTGTCTAAAAGTAAAAGTCAAATAGACAGACAAAGAGATCATCTCTGCTCCGTAAACACATAATGCCAGTAATGCAACCTTGTTATTGGAGAGAGAAGCCTTGAAGTTGAATCACATGCCAAAGTCCCACCTTTCACATGCCAGTGACATCAGCTGACTTTCCCCGACTTTTTGTGTTTTTTATATTTCGGCGACTTTATATTCTCTCCACTCTATTTTATGTCATTTTTCGGCAATAATCACGGCCATGTCCGACCTGCCAACTGCACAACAAGACTTCCCACCCCATACTAATGAATCCCGCAATGCAGATACCAGCTGAGTCACTGACAGTGGTAGCACCCAATGAGAATTCGCGGTCCTCCTTAGGCACACGATCAGCAATCTCAGCAAAGGTATTGACATATACCACTCCACCCAGTAGGCCCTCCCAGAAGACAACAATGAATACAAGCCATACACTGGGGATAAAGTTAAACATAGCGTGGAGACTCAGCAACACAAGGTTGACCACCTGAAGGAGCGACGGCGCATACAGATTGTGGATGCGGTAGAATGGGGTCGAGGAGCGCGATATGAAGACACCAATCTGGTAGATGGCATTATAGGTGGGGTAGAATGAGCGGAAGTGCTCGAAGGGGGATTCATGCAGCGGGAACAGTAGAGTTGGAGCCACACCTTGGTTTATCACGTACTCGGCGATGTAGACCAGCAACATCGGGATCATGCTAGATAACTGTCAGCGTAGACTTTGAAGAATCAAAAGAGTCGGATACTTACAAAGGAATAAAAAGTGCCTTAACGCGACGTAGGTTATTGCGCATCTGGTCCTGCCAGGGGCCACCTTGATTGATATGGCTAGACTTATGGACGGAGGAATCGCGCGACTCTCCCAGGAGTCCCTCGTCTTCCCCGCCAACGCCATCGTCCATTTCATCTTCCTCCACCTGGCCCCCACCCTCGACAACACGATATCTATCAGGGCCAGATTCGGCAGGTCTCGGGTGGGACTTGGGTAGGACGATAAAGAAGCTCAAAACCATAATGGCCGGTAGGCATGCCGAGACCAACAATGTGACACGAACAGAGAAACCCATCGCCGAAGTCGCGAGGGCATAAGCACCAGCTCCGATCAGCCCAGCGGCACCAGTACCACTTCCCCACGCAGCCAAACTAAACGGGCCATAGAAATGCGTTAGACCCACGAAGCTCAGCTCCCCAGCACCGCAAGATAAGCTAGCCAGGACTATTCCCGCAATCTTAGATGATATCGTTCCTCCAACAGTATAACCTGGACTCATAGCGACGACCAGCATGCCCACGGATGATAGGAAGGCGAAGACGAGGGTGCGCATCCAATATGGAACCAGGTGGATGAAATAGGGGGCGACGAGCTTTGTTGCGAACGACGGGACCACGTCCGCGAGGAGAACGAGGCCTTTGGGAACATCTGGTCCGACTAGATCTACAGCTGCGGAGAGGATGATCACGTATAGGACATTGTTTATAAGGCCTGTCGGGTATGGGCGTTAGTTAAACTGATTAACAGGTTGGCTGGGGAGTGCGCACCAAAGAGCCAGAAAGCGACGCAGACTCGGGGGTCTGCGCCGTTAAAGGCACCACCAACACGGGCGCTGACACGATTCCAAATGGAACGTTGCTCCTGAGAGGAAAGCGCATCCTCATCGGGTGCTGTGAGAGGCATTCGTGAGAGTGGTAAGCTACAGAGTAACAAAATAATATGTCCAGTCCATAATTTTAATGGAATAGGAGAAACAATAATCAAATCAATGGCGAAGAGTGACGACTTTCTCCACACGAAGTGTCCACGGGTGGGTAAAGGAGATGCAACGGCGATTGGTGAACCTGCAAACTGGGGGCCAACTACCAAATTAGGTAAAAAACAACGTGACTACTCCGTATAAGTGTAAGACTTCATACAATGAGGGTCTTGGTACCCCTGAATTCCAATCTGATTTAAATGATAATGCAGCTGGTAGTCACATAATTCTCCCAATGTGAAACCAAACACCTACTAAGAGCCCCATCTTGACCCCAAAGTACTTCGTAATCAGGTATCAAGTGCATCTTGCTCATATAGATCTTTCCAAATTGGATCATCATATGGTCTAGCCTTGCGATGAACTTCTCTAGCCGTGTTCCAACCAAAGAAGCCAGCCATTTCCCAATCAATAAGCCCCACAATCTTGTCATCGTCAACTATATAGTTGGATATATTGAGATCGTTATGCATGAAGCTCATGTCTGGGTCAGTATTGGTCTCCGAGAAGAGAATATCATATTCTAGACGTTGGATACGGTCATTGCTTAGAATACCGGGGTCAGGCACGATATAAGAGCGGGTCTGGCCATCAGGCTTAATGGAGTGTAGCTGTCGAAGTATTTCTCGTGCTTGCTGTTTGAAGAACTCCTTTTGTTTCTGCGAGAGGTACGGCCATGCAACAGCTAACGCAACACCCGGAAGTCTTTCCTGGACTAGTACCTGGCGACCATTGATCTAATAGGGTCTAAGCGATAACAAATATCAAGCAGAAGGGAACAAGTACCTTTCCATTAAACTAAATGTCGGGTACTTTGACGTCTTTTAGAACATTCTTCACAATAGGAATAGCTTGTTCTTCATTGGCATCCGCATACGAGTAGTCGATCTCTGTATACTCTGCACGGTGTAAATGGCTCGACTTAATGATGACTCTGCCAAGGGCAAACACATCGCGACCACCTTCATCGGCTGGGTAGATTCTCATAGCTTCATTGCAAAGATCGACTACTGAAGCCCAGTAGTCCAATGAGTCTGTGGACTGGGAGTTGATATGTTGTACATCAATGCGGAAGTCATCTGGTTTGGGAAGATACCGACCGTAAAACGGCAAGTCGGCATATAGATCAGAAGGAGGGATATTGTCTGGATCCGTGATATATGGATTCATGATAGAAGAGAAACAAGTAGTAGATGATCATGGGTGAGATTCAAGGTATTAACATGGTTTCTCAAGGAGTTGGGTATCCTAGTCGTTCAGCAGTCGCGAATCGGCGGTGTACCTCCCCCTGCTGTTAGTTCATAAATTCCCTTATTAAAAGGACGTTTTGAGATACGCGTATAACAAACAACCTGGTCATAAAAGCGACGGCAGCTATGCTGGAAAAACGCCCCGGTAGAGAAAATATCCATGAAACCTCGCAGGTACAACTAGTAGAACTTTTCCTTTATTGCTCTAGTTTCTATATGAAAAATATGTCTCATATCCAACGCAATACATGGTATAAAAGGAAAACAAAATCGTAACCGGCATTCAGAACAAGACACTTATGACTTGGCCACGACCGAATCCACAGCCTGCTCCAAGATACGCAGACCAGTCTGAATCTGGTCTTCGGTGATGGTCAGGGCAGGAACAAATCGGATACAGCCCTCACCAGCAGTGATGATCAACATGCCACGCTCACGGGCAGCAGTGATAATATCACCGGCCTTAGTGGTGTACTCTGGGGAAAGCTGAAGACCCAGGATCAGGCCGCGACCGCGGATCTCGGAGATCACACCTGGGAACTTCTGCTGCAAGGCCTTGAAGCCCGAAACAAAGAGATCGGACTTGACCTGGACAGACTGCTGGAGCTCCGGCTCAGCGAGACGCTCGACGATGTGGTGAGCGACACGGCAAGCCAACGGGTTACCGCCGAAGGTGGTGCCGTGATCGCCGGTCTTAATGTGCTGGCCAACTGTCTTGCCAGAAACAATGGTGGCACCAATAGGGATACCGTTACCAAGAGCCTTGGCGGTAGTCAGGACATCGGGGTGGGCAGCCTCGCCAGAGGCCGGGGCAAGAGAGGGGTGGGCATGGGCCCAGAAAGTACCGGTACGGGACAGACCGCACTGGATCTCGTCGTAGATCAAGACGGCACCGGTCTCGTCACAGCGCTTGCGGAGAGCGGCAAGGAACTCGGGAGTAGCGATGTTGACACCGCCCTCACCTTGAATAGGCTCAACAATGACACCGCATGTCTTATCGGTGATAAGAGTCTGGAGCTGTTCGATCTGGTTGTAATCTCCGTACTTGAATCCGGGGAGCATGGGCGAGAACGGAGTCTGGTACTTGGGGTTGGGGGTGGCGGAGAGGGCGCCCATTGTGCGGCCATGGAACGAGTTCTTGAAGGACACGAACTCGTGCTTATCACCTGAAGGGTCCAGGGTACGGCCGGTCTTGCGAGCGAACTTGATGGCGGCCTCGTTGGCCTCAGTTCCGGAGTTGGAGATAAAGACCTGCGAGGCATCGCGCATAGCACCAGACTTCTGAGTCAACTCAATCAACAATTTACTCAAAGCACCGGTCCAAGGGTTGTGGTAGAGGTTCGAAGCGTGGATGAGGGTTTCGGCCTGTAAATGATTGCCTTTTGTTAGCATTTGACCGCCATATAAAATAGTCCATAAAAGCTCTCCGCACCTGCTCCGCAATAATTTTCGCAATCTCCGGGTCACAGTGACCAAGAGAGTTAACTGCAATTCCCGCAGTCAAGTCCAGATAACGTCGGTTCTCCATATCCCACAAGTAGCAACCCTGTCCTTTCATCATCATCGGAGCCGGTCGAACGTAAGTCGGGACCATGAAAGGAGTTCGCTCATTAATGAAGGACATGGTGACTGAGTCCGCCGCAGGGTCGGGGTTGGGGAGGGTTGACTCCTATGCGATTGTTAGTCCCAAATGTAAACGTTGCCTTCGAATTTTGGATACTTTGCATCACACGTACCTTGACCTGGGCCTTCACATTTTGAGGCGCATTGGACGTAGTCGCAAATCGGCGTTGTACTTGTGACTCAAAAGCAGGAACGAATTTGGATGTGCGAGGCAGACGGCGCGCGGCCACACGGAGGGCAGACATGACAAACTTCTGATTGATATGAATGAAAAACAAAAACAAAGAGCTAAATCTGCAGCAAAAGAGAGGTGAGGATCGTAAGAGAACGGGTTGATCTGATCCGCGGGAGAAATTAAAAAGGCGATATCGGGATCGGCAGTGTTAGTCACATTAGTGGCCCCAGAGTCCCAGTTAACGTTAGGCCCGAGGTCCCGAGATCTCCCCGTACAACTTCAAACTTGCCTTTATTGGACATATCATTCCCCTCATCCACACACACACACAAAATGTTGTTCTCTCTCGCTATTCGCCGTTCAATCCCCTCGGGTGTCACAGCCCGTGGCGCAATCCGACCACTCTCAACAACTCGATTCCTGCGCCAGAGCGACGACAAGCCCATGCCATTCTCAGACTCCCCGGCTCCTCCGCGTCTCCCAAAGGAAGAACAAGAGATCTTCGAACAGCTCCAGAAACGCTCGACCGGTGCTTTCAGTACACCCCAGGTCAACCAGTCCCCACAGGCCGAGATTCAGGCGGATGGCAAAGGTGGCGAGCTTCACCCCGATGCGCCAAAGGGACTGAAGCCTGAGTTTGAGGGCGAGAAGAACCCGAAGACTGGCGAAGTTGGTGGACCAAAGAATGAGCCTCTGCGCTGGGGCGCAGCGGGCGATTGGAGCTACGGTGGTCGCGTCACTGATTTCTGAGTGTCTCGTGACAATAGAGATTTGCATCATGGCGTCGGTGTTTATTGCCTAGGAGTATAATCCTCCGTAACTGGAGACGGAGAAGTGGGTGTATGGTGTTTATTACATCTACAATGTACATAACAAAATGGTGTGGACTAACAATGTAAAGTATATTTACGAGTCATTGTGGTGTTGGCAAATGTATGGAACTCGCTGGGAGCTAATAAATACTTCGAACGACAAGCACAGGCTATAGCACAAATCGCTTAAAGCGACGCTTTTTCTTCCGCAAGACGAGCGAGAGTTGCTTTTCCAGCCCGGCTGTCATTAGCTCGGCCCAACTCCCCACTAATCCAACCTCCAATCTTCGACATCTCATCCAGACTGATCCCCGTGTGCATACCCAGGCTGTGGATCGTGTGCACGAGGTCCTCTGTCGCCACATTCCCCGTCGCACCCTTGGAATACGGGCAACCACCAAGCCCGCCCACGCTGCTGTCGAAAATACGGACACCATGCTCCAGGCCGACGATTGTATTCACCAAGGCCTGCCCATAGGTATCATGGAAGTGTAATGCCAAGTCTGTGTTTTGAATGCCAGCAGCCTTGAGCGCTTGCAGAAGCTCCATGGTCCGGGGAGCGGTGCCCATGCCCGTCGTGTCCGCCACCGAGACCTCATCCGCTCCCATCTCCAACAGCGTGGCAGTGATCTCAGCCACCTTGACAGGATTCACGTCCGGGCCTTCGTAGGGGCATCCTAGTGCAACAGAGACATATCCACGTACACGGATATTCTTGGTCTTTGCTAACGAGACAATCGGCTTGATGCGCTCCAGTGACTCGGCAATGGAGCAATTGGTGTTAGCTTTCGAAAAAGCTTCAGTTGCTGCTGCGAAAAGAGACACCTCCGTAGTTGTCGCTACCTTCGATGTCTCTCCAGTTGCATCCGCAGAGACCCCTGTGTCATCAAGGATCTTGACCAGGCTCTCCAATCCCTTGATGTTAGGTACAAGGTAGTTGTATGCGACTGTAGATTGTGCTCGGGGTGGGCTTGTGAGAAGATGCTTGCAAATTTCGGATGTACTTGCCATCTACCATAATGTATCCAAATCGTCAGTCTTCTGGGGCTGAAAGCGCCAAACTGCACGTCATACCTGTGGTACCCATTTTTCAGGTACAAATGAACCAGCTTCAATGGTAGTGACACCAGTCTTGGCCAGTCGCTCAATCAACTTAAGCTTCGTTTGCATTGGGATGGACTTCTTCTCGTTTTGCAGTCCATCTCGAGCGCCAACCTCAACGATGCGGACATGGTCCGAGGTTAACCGCGACTCGGTTGCGAAACGGCGTGCAGAATATGGAGACCGCAGGGCTGAGAACAGACTCAATCTGGGGCGAGCTATCATCATGGTAAACGTTAGGTCGAATCTTATGATCCGAGCAACTAGAATTGTATGGGAAATAGCAGATGAAAGAAGGGAGCTTTGAGAATGGAACAGTAGTAGGCCGAGATGCGGAGAGCGCTTTACCCCTTCCGGACTAGTTGATCACCCCACCTGTTGCTGAGTCAGTCGGCAGAAAAAAGAAGTGGGATGATATCGATTCCAATATTGAAATGTTATGACGATCAGTGAAAAGTACAGTCTTTGATATTTTTGACTCATATTATAATCAGATCATCATGGAGCCAAATCCTCCTACCCCCACTACTGAAGATGTCTCACAAGCCGCTAGCCAACTGCGGCAGCCAAAGAAAAGATTTGTCGGACGACGAACAGCAGATGCTCAAGCCCAGAAGGATACGACCAGTCAGACAGATGTCGAGTCTACGGCGGTGCAAACAGGTACATATCATCCTCTGGCTCATTGTAAAGCACATTGCTAATTCCCACTTCCTCCAGCCGCTCCCAGACGCACTCCCCGCACCCTCAACCAAGTGCCACCAGAGATCCTAAACGATCCCGATATCCAAGAAGCAATGGAACTTCTCCCCAAGAACTACTCATTCGAGATCCCCAAGACAATCCATCGAGTTCGCACATCAGGAGCCAAGCGCGTAGCCCTCCAGTTCCCAGAGGGACTCCTCATCTTCGCAACCACCATCTCCGACATCCTCACCCAATTCTGCCCGGGAATCGAAACCCTCATCATGGGCGACGTCACCTACGGCGCCTGCTGTATCGACGACTACACAGCGCGTGCCCTAGGCTGCGATCTGCTAGTCCACTACGCACACAGCTGCCTGATCCCCGTCGACGTAACCCAGATCAAAACCCTCTACATCTTCGTGGACATCAGCATCGACACAAGCCACCTCATCGCAACACTAGAGCGCAACTTCAAGCCGGGCCAGTCAATCGCCACAGTAGGCACAATCCAATTCAACGCAACGCTACACGGATTGAAACCCGTACTCGAGCGCGCCGGCTTCCGCGTCATAATCCCCCAAATCACCCCACTCTCCAAAGGCGAGATCCTAGGCTGCACATCACCACAACTCTCTGAAACCGAAATCGACGCAATCCTCTACCTAGGCGACGGCCGCTTCCACCTCGAATCAGCCATGATCCACAACCCCTCCATCCCAGCCTACCGGTACGATCCATACTCACGCACCCTCACACGCGAGAGCTACGAACACGAGGAGATGCAGACGATCCGGCGGGACGCGATCGCTACCGCTAAGACGGCCCGCAAATGGGGGATTATCCTCGGCTCGCTTGGTCGACAGGGTAACCCGCATACTATGGCGATGATTGAGCGACACTTGCGCGAGCGCGGTATTCCAATTGTTAACCTGCTTCTAAGTGAGATTTTCCCCGGCAAACTGGCTTCTATGTCGGATGTGGAGTGTTGGGTGCAGATTGCTTGTCCGCGGTTGAGTATTGATTGGGGATATGCTTTCTCGCGGCCGTTGCTGACGCCGTATGAGGCGCTTGTTGCGTTGGGGGTGCGGGAGAATTGGGATTCTGGGAATAAGGGAGTTTATCCTATGGACTTTTATGCGAAGGAGGGGCTTGGACGGACGAAGCCACAGGCTTAGTTGAAAATAGAAAAGATATATACCCCATTATAGACTCAGGGCAGCGGGACTGGCTCTGGTAAGGTTATGAAAATGATATACACGTGGATATGTTTAGATTGTTCATTATCACGAAGGGAATATACAGAGGGAGTAGGAGTATTAACCGCCGGGCTATCGAAGGCACCGACTCAAGACATCATGGCATTTCATTTCCAAAAACCGATCCTAATCAAATACAAAAGTTCATAATACAAGGTGGTGAACGAATCACCCTTTCACATCATCAGTACTGTCAGTGTTGAAATCACTGGCACTTCCACGCCGAAGGGAGAGGACGTTCTTATTAGCCAATTCATCCGCAGTACGTTCAGCAGCCCGCCATCGAGTAACAGCCTGCTGAACATCCTCAAACATCTCCAGTGAGTCCTGGATGATACCGCCCTCGTCAGAATCCCCTAATTGGGTACTCTCGCGCGAACCACGGTCACTAGACATGGGGAACGCGGGTCCGAATCCTCGCTGAGGAATTGGGTTGAACATGATAGCGTTTGCGAACATGCGAATCAACTCTTTCTCCAGTTGCGCGGAATTCACAATTCCTTTGGGTGGTACGAAATCTTCACTCTTCTGTAACATCAGGACGCCGCCTTTAGACGGTGTGCCAGGAATGGGAGACTCTCCATCCCCGGCCGGGGTGCTGGCTGATTCTCCTGCGGTGGCGACGGCTTTGCTTCCCTGATGGATGGCAGATTTGATTGACTTCAGGTCAGACGGGTGATAGATGAGATCCTGGTAGCCAGGAGCGTCACGCTCGCTGATTGGTTTGGCAAAGATGGACGCAAGCTTATGGGTAGCTACATCGTTCATAATAGGTGCTGCGGTCCGGTGGAAATTGCGCGTGGCCATGACATACTGAGTTGTGTCGAATTTTGGAATATCGGCAGGGTGTGTTTCAATCTCCAATGCTTCACTTGCGCCGCGTTTACGTTTTATCCGCGGTTTGGGGGTCTCTTCATCCGCAGTAGCCGCTGCACCCTTGCGGCGGCCGGTTGCCCGTGATTCACGTACAGTGTCTTCCGATGGCGCAACAGACCCATCGCGCGAAGCCAAGGATCGCCCGCGACTCCGGGAAGAGGCCGAGCTTACGGCGCGCGTTCTCCGCATTGAAGCTAGTTTCTCGGTCTTGATGACGGGAGCTGGTTTGGTGTCAGCCCGTCCGCGTCGTGGTTTCTTGTCTTCTGTAGATGTAGCACGTTGGCCTAGATCGATTCTTGGAGGAGGTGACATTTCCATCGCATCAATGGGTGATTCGCCTCGTTCGCTGATGGGGCTGACGTCCTCAGGCCGCGGCCGTGGTGGTGAGGTTGGAGACACCGAAACCCTCGGGCGAGGAGTTCTCTTCCACGGTGTGGATGAGCCCTGTGTGTCAATTGACAGGCGTGGATGGGAGCCGCGCGATTCGGAGAAAGAGGGGAATGTGGCACTCGGGGTTTGGGAAACACGCGGGCGGCCAATAGGGACAGGTGTTTGAGCTGTAGATGGGACAGCGCTGGGTGTTTGCGGAACAGAAGGCTGGAGGGGAGTCTGGGCTTGTGACCCTGGGAGAGGCGGATTGGCGGAAAGTGGTGGTACAGGTCGCTTAGTAGTGGGCTGAGCTGCTTGGGGTGTAGCAGCACCCGGGGAGACGGCCGGGTATGGTGAGTGGGGAGAAGGATCCAGCTGCCACTGCTGGAAACTCGGCTGCGCCGGGGTTCGTTGAGATGCCGGCGCCAACGGGGCAGCCTTACCCGTGACAATAGGCGCAGGTTGGACGGGATTGGCACGAGGTGCGATTTGGGACGGATGCGCCGGTGTGACTCGCGACCCGGCTGGTGTAGTTGGAGGGACTTTCTGGGTAGCTGGAGCAAGTTGAGGTTGGATAGAGGGTTTTGGTAGGGGTTGAGTGGTGGTCGGCTGCGGTTGAGGTGCTTGCTCAGCTATGTCTTGCGGTTTGGGTGTTGGCGTTTGCGCTTGGGGAAGTGGAGCTTGAGGATGGGTCACAGGAGGGGCATGTGTTTCCGGAGGCTCGTTTGTCGTAGGGGGAACATCGATTGCAATTGGCTGTGGTTCAGGCTTTCCCTTGTCCTGGGCGAGCGGGACGGCTGTCGCAAGAGGTTGACCTGTCGGTTCTTGCACAAGTGGGCGCGGCGCCTCTTCCTTCAGACCAGTATCCTTCATCTCGATAGGCGGCTTCACCGGCGTAACTGCTGTAGCTGCCGCAGCGGCTGATTTTTCGTCCTCCTGCTGTAGCCGCTCCAACTCAGCCCTGATTTCCGCGTACTTTTTCTCATCGTCCCTAATTTCCCTGGTGACTAGATCTCTGTATTTAGCGTAAAGGTGCGCTACTAACTCTGGGACGAGCGTGGCGTGGGTGAATCCGGTCAATCCATCGGGTCGCGGACTGGAGATCTTGCGTTTCTTTGGATTAGGCGGACTAGAGGTATCTGAGGGTCGTCCATTAACCGAGGGCGCACTATCACGGCTGAATCCATCGCGCATCAACGTCGCATAGAGATCTTCTAGCGCCTCCGGGGTTAGGCGATCGGCATCGAAATCGGCATTCTCGCGCACGAGCTGATTGTTGCGCAATAGGGTTGAGATAGAGCCGAAGCTTGTCGGTCGGGAATCCAAAGTCGCTAGAGACTGGAAGAACAGGAGAGACTCAAACGAAGTGTATGCCGAAAGAGGAGGCATCCCCCATTGCCCGTCCGGTCGGCCACTGGGGGGAAAGGCTTTGAGGATGGGGGCCACGGTGGTCGGCGATCAGAGTCACGAAAAGTGTTCTGAATTGCAAGTTTTGGGGAACAGGGTAGAGATAGCGAACGCGACAGGCTTGAAACGTAATATAGCCAATGAAAAAGGTAAAAAAAAAATGAACGGCAACCACAACGGGTCAGATAAAGAAAAACGCGTCAAATTTTAGAGTTAAAAGAAGCAAAGAGATGAAATCGGTAGAATTGAAGGATGGAAATGGGAATTGGAGAAGTGCGGCGTACTGTATGGTATAGGTCATGTGATCAGTTGCCAGGGAGAAATCTGAGCAATGCAACGTACGATGTACTTCTACTAAATTTATAATATATATAGAAAATACTGAGATGTTTGAAAAGCATAGACATTTTCTACCTTATATTAATGTATTCCAATCAATTTGAAGGTAATAGGGAAATAACGGATATCTCCCTACTCTGAAACCCATGTCAGGGGTTGCCTTTATAAAAGAAATCCAATTTCCCAATTTCTTTGTACACCATACATATATGAAGTTCATAATAATTATTAACTATCCATGAATATTATACGTATATATTGTGAATAAAATGGAAAAATAAAAACAGAAGTATAAAGCCCCTGAAATCAAAATAAAAATGCGACACATAATGGCGTAGAACCCCTGTAATACAGTTGTAACACTTACGAGCTCTCTCCTTGCGGTGGATATATGGGGACAACTAGTAACATTAGGTGGGCATTGATCATCTCTCACCCTTCTTCTTCCCCCTTTAGCTTCTGTTCTCCAAAGTTCTCTGTTTTTGTCCATCGCGTGTACGGTATTTCTCACACCTCCCCGATTGTGGCTTATCTTGAAGTATAAAGACTGATACTGTGTTTTTCTTACCATCAGAAACCTTTATTCAGTTTCATCTGTGCTTGATTCTTGGCTGGTCCTGGTCTCATACCTAAACCACCCTAATACCTTAATTCTGTGACCTGCTCTTGCCCCGCCTTCAGGTCGCACACCCCTCTGTCGCCGTTCAGCTGTTGAGACCCGTTCTGTGACAGAGAGACCAAACATTCCCCACAAGATGTCTGACATGGATCGCGAATGGAAGCCCAAGGTCCGGCCTCAATCGTTCGTTTCCCTATATTCTCATCAGATCTCCAAATAATAGCATTAACCGTGACCACAGGACCATGGCGCAAGCCTTCTCGTCCGCATTGGACAGCGCCTTTATGCTTGACTCTGACGTCAACAACCTTTCGCAAACCATCGACCAGAAGTGAGTGACACTTGAATCATTTCCTTTACTATCGATATCGCATGCGACTATCCTACCTTTTTCGCCATTCAATTTCGTGACGCTAATCGCACCAAAGGAAGCAACAGGTGTTGATCCAGAACCGCGAATTGGAAGAACTACAGAACCGAATTCGCGAGGCCGAGAGACGTCTCCAGTCCCAATTTGCCAGTGAAAACACATCCGGAAATCGGGAACAAGCCCAGTCAGCTGGTGAGCGCTCAATCTGATCTTTTGTGGGCCGATTGATATAGCTGGCCTGGTTTTGCGCTGTAACGGGATCTGACTGTGTAACAGCTTCCCAGGGATCCAACGAGCAGCAGCCGGATCAGTCTAAGCAGGGGAACAACTGAATTTCTGAACACATTTCGAAAGGTCAAAGCAAGGCCATCCGGTCCTGAAGTCGGGAACTAGAGGTTGGGACGAGTGCAGGGCAGGATTCTCTCTATCCGTGATATTGGACCCGCGCCGCGTCTGATAGACGCAATATGTTCCAGTTATTCTATTGGGATGATTCTTTTTACTGTTATGTTTTTTTTATCTGGCATCCTTTGAGAAACCCCCTATTGTATGGATCTGAGGGATTTATTCCCACGGCCATCCCTTGTTTGCACTGCTACGGCGCTGCGCTTCACCCATTTTGTTTGGCCTTGAAATTGAAACACTTTCAATCAGACTTCCCGGGATACATTTTGATACTGCGTATTCTTTTAGGTAGTTTATGGTTATTCAGACCCGGAAAGTGACGGGAGTAATAGGTTTATGTCCAATCAGAGACCAGAAACTGGACACTTCCGTTCTTTTGAAAGAGGCGGGGCATAAAGGCCGATTTTCTTGAAGCTAATCCTTTCTAGGCGATCTAATGAGCCGTGCCATGTCTTTTCGGTCTATTAAGATGTTTTTCTTGTTCTGAATAGCTTCAATTATTCCAGATGTAGTAATGTAGATAAGGGGTGCATATTGAATACTGAGGCAGCCCATCTTCTAAGACCGGAGCCAAAGGGAAAGTCGCTTCTTCCTCGTGATGTTCCTTCTTTCCCTCCCGACTCCCTTATTATCGATAAACACAGCTGATCTTGACTATGTACATATATGTACCTACATAGGTACCTAGCCCTGGAAGTATCTGTATCAACCTTCCAAGGGTTGGCACACACCTTAGTTTCCCTAGCACTTGAATGTTCACCGTGGTAATTCAATGGTATATCTGATAACAACCCGCTCTAGATTTTCTTTGTGATTTTCGAACCTTTTCCAACTTTTAAAACCAAGTTAATTTGAAATTGTATATGTGGGAAGCTACTGACCGCCACACAAAGCTCCGATCAGGAATGTCTCAGATTTAGCGTACATGTGCATACATAATGTAGGTACTACCCGGACCTACAAACGGTGAGGGACTGATAAGAAGGTGGCAATTCTTCCCGATACTAATCGGGTAGAAGCCGGGCTCGAATCTAAAAGGTCTGGAGAGACAATGGGATTGTGATTATCTCCCTCTTTTTAAAAGAGAAGTAAAAAAATACGCCGAAGATATATATTATATATAGCCGTAGAGGTCAAAGTCAATTCCAAAAACAAGTATATCTGTACTTCGTACTCCGTACAGCTTCCAGGCCCAAATAGTTTCAACCAATCAGCTTCAATTTCCAATCTCACCTTTCCAAGGTTATCCACCTGTGGACCCCCCAGTTCATCGGTGGACGTCATTCTAGCCCCAGGTTGGCACGGACTTGAATTCCCCTCCATTTTCTCCCCTCTTCATCTCTCTCTTTTTTTTTACTCTGCATTGCGCAATCATGGTTCTACTCGATGGGAAAGAAGTAATTACAGAGGAAGAGAAGCGTCTAAAGGAAGACCGCGAGAGAACCAAGTATTGGAAGGTAAGATTTCCTAACTTTAGAGCTTGTGAGACATTCTTGCTAACTGAACAAAACAGCGTTGGGGACCATATGTGGTAAGTGGAGGTCAAGTATAGCTTTGATATATATTGGCAGTGCTAAAAGCGATTGCATTGATATAGGCCGAGAGACAGTGGGCTACAGGTAAGAGCTTGCAATCATACCAACTCAAGAAAGAGGCTAATTCCCGTTTTTCATGGTATAGTCAGAGAGGATTACAGTGAAGATGGTGACGCTTGGAGCTACTTCACCCACGATCATGCAAGATCGAGAACTTTCCGCTGGGGTGAAGATGGAATTGCCGGTGTATCTGATACACACGGCATACAGAACATTGCCTTTGCCTTCTGGAATGGCGAAGAGTAAGTTGAGACTCTACTTGAATGCTGTATCTCCCATCCTCTGCATAGAATCTGATTGGAGTATAGCGACTTCCTGAAGGAGCGTCTGTTCGGTTTGTCGAACCCTCAGGGTAATCACGGTGAGAGTGTCAAGGAGGCACATTTCCACGTGGACAATACCCCGACGGTAAGCCAATATATAAATCGAATTCCACTTGCCATCCTACTAATCCCGGAGTATAGCATTCCTACATGAAATTCCTCTACAAATACCCCCAGAGAAAGTTTCCGTACCAAGACCTCATCGATGAGAATGCAAAGCGTTCACGCTTGGAGAAAGAGTATCAGATTCTTGATACTGGAATCTTCGATGATAACCGCTACTGGGATATCTTCATCGAGACTGCCAAGGATGCCGATGATGAGGAAGAATTGAATTTCCGTGTCATTGCCTATAACCGTGGCCCGGAACCAGCTCATCTACACATCGTCCCTCATGTCTGGTTCCGAAATACCTGGGCCTGGGGAGATGAGAAGAAGAAAGAAAGACCGTCTATCAAGAAAGAGGGACCGATGGTGGCCAAATCAAACCACAGCAAATTTGGCGATCGATATGTCTCCTTTGCGCCATCGCCTCCGGTTGGGTCTAGTGATGAAGATATCCAGCCTCAGATGATGTTCACCGAGAATGAGAGTAACAACAAGTTACTATGGGGTACCGAGAACAGCACACCCTATGTCAAAGATGCATTCCACCGCCATATCGTTCAAGAAGAGAAGGATGCTATCAACCCAGACAACGAAGGTACCAAATTTGCTGCCTGGTACGCCTTCAACAACGGCGATGGAGTCCCTCCCGGCGAATGTGCCGTCGTTCGTTTCAAGGTGTCCCGTAAGAAGGAAGAGTTCATCGACGAAGAAGTCCTGGACGATGTGATTGAACAGCGCCGCGCTGATGCGGATGACTTCTACTACCACCTCAACCCTCTCCCCATGAGCGATGATCTCCGTAACATCCAGCGTCAAGCCTTCTCCGGAATGATGTGGTGCAAGCAGTACTACAACTTCGTCTGGGATCAATGGGCAAATGGTGACCCGGCTGAGATCCCTCCTCCGCCAGGTCGAAAGGGCATTCGCAACGAGCAGTGGCGTCATCTGTACATTGACGACATCCTATCGATGCCCGACTCTTGGGAGTACCCATTCTTCGCTGCGTGGGACACCGCATTCCACTGTATCCCACTGGCTATGATGGATCCCGATTTCGCAAAGAAGCAACTCGACCTCCTCACCCGTGAATGGTACATGCACCCGAACGGTCAGCTGCCAGCGTACGAGTGGAACTTTGGCGATGTGAATCCTCCTGTGCACGCATGGGCTGTGTTCCGCACGTTCAAGATTGAGCGGAAGATGTACGGACGACAGGATCTGGACTTCTTGGAACGGGTGTTCCAAAAGTTGCTTCTCAACTTCACTTGGTGGGTCAACCGCAAGGACTCTGGTGGCAAGAATGTGTTTGAGGGCGGCTTTTTGGGACTTGATAATATCGGTCTGTTCAATCGCTCGGAGCCATTGCCCACTGGCGGTGTGCTTGAGCAAGCTGACAGCACTGGTTGGATGGCCTTCTACTGTCTGACCATGCTCAACATTGCTCTAGAACTGGCTAAGCATCGTCGCACATACGAAGACATTGCATCCAAGTTCTTCGAGCACTTCCTGCTCATCAGTGATGCAATGACCTTCCGTTCGGGTGATGACACTGTGCAGTCACTCTGGAACGAAGAAGACAGCTTCTACTACGATGCCATCTCTTACGGCGGACCATGGACCCAGCAGCTACCGATCAGGTCCCTCGTCGGTTTGATCCCGCTGTATGCAGTTCTCACCCTGGAGCCTGAGCTCATCAACCAATTCCCCTCGTTCAAACGGCGACTGGAGTGGTTCATCGAGAACAAGCCAGACATAGCCGAGCGTAACATCGCCAGCATGAAGGACCGTGGAAAAGACGACCGACTCCTACTAGCCCTGGTCAGCAAAGACCGTCTCATCAAGATCCTCGAGCGAATGCTCGATGAAACCGAGTTCCTCTCCGAGCACGGTATCCGCTCCATGTCCAAGTTCCACCAAGAGAACCCCTACTCCATGGACGTCAACGGCCAAAACTTCAAAGTGGGCTACGTCCCCGGCGACTCCGACTCCTCCCTCTTCGGCGGAAACAGCAACTGGCGTGGCCCCATTTGGCTCTGCGTCAACTTCCTCCTCGTTGAGTCGCTCCTCCGCTTCCACATGTTCTACGGCGACACCCTGCAAGTCGAGTGTCCCAAGGGCTCGGGTGATTACATGCACCTAGGACATGTAGCCGAAGAACTGCAGCACCGCATGCAGCATCTTTTCGCTCGCAACGATGACGGCCGCCGCGCCGTAAACGCCGGGTCAGACCTCCTCGATTTCGACGAGCACTGGAAAGACAATCTCTGGTTCCACGAGTTCTTCGATGGCGACACCGGACGCGGACTCGGGACATCGCACCAGTGCGGATGGACAGGCCTAATCGCCAAGATCATCCACGACACTGGTATCAACTGTCGTCTACCGCAGACACCGCGGTCGCCATTCGCCGCAGCATCGCACTACTTCGATGACATCTTCTCCCGATCTGGACGACCGCGCGGCTCGGGCCGTCCGTCTATCCGTCGTTCGTCGACCACACGTTCCATCGGCAACCGTAGTGACTTCTACTCTGGCGATGCTACGCCGGCTGCGGACTTGGATGACGACGGTCAGAGTCGTGGTCCTAGTCGTGGAGGTAGTCGTAGGGGTAGCACTGCGGATCCTCATAACCAGGATCATGTTGACCACTATGTGGAGAGTCAGTTGCAGCGGGTGCGCAGCTCTGCTTCTATTGCTGCGTATGAGGATGAGTTTGAGACGAAGGCTGAGAGAGCTGAGGAGAATGGGCAGAATTGACGGGTTTGATTCGGCTTTAGTTGCTTTACATATCTTGCATTTCATTCTCCCATTTGATCCTGTGCATTTCCCCTTGGCATTTGTTTCTTATTTCTCTTCTCCCGTCATCTTCTCGTTTGGCTGCTTCTTGGCATGATAATAACGATCTGTTTGTGGTCACGACTGTTTCTGTCATTTCTTACACGTTTCATCTGCTATCTACCATTTATGACCTATTCATATATACATTTTTCGGAGTATAGTTTTGATTTATGGTGCATTGGATACGAAGTAAACGTCAAGAATACCATTCTCTCAAAAGGAACCTACCTGACGCCCTGCGCCTAAGCATATGAAACTGCACCCCTAAATAAGAAATATAAAAAATCATTGCGCAGATTGACCGGCGATCAGAACGGCCGCCGGGTCTACGCAATACGGAAGGCAGGCAAACACGAAGGCAAGCAGGTTGAGGGATGCGAAACACACTGCAAACTATTAACCGCTAGACCAGCATGTCCCCCGTACCTTGCATGACTAGAGAAATCAACGATCTATAAGACACCAATAATGGATGAATTTGTGCAATTGACAAGTAATTCGAACAAAACAAAAAGGTAGAAAAGGGACTTAGAATGCCCCTTTCCACCGAACGCTACCGTTCATCCGGGACGATATGCTATAGTTTAACCATCCTCAAACGCAGGCTAATTTACATTTACAAAGCATCGGAAAGAGCCTTGTTCATCTTGGCGATCTTGGAAGAAACGCTAAGGTCAACGGTGCGGTCACCGATCTCAACGACAAGTCCACCAACGAGGTCGGGGTTGACCTAATTAATAAGTTAATGAACATCCACTCAACAAAAGTCCAATTCAACGCACCTTGGCAACAACCTTGAGCTTCTTGCCCTGGCTGAACTGAGACTTGGAAACAGCCTTCTCAAGACGGGAGAGGGTCTTGGCATCGAGCTCCTATGAAAGTTTTAGCATTTATATCTTTTTTTCATAACAAAAGAATCCATACCTGAGCACTGGTGATGTTAAGGTCGATCTCGCCGCGGTGAGCACCCATCAGGGTAGCGAACTTCTCGCAGACACCCTCGAGGGCACCGAGACGGTTGTTCTCAGCGAGAGTCTCGAGGAAGTTCTGGAGGATACCGGCCTTATCGGCACCGGCGACCTTAGCGAGCTCATCGACGATAGACTTCTTGTCAGCGACAGTGAGCATAGGAGCGCCGAGGATGGAGACGAGCTTCTTGTCAGCCTTGAGGGTCTCGCCGAGGGTAGCGATAGCACGGGCAGTCTGGTCGAGAGCAGCGGACTTGGCGGAAGCGGTGTACTATAGAAATGTCAGGGAGATTCATTCCGGAGTTTGTAGCGTAGCGTCTTGAGGATTTGAAGGTTGGTTTTTGAGAGGGAGGGGTTCCGGGGAAAGACGGGAAGTGGTGAAGGTAAACGGTCGCGACAAGACCGCGGCAATGGAGGTGCATACCAGAGCAGAGGCGTAGGTGCCATCAACGCCGAAGAGGGCGATGGGAGCGCGGGTCTCCTGGGCCGGGGTGGCATAGGACCTGATGCCGTTGACGGCGGCGGTGCGAGGGACGGAGAACTGGGTGGCACGCAGGCCAGCGCGGGCGAAGCGAGCGGACATCATTGTGCAATTGGCTGGAGGAGGGCCTCGAAGAGGGAGGGACACAGAGGGTTGAATGGGGAGGTGATATCGACGTTCCGAGTGCTTGCTTCGTCAAGGATGCAAGGTTGAGACCTCCGGGCCGAATGTTCCCGTGGTCACGTGCACGCACACACGGAATGTATCACGTGTATAATTTCTTGGCAGCTTCGACATCTTTGGAATATCACCACAGCAATATTATTAGTCGAATTCGACGAAGTCCTTGGGATATAAAATGGCCCATTCGCAAACTGTCTCTTAAATTTGGACTCGAGTTTCAGGATCGACTACTCAGACGCAAACATGAGATTAGAGCTGCTATATGCTACACAACCATAGAAACGCCCGCTTTACAAAAAATCAAATAATGTCCATGAATTCATCGTTCCGGTCTTCGCGTCAGGTCAAGCCCCAAACGCCGAAAAGCCCAAGCTAAAATACTTCAATTCATGCACCGCACCCGAAACGCCGTTAGGATATCTTTTCCGCAGTTCCCCTGCGGAGATCAGATGCAAAACACAATTACCCGAATTCCCCATTCATCCCTTAATCGCTGCGCAACATACTATCCACCAAATCACCGAGCGGTCCCCAGAAATCCTTCCCACTGGCCAGCTTGTGCTCATCAATGAACAAGACATAGTGCTTGAAGCTGGTGTTGAGGTGAGGCTCGAGACCGAGGTGCACTACCACTGGGTAATGGTGGCAGTAGATGTGGGCGTAGACACGGTATAGACGCTTGAAGATCTGGCGGAGAAGACTGGGGAATGTCTTTGGGAATGGGACACCTGGAAAAACATGCGTGAGCAATAGGTCTACTATACGGATGACACCTGAGACATACCGATCCGACTAGGGAACATCTGTTCGTTGTCGACATTGCTCTGAACCCAGGTCATTAAGTGTTCAATGTATTCCGGGGCAGACATCTTGGTTGGCCGCTTGAAATTCTCCGAGTCTTGCCAGAGGTATTCGAACCTATCGACTTGTAAGCCGGGGGTCAACAATCTGCAGAGGAAACACCATACTCATCTGTAGCCTTCATCTCGGGACATGTCTGCGGTGAGCAGAATTCAGTTATTGAGCCGTAGAGAAGGTTGATCTGGTTGTAGAAGTCGACAACTAAATAACCAAAACATTAGCAGATATACCCAGCACAACTCCGCAAGATATGCCTTACTGTTGACAGCTAGCCATTCATTCTGATCTTCGCCTTCTGGTAGTTTCACGGCCTTGCGCAAGCTACCACTTCCAAGTGTGGCTTCAGCGAACTGTCGTAGCTGATAGCTGCTCGTGCCTTTGGCAGCTGAGCGGGGCTTGAAGGGGGCGCGTGTGCGTGCATTGCTAGGAGGTGTTAGTCCAAAGCAGCCTTGTTTGAGTGCGCGCACTGCCGGCGACAGGTAAGATGGAGGCTCCGAAAGGGGGTTGTGAGAAGTGCGAGTGGTCTGATGCAGAGCGGAAGAACTGATAACGGAAGGGAGGCGTGATTGCGGGGAGGGCGAGGCCTCCCCAGGGGAAGGGAAATGAGTAACGGGAGAGGCAGCGGGGACAGACATAGTGGTTATGAATGAAGACATATTCTTTCAGTCTCGAGAGAAAAGTGATCCCTTTCGCTAGGGGTGTATTTTGGCGGGGTTTGCGCTGATCACGATGTGCCTGCATTCCAATGTCAGATTATCAGTTGCTATCCAATATTTAGGTAATATTATAATATAAGCGGACGTACGGACGATGTCAATGAGGTGTATCTGACGATATTGAATGATATGTTTGAAAGAAACGGGCAATGAGAGAGATGTTCTTGGGTTTCAGCTCCCCAAATTCATAAAGTGAGATCCGATCCGTTCACCACGTTGCCCCAGTTACCGCATCGACGTCACATCTACAAGACATATTTTAAATGTAGTGTGTACTGCGAAGTAAGTAATCATTCAATTTTATCAATAATACATGAGAACCCAGAGCCCGGTGAGGCCTATATTTGCATGAGTTTCTCGATAGCACAAGGGGGATATTTAAAACGAAACAAAATCAAGCATAACCCGCACGGCAGGCAAGCACATGTGTAGATTTAGAGACATCTAGTGTACATCTAGAGTCCTAGATCGGGTAACCTTCATTCTCTTCGGGCAGTTGTTCTCGAACAGTCTCTCCATAAACTGTCAGCGGTATAGCGATCTCGAATGATTCACAGTTCAAATATTCCATAGCAGAAAGCACCGTGCCGCGATCATCCGACGACAAAGCCTCGAGTAAGTGCGTGCCTGAGGGTTGGGCCCTTTGTTCACCTCGAACACTGGATGTGACAAACTCGAATCGTAGTTCCCAATCGAGAGTAACGCCGCTCGTCAAGATTGATGGCGTGGCTGTGATAGGGATAGCAGGACTGAAAGCCACTCGGGTGGCATGGAGTGTGTTCTCGAACAGAGAAGCATGAATACGCCGCGTGGTTCGGTGAATGCTGGCATTTGACCGGATGGCCAAACTAGGGGTGACTTTTTCGGACGTCTCTAGGGAGGCACGTACAGCGTAACATGGAATTGTGGCATCTCCAAAATCCATAGTCGCAATAATGGTCTCTCCAAGTCGATGAATTGGTCGGTTCAAGACGACCACTGCGATACGTTTACCTTCGCGGGCAATCTCAAAGCGATTGGGGCTGCGGCGAGAGTTCACGGCCTGGTTACTGCGAAGGATAGCAAAGTCGATGATATCCTTGGAAGTAAGCAACTGGGGTAATCCTTCGACGCTAGGTCGCCTCGAGGGTGTAGTGCCAGGTGGGAACAGCGTGTTGGAACGCGCACGTTGCTCCAGAATTTCATCCACAAAACCAAGGAAGTCGGCCGCGGAATGGTGGGATTTGCTGATACTTTGGTTTTTCGTTGTCACAGGCATCACTGGCCCGACCTTTTGCACCTTCGCTTCATCCCGTAGAAGTACATAAGGTGACATCAAGTCATGCCCAAGAATATCTCCTTTTTCTATAAAACCGTGAGACATTGGGATGGAAGGCAAAGTGAAGAATGTAACTTACCATTCACGCCACTGAAAACGCGGAAGGGTATATTGATGCGGTTGACCTTTTGAGGCTCATTAGGCCCGCTAGGCCGCTGAGTTCCAATGACCAAATTATATGAGATCTTGATTGCTTTCCCTTTATGACTCGCCGGGAGTCCTTTGGGAAGGGCAAATGAGAAAGAATACGACTGTTCTTCTCCTGGGGCCAGTCGGAGGTCAACAAAAAGCAGTGATTGTGAGGTGGACAACAACGGGATTGATCTCGACGATGTTACACCACGCATTTCACGTAGTCCATCCAGTTCGTTATTTGAAAGAAGGCCATTTATGGATTCCTCAATAGCGTTCCATTTGAATGCGCCCCAGAACCCACCAGTTTTACGTGGTCGCTCGGCTGTTGGCGTTGGCCGGCCAGGAATTCCACCTGAACCTGGTTGGCCACCAACAACTCCCTTTCGCTTGACTTCGTCGAAGGCTGACTGGTTCACCAATGAGCCATCGACCGTGAATGAGGCACTAACCTGCGCATAGCCCATCAGCAGCGCCTGGCTGCTGGGGGCTTTGGAAAGAGATGGAACCACGCTCGAATGATGCCGGGCATGTCGCATAGAGGGGGGAATTCGAGCAGCCTGTACCGAATAATTTGTGTATTCGGACCCGACGGTCTCTGTAGAGTGGTCGCTGATAGAGTAGAACTCCCCGCTGCTTCGGTTGCTCCCATTCACGCTTGTAGCTGATATAATCCGGGTTAGTTGCTGGTGTGCCGGTCCGATCAGACCCTGTGCATCTCTAGCAGCGGATCTTCCTCCGGTTGATGATGTACCGTTGGTTGTGGCCGACTTTGGTGACGGACTGCGCACGGTGCGATTGTTAGTTGAATCGGTCGAAGGTGCGGCGGGGAACTTAAAATCGAGGGGAGGTGGTTGAGGCCGTCGTGGAGGTCGACGCAATGGCTCTACTGCGCCTATTGGACTAGTCGCGAGAGAACCAGGGCGGCTGGCTCGACCCAAGTGGGAGGTATCAACTCCCAGGCTGCCGTTGGGATGCTCGCTTGGAGCCTCTGTCAACGGAAATGGAAAGGCATGAGAGGGCGTTCTCGCTGATAAGAGAGTCATTAGTTGGAGAGCACTAGGTACATATTTGTACTATCCATCATCTACCTTTTTTGTAAGCATCCTCACAGCTATTGTTCCTTCGCGGCAGAACCTGAAGACTCGCTGAGCGCCCATGACCCCTGGCTGGCTGGTGACGATTGTAATTGTGTGCGGAAGGAGTCGGGTCGGTTTGGCCTTCACTATCAATGGAGAGGATGGAGACAGATCGTTTATGGTTGTGACCTGGTTGCCATGCTCGCGGTGTAGAGGGGCCGTTGTTTGGAGGAAAGCTATGGGAGCCGACCAACGGAGAGCTCAGGGAAGACGCGGTCCGGTGATAAGGCTTTCGTTGCGAGCTGGTGGAATATGATCGCCGACCAGAAAAAAGGCCCTGAGATGATTTAAATCCGAAGAAAGAGTCCGAGTTCGAGTTAGGTGTGTGATTCGCGACTCGAGAGATCTTCCGTGAATGTTGACCTTCACCATTATTGGCATCGGTGCCAGTATCTGCCACGTTCTTGAATGTTATAGTACATTCAACATCCTCGCCTGCAAATATAGTCTGGTCCTTCCATTTCACAAAGACTTGGATGTTGGATGGCATTGTGTCAGCATGTGGGCTGCAGATCGAGGGGGGCCAAGGCCTGAAGGGAACAATGAGCTGTAGTTAGGTCGAAGCTTGGTGAAATATGCCGACACTAGCATCCTGTCAACCCGAATGAACCATTCTGGTTGTAGAGTTGAAGATGTGTAGGGAGTTGCGTGGCGATGACCTTGCTCCTAGCTCCCGAAACTACGGGCTAAATGACATATGTTACCCACCTCATTCTACACCCACCACGATAGACATCGATATATAGTAAACATGTAAACATGTAAATATTTTGTGTTTTTGACCAAGATTAGAACAGAAAAAAAAAATCATAGGTGATATTATTTATTGTACAAGTGTAAATTAAAATCATATCTAAGTATAATGTACACAACTATCTTCGCTTGCGATTGTTGTCATCATACAGCACATGGAAGTCTGAAAGGGGCCGCGTGCGATTTGTCGAAGGGCGAAGACCAAGCTCAGCCATGCGACTCCAGATTCTGTCATGTCGGTTCTCCCATCGCTTGCGCCGACTCTCCATTTCGTCCTCTGATGGGCGCCATTTGCTCTTCAAAATTCGGCGAATGGCTTCTGGTGACACCTCAAACTCGTCTGCGAGGACAGCAGTCGTGAATTGTTCGGGGGCCTTTGCATGAAGATGACGAATCCCATCGAGAGCATCAGGTGAAAGCTTCTTGGGTGGATTCCAACCATCGGCGAACTTCTCTTTCAAAGCCGCTTTTTGCACTTGCCAGCTCTCGGGCTTCTTATTTCTCCCGGTCTCCGATAACTGTTTCGCTTTTTCGGCTCTGTCTTGCCAACGCTTGCGAGGTTCCTTGTCGGCCTCCCTGCGAGTCTCGTTACGGAAAGCTCTGCGCTCTCTGTCGGTTCTTCCCTCCCTATTTTCCGGGCCCCTTCGCTGGCCCTTGGGGTGAGCCCTATGGGTTTTCCATCCGCCTTTCTTGTCGAATGAGTCGAAATCTTTCTTCTGCGGTGTTTCGTGTTGGGACGAAACGTTATCATCGGCGACGGCCGAGGTTTCAGGGGCTGCGTGCTCCAATTGGTCATTCTGGGGATCACGCAGGCGCGGGATTGAACTGAAGGATCGTTGGAGTTGGATATTCGAACAGAAAAGAGGACCAGAGGCAAGCGATCGGTGATAGGGGATTATTGAAGAAGCGCTCAAATTACTGGGGAACTGGGAGCGGAAAACATTGCGTAGAATGGCAGGCAGGACCAGCCTCGAAGATGCAGCACATTTGGTGGCCATCTTAGATAACGAGCAGAGCAAAGTTGACAATGGATAAATGTGAGACAATGAAGTTCAATGAAGGAAGGGAAAATACCTCCAGGGCTAGGTATGTACCATGGATGTATCCAATGGCGATAAGAAAACGATAAGGTTACTAATTGGTGGCCTGATAACCTTGGAAATATGGCATCACAGTTCTTTCGAGCCCTGTTCTAACTAGTTATATGTGATTACATGTTCCTTCCAAGCATCTATTACTTCCCAGGAATCTTTTTCTCTTATGCCAACTGAAGTTAGAATGCCTGGTCAAATAGCGGGATTACGGGAGTACATGCGGACGTCTCCTCTTCCTTCGGAGGACTTGGCCTCCTAAAACGTTTAGCAGAGAAAGTATGCAGCGGCCGAAGCTGCATTTCGAGAAGCTTGGAAAGGCCGCAGTGAAGCCTTAGGTGCAGACCATACAGACACACTCAATTCTCTTCAGTGGCTGCGCAATATTCTTCGAGACACTTTACCATTCAAAAAACCGACAGACAAGACCAAAGGAAGTCTACGAAAAAGCCTTGGGTTATTCCGGAGATAATGTAACGTCACTTTGACCATATAATATAGGGTTGTGATACCATCCTTGATGTTCACTATATTTGCCGGTTTACTTGCTAGTTTCGGTGGATATAAATACCCTGTCCCTTCATACGTGGATTATACGATACAGATCTCTCTCACTCCTTCATCTCGCTGCATACCCAGCATGTAATTTCCCTCTTCTAGCTTCCGATCTAATTTAAGTCTCTTATTGTAGTATATTACTATAAAAGAAAAATATAAATCGATACTATTAAAGAATCGATTAGGTCTACCATATATCCTATTTCGGTGATATCACAGCAGTTCAGGATATGACAGTTAGCCTCTTCTATCAACAAAACTAGGAGCATAAGGTGCGGAAATATGCCGCCTGATGAGAAATACAGTATGTCTTTTATCTCCACTAGCCCATTGTTGTCTTTGTAATCATCCGGGATATGAAACCCGAAGACCAACACCATGATCAGCCTTGCTAACAGAATGAATTTAAAAACCCATCTGAAGACCCGTTTGAGTCTCCTGTGTCTAATCTTTTAACACTCTATACATTTGATATCGTCATGGCCCAAACTGGAAAGCATGCCCTTATCTTTGGAGCCTCTGGAATATCCGGATGGTCTCTCTTAAACCAAGCTCTACAATACCCAACACCGACGTCTTTTAATCGCGTGACTGGCTTGTGCAACCGGCCATGGACAAACAAGGACGCTTACCTCCCTGACGATCAACGCCTTAATATTGTATCGGGCATTGACCTGACACAGTCCGTGGAAGCGGTAAAGGCCCAGCTTAAAGAGAAAGTCGAGAACGTGGAGTCAGTAGATGTGGTATTCTTTTGTGGTATGTATTTGTTGCGTTGATTAGTTCTTTTCTGAAGTCAAAAATACTAAGTTCTGCTCAGCCTACATCCAGACTGGCGACTTCAAGTCGGTACGCAAGATCAACACCGATATTCTCCAAACCGCCGTTGAAGCCATCTCCGCTGTTTCACCCTCTATAGAAGCGGTCATTCTGCAGACTGGCGGCAAGGGGTATGGATTGGAGTTTCCCAAAGAGATCAATATCCAGCCTCCTCTCCATGAGAAGATGCCCCGCATCCCTTCGCCATGGAGAGACCATATATTTTACTACGATCAGTACGATATCTTAAAGAAACTATCGGAAAACCAAAACTGGACATTCTCCGAAATTAGACCGGATGGCATTGTCGGCTTCGCTCCTGGCTACAACGTCATGAACATGGCATATGGCATTGCCTTCTACTTGACTCTGTACCGAGAAGTCAATGGAAAGGACGCCAAAGTTCCATTCCCCGGCCGTCCGCACGGTTATCACACCCGCCACACCGATACCTTTCAAGATATCCTTGCTAAGATGGAGATCTTCGCTGCTCTTAACCGCGACAAGTGTCAAAACGGATCAAGCTTTAATTGTGGCGACGGGGAGCCTGTGACCTGGGCTCAGGTCTGGCCAGGGATTTGCTCTTACTTTGGTCTCAGTGGTGTTGAGCCAGATGGTAAGCAGAAGAATATACAGGATTTCGTTTCTGAGAATAAGGCGATTTGGGACCGCTTGGTCTTGACTCATGGCCTGAAGGAAGGTCTCATTGAGTTGCAGAACTGGGGCCATGTGAACTTCATGCTTATTGATTTTGACTTTAGCCGGGAGTATTCTCTTGAGGCGGCTCGATCTGTTGGATTCAACGAGCAGATTGATACTCTTCAGGGCTATCAGTTTACATTTGATCGGATGGTGAACGCGAAGTTCATCCCTACGCCTGCTCCTTGAGTTGCTTCTTTTCTAAACAAAGACAAAGCAAGATTAAATGAACCGCTATTGGAAGTACTGTTGAACATGACTCCCGGTAGGATATACAACATAATGCAAGCTTTTCTGCCACACGTATAACCCGCTCCATGTTGCTAGGAAAGATATATCTAGCAAAAGCAACCCAGTGCTGTTAGGTATATGTTTTGTACTATGTAATTCTCTCGGATAATCACTCCCGGAGATTGACACGGGCTCCTTCCAAGAAGCCCTTCCCCGAGAATTGGGCTCTCGTAGTTGCCGCTATAAAGTTCATAGTTGAAGACATGACGCTCACATTCTAGAGTGCTGTTGCTCGCCTTGTCCTTTTATGGGCGCTTTCTGGGGAAAGGCAGCGGACATAAGTTGCCGAATATCAGTGTAAGTCTTTCTAGGAAGGTTGACAAAGACCTCAGAGAACACGGGGTGCTGGTCTACGGCAACTTGTGGAACTAGGTCACCGATTTTAAAGGGCCCATATCACAAATGGCTGAAAACTGTTATAGAAAGAGGCAAACCTAAACCATGAGACATGAAATAATAACTTTTGTGAGGATGAGACGGTAGAGATGGACATCGGACAGGTCAAATTAAGATTAGGGCACCCGGGGGCACGAGATCATACACGTGAAATGTAAAGCTCAGATTAAATGCCAAATCCACCTGTGGACCTCCCGTGGAACCCCCCCCCCCCGTGCGCCTTTCGATCTGATCCGATCTGTGAACTTTTTGTATACAACATAATTTATCGTACTCCCAAGCTCGCATTAAGCCGAAAGCCCCGGTTAGTGCGGCGAACTGTGCGTATACGACCCACCGTTCATCTCTTTTTCGCAGATCAAGGGAATCTCAGAGATCCCAAAGCTCTCAAGTGATTGAGGATTCGGCAATTCTTCAAAATCCCAAGCCAATCAGAAGCCAACCTGAAACCCATATAACCCCATAGAGCCAGGGGCAGCTAAAAGGTTCAAATTCCTCCGATCGACTGGAATGATCTGCTTTAGCGCGGAATGAGCTTTGTGTTTGTTTCCTTTTCTGCTCCTACACGCTCTTTTTGGTGAGTTTCAATATTTGTGAGAGATCACATTTGGCTAATCAAAGCTTCATTTCAGCTTGCCCCCACTAATTCCACCATCCCTCCACACTCTCTCCTGACAACTCCCCGAGATAAAATTTCCGACTACAGCCTGACTGGCACCGACAAACTTATATGAACTTGGCTTGAAATGCAAACATATCGCGCTCTCAGCGGACCTTGAATCACCGACCGCCTCCTCCCCCAGGATATGGCTACCACTGCCCCCCTCAGTGCGAAAAGCAAGCTTGCTGGACCCGGCGCATCCTTGAAAATCACTCCTTCGAACTCTCCAATCCTTCGACCAGGGACGCGATCCCCCAGCAAAACCGCTCATCAATCCTCCTTGTCCCTCCAAACCGTTATCGGCACAACAACAACCACACCCAATGGCTTTTCAAGTCATGATCAGAGCAGAAGCTTTGCGCTATGCGCTGGATCAGCAGCGGTTCTTGCAGAATTAGACGAGAACGACAACATAACACAGCGCTTCTTTCGAGCCCGCCCTTCTGCGGCCAGTGTTAACCCATCAACTTCTTTTTACAACCAGTCTACTCCACCGGCCACCCCAGACCCAAGATCTCGATCCCTTTCCCATATTCGATCTAATCCACACCTCAATATTTCCAATGGGTCTCCGTCAAGCGAAGTCATCGACAGCGGCAGTCCGCGTGGATGGTCTTCGAGGGAAAGAATCAAGGCAGTGACGAGTGTTTCGATTAGCCCAAATGGAAGATTCCTTGCTGTAGGAGAGGTAAGTGAGGGAAATTGAGATAAAGTATTGCAACAGCGGCTGACGACATCAAGACTGGTTATAATCCTCGAGTTTTAATATTTTCGACAGCGAGAGATGCTCTGCCGGATGTTCCTCTGTCCATTCTGAACGAGCATACGTTCGGTGTTCGCAGCCTGGCATTTAGCCCTGACTCTCAGTATTTGGCAACTCTCGGTAATCCGAACGATGGATTTCTTTTTATCTGGTCAATCAACCTTAAAAATGGGGCGGCCAAGCTACACTCCGCGAATAAATGCACCTCGTTTATCAAGGATATGTGCTGGGTCGGCCAGAGCTTAGTCACGTATGTTTGATCAGACGGTGAAAACTAGTAGTCAACTAATGTCTTTGTTCAGGACCGGCTTGCGACATGTGAAGGTATGGCGTCTTCCAACGGTGATTCGGCCCGTTTCACCAACCAAATCACGTTTGAATATCGAGGGAGCCGGCCCCTCGCCCAATCCCGCCCCAAAAGCACTTTCTGGCAGGAATTGTCTCCTAGGCGCACTGGGCGACAACACTTTCACCTGCGTGAACAGTATCTCCTACAATGAGGCTGTAATCGGCACAGATTCGGGCGCAGTTTGCTTCCTCGATGATCGCGAAGGATCTCAAAAGATGATCACTGTAAAGCAAGTCGGATTCAGCATCACCTCATTGGCTGTGGATTATGACCAAGAGTCCATATGGCTAGGCGGACGAGGAAGACAAATGCAGCGGCTGCCATTTGAAGTTCTACGATCATCCGGCTCATCCACACTGTCCCCTGCGCGC